CAATACAAATTGAAAAGAAATTGAAGCTGCGATATACAACTAGAAGCGAAAAAAAATATAAATGCCCGCGCCTGGCTATCAATATGCAGCTGTAGCGCTGCATCTCGGTCTAGTAATATTTCTACCTGCGCCTGTGTCTAGTCGTATATCTATATGCATCATTTTTGAATCAAAAGACTCTAACTCATTTACCTGCTCTTGCGTTTTGTCATTCCCAACCATCATGTTCTCGGTCCCAACGTCAGGAAGAGGAGCACGCGTTTCGTTCGCGTCATCAATAGCAGTTTCTCCAGCAACAAGGCCACCACCCTTGCCGCCAGGGTTTTTAACTCGGCCACAACGCTTCGGAGGTTGCGGCTGGGCCGTATGCGCGTTCGCAGTCTTCTGCTGTGTTCAAGAAATGACTCGCAGGCTTGCTACGGACACCTGCAACCACGCCGCTCTAGCGGGTGCAGGTAGGAAACAAGCAGGAAAAAACATCGCCCACAGCCAGCGATCTGCTCTGAAACAGACGAAAGTCCGCAGCTCCAGAGCCGTGATGTGGCAACTACGAAAGGACAGGACTCTTTTTTTCTCAAATAATGTATGACACACTGACACCCAAAGTTGAAATTTCGGAATTTTTGAATTCATTTTGAATTGGATTTGAAGCAGTTTTAATGTCATTAAAACTGCTTTTGAATTGGATTTTGAATGAGTTAACCTTGCACGAGGACGAGCTTAAAAATCTCCTCGCAGTAACGATCAAAATATCATGCGTCAAGAATTTCGTGATGCGGCGGAAATCCTGAGACAGAGCTAATATCCGTAACTCACCTGCGTAGGGTTTGTGCTCCAATAGGTATTGCCGATCGGACCACAAATCTTACGCAGGTGACTTCCAGCAATTTGTTCCCAAGGATTTTCGCCACATCAAATACTAACTCCTGGGATGTCTGCGCACATCCGAGAAGTTCTCGGATGTGAGCTGACACGTGAGGAATTCCTGGATGTGAGTTCACGTCCGGGAGTTCCTCGGATGTGAAGTCCCATCCGAGAAGTTCTCGGATATGGGGTCCTGAGACCTAATTTCTGTAGGCTGCCTGCGTAAGATTTGTGCCCTGACCAGCAAAACCGATCTGAGCACCAATTTTATTCAGGTGACTCACAGAAATTCATTTCCAATAGCAGGGCACTTCAAAGCAATTCGCTTTCAACGAGCAAGAGCGTAAGGCCGACTCCTGCCAGCCCGGCAGGAGAAGCGCGGCAGCCCCGCCGAAGACGGCTGCCCATTCTCCCCCAAGCTCGCACGCTGGCTGCTTCCCAGCCACAGGGTTCATGGCCTTCGGCCATTCCAAGCGACTGCGAGAGTGTGCAAGCTAAACCCCCCTCGCGGTTTGCTTCCATTTTTTTCAAACCTAAGCTTTCGGGAACAAGGGTAGGAACTAACTTCTGTAAGCCTTAAGAGAACATTGAACGAGGACGAGCTTAAAAATCTGCTCGCGGAAAAATTGCTGATGAGAAACCCGAAGTATCTCAACAGCGGAAGCCAGAACTTTCGCACTTTGAAGCTGCGGACGCTGCTTGCGGCTCCCGCTGCTGAGACAACCAATGCTGTGAGAATTGACAAGGGCGCAATGCGCGAAAAGAGCGACATGCGCTTCCCCTTGTTCCACACATGGCGTGCTGTTTTTCCTTAAGCTTTGTACGTGGAAAACACAGAGAAAAGCCGCACACCGCGAACGCGACAGTCACTTCTTTCAGCGCGGTACTCCGACTTCTTGCCTTTGAGGGTCGCAGAACCTCTCCGCGAGGTTCGCGCTAGAACTTGAGCCTCACATGGAGCTCCCGCTGCGGAGAGAATCGACAGGAGCTCGCGACCAGAGAAGTGGCCAGAGACCTGTTTCCGGGAATTCTGGACAGAGATTCCTAATCCGCATTGCAAATTCGACAAGTCGCCTGCTTTAAGCAAGGTTCCTGCTCACCCGAGCGGATGGAGAAAAGCCGCACTAAAAACAGGCGAAGGAAGCGCGGCGGAGCGCGCTTGTCATGCCTGCAGGCCGCTGCTCTGCCGGCAGCGGCGCCGAGGGCTTTTTGCCTACCAGTGGCCCCGACCCGCGGAGGCCCGGCCGGGTGCGGACGCAAGCGCGGCCCGCCCCTCCCAACCCCACCTGGTGAGTGTGGTGCGGCTTTCCTCCGGGCGGTGTCCGGGAAAGCGGACAGCGCTTGTCATGGGGCAGCACCAAGAAAAGGAAGCCGGAGCTTTTGGTGGCGCCGACCTCGTGCACGAGAACCTTGCACGAGGACGAGCTTAAAAATCTCCTCGCAGTACAAGAACAAGTAGTGTTTCAAGAAGCACTCGAAAGAGTGTTCATGAATGCTCGCTCGAAAGCGGCGGTAGAGAAATTTTTACTGGAAAAAGCGAAAAATAATTATATAGGAAAGATGTGAAAAGCTTACGTGATGGACCAGCTAAAACGGGACAACTAACTTCGCTAGAGACTTCGTTACTTCGGTAAGTAGCAACCTAGAGCGGTAGGACCTTCTTACTTTCCAGAACTCTTTTTTGTTTTTTAAGGTTTTAAGAGGTAAAGAACGTCGCAGTTGCGGTTTACGATCCTCGCTCCTCGCTAACAGTCTCAGCTTACTCTTGTTTTGCTAAACTTCGAACTCTTCACTCTTTGGTGAAAGCAAACAGACGTAGGGTGTTCAAACTGACTTGAGAGGGCCTATAACATCGGCAAAAGCCAAAAGTCATAAGATCTCTACCACATATCCTTGGAAATTCCCGGAGTCCCGCTTGAAAAGGAAGCTCTGGATCTATTTTTCTACCGTTCCCTACGACTATAAAAAAGAGAAGCGTGACAGGCGAGCGATAGTGTCTGTGCGCGAAAAATCCGCAGAGTGTCCTCTTTAGCATGTGCCGCCGCATCGATCGCATCCTGTGGGGTTGAAAACTGTTCCGGGTTTATGGTCTTGGTCTTGTAGACAGTCTTGCCTTTGTAGTCCTTCCCTCTTGCCTTTGTAGGGACGAAAACCTTGCACGAGGACGAGCTTAAAAATCTCCTAGAAAGGCACTGCGCTGGCCAGCTTGTTCGCCAGATTTCGCATGGCCGCTTTGCTGTCCGGCTCAGCTCCGTGCTTTCCGCGGCCGGGCCGTCAGGGTGCACTGCGTTCCATCCTCGTGCTCTGCCATCGGTGGTATCACGCCCGTGCACGAGAAGTTGCAGACTTTCGCCACGTCGTCGCTCGTTTTGCAATTCCGGCACTCCACCGCCACCTGCCGCGACTGTCTCACAGTAATCTTCCACTCCCCCGCAGGGCATTTCGTCTTGATTGACTCCTTGCAACGCTGTAGACCGATCTTCTTCCCAGTGTCTTCTTCGACCTCTCTCCAACTTTGCGGAACTTCAAAGGTCAGCGTGAGGACCTCCTCATCTTCGGAATCGGCTCGCGCTTCCTGGTCCTCCTCGCCCCGCGAATAGTCATCAATCTGTGATGTGCTTTATTTGAAAATACCTGGCCGCTCCACCCGGTCCGCTCCACAGGTCATGTCCCGAAAACCGGCAACGCGGATGATGCCCATGTCTTTGGCCGAAGACGCAGGTCGAGAACGGGGAACAAGGCCCGGACTAATTTTCTTCTTTCGTTATCCTTACCTCCGAAATAAGGAGAAACGGAACCAACATCACAGGACATGAGACCTACGGAGTATCAAAGGAAAGACTTACCTGACGGCGGCAGTCGGTGATGCTTCGACAGCACCTGGCTCCTTCCTTCTTCTTGATTGCACTAACTTGATTCTACTAACCTGATCCTATCACTAACCTGATCCTATCCTAAACCTGATTCCATAAACGTGATCCCAGGTTGATAACGTGATTCCGCTTCCAACCGTTTTCAATAGCACGAGCTTAATTGCAAGAGGACGAGAACCTTGCACGAGGACGAGCTTAAAAATCTGCTCGCAATTACAATTGCAATCTATTCACTTCGGCGGGTGGTGGTTGGCGGTGGCCTCTTCGCATGTGGCTCACTAGACCGGGGCAGGGAACGACGCAACGCTATGCACCACGGGCACGCGACTACCAAATGCCAGTGTGGACGCCAAACCGGGCAGGAGCGCATGCCCATTAAGCTACCTATTTGTATCAGTTTCTTACGACTAGTGGACCAAGCTAACCTTCACCTTAACCCTCTGGGGCGATTATGTAACTCGGCGGGGCTGGGTGCAGCGCATACAAACTCCTGCTGCTTAAGCTACGTTTTTTTGCCCAAGTTCATAAGGAACTTTTTCCACAGCTTCTTTTCTTTAACTTTTCTGTTTTTCAGAACTGCGCGCTGTGAGGTTTCTTACAACTTAGCTTTTGGCGAAGAACAAAAACAGAGAGTCGATAAATCATTGCACCTCTCACCCTACTAGTAAACTAACCAAACTACCTCCCCCGGTCGCGCTACGTGCCGAGCATCTCTACTGCACCTGATCCGCACAGGTGTCGCTACTTTCATTTCATTACCTTACTGCACCGGGCGGTGTCCGGGAAAGCGGACAGCGCTTGTCATGGGGCAGCACCAAGAAAAGGAAGCCGGAGCTTTTGGTGGCGCCGACCTCGTGCACGAGAACCTTGCACGAGGACGAGCTTAAAAATCTCCTCGCAGTACAAGTACAAGTAGTGTTTCAAGAAGCACTCGAAAGAGTGTTCATGAATGCTCGCTCGAAAGCGGCGGTAGAGAAATTTTTACTGGAAAAAGCGAAAAATAATTATATAGGAAAGATGTGAAAAGCTTACGTGATGGACCAGCTAAAACGGGACAACTAACTTCGCTAGAGACTTCGTTACTTCGGTAAGTAGCAACCTAGAGCGGTAGGACCTTCTTACTTTCCAGAACTCTTTTTTGTTTTTTAAGGTTTTAAGAGGTAAAGAACGTCGCAGCTGCGGTTTACGATCCTCGCTCCTCGCTAACAGTCTCAGCTTACTCTTGTTTTGCTAAACTTCGAACTCTTCACTCTTTGGTGAAAGCAAACAGACGTAGGGTGTTCAAACTGACTTGAGAGGGCCTATAACATCGGCAAAAGCCAAAAGTCATAAGATCTCTACCACATATCCTTGGAAATTCCCGGAGTCCCGCTTGAAAAGGAAGCTCTGGATCTATTTTTCTACCGTTCCCTACGACTATAAAAAAGAGAAGCGTGACAGGCGAGCGCTAGTGTCTGTGCGCGAAAAATCCGCAGAATGTCCTCTTTAGCATGTGCCGCCGCATCGATCGCATCCTGTGGGGTTGAAAACTGTTCGATCGCGTCCTACAGGTTTCCGCATCCGGGCTCGATGGTTATCCCCTCCGCCTTCGGGCGGGCCATGCACGCGGCGCTATTAGTGATCGCGAGCGCCTTCAAGTGGAAGGGCGCCCGCTTCAGCTTCGCCTGGTTTTCGGCAGTGCAGCGGCAACAGCCGGAGCCGGAGACCCTACTTCTACTTCATTACCTAGCTACATTATCTATCTAGTTTAGTAGCTCCCTTGAGCTAGATAATGGATACGCACAATAGTTTTCAATAGAGGACGAGAACATTGAACGAGGACGAGCTTAAAAATCTGCTCGCAATTACAATTGCAATTTATTCACTTCGGCGGGTGGTGGTTGGCGGTGGCCTCTTCGCATGTGGCTCACTAGACCGGGGCAGGGAACGACGCAACGCTATGCACCACGGGCACGCGACTACCAAATGCCAGTGTGGACGCCAAACCGGGCAGGAGCGCATGCCCATTAAGCTACCTATTTGTATCAGTTTCTTACGACTAGTGGACCAAGCTAACCTTCACCTTAACCCTCTGGGGCGATTATGTAACTCGGCGGGGCTGGGTGCAGCGCATACAAACTCCTGCTGCTTAAGCTACGTTTTTTTGCCCAAGTTCATAAGGAACTTTTTCCACAGCTTCTTTTCTTTAACTTTTCTGTTTTTCAGAACTGCGCGCTGTGAGGTTTCTTACAACTTAGCTTTTGGCGAAGAACAAAAACAGAGAGTCGATAAATCATTGCACCTCTCACCCTACTAGTAAACTAACCAAACTACCTCCCCCGGTCGCGCTACGTGCCGAGCATCTCTACTGCACCTGATCCGCACAGGTGTCGCTACTTTCATTTCATTACCTTACTGCACCGGGCGGTGTCCGGGAAAGCGGACAGCGCTTGTCATGGGGCAGCACCAAGAAAAGGAAGCCGGAGCTTTTGGTGGCGCCGACCTCGTGCACGAGAACCTTGCACGAGGACGAGCTTAAAAATCTCCTCGCAATACCGTACTCGATGGTCCGCAGGGAGTGCGACACGCCCTCGATCGCGTCCACAATCGGGCACGCAAAGTCGTAGGTTGGGTAAGCCTTGTACTTCGTGCCGTGCCTAGGGAGAGTGAAAAGCAATAGAATTATGTCGTTGAAAATGAATACTTAAATCTCGGATAGTATAGTCGATTTAGTTGGCCAGAGCGGTGGCGATGTCTCATCGAAAAATGTAGATGTAGAAAGTGAAAGAAAATAATATGTGCTACGTATCTATAGATACAATCTTCGTTGTGCGGAGGCAGCAGCTCCTGTGACGCAAGGGCAAGAATCGAATTCGAAAGGATCGAAAAAAATAAAACCCAACTACAGTGTCACTTACCTGTGATGGGGCACGTCGGTTTTGCAGCGGTAGAAGACGGGGTCGCGGAGGCACTTGACTGGGTCCTTCATGTTCATTTTTCCGCGGACACAGCAGGTCAGGCCGGTCTTGGTCCCGGCGAGCATTTCCTTCCAAAGCTCTAAATTTTTCTCGACACTGAACTTCCGGCATGCGCTTTCCACGCCGTTGTCACGCTCGTCGCGCATCTTCTCGACGGGAGTGTCGTCTACGTACGCGTCACCGTTCTTCAGCAACTTCTCCATCAGTTCCTGCAGCTTGGGAAAGTAGTCCGAGGTGTGACTCACGAAGTCCGGAACAATGCCCAGGCTTTTGCTATCCTCCAATATCGTGTCCTCGAACTCTTGCTTTTCCTGGTGTTGAGAAAAATCAAGCATCGCATACTCCCTTTTTCTTTCATATTTTCTTCCCTTCTGAAGAGGAGATAAAAGTAAAACAAAGAGGAGAATGTATCAGAAAAGAAAACCAATGCATGGTTGGCCGCAGCGAAAAAATCAAACTCTGAAGCGGATTTTTTAGATCATTCCTGGCGGACCACAGCAAAGACAAAATCGGCGCTGTAGACTACTTACCTTGCTGGGGTTCGTGTCGTCGAATCGGATGATAAGCTTTCCCTCATACATGCGCGCATAAGCGTTGTTCAGCAGCGCGGCCTTAGCGTGGCCGATGTGCATGTAACCACTGGGCTCGGGGGGGAATCGCGTGCACACTTTGCCCATGACAGCGTTCGGCAACTTGCCTTCAATATTTGCTTCGTCCTTCCCCTTGGCACCGCCGCCGGTAGATGATGAGGCATTGTTTTTGTTGTTCATCTGCGCCGCGGACCCTGGCTTGTTGTTTCCGCCTTGCGGTTTATGTGCGGAGAAGGCGAAAGGCCGCTGCCTTTGGAGTGCGTGGATGTGGAGCGCCCAGCGGTAGGTGGAGGGCAATTTCTGCATATCTGGGATCTTGCCGTTCAACTTGGCCAAGCAATCCAGATCGGCAGGCGAAAAATCCGCTCTATGGATGTGTCAGGTTTGAAATCGACAAAGTTGAAATAACTTGTAATGCATAAAATCGATACCAGTTGGAAGCCCAATTTCGAAGCGGTGCATGACAAATTTCGGCACCGTGTAAATCCAGTTTGTCATGCTGTTCAGGGACAGAAGGCGTCTGAACCTTGCACGAGGACGAGCTTAAAAATCTGCTCGCCCATCTTCGGCAATCTTCGGCAACTCGACCATCTTCGGCACGTCGGTCCGCTTTCCGCCATTCATAAAATCGCCTAGCGTTCGTTCCAACACCGATGGGTCGTGGCCTGCTTTTCTCGGTGCGAGTACCTGTATTAGTGCTTTTGTATTCGAGAGGACGTCCGATTCCGAAATCGACCAGAGGCACACACATACACATCAAGTCAAGCTTGCGCCATACAGAACAAAGAGACTGAATCACCAGACTGCGCGCACGTGAAGTGAAGCGATGCATGGCAGCAATCGCAATACAAATTGAAAAGAAATTGAAGCTGCGATATACAACTAGAAGCGAAAAAAAATATAAATGCCCGCGCCTGGCTATCAATATGCAGCTGTAGCGCTGCATCTCGGTCTAGTAATATTTCTACCTGCGCCTGTGTCTAGTCGTATATCTATATGCATCATTTTTGAATCAAAAGACTCTAACTCATTTACCTGCTCTTGCGTTTTGTCATTCCCAACCATCATGTTCTCGGTCCCAACGTCAGGAAGAGGAGCACGCGTTTCGTTCGCGTCATCAATAGCAGTTTCTCCAGCAACAAGGCCACCACCCTTGCCGCCAGGGTTTTTAACTCGGCCACAACGCTTCGGAGGTTGCGGCTGGGCCGTATGCGCGTTCGCAGTCTTCTGCTGTGTTCAAGAAATGACTCGCAGGCTTGCTACGGACACCTGCAACCACGCCGCTCTAGCGGGTGCAGGTAGGAAACAAGCAGGAAAAAACATCGCCCACAGCCAGCGATCTGCTCTGAAACAGACGAAAGTCCGCAGCTCCAGAGCCGTGATGTGGCAACTACGAAAGGACAGGACTCTTTTTTTCTCAAATAATGTATGACACACTGACACCCAAAGTTGAAATTTCGGAATTTTTGAATTCATTTTGAATTGGATTTGAAGCAGTTTTAATGTCATTAAAACTGCTTTTGAATTGGATTTTGAATGAGTCTGAACCTTGAACGAGGACGAGCTTAAAAATCTCCTCGCAATACCGATCGCAATTATGGACGCACACTCGTTTATTCCGGTACCATCACGACTACGATAGCTATCGGGAAATATTCACGATAGCTAGCGGAAACGAGTCCGCTGCCGCTTTAGGTTGTGCCGTTTAGAGCCCGACGGGGCACCTCAAACAACGCCGCAAAAAGGGCTCTGTGCACGTGCAGGCGCCGGCGCGGTTCACGCCCGATCTCGGCCTCGGTACTTTCCTACCGCTGTTACCAGGTGCGATTTACACTGTGGCGCCCCGTTTGGAAATAAGGCTTTGCGCCCCCGGCAAAGAGGGCCGAAGAGAACATATAAACGACGGCCACCAGAGCAATTCACATGGCAAGACAAGCGCACACATATCTATGTCCGCATCAATCAATCAATCAATAGAGCATTTTGTCCGCATACAAAACACAAACGGAGCATGCAGCCGCGCTCCATAGCGCGGCCGGGCGCCTTGCCAATACCGACTCGCCGTGCGCGTGCGACAACAGGGCAGCTGGCTGCCGGCTTCGCGTCGGGCCACGACTCCCTAATAAGACTAGTACACTGACAAAGTTAGACGGCCGGCACTGCACCGGGCTAGGTCCCCTCCGCAGCGCAATGCGCATGCAATGCGCCGCTGCCGAGCTCCGGCGGCCCGGCCCAACACACACGCTGCGCGTCGATTCTTGGGGAGGGGGGCCTGGGTCAGGCCACAGTCGCTACCGCTAGACCCACGCCAAGGAACAAATAAAAGTGAAAGGACGAAAATTGGCCCGAGCAGTCCCCGCGCGCCCGAGGTTGCTGACCTTCCATTCGCCCCTGCCTAGCAAGAAACGCGTGGTGGTCTCGGTGGCCGTGAGTCCCACGGGGTCTGCGCCAACCATGACCCGAAGATAATATGAACTGGGCAGGCACGCACCCACGTTGTCGCACAGCGGCAGTGCGCGTCTCGCTCGCAGGGCCAAGAAAGGTGCGGCCCAACCCCCCGCGCAGAGCTATCGCCCACCTGGGAAAAACCTTGCTCTGGAACGGGGGCCGGCCAAGAAAAAAAAGGCTGCGCAGACGAGGGCCAACCAGGCCGGGGTTCCCGATTCTAGCGGCGAAACAGCTCGGGCGAAGGTGTTTCGACGTCGAAACACCTCCGCGCGACCTGTTTCGACGATAGAATCGGCCGGGAGAGCGCCTTGGCCCAACCTGTTTCGCCGATTAAGTCGGGACGCTGGGCCCGGGCTGCTGCGCGTTGACGGCGCCCGCACGACAGAAACAGAACAGGAAATGGGGGAAAGCTCCGCGGCAAAGGGCCACAACTGTTCATAACCTATTTCCGGCGGAAGTTGACGAGAAAAGCCGCCCGGCCAGTGCGTGCTGGCACTGGCAACCGTCGAACAAAGGGGCGAAACAAAGGAGCCGGGCGCCTGCCGAAAAGCAGAAACCAGGCCGCATTGGCTTTCCGGGAAGGCCGGAGAGCGCGCCGGGCCCGACAAGGTGGGGCGCCGACCCAATGCCATTGGTTCTCTTATGCGCCGGCGCGCATCCTTTTCCCGCTGGGAGCCAAGAAACAGAAAACACAGCGCGGCAGCTGGACGGCTGCCACGGACAGAGCACGCACCTCCTGCCCCCCGCCGGCAGAGGGGGGCCCGCGTGCGTTCGGCGCTAGTCCCGGCTGCGGTAAAATACTTACCACGCCCCAGACGAAAACCTTGCACGAGGACGAGGTTAAAAATCTCCTCGCAGTAACGATCGCAATATCATGCGGACGCAACAGCAAGTCGCTATGGATGTCGACGACCGAAAATGACCGCACCTAGTGTTTGATGCAAAGAACGACCGATGTCGATGACCAAAAAACAGAAGTGGCACGATCGCCCGGAAACACGATGCCGGCGTCCATGCTTCCCCTAGTCAGCATGTGGGTTCGTACCGCACGGCAATGCCACGAAGACGGTGAAGGCCTTTTATTTTCGATTACTCGCATCGTGAAAAGCTCAAGTTGTACTGTGTTGCTCGGGTTCTATAGCGACATGCAGCCTATACGCCTAAAGCTGCGAGTTCGCGAATCCATGCGGAACTTCTCCTTCTACTGTATCGCAATAAAGCTTTCGCAACGATAAGAAAGCTCATCAGAAAAGAATAAGCTTAATTTCGCTTCGTGTGGCCATCGAATTTTTGGGCGCAGCAGGAAACACCAGGGGGGGATACCTCCTGTCGACTCCTACCTTGCCGTCCAACTCCAATCATGCACTTTGCGTTTGCAAAATACACAATCTGTAGCAGCATTAATACACCATTGGCCGAATGGATTGCGAGTATTTCTTTTCTTTTTGCGAGTTCGAAAGTTTCAAGGTCGGGGCGACAGGGGACTACTTTAGTTCGAGACTTTTTTTTTCAAATACTTATGCTTTTAAAGAGATACAGATCTGAATCACGGGATCGACAAAAAAAAATTCTTTAATGAAACGAGGAAATCGAGATCGATTTGTATTTTTTTCTTTTCTGATTGGGCTTGGGGCGAAAACGATGTAAATAATAGCAAACTCTAGAGGACGAGACATCGTGTAGTTGCGTCCACCGCGAATGCGTGAGGAGGAACAGCAGCGGCAGGGATACTACCATAACTAATTTAATTTGAAAATAGCATGCTCTGGACACGCACTTTGAAGGAGACAACGTAAGTACTAGAAGCTGTTTGTGACTTCGATTCGATAAATTCATACAGGGTTATTGTATGTGTAAAAAGCAGATTAGAATATTGTGTTCAAAATGAAAAATTAAAATATGAATGTAAGTCGTAAAAACAAGGCGAAAACAACAATCGTAAAAAAAAATCTAAATTCTGCGTGCTACGTCTAGTGTGTCTCGAATAGTTTGCCGGTATTTATTTGGCAGAAAAGCAAAACGCTGCTTCTGTAATTCATAGCTTATTTGCTGTCGTGTTGTACTATCACCGTCTGTTCGTCCACTTTCTCCTCGACGAAGCTCTTCATCAACTCAATAAGATAGACCAGACATCGCTGAAAACATGGAACCAAATCTTTGACAATTGAAATGCCCCGCATCAGGCACAATCGTGTATGATCATGAATGATCTTCGATCCGGCAGGAAAATCGTACTGCACTTCTTCCCTCTCTTCTTCTTCACGTTTTAGCTGCTCATCTGCTATCAACTGTAAAAGTGTCTGGGTCTGGAAGAATGCAAGTTTGTCATGCTTGTCTGGCATGACTCGAGAATCTGTGTTGCATAGGCACGAAAAGGCCCTCTTACCTGTCATGCAAAAACGCGGTTTGCCATGCGGAACACGTAAGACATGGCAGTCAAAAAATTTGTCATGCATAGCTGCGTATTGCAGTGCGTCTATCATTCATTTTTACCATTACAAGTTTCCAGACCCAGACATTTTTGCATTTGATATCTGCGATGAGCTCACAACTGCTGCTCCTGCGACGTGACGGCCTCGTTTATCCAAACCAAAACCTTTTCCCTCGCACCATCAGTCAAAACAAAACATGCACAAAACATGCACGGCGACAGTCCAACAGCAACACGACGTCGAATACGATTTTGTTTTTGACCTTTCTATAAGTATAAATCGTGTGCGCAACATATAGCAGGCGCAGGTGTACTTCTAGCCAATCTGCCGCTGTTCCAACTCTAACGTTAAATTGAATCCCAGGAACGAAAATTGCCACTGGAAGAGTTCTTGACATGCCTCAATGTCCTGTCTCGTCGGCAATGAATCGGGCACGACGCGGATAAAAAGTCTACCTAGAAGACTTTTGGTGCAAAGGGAAAGTGCTCTACTTCATCTTGCTACCGTCGCCGGACTCCACTCCCCCCGCAGCCACGTTGTTCGCCTGCTGTTGGCCCGCAAGGGGTCCGCGCGGCTGCGCTGGACGAGCAGCGCCTTGCTGGCGGTTTCCCGTCGCGGCCGCCGGTCGGCGACGATCGCACAGCTGGTAAAGCACAAAGCAAACCGCGAGAACCAGAGTTCACTATCAGGGAGAAAAACTAGCACCGGTCCCACGTCTCACACCCGCCCATTACAGTTACACTTTTACATTTTAATACATCAGATGAAAGAATGGTATTATAATTTTGCTGTTTCCCATGCAAAATTTCTTGATCTTCTTCCCACCATGCCGCGGAGGTTTCTTCTGCTCCTGTAAGACACGAAAACCACTGAAGACAAATTCACCTTCACTCGGTGAAAAAACGAATAAAGGCGAGAAAATATGGATATGCACAAAAGTCAGCACTAGGTCCAGAAGCCCAGTAAGAACTCAAAAGGTAAAACACGTAGTGGGCAGAGATGAAAACATTGGAATTGCTAGTTGTATCTTCCCTGGATAGGCAGACGAGGCAGATGACACAGAAGTTCTGCAGGCAGTCGGTGCAGTGCTCCTGGCTGCGCACGGCGTTGAACTTCTCGGCCTCCTCCGGCGTGATGTGGCGGAACTTCATTTTGGTCAGGTCTACCAGGCGGCAGTTCCCGTCGGGCTTGCTCTCGATCGTGATCAAAAACGGCGTGTCCGTTTCCGCGTCCGCGACGACGCAATGCCGCTTCGAGGGGCTGTGGTCCGAGTCAAAGGGGTATGCCGTGGGAGAGACGTAGCTCTCATCAATAACGATCAGGCTTGTCCTGGCTTTGATTTCATTCGTTGTTACTTAGTATTTTATTGTTGTACAGTGCTTCTTCTTCTTTGAAAAATGAAAATGCCAAGGTTTCAGTTCATCTGTGGCCTGTATTTGCATTCATATTTTCGTGCATGCTTTGAATGATGTGGTCCATGACTGTTTGGTGCATCGTAGAAAACAATAGTAGGACGGTCTTCCTGAGCCTCATCGTTATTGTACTAAGGCTAGGTCTTTCTACTGGTCGATAAGTAGAGGTCGTGGAAGGTCGTTTTGAAGCGCGCGAGACAGGCGTCGGTAACTTCACCCTTGCACTTGTGCTGCGTCGCCTCGCTGTTCTTGAACAGTCGTATCGCCTACAAAAGTGACCCCTCGTGCTAATATTTTTTCAGCATAACCATAACTTTTTTTACTTTACTCATAGTTAGTACTATGATCCCGCTTCAAGAACTTGTTCCCATGGTGCGGAGCTGCAAGCGTGGTTCGCTGCTCACTGTGCTGGCTGAATCAATGTGGTATCTGTACCATCTGGATACAGCCACCAGCACTATACTTTTATTTTGCGAGGAGCAGATGTAGAACAGGAAGGAAACCCATACAAGATTGATTTCACCTCGTACAAGAAACAGAGCCTGAAGCGCTACAATCGTGGTTCTGTGGATCTTTTCGTGCCTACAACGCAGGACACGAAAAGTAGAACAGGATACAAATCAAATGGAGTGGGGGAAAATGAAATGAACCGACAATGACTCAACATAACCAGATCGATGACTTAACGCACTAAATTAAAATTGATACCCCGGGAGGACCATCACGACTTGCAAAAGCTGAAGCAGTTACGAGCGCCCACCACGTCCACCCCGAGACGCATCATATTGATATTTAACTTTGTAAACAAAATCCAACAAAGGTGTAAAAAAGTTCCGAGAAAGCTGATGCGCCAGAAGCTGATCGAAAAAATTCGGCAGGGGGTCACTTTTGTAGATGATAAATTCCCAAAGGTCCATGTTGTCCTGCTTGCTCAGCTCCAGGACGCCGTCCTTGATGTTCGCCTTCGCCGCGGTTTCGCCGATCGCTCCGGCAACAGGAATGTCTCCCTTCTGTTCGTGCTCCTTTTCCTTCTGTTTGACCGCGTCCTGTTTAATATTAAAGTGCTTACATCTACTTTTACGCCTCTTTCTTGGCTTTCACTTTCATCTACCACACTGTCGCAGTTTTTTTTTCGACGTCTACGAATCAATTTCGAGAATAGAGACCAACAGTATTAACAATTCAGCTGATCGCATAGCTTCAGCGAATCTTATCTGTGCACATTAAAGTGCAAATCTGTCGACATACAGCTGCAGGGATATATTCTTGAGCTTGTAATAGGGAAACCGATACAGACCCCAATAGAACAACTTCTACACGTTGAGAGCATATAATTCAACAACAATTACCCCCGGGCCTTTCATGTTGATGACATCCTTTCCGACCGTGCATTTTTCGTTGTCCCAGACACACGCGGTGGCTTCCGCGTCGGTTGCGGCTTCGCACTCCTATGCAAGGAAAACAAACACTTTTGTTCCGCAGCACCGCGTCCTGCACTTCATCTTCTAGTATGTAAATACTGTTTATGTCTACATATCAAAATCATGACTCGGGCTGCTCGTAGTTCCCCTATTTCAGGAACGTGATACGGTGTTGTGGAGCTGTAGTTCTGTTTTTTCCTCATAACGCCTCCATCGTCGTCAGCGGCTTGCAGAGTGTGTCGGCGGTCGTGTTCTGGCCCTGTTTTGTAGTGATGTTGGTGTTTCGAAATCGAAAAAATCGAATATAGGAGATGCCAAGGTCGTCCTCATCGCAGTGTGATGCAGAAGTAGCTAGACGCATGTAAGTATAGTAAGAAGAAGTAAAATGCGACATCATACACTGAAAAAAAATGGAGAAAGCAGTCGTACAGCGTTGTGATGTCCGTGCGCATGTTCGGTCTGGGTCTTCAATTTCTTGAACTTTTTCTCCCAATCAGCAGCCGCCGCCTCAGCGGCGGCCAACTCAGTTTGCGCGGTAATCACCTTGTCCTTTTCGGTTTGCAAATCGGCCGCGGTGGCTTCCAACGCTGCCGTGGCGGCTTCCAACCGGTCCGTGAGGTTTTGTTTGCCCTCCAGCAGGTGGTCGATTTGGCTCAGCGCGGCGGTCAAGTTCGTTTGCAGCTCGACGATGGCCTCAGCGTCGGGCATCGCCGCGATCTGCTGCTCCAGTGCGGCCTTGTCGGCCTGCAAGGCGGCCTTCTCTGTTTGCAGTGTACCCAGTTCGGTTTTCGCAACCGTCAATTCAAGTGCCATATTTTTCAGTTTTTCCTCCTCCAATTCCAACGCGTCCTGTAGCTCATCGACAGTGGGGGGAGAAGCAGGGGGTTCCGCGGTGGTAGGGGAACTGGTTTCGCCGTCCTTGACCTGCACCGCAGAGCTGGCAGTGCGCGGATCCAGCTTGTCAACAAGCCGCGCCGGCGCTTTTTGTTTTTCGGCCTTGGTGTTCGCGTATCGACTGAAAAAAATGTCTCAGGATCGATGCGTTGCAGCTTTCATCTTCATCTAGTAAAGTAAGAATCGATGTCGATCCAAATGTCAAGCTATTACTTTTGAGGTCGCGGCAGCGCAGCAGCGACTGCGGGAACTGCAGCAAGATGAAGACGAGGAAAATAGAATTCTACTCGTAGCTGACACTGGATTTATTCAAATATACGTGCACTAGTAAGTTATGCTTCCATCAGCAAGTAGAAGTCAGTGGAGTTTGATGAGATGAAATCTTCATGTCAATATTTTTCGTGTTGTGCGCGCTGCGTCCTCGTCTCGCACTAGCTAAACCTCAGCATGCATGTTCCGCTCCCATGATCCTGTGCTCTCTGCGGCACCAGAACTACAATTAGTATAAATTTTCCACGTACGGGGTCGCGCCCAATGCAAACGTGATCATGAGACATTCCAGTTTGATACGGCGTTCAAGACCAGCACGGACACTCCGTCCGCCAAATGCGCGGCCGCGACGGCCGCAAAAGTACTCCCGTATCATACAAAAAATTCTTAGCACAGAGACCGAAAAATTATCACTCGCAAAACCAAAACTGCAGGGCATGGGTGTAAATAAAGACGACAGGCTCGGGCAAAGAAAAACAAAAAGCACGTTAGTCTTAGTCTTACCGAACGCTAATGCAAGCAAGGTTCGGACACCCACACCTGCGGGGTCCAACATACGCGAAATGCAAACGTCGAAGAAGTTTCATGTTTCTGTGCTAGCGATTTTCTGAATGATATCCTGGTCAAGAAAGACATGACTTCCTCGGTCGGTTTTCGTTGACGAGAAAGAAGTTTTTGGGTTTTCGCTTCGCGCTTCCTCTTCTGTTCCGGGTCTTCGAATGTCGATGACGGTGCGAAATGATTTGGCGTTTTTCTTGCTGTTACTAGTGTGCGTGTAGATGTTGAGTTGTGTTTTGTGCGATGTGAACCAGCTGCTGGAAATTTCTTGATGCAGAGGCTTTTTGTGTGGAGGTTGAAAAAGTTAAGGTGAAGTACAATTTATTTCTCAAGATGTTGTTGTCCGTCAAGTTTGAACTGAGGGAGAGGAGCTTACTTCCGAGGGGAAACACGAAAGAAAGCGACTGGAAGTTCTAGGTGGGTTTTGAATTTGAAAGTGAAGACTTGTTAAGACGAGCTTCTGCCTACAGGGTATGTACGATGGAGTACAACACCGAATGCACAAACAAGTGTCAAATATGAAGAGATCACACGCACGCAGAACCGATGCTGGCCGTGGCTATTCATTGTGTGCACAGCCGCAAGTACCACGCTGGACGAAGAAGTTTCATCAAAGCCGAACGAAAAGGGAACTTTTTTCTGTACGGTAGCGACGCCAATCTTTGTGATTCAGTAGAGTTGTATGACAATCACGGCAAATTGTAGTTTGGAACGATACGAAAATTCTGGACGATAACGATAGAAAAGCAACCGAATTTGTTTGTCTACCGAGGTCGAAGTGGTTTTTCTCTTTTCACATTCTCATCGTGCTCGTGGTCGTGCGGTAACGCACATATACAAATCAAAAAGACACTTACGACGAGGACAGAGAGAAAAGAGCAATGTGGACCGACCAGAAGAAATAAAGTCTCGAAGATGACAACAGATGACCGAGCGATCGACCAACCATGCCAAAAGAAAACATCAAACCGAACGGTGGCTGAGTTGAGGTTGCGGATACGATGCTTTCACAAATGTACACACGTACCTCTACTTGTCTCAACGAAAACTGTAAGTTCTTATCCTTTCTCGTACATGAAACAAAGCGAACAGGAAGGCACGTGGTGCAATTATTTGCTGCTAGTGCAAAATCTACAGCGACGGGCACAAATTGCATGCGCGACAACTGTCCATGTCGCTAGCAGTAGCAGCTTATGTAGAATGTGTCTGTCGCTGTCGTAGCTGTTGCTACAAAATAGATAATGTTCCTTAATCCCGATTTGTGTATTTCGCCGGGTTTCCTTTCGGCTTCTCGCCCTCTTGGCCACCACCTCCCCCGCCTTGGCGGTTCTTCTTCGGCTCGATGCGGGCTTTGATTTTGGCAGCCTCCTCGTAATTCCCGGCCTTGTTGAACAATTTCATTTGCTCGACCAATTTTTCCTGATGCTTCATGTCCAGCAGCTGCTCGCGGGCGGTGTCGCGGAAGCGGTTCAGGGCCTTGTGATCCTTGTCGCGCTGTACATCCTCCTTTTGACGCTTTAATCTTTCCCGCTTGTCCTGCTCGTCGTTGGCCAGCATGCTCAGCTGTAATGATCGAAAATTCATTTTCATCCAACACGACGTAATATTTGCTTCTATTTATTTTTGCAGGTATGGAAACAAATGAAATTGGTATGGAACTCCAAAGACGAATGCACACCCACACTGAAGTCAAAAAGAAAAAACCGTATATAAAGCATCAAGTTTTTCACCTGTCCTGCGTTGTGCATGTTGGAGAACAGGTTTTTCTGTCTGGCGGCGTTTCGTTCCCAGGCCTGAAGGTCGTAGTATTTCACGGAGGGCATTGTGCAGGTGTTGTAGTCTTCCATGAACGCGGCCTCCAGTTCTTTCTGTTCGCGTTTGTTGGTGTGCTCGAGGGAACTGTGTCGCACCTCAAGGAGCCACACCTGAAACTCGTCCTGCTTCGTAAAAAAGTTGTCTTCCGTCAGAATGCCGTACTTGCCGTACTGATCTCCTGCCGCCGGGGCGGCCGCGGCGCTGCTCTGTTTGCTCTTTTTCTTTTGTTTTTTCTTCTTTTTGTCTTTTTTCTTCTTGTCACTCTCCTTCCGCGTTTTTTTCTTTTTCTTTTTCGATTTTTTCTTATCCTTCTTTTTTGCCTTTTTATCCGGCTTCTTGGCTTCGTCCACTTCTTGTTCGGACTGCTTTTTTTTCTTCTTCTTTGTGGACGAGTTTGCGCCGCTGTCGCTGTCCTCGTCTTGGTCGGATGAACTTTCCGAGGAACTTGCGCTGCTCGATGAACTGGAAGAACTGGAGGAAGAGGCTGAGGACGAGGAACTACTCGACCGCTTCCTTTTTTTCGTCGGCCGCTCCGCCCTCACCTTTTTTTCTCCACTAATCACAAGGCCGTCCATGTTGCTGAGCTCCGTCAACGTGTAATTATGGTAATATTGACCACGTAGACGTATTGATACAAAACCAAATTATAACGAAGTTCACAGGGACAAATCAGCTGTACTATCCAATCGACAGACACGCACACGACACACTGCTACTGCAGCGGTCACAACAATAAATTCATTGATAATCTGTCTGAGTCTGCGTTGCGGGATGTGACATGTCATGACTACTTATCTAGCTTGCAATGGCGATGATCGGTTTAGAGGTTTTGCTTTTGCTTTTCGGTGCCTTGCTCCGGCATAAAAATGAATGTACGATCCGTTGCAAAATTCGGTCTCGGCGGCAAGATCGATTGATCAAGAAACAAGTGTTGCGTTTCAAAAAATTTCCATATCGCAGCGTGTCTGCATGTTTCTGCATAGGAACCAGGATCGGTGAACATAGCCGCAAAAGGACGAACGCGCTTTCCACTTTTGTAAAAGTGGGGCGTACCATCTTAGATAATTTTTGTCTTGCTTTTCATACTCACGAGGCTTTGTTTTGATTGGAAATGCAACTCAGAACAGCTACTTCGTGTTCCATGGATTGAGCACAATTTTATTTGACGCCCTGGTAATCCAACTTCTTTTGTTGACTATGACTACTACAAAGACAATCACAAAACGGAAGATGGGAAGATGGAAGGGCACATCATACACCAAAATGTTTCTCGTACTTGATTCGCAAATACGACTAGGCGTGGGTATGTACCCAGCAAGCTTTCTGTGACCCAGCCTGGGTGCCGCGGAACACCTTCAAGCTCAAACTCCAACTTCAAGGCGGTCCACGACCTTGAAACACTTACCGCGAAACCGAAATGCCAGCAGTAGAATTTAAATTCATCTACGTAGTTGCTCTTTCACCGAGCCACATGGGGCACTCAAAAGGGCCTAAAGGCAAAAACAAAAAGGAAAAATGAAAATCTTCTTCATCCACATTCTACTTTGACTGTACAAGCAAGCGTAAAAGATTCGTATTGAGCACTTAATTGGGAATGCCTCCTCGAGCTTTAGAATGCAAGTGGTGGGGGCAACGGAGGCGAGCACTGCATGCACTGCGCTGGACGATAGAGCGCACGAGCACATGCGTGCACGACCGCATTGCCATTTAGAATTTTACAATAGATTGCGACAGTGACTGATGTTGGTTTTGCCCTAGTGGCCGCTCTGCAATGATGCTGCCCTTATCCATATCTTTATTTTATCTTTATCTCCTTGACGAGGGGCTGACGACGCTCTTTGTCTTTCTACCGCTTGGGGCCGGATGAAATGAAAAAGAAAAATGATTTAAATTTTACAAGTGGGCGGCAGGTTTTGTCCCCGCGAGCGACAAAAATCAATCTAAAACTACATCAATCATGTGTATATCTTGGAAGATCTTTCCCATCATTGACACGCGCATTCAATGTCTTGTGATTCCGAATAAGTACCAATGTCGAATCGAAGCAACGGGACTAACTCAGCACTATTATTTGAATATAGACGAATCATCTTCGAGCGCTGTCGCGTTCTTAGTCGCTTTATTTTTTATGCTTGCAAATCTCTATCACTATCGTACACCGGAAGCCGAAGCTGTGTCATCAACATCTGCACATCAGTTATCATAGTATCATGTTGGCTCGAATTGCGTTTAGCGCTGGCAGCTTGTGCGTCTAACGTAGTGATGCAGTTCATCGAACCTGCGTACTAACTAGCCCACGGAAGGAAGCCTGGATTTCGGCATCCTGCCGGGTTCTTGCCGTCAGAGCATCCATCGTGCTTCCATTAGTCGAGAATCCGGACGGAAAACCGATACGCGCGGCACGGTTCCAAGTTGTTATTCAACTCGCGGGCGGTGTGCAGTGCTCAAAATCACGTGAAGCTTCTTGCGGCGGACGCGGAATGTGAGTCGGTCTTCTTCGTGCAGTGCTAACTGCTGAGTGTCAATTTCACCCGCCTCGCAGCAAGAGCGCACAGACTTTTGCGACTCAAACCATGTTTTTCTTCTGTTCGGCCGTCGTGAGAAGTTGCTCGAGTCGTTGGCGTCGACCAGAGAGAACAAGCCCAAAAGTTTCTTTCCGCTCGAGCGCTTCCGTTTTCAACAAATCAAGTACTTCTACGTGCGGTGCGTATTACGGGCATGGCTCTGAGGATTCTGCGACCTGATCTGGTTCTCCTGGCGTGAGGCTGGTACCGTTTCCGTTTCCCGCTGCCGTGCTGGGGAATAGTGGCTGGTGCATCCCGCGGCCGAGTTTTTTCCGAAACGGATCGAACTCCCGCAGGCAGAGCTCGTCGTGGGGGTTCGGCTGCCCAGAAAAGATGCGGGTGATCAGCTTGGCCACACCAGGCCCCAGCATAAAGCCTTGGCCGCCCAGCCCCACTGCGTGGAACAGGCCGGCGTAGTGGCGGTCGAATCCGACCAGGGGGTTGCCGTCGGTGGTGTTCGCGTACAGCCCGCGCCAGATGCGTCGAACCTCCACGTGCTCGCGCGCGTGGGGCAGCACAGCAAGGAGCCGTTTAGCCAGCAGCGGGAGAAAATGACTGGTCTCCTGTGTGTCAAAACCGGGAACTTCTGGGTAGGGCGCATTCGATATCGAGTACCAAAATCTTTCTTCCATCAACATGTAGTGAAAGCAGTGAACAAAAACATGCATACTGAGGAAAAAAATTGACAAGATGCTCCTGTACGTGCACGCGCATTCATCAGAATAAAAAGGAAGCGTGATCAGCTCACATTTGTTCCTTCTGGAAAGTATGGCAATCAACCTCGTGAAGATTCGATCATTCTGAAATGAAGAAATTGCGATAAAATTACGATTATGCAAGCTGCGCGGCGCGAACTGTGGCTTCAGGACACGACGAGTACTAGATTTTGGTTCAACTTGGATATTGGAGAGCAGAAGCTGTCCCCGGTCGTTTTGGTAGAAGTAAAAACTGGAAGATCCCGCGAAGTTGCGAATATCCACCACCAGGGGCTGGATCTTGGGAAACCCGGGGTTTCCGAGACAGGGCTTGGTGACGGCCGCGTCGTGGGAATCGACCTTCAGTGCGAGCGTGTGCCCCAAAGTCGAGACCACCTCGTTCGTCGTGGCCCCCAGGCAGTTGACCACGCACGTGGTGGCGCGGAATTTCCGCAATCTGCCCGTTCGCGTGTCCAATGCGGTTACGCCGACTACGCGGTTCTGGATCATGTTCGTTGAAGATGATGGGAAGTCGCTACCTGGAGGTGCTGGGACCGTAGTGGTCACCCCGGAAGCTTTTTCTACTGCTGCTCCACCACCAGCACCCGTGGACGATAGCATGAAGCCCGCGACCTTGTGACAGAACTCGAAGCGAACGCCGCGCTGCTTTGCCAGGCGGAGCATGGACAGACTGGTGAGGTAGGGTGTCGCCTGGCCGTCCCGCGGAGAGAAGATACCGCCCCGGAGATTCTGCTTCTCAATGCCCGGCACCAGCTTCTCGACCTCCGCCGGCGGAATCCAGTCAATTTCCAGCCCGAATTTCCACTGTGTCGGAAGCAGATTTTTCAGCTTCCGCTCGTCTTCCTCGGTGTAGAGTGGGAACAGATAGCCACCGTCCCGCCAGTCGATGTTATCCCCCGTGTCACGCTGCCAGTTCCGTAAAATTTCCACACCTGTGTGAATAGTGGATATCACATTTACAACTCGAAGACTTCGAGATTTATTGCTAGCACGACCTTCGCCTGTCACAGCATCAACTATGAAGAAAACATCGAGGTTTATTAAACTACTGTCGAGGCCAACGACGATTTTTGCTCCGTTTCCAAATGTTGCTCGCACGCCTCCGAGCGCCCGCTTGTTGTCCCCTTGGCCGCTGGATGGGTTTCCATCGAGTACCAACACTTTCGCGAAGTGGTCTTTGAGGAACAGCGCCGTTGGCGTGCCGACGGCCCCCGCCCCCAGGACGATGATGTCGAAAGTTTCACAGTCCTCTTCAAACGAAAGCTTGGGGGCACCACTGCGGATGGTGGCCGTTGGAGGTTCCGCTTTTGCGAGGGCCGCGATGGACAGCTCCAAGTTCAGTGGACGCTGGTGCCGCCGGTTGAGCAGTGTCGCACTGGACACTGCAGGTGACGCGCCGGAGGTTTTATCATTGGCTGCAACTCCGTCGGCCTGCTGCACGGTCACGGCCTCGGCGTGCTTTGTTGTTTTCGTGCGGACCTCTGCTACTGCCTCTCCACTTGCACTTGGACTTGCGCCTCCAGGCGGCAGTGGAATTTTTCCGTCTTGGATCAGGTTCAGCACTGCGGCGGAGCACTGGTAGCCGCCACAGTAGCCCATTCCCTGGCGCGTGAGCTGCTTTACCGCGTTCATGTCCCCGTTGGACTCCAGCACCGCCTTCTTGATCTCCCCCAAACGCACCTTCTCACATCGACAAACGATGGCAGTATCCTCAATATCAGCAAAGTCATGAAGATCCCCACCAGCGCGGAGACTACTTGCCTCTGTGGTCCTGTTCTGGTGTTCCTTTCTCGGTTTACCTGCGCAGGCGCTTCCCTTGGTTCCGGTTTCATCTCGGCATGCACACGATGATATTGTTCCGGCAGGTCGTTGGGCACTTGCTGATCCCTCGGCGGGGGACTGGAGGTGGTCATCTTTCGAAGCTTCACTGGTCATGGCCGTCGCGACTGACGCAGCTTTTGCTTTGCAACAGGCCGACGAGTCGTTTGCTTCATTTGGAATCAAGGCAGATCGCACTGGTGTGTCGAGATCGTCGGGCCCTCGAGACCCATTGTGGACGCCAAGTATGATCTGCTGGGCCACTTTCTTGGCACAGGCTTCACTCCTGGCAACGTCGCCCCCGCAGGAGGGAACGTGGAAGACCGGAACTTGCAGAAACTCCTGCGCTTTTTCAAGCAGTTCCGTCGCCGGAATTTTCGCGATTGCGACCACCACCATGTTGGTCGCCAGGGTGACCTGTAATTATCGCGGTGAATGTTTCATAGAGTGTGGTTCTATTTACGAGTTGTACTTTTCTCGAGAACAACGATACAAATTTCATTTTCTTCTGTCAACGATCTTCTGAGCAATCTTGAGAAAGAAACGGCGCTGCCACTGCCGCTGCATACTGAAGGCCATCAATGTATATTTCAGTCCAGCAGGTGCGCACCGGACAGGACCAGGAGGCGCACTGCGCGAGATAAAACAAAATCAGACGAGTACGAGAGCAGTTGTGCGTGATATGAAAAACGTAGGAGAAGTTCTAGATACCATGCGACTGTCGGAGCTCTCTGGTTGTGTGTGGTCCCGGATGGTGAGCGACTGGACCGCGCCAGTCCCACCTGCGCTCGCAGCCAAGATGTCGCAATAGGAAAAAACCGGAAATTTCTTTTCCTCCATACTACAAAATCGGTACAAATCCGACGCCGTGCGCTGGTGCTGACGCTCCGGGTTGGCCAACCCGACAACGTCCGCGCCTCGCGAGGCCAGAGTCTCGGCGATGCGAAAGGCCTCGCTTGTCCCGCCAACCACCACCACTTTCTTGCCGGTCAACCGTTTGACGCGCGCTGCCTGGTCCCAGAAGACTACTCCGGGAAGGTCCTGTGAAAAATATCAAGTACAATACTTTTACGTGACGTGAGTGTGTCGGGCTCGAGGGTTCACGACTTTCGTCGTAGCATACCTCGATGTTAACGGGAGCAAGAGGGGTATTGATGAGGCTTCCTGACGCAATGAACATGACGACTGTAATCTACAACGGCTCGGATGATGAAAGAACAATGAGTCATTTGTTTCTGAAGCAACTTTTCTTCTTTTTCTTCGGTCGTTCAGAAACAGGATCGGTTTCGGTCGAGTTCACTAAAAAACCAAATCAAAAATGGCCACACTGTTGTACATTGCCGGGGAAAACCGCATAACCCGGACGGCCGCCACACGCGAACACCACTGCTTTTTCCGGCTTGCACAAACGGTATCGATCCGCGTCGGCGTAGTGCACTCCTAAGTACCCGTCACTGAACACTCCGACCACCTGGGCCTGGAGATGTATCCTGAGGAAAAACGTACCCACACCAGAGTCAGGATGGGGATTTTGCAACACAAACCTAGGAGCTTTGTGAGTCACGCATGACAAGTTGCACTCTGCAGTGTAGTGCAGGTTAGCAAGTGCAGCCGCATCACAGATTCATCTGCTCATCCTGTTCACAGCATCACAAATTCCTAAACACGATTGGAAATGGCTCTCATGGGGATGCGCATTACACGTCTTCCTGTCTTTGGCTTTGCAAATCTGCATTACAACTCTGGCGTGGGGACGTTTTTACTCAGGATAAGATGTGAACACGGTTCAGCCTTCCTGAGCGTCGACTCCTCTAGACACGATTGGGGCGCCACTGCTTGTTCTCGATAGACATCAGCGCCGCTAGACGCTGCAGGTCCGGCTGGTTGTTTGCTTTCAGACGCCAAGAAGAAATTGTCGGATCCACCCAGGCGCTCGCCTTTCTCAAAAAGTCGTATCCTTGACGGTCGTCCCGTATTCGGTAGTTCATGCAGTGCGTTTGCAACTGCAACGCCCCCGGCTCCCCCTCCGACAATGAGAACATCGCAAATGTCTGGAGTGCCGGAGATACCTCCTTCAGAACGGTTGAGGAGTGTCGTGTCACCGCCTTGCGAAGATTGCCCCGGTCCTCCTGAAGCAGGTGCCTCACAGTGTGACGAACCGATGACAGAGTGAGCGATCCTGTTCAAGCGCCGGCACGGGGCCCCAACCGCATCTTGCGCTTGCCCACGCATCACTGGGCTTGCTGGGGTACGTTGTTGACGCATTTTCGTCAAATGTGAAGACCTTTGTTGATCTACGCTGTTGCCTGTTCACACCACACGATAATATTGCTGCGCCGCAAATACTAGCACCAGGAGCGCCTCCTGCAGCTGGTCCGGCTTTGCTCGCAATTTCCCACGACTAAGTATAAGCAAGCAATACGTGACCGATCCGAATTTGCTGCAACGAGCGGCATCATAATACCACGTCGTTTCTCATCACGAAAAAAAAAGCAAATAAATCATCCGACTTAAGATAGCAATAGTCACACAGCCTCGGAAACTTAACGGATCACCAGGGTTAAACTTCAAAACTCAACTTTCTGGAACGACAGAGATCACTCATCCGATTGGGAGTACTCAGGGACAACGACATGAGGAAAACGAAAATGTCAACTAGTATTTGATGTAGACATAGTAGTGCGAGATGTAATTCATAGGCGGCTATCAGGGGTGGGGATGATATGGTCAATAGGGTTATGGTCCTGCTCAATTGTTCGGCATGACCATGCTTCAATGTCAATTAAGGTTGTCGTGCCAAAGCGAGACTCACACTTTTATGGACGAGTTTTCGAGCTATCGAAATCTGACTCTTGTGGAAAAAGTTTTCCGAACACAACAGGCCTTTCCGCGCTCGTACAACTGCATGGAACACGATTGCGTAGCAGGGTAATTCCACTTACAGGATAGATTTTTCACATTACTACATTGGAAACGAAGTCTACTAACGGGAAGTAGCAAGTGCAACACAACTCCATTACGTCGATGTCACCTAGCTCCTTGACGTTTCAATTTCTAGTGCGGCACGCACCTCTGAGTGACCGTAAGGCAACATTAAGGCTCATCAAAAACCAAAAACGTCGAATCGCTGCGGTATCAAACCTCTACCTCAGGCCTAGCCCCTTGTCCCCAAATAGGCTACAAAATCTTGCATTTCCATTTGCGTTGGACTACTACAATTTCTGCAATGCCCAAGCACAAGTAGAAGTAGCTGTAGCTCGACCACCTCGAGTATAGTTTATCGTATCGAAGGACAGTAGACGAGATCCGTGCCTTTGCACTACACTGACTACCACTTCTTAGGGTTAGGCTCCACCGGTTCTCATCTGTTGCTCCGAGCGTCTACCAGGGTCGTGACCTTGCCCCTCTGTAGAAGTTCCGGTCGCGGTCGTCTCGCCGGGAAGATCCTCGGCTGGGGCAGCAGGCATGCCCACCACGTGTCGATCGAGCCCGCCCACCGCCGCGAGAAGAAGGAGGACTTGTGCCAAGTCCGCCCCCGTGTGAACTAGCAGCGCGTGCGACTCGAACAGTTCCGCGGTGATCTCCCCCGTCGCATTGTCAAAGATCTGGTAACGGTCTCGAGGACGTCTCATCCGTATCGAAGTAGTTGTCGTGTTTCCTCCGGGGGCGGTTGTTCTTTTCTTGATGTTACGAGGACTATTTTGCATTTGCTCTGCGTGCTGTTGCACAGCACCTCTGGCAGCTGCCTCGAGTTCCTGCGGAACGACCTCTCCTGCACCGATCAAAGCACTTATTGATGTGTTCGACGTCGGATTTTTTGATATTATACTAGGGCCGCTTTTTCGGAGGTTCGGCCCAGCTTGCGGCGGTGCTCCGTTTTTGGCCGTGCCCGTATTTGAGGTGATGTCTCGATTGGTCTGTAGCTTCTGCTCTGTTTCCAGTGCCGGAACAACATCTTGTTGCTGATGTCCTTCCTCCACTTGTAGTACTTCCTCTGCCGCACCTTCACCTTCGGGTTGAAGGGCGCTTCTGCTTCTCTTTTTGGTGAGTTTTTTTCTGTCTTTGTTGTGACTTTTGTTGATCGCATTTTTATACTCCTTCGGCATAATTGCGGAAGCAGTTCCGTGGTCCGCGCCCTCAGCTTGGTCTGATCTTCCTTCTGCTCCACCGGTTTTTAATGCTTCATCAACTTTTGACAAATCCTTCGCAACCTGCTTCCCCTGCGGAGGACTGGCACCCGCTCCTGGCGTGGTGCTGGTGGTCGCTTGCGGAGCCGGCACGGTAACGTGGGTTGCTGAAATTTGGCTAGTATTGGTGCTGGGAGAAGAAACAGACACAGACGGGGATCCGACGACGCGACTGGAAGGCGTTGGCGTTGTCGTCGCTGCGTGGCTGGGCAGACCTCCTGCGGAAGGTGAAGACAGATGACTGGGAATTATGGAGTGAGCCTGACTGGGTGCAGCTGCCACTACTCCACTTGGCGCAGCTGCTGCGACAGAAGGAGTATTCGTAGTGATACTGCTAGCGGCTGATTTGGTGCTCGGAACCGCTGTTGAGGATGCGCCCCCGCCCTTGATGATTGCACTACTAGTACTAGTGCCTGACTTACTTTCCGCGGATGTTGTCGCCCCCGAAGCTGCGGAGGGTGCAGTTGCTGTGTCCTTGCTGGCAGATCTAGATTTAGGTGATTTCTTGGCCCTGCGTCCGATGCTTTTCATCTTCATTATCTGCTTCGAAAGCAACGCAACTTTTCCAGACGTGCTATGCGCTTTGGGAGTATGTTGGACAACTACGTTGACGCCCGCCGTCGGGGGCATCGAGACCCCGGGGGAAGATACGTCGCCGGTTGCTGTCGTAGAAGACGCAGCTGGCGCAGCAGCAACAGGGGCCGCTCCCGTCTCCCCGGTCCCACCTGCCGCGGTCGTGCTTGATTCTTCCAGCAAGGGCTGTGCAGCATCTGCCCTGGTTTTGGCCGTCGACGAAATGGAGCGAGCTGAAGCTCCTGCCGTAGTTCTTGCGGCGTTGTCCTTATTTTGCGCGACGAGGACCTCTGAAGTTGTCTTGGTGTCGCTGTTGGCGTCGGTTTTTACTTTTTCTACTTTGGAAAGCAGTCGCACCGGGCCCAATTCCAAAATGGTGTTCAACGCGCTCAAAAGTGATTCTGCCTCTCGTATGTCCCTCAGGGCTGGATTTCGCTCTCGCAGCATGTCCGAAGTCATAAACGCCGCGGGGAATTCCAGGCTTTGGCTCCGTGGCGAGATCTGCATTTCCCCGGTCGTGGTTCCGGGGAAGGTTGTGGCTGGTGTGGCGGTAAATGTCGAAGTACTTCGTTGGTCGCTCAGGCTCGGACGGTATATGATCCAGCGAGCGGTTGGTGCAGAAGATGCATCAACCGTTTTCCTCGAGGAATCATAACCGTGCTCTGCCAGGGGGGCCTCTCCTGCTGTATTAACGGGCTGTTCTGTGGTAGTGCTCCCGGCGGCACTACTAGAGTTGTCTGCACCAGCTGCTGTGCTGTCTCCTGCATCTGCGGTAGCGGCTGGGGCACCGTAAGTATCATGAGAAAAAAGTGTTACAGTTACACACTCGTTGGAGTTTTTGCATCACAAATTTTCTCTGTGTGGCAGAGAAAACTTGTAATGCGAAGATCATAAGGGAAAACAGGAAGGAAACGAGGCTCCCAAGCATTTCCTGCATGAGACAGGTTGTCTGTGTTGCCGATCTTGCAACACAATGGGTAACTGTAACACTTTTTTCTTGTGATAGTAAGCGGACCGCGTGCCCGGGAACCACTCGAAGCGGTCTGGATTGTCGGCACTTTGCACCAATTCGCCGAATATCAACTGCAAAAGTGTCTGGGTGTGGAAGAGTCATGCTGCTCTTGCATGACACAGAAGGTCTGGCATGGAAGCTCTAGCATCACAGATTTCGAGAAGCTTCCGCAATGCCGAAACCGCATGACAAATGCCCCATTTTGGTGGCAGAAAGTGGGCAGCTTTTGCTGCCTATGCATGAGAGATTTTTGTATGTTGTGAAATGCGCATCACAGATTTGCATTCTTCCAGACCCAGACATATTTGCAATGCATACCGAAAGGAAATAAAAACTTCGTCTTGTACTGCTCGCCGGGCCGAGCAAGCTGGTGAAAAATATTGGCGTACAGTGTAAAAACTTCCCAGACACGTGCCTCGGAAAAATTTGACCCCACTCCATCGTGGGCCCCCATCGGGGGGCGCTCGCGAACGACTGCAATCGGGATGGTGTAGCCCAGAAAGAGTACGACAGTGGGAACGCCTTGGTCCATGACCTCTTCTGGGGCAGGAAGCTCGTACTGAAGTTGGAAGCTGTATCATACGGAAATGCGCAGCGCAGCGTCCGGGTTCGTCGTGTCACAAATGGCAAATCAGTGCGTCTGTGACTGTGTAGGTGTACTGTTCTTACTGAGTGAGAGTGATGCAGAAAATGAAAAATTAAAATAAATGTAAGTCTATCATCATCGCCCACGTCTAAGGAGAAGAAGATCTTTCTCCTGCGCTATGCAAGTTGGGATGAAATCAAGCATCGCTCATCCAGACCTTGACGCAAAACTCTTCATGCTGATGATTCTTGTCCATTGCGACCTGTCCAGTAAAACTTTGTCAGCGTTTTCCTGTATGATAAGCTGTTTGTTGAAACCATGTAGTCCACTGCGTCACCCGTGTCGGTTCCACTTGTCAAAGCTAAGTGACTCTGCCGGGCATAGTCTCTGTCGGAGACGTCGAGAAAGACAAAGCGGTCTTTGTACTTCCGATTGAGTTGCACCTCCAGGACTTGCGGCCGGGTCATCAGGAAGGACTCCGGTTCCTCGACTTCCTCGTCGGAGTCGGACTGGCCCACGAGTGCGTGCTGAAAGTCACTCGGCTGGAGGAGCGGCGCAATGGGCAGCACCGGCAGCTTCAGCTGTTTCAGGTGTTCCCGCCGCGCTTTCTTGGCCTGCTTCTCCTGCAGCCGCTGCCGTTTCTCTTCTCTTTTACGGGATTCCTTGACGTACCACACGATAGCCCCCGCAATGCCGCCGCCGACCAGGATAACCGTCAAGCTGATCCACAGCGCACAGAGACAATTACCTTCCCCGCCTCCAGGCGGACTGGTGGCGGTCCCCCCGCCGAGGAGGGGGCCATTTTTTATTTTATCGTCTGGCCCGGGTGTCGTTACCGACCCCGACGTGCCAATCAGGTTGTGATTTTCGCCACCTAATCGAGAAGGGTAATGAGCTTCTTTTGCAGAGTCTCTGCTACCGCCTCCTAGCAGCTCAGGGTGGTCCTCAAACACAACCTCATGCTCTGGTGCTGGTGCAAAGGCGGGCTGGAGGTCCTGGGGGGGTTCGGATTGCTCTGGCGCTGGTGCTCCTTCGGAAGGCTGCAGCTCCTGGGGGGATTCGGATTGCAGCTCTGGCGCTGGCGCTTCGGAAGGCGGGAGGTTCTGGGGGGATTCGGACTTCAACTTCTTTGTCTTTCGCATAGATAATAAGCTTTGCCCGCTTTTTGGTTTTAGCCGGTGTTCCTGTTCCACCAGGGAAAATTCGCCTTTACTTCTGTCCGCAGCAACCAGCGTGCTTGTTGTAGACACTCGGTTTAATATTTTGGCTTGCGGTCGTGTCAGCAGTGCGGTTCCTCGCGGGCCGTCATCTTGCTGTTGCTCTTGCTCTGTCCCATTTTCTTTTTGTCCTTGGAAATTATTTTTAGCCCAGTTGCTAGTAATAGTAGTAAGCGTCGTGGTTGTCGCCTTGCGCTGCACGTCAGGATCAGGAAGCGAACCTACAACGTATGGGTCGTCTGCCGTTGCGGCTTGAAGGAGTGAAAACTGTGGTCTCCATTCCTCTTCCTGTGACTCTGCGGTTGGTGCTTTATTTCCTGCTGTCCCTGTAGCATCATCTTTATGATGCTGACGAGTACGTGTTCGTTGTTCGTCCGGGCGTAGAAGGGAAGCTCCTACTTCTGCACGATTCCGAGAGCGCGTTCCTCGAGCTTCCAGTGTCTCTTCCCCTGCCTGCTTCCTAGCAACATCTACTTCTTCGTGTAGCAGCAGGGCAGAGGACTTCGACTTCTGTGTCAATGAAACAGAAACATGATCTTCAAGTGCCTCCGCCTTCTCGCTACTGGATCCATATCGCTTCACCAGAATCGACGTTTTCCGAATTTTGTTCCGAGCGTGCAACTGGAGCCCTCCAGCACCTGTCGTGCGGCGTTCCACGAGACGTGTCATCGTTCTCTTCTTGCGCTTGACGAGCATCAAGAATCTTCTTCCGTGGTTGCGCTACTCCACGTCAACATCCGTCTATTCTGTTGTTCCATCTTTGCGGCCTTTTACCGGATTCGGGTTCTTTTTCCGGTCCTGACAGTTGTAAGAACTGTTCATGAGCAAGGTTCTTGGCGACATGCGATTTAGAAACGACCACGATGAAGATAGAACTTCGCATGCTCATTTTGCTTCTGGCAAGCGCGTGCGCGTTCCATTCTGGTTTGTAAAGCTCAAGTAGTTACAGAACGGGGGAGGGACCAGACGCCAAAGGCCACCTAAACATAAGGATCGTATTGAGGGGAATATTTCGTTTAGCATCGACGATTGACGATTTTCAATGTCTTTGACTCTGGCTTGCAATATGGAAATGCATCATCTTCTGTTCTTGTCGTATTCCCAAGACATTAAAAAGCAATTCGAACATATGGAGAAGAAGTAATAGTAAACGACTTGATGAACCTTAATTCACTTTGATGGGCTTGTCCTTTTTTTGAACAGTCAGAACGTACACAAAAGTAGCTCAAGAACGACGCATGCTGGACGACACGACGAAAGGATGAAGATGCTTCAAAGAACGAGTATGACGATAGGACTATGTTTGAAGAACGACCAGTTGTAAGCACGACAGCAAGCTAGACTCATCTAACTCCAACAGTAAATACGGCTTCGGAATAAAATCCTCAAGCACCCAACATCTGGTGCTGGGGCGGAAGGGCGACTGCCGAACATCGTACCGCTTCCTGTAGCCGTGCGCTTTTCATATTCAAAAATGTCGGCTACATACACGGCACAGTGGGCGGTACTACGCAATCGACTTTTTCTTTGATTTTGGAAGTTTCTTTCGTCCACCAATTGGATGTTTTCCCGTTCGATCGGACGGAACCAGAAGAGGACTTCCTTGTTGTGCATCGCTACATTTTTGAAATGGCGACGTGGTCCGCAACACCATGCGTCTTCGATTCACATTCACCGCGTCGTTGCAGCGAATACAAAAAAATCTCCGCTTACTTATTCTTCTCGCTTGCTCCGTAACAAAATAGACGAAATGCCAATGATTTGGACGACGTATCATTGTCCGCTTGAACATAGAGTTATTTTCCATTGCTGATTCTGATTCTGTAAAATAAATGCAAAGTTGTTTTCTGGGTCCAGTACTATTTCCGCCACAAGACTACTTGTGACAACTGTTGTGCAGCTCTGGGTCGCATACAACTGCGTTGACAATAAAACCTTGGTGGAAGATCGTGCACAATGATGCTAAAATTGCGTTGCGCTTGCGAAAAAAAACAGCTAGTCATCGTCCGTCGCGGAGAAGGTCTTGTAGTCCTCGCGCTGCATCTCTCCACCGTTCACCGGATCGAACCGGCACTTGAAATATGACCTGAACAATGATTTTCCTGCATCTTTATCATGTGCATGATCATAGGTTCGCATCGTTGCGGTGATACATAGTACTGTCGTGTGCAGCTTACAACATTGACACTATGAAAGATGTGTAGATAGTCCTTTTCTTCTAGAAAGATATCTCGGTGAAAGTGCCTGCGACCACCCGAAAAAATCACTAATAAAACTGCAAGCTGCGCCACGCCACTCACTTTGTACTGATTTTGAAATTCTTGTTCTTTGTAGTGAGCAGGTGAGTTGCTGATATTAAAGCTCTGAGAATGATGAAGCCGCGTAATCCATTTTTCGAAGGTAGACAGAGCAGCTGTACCCGCTTTATTGCGCCAAAAACAACATCACAACTGTGGCACTTTCTTTTGTTGTATCCTCAGAGTGACCCAAATGCTGCTCACTTGGGTGGAGGCAGAAACATTGCATCACCAGGAGATAGAACGACATGCTGAAAAGGGCTGCTCATTTTTGGCAATTCTTGCTGCCGCGTCTGCCTCTGTTCTCGTACTTCTTACAACTACAATAGAGGGCGCATTTTATTTTCCTGTGTCCCAGCCATACTTACAACGAGGCCCCAGTCGTGATGTCTGTGTCTTGTCTCGTGGATATGTTTGCACAGGCAACTATGACGGTGTTTGGGTCGCTTCCAAAACAGACGAGGCTCCGGTAGTCCTGCACACGAAATTGGGCGAAGCTCCACTCGGAAGAGAAGTAGCTGAGGCCGAGAAAGCTAAAATTACTGCGTCGATTGGCAAGGGACAGATTGAGGTCTAGATTCGGGTCGCCGGCCGCGCTGTGACTCTGCATCACTGCGAAAACGTGTATCGTTCCCTTGTCAGAGCTCACCACTACCCATTGGCTGTTCTGACTAAACGTTATGCACTGTATGTCCGCGCGGTCGACACCACGTCGCAACTCCTGAAGAAGACCTCCGGTTTCCGCATCGAATCTGGGTAGTGGATATTTTTCACTGACTTTTTTAAAGTAGATGTACTCATCATGATACAGCTATTGTCCCTATCACCGTTTCAACAAAATCAGAGGTCTTTCATTTGTTTCCGCGGTCAAGTAGATGGAAACCTCTTTGACTTTGCCTCGATGCAGCAAGAAACCACAGCTGAGTAAACTCAATCAACAAGCATTCTCCTATTTCTAGTACGTCCGTGAAATAACCACGAGCAAGAGAAAAATGAAAATCTTCTGAGGAAATGCGACATATACATTCGAATCAGTGTTCCCTTGTCACTGGCGCTTGCAACGAGCGTGCCTTCGAAATTCAGGGACAGTTGAGAGACTTTCGACTCGTGCGCCGTTATGAGCGTGGTCTTTTCTCTGCAATTCTGCATTCGAGTAAAGTCCCCACCTTGATTTTTTTATTTGCGGATACATTGTTCATTGCTAAGCAATACGCATGTACAGCTCCATTTTTCGGCTTTGTAGTTCACGACAACTTATTTTTCCATGTTTTATAAACTCGAAAAGTAGAAAACCATCAATTTCAATAACGTGTGCAAGTGCCTACGCCTAGTGGTAACAGGGCACAATAAAGAATCGCATCCAAATTCAGAAGTAAAATTACGGCTAGATCGACATGACCTATTGGCATGCGGATAACACAAGATGAAAGATGTACTATTCGCTTCGTTACCTCCTTCTTTTTGTTCCTGATTATTCGTGGCTAGTCCAGACTGAGCACTCTGTATTTTCTGCTGCCCGTATGCATTGGAACGCTGTCTGGGTTGCAGGGAGCGAGAGCTGCAATAAAATTTCCGTGGCACTTTGCGGCCGTCGAGGCCGGCCAGGTCTGCATCCATCAGCAATATCAATGGTCGCATGCACGAAAACGGTCACACCGTGTCGCACGGCAATAGTACTTACTAGTATCAGTACCACCAGAAGGAGCAGCTCCTATTGCAGATCTCTTGTCGTCTGATTCTATCAATCTTGAAGAGAAATCTGCAGTGCAGACTGCAGTGTGCAGTGGTCCTGGTCCAAACCGTGCGTTGGACACAGAACTGAGAATGCAAATGCCTGCAGCGGCAGCCCAATAAACCCATCCATCTGCACACGTGGATATGTCGTAGAACACCACGAGTATTTTGCCCTTTTGCACCCCGGGACAGGCGAGCACCGTTCTGTCTTGACTTGCGGACAGCGTACAGAGCCCTCGTGGGTTGGGAAACGTTTCTATATGGTCAATCAGGGTCAGGTCGCTGAAACGGTATATGTACCTGAAAGATAATGATACAGGAATTCACAGCCTTTTGCTTTTTGTCACAACTCGAAGTCGAATTCGGACCCTGCACGATTTTCAGCAGATTTGGGTCCTGAAAAAATGTGAAGAAGAGCGAAAACGCCAAATTGATTCGCCGCGTGTTACAACTGAATGTAGATGGGCCTGTGGGTTTTGCAAAAGTAAGCAAAAACGAAAACAAGTTCAAGCTTACGGGTATTTCGAGAAGATTTGGATTTGGCGCAAAACTAAATTTGGTAAAAGACTATACACTTTTCGGTCGATGAGGACAAGCACGATGTCTCGCCGCAACTTGACCTGGCGCACCTGACTTCGGAACGAGAGCTCGGCGATGCGTATGGACCGCAAAATTATGTTTTATCGTTAAGTAGATGGACGCAATGCACCACACAGGCACCAACGTCCTGCTCCGTTCATGCAATACTGATGTATCTTCGTCCTCGAGCTGCATTTTCGCTGCGAACTTTTGGCTGCGTCTCAGGGGAACAAGGTGTCTCCTGTTGTGATGTAATGATCGACATGTGCGATAGCGATTCGTTTCTTGCGGTGCATAGTACAACGCGGCGTCTTATCGTCCCAAATCATCACCTTGTGCGGCTGGAACCTTGGATTCGTGCCGCCACCGACCAGTGCTAGGATGTTGCACCGAAACAGCATCGCAACGATGCAGAGGCCCCCACCGCCCTCGAACTCCCGCCGAAACGTGAGTCGGAATGGATCCGTGTTGTACCTGTTTTTCGGCAGGATAGCAAGCAGATCCTCTATGTATCGACGGCACTGGCAAAACTTTGATACACATGCGCCGGTCGGTCGTATTCTTGATTTCTCCGTGTATAAAAATCCGCGCACAGGAGTGTCCTGTTGTTGTCCTATGCGACACATTGATATACAACGAGCGGCGCAAAAATGGTTCTTAAGGTACTAGGTAAGTGCAAAAAGAACTAGATACACTCGGAATCCATTTTCCGTGCCGCAGACAAAACAACTCTGGTCCTGGTTGAAGGCGATATACAGGATTTCATTGCATGGGTTGGAGGCGAGGTCCATGTTGCGGACCACCAAACCAGCCGGCGCTCCACAAGACGAGGATCTCGCTGGTGTCCTCCAGCTTCAGTAAACCTGTCGCGGCTACATTCGATAAGTACCCAAACAGCGCCTGTTCCTTGCCGCCCCCGCAGGGCTTCGATGTCGAGTCCGGTACTTTTAGCGCAGCAGGAGACGAGATGACGACCAAAGCGACACTAGTTCTGTACGCTTCCAGTACTTGTTCTCCCTCATTTGTTCTGAGTACGCTACAGTAAATGTAAGCACAAAGTACTTATTTCGCGAGGAGGTGGAATGGCAATGGAATCAGGGAAAGTAAAGTACGTTTGTGTTTTTGCCTTTGACGCGCAGATCTCGTACACTGAAACAACAGGAAGTGTACGTCGTTAATACAGACTGCTTGGCAACTAACATATGAGACTGAAAAAGTTTGCGATGGCACCAATCTTGCAGAAGCAGACAGGAGTTTTCTTCGGGGGGCACAGAAGATTGGCCAATGTAACGAGTAGGCGTGTCGATTATTCGACAACTTCGTCATTATGGTTTTCCAATTAGGTTTTCATCTCTCCAACGTAGGCTATCTTGGGAAAAAGAGCGGAGAAAGGAGAAGCTGAACACCAATAATATCTTCAGAAGATGAGACACCCTTTCTTGCACGGGCCGGTGGTCGCCGGTCGACACAGGTTTTGGTTTGATGTAGCTGTATTGATATTTGTACGCGTAAATGAGAACTTTGGTTGTACTTATTTTGCGCATGGTCGTTCCTATGTGCGTGGAAAAGAACAGCAATCCGCGTTCGTGGTGCGTTCTTCGGTAGTTCTTCGTTCGAGTTCCAGAATCAAAAGGCAGCTCGTCATCTCTCTGCGAAGCAAATCAGATTCAGGACGGAGTGCAGTGTGCGCGACGGCCCGATGGCTGCAGGCACTGACGGTGAAGATGAACCGTAGTCGCAGACGTTTCGTCCTGTAACATCAATTGGCGTTCGCAGGTGCCACGCTTTTTCATCAATAAGAACCTTCGAACAGCATGCACGCCCCAGCTGCACCAGAACTCGATTGGCTCCTGTTATAGCTGCTACCCCTTCGGAAGCCGGGGCGATTGCGATTTTTGCCTTGCTTGTTCGCGCAATGAGGGTGCACGCACCGGCTGCGCTTGCTCTACGACAATTACTTCGCGGGGCTTGGGGGGCGTTCGACTTGCGGAACGGGGATACGCATACTGCACTGCACCACCTATGGTCTGCGACAATTGTGCGTGCCTGATTGTGATTAGTGTTCTTTCCAAAGTAATACGATAAAATTTTAAATGAAAGAGTCCGTGTCCGACGCGCAGTGTAACAACTCCTCAAGATGAAGTCATTCGTGAGGATCACATCATTTTTCCGTAAAAGTACTATCGAACTCCGGTTGTAATTTTTATACGTCTGATTCAGCGGATTTGCCGTCCCGTAGTCTATTGGGCCGCGGCTTGAGCCCATGCTGCTATTCAGTCCTCCGCTCATGCCGCTGAGGCCTCCGCTCTGATTCATCATCCGGGGGGGCGTCGCGTATCTTGGCGGAGCCTGCATGCCAGGCGGATATCGTGGGCTGTTGCCTTTTGGCGGGGTGCGCGCGTACCTGATATTTTTCATTTTTGCTGCTCTTCTTGCTTCATGATATTAGCGGGTGCTGGCGCGCCCAGTCACGGTCTTCCAGACTATACATTTATTGTCCTGAAGATGTTGTCTTGGTGAGTGATTGGCACAATTTTTTAGGTCCTCGGGGTATTATACACATCGCCTTTCCAAAATCTTAATTTATTTTTTGTAATAAAACGAACAAAATAAAAAAGCAGTGTGGAGTATTGACGACTAAGTAGAAGTTGGTACCCTATGCTGCGGCCGAAATTTGCGGTGTTGTCGAATTGTTCGCCCGGGCGCCCGAAGTTGCCTGTGCCCTGGCCGAAGTTCCCAGTTTGGTCGAGTTCCTGGCCGACCGCCCAATGCGGAACGCCCGTGCCGCTAAGACCGCGACTACCGCCGAGGCGGCTCTGGATCAGTGGCGTCGGGGGTGTTCTTGAGGGAGTCACGTCACGGTAGCTGATTGGCCTAGTGCTCGAGCTGGCATTTAATGGGTTTTGCGTCGCGGTAGTGTTGGTTGTACCTGCATTTTTAATTTGTGACTCGCATTCAACTCTAGAATTTTTGCGCTATCTATCCTACTAGAACAAGTAGCAGATTGTCCGAAGACGGCACGACGGAATTCAACATTTCGTGTGCGTATTCATCTTCTTGTCGGCAATATCATGCAGATTTGCAAGGTCGCAGAAAGAAAATCCTTCTGCGCGTGCCGAAGGATAAGTTTACAATTCCAAGAATATGCGTGCAACCTGTACAGTTTCACTTTTTCAAAACAAAAAAGTAAATCGCAATAATGCAGGCCACGAACGTTTCGAAAGAAACATAAACACTCCAGCGTCCCCCGTTCCACCTTGTGATATCACGAAGAACATCACCCGCATGCGATTGATTACCGATACATAACTACTTCCTCCACCTCAATGAAATGATCACATACCTGCAAGCTCCTCGCGTTCTTGCATCCCGGTCGGACGGGAACTGCTTGTCCCTCCTGCTGCGGTGGTGCTTTGTTCCTGTTCCTCCTGCTTGCGCTGCTGAATTTCATCCTGCAACTTCAGGAGATCCGCGTGATTATCGCAGAAACGCAAGCCTTTTTGCAGCTGCTGCTCCGCCTCACCGATGTTGTTCTCCATCATGTAGGAGCGCACGAGCGTGAACCACCCTTTCATGAAGTTGCTCCGTATCTCGACCACTCGTTGTGCATCCTTCTTGGCGCGCGCCCAGTCCCGGAGAACAGCGTAGCAGAGCGCTCGGTTGGAGTAAAGTCGGTGGTCATTCTCGCTTTCACGAATCCCTTCTGAGTATTTCTCTATCGCTGCTTGGTACATCGTCAGCGCTTGAGGTATGTTGTTTTCCTTCGCGGCTATCTGACCTGTTATAGCGAACATCAAGGTTGTTGCTTCATCTTCAACTTCATGCAAGCCAGAGTCCTTTTACTTAATTCTTGATGTAGGGGCGTAATGATTTTTGAAAATGAAATGGAAGTCATCAAGGTAAACATAAAGACTGATGAAGATGCAAAAAAGAAAAGCGAAATAAATGCGGGCAAGGAATTCGCAGTTACCTTTCTTGTAAAACTCGTTTCCCTCTTTCCGTGCTAGCTCCGCTCGTTCGAAGGGCATGAGCTTCTGTCTCTGGTACTCGCGCCACAGCAGCGTGTATTCTTGTCTTTTCGCGTCATCCTGCAAACAGGTCCACGCGTCATTTATCAGCTGAAACATCTTCTTACCTGTGAGAAGAGAAAGTGTGTGTAAGTAGATTTTTGAATTTTGATTTTGACACAACTGCACCATATGATATACGTACGGTTGCTTTCTTGTGGCGAGTCGCTCAAACTCGTTGCTATGCTGCAAATCAATGTCGGATCTTCAAAAATGAGCTGACGGCCAAATCAAAAATGAAGCTGTACCGGTCTGTGATGGACTTTCAGGGCGCTTGTCCGGGTGCCAGTCTACCATTATGGAAAGAAAATGAGTAACCACCAATCGAGGCCGCAATGCTTGTTCCTTATTTTTCCCAAAATATATACATGACCATGAGGGAAGTCGAAGTTGCTACTTAGCTTTTCAATTTCATTTTCTACTGCGCATGACAGAATATCTTCACATCTAGTTCTAGAAGCTATCATCATCTTTATGAGTGATTACCGATGTTCCTCTCATATGCACGAGTTTTCGGTATGACTTTTTGATTGTATCGGCGTCTGCATCCGGCTCGCATTCGAGCGCATTGTAGTAGTCGGCAAAGTCAGTAAAGTCGTACTGAACCTGCTCTCCTTGCGGCGTAGGAGCCGACATCTTGCGCGCGTCTAGTACTCACTCTCCGTGGCGGTGTTCGGAGATGACAGTTCTTTTCGCGATCTGCTTCTTTAGGAGAGGATCTATCAATTTGTCACTGAATCCCACGGCGGGTACTGGCTCGAGAAAACTACAGGGCCTTCGTGCAACTTCTTCTTGCTCGGAGAGGCACCTGAAGAGTCCACACCGTGAAAGTAGTTCTACGACTTGTCGATCAGATACTTACCGCTTGGGCGCGCCGTCCGTCTCCGTTGTGCTTGTATGTAACAGTAATGCTGCAGTATAGTTGCTGCTTCTCCTTGTCCACCTACCAGCCCAAAGACCTATTTTGATCGCGCGCTTGTTTGCAGCAGGTGAGCACCACGAGCACGATTCCTGTACGCGTTGAAATTACGTTCTTTCTAGTCGAGGACTACACGCGTGTACACCACAATCCGCGTGGAGCCTAGTGGGGACAAGCTAGAGAGACCGCTCGACGCACAGCACGGTCCACACCGCGTTCGGAGATGCGATATTCAGAACAAGACTTGATGAAGCTTAACTACATCAAACGCGAAAGAGACACTATCAGAATACTTTCTTAGGATTCTATCTCTATGGTAAAAAGGATTCCTAAATAAAACAAGCTCCGCTCGCAGGACAAGCTTCGCTTGCTAACGGTGCTGTCCTTTTTTCTCTGATATTGTGCAACGAGGGAAAAAACAGCAAGCTTCGGTCTAGAAACTCTCGTTGTCTAAAACAGACACAATGTACTTAGTGCTCGGGGGGGGGATATTTTACAGGTGGCGGGTACTGAAGATGCGCAGGAAAAAAAGACGTGTCGAGGGAATAGTAAACGAAATGCGCTTCTCAAGCGCTTTTGCTGTCTCGAGAACTTGTAGATGAGTTACCATGTCGAAATTTTTAACGATCACCGAGACGCGTCGGCAATTCTTAGTACCACATCCAACCAGCCACCGATACTTTTCTGCTTACATCAGCAGCGTTTTTCACACCGAGCGAGTGTCGTATTTCTCTTGTTTCATGTAGTTGTACAAGTACAACTTATCGGACGAATGTTGTACTAGCATAGAGTCAGAAAGCGTTCCACAACAGACTCGGTCATAATGGCATTCTCAGCAGATAAGCACACACAGGCAAACATGGGATGAAGAATGTCTGGCTTCCACGACACACGATTAGATTCACTTTTGCGAAGAACACGACACAAATTTCATAGACTGCGCATACAACTGTAGCAATTTCACTCTTTTTGACTTTTCCCAACGAGAGCTTGATGTTGCTCCTCTGTTGAAGAAGACTGACTGCTATTTCGTTTGTAAGTCATCATATGTACTGACGGCGTAGGCGTACACGTAGTCCGTACTCAACCAAAAAGTGCGGAGGAACTAATTTCCAACACTCTCAAGAAGTCAAACGGAAGGGGCGAAACTTTTTCCACTGTGCACGAATTTGCACCGCAGCCTCGAGCAAAGCGGCATCGTCGTCACAATAAAAGTATGCCGTGCAAAGTCAAAGACGTCCTCATACACATACAACTCACTACCATTTTTTCACTTACTCCTGCATAGCAAGCTCGCGGCGGGTTCCTCTACCTCTCCCAACAATGTCATAGCGGAGGTGACGCACTACAACACAGGACCTAAGTCACAACTTCATGCAAAACAAAGTATGACAGAAATGCAAACGCCATTTGGAAGTCAGAATGCATCCTAAAAAGAGCCGCAGTGGGCCGCCGCGGTAAACCGGAGTAGCAACTAGTCCCGCTGGGCCAAATGATCATACCTATCGAGCTGGTGACGAGGAGATATCATTTTGTTCATTCTATTTTTTTTCGCAAGTTGGGTATGGACATGAAAACAGCTTTGCACATGATAAAAATTCTACGAGGCCGGTGTGGAAAATGCGCATCCGCGCCACGTTGTACACACCATTCAGCTTTAAAGTGGGCGACAGCTCCGGCATGTAGCTCGAAGAAGTTCCGGGAAACGCGGCCGCAATGGCTTTAAGTTCCAGAGGATATGGAAGGCGCATGTAAGCCCAGAGACTTGTTACCTGAAAATTTTTCAGAAACAGAGGGCGACCCATTTCTCCGGCGTGTGCTGTCTCGCGTCGACCCGCATTGTTTCCTTGCAGCTGTCGGCCCCCGTGTGATGAACAAAGGTGATGTCTCTCATCGGCCTGGACGATGTAAGCGATGCTTTTCAGGTACTCTCGCGCTGTCCCACAAATTTGTTTGACCTGCGCTTCAAACTCAAATTCAATCTGGGCAGCTGCATTCGAGGGCTCGGGGTTATGTTCCGATGATTCGTTCACGTCATCGTCCGAATCAGTGCCCCCAGCATCTTCAGGGTCCACCACATCTTCTGAAGAAGCGTATCAACACGAACAAAGCCAAGGTTTCAATCCCGAAGATAAAATAAAGCGTATGTGATCGTCTGCGTCATGACTTCTTGCAAAATGAGTATATAATATCGAAAAAGGAGCCGCGACTGACGTGTAGCGACACTGCTACTGATCGCAGCTCCAAAGCACACGCAAAAAAACTTGAGCGCTGTAGTACTTGTGTCATAACCATAGCCGATTTTCTTCTCGGGTCTTCAGGGACAAAACCAATAAATTTTGTAGATGATACGGATGAGTCGCTCTTCTGGGGTCGCCGGGCTCGTTGACGCACCTGCTTCGTTTGCTGGTTTATCGTTTTCTGTCGCAGCTGACGCGTCGTGCGCCTCTGAACCCCGCTCACCATATTCGCATCAAAACCGCCATAATGATGCACAGTGTTTCGCGGCCGTAAGTCGCCGCGGAGCGTGAGAGTACCGTTTGGATAAATGCTGGCAACTAGCAGGCCTGCGTGTTCACTGCTAGCCGCAGTATAGAGCCTCACGTCATCTTCGTCATGGTCATGGTCTGTTTCTTGCTGCATCTTTGTTGCGATTGAAGAGCTGCTTCCTCCGGCTCCCGAAAACGTCCCTGCTTCGCTGCCCACCCCGCCGCGTCTACGAAAAATTGAGACCTGCAGCTGTTTAATGTTGCTGCCGGGCTGCTGATTCTGTTGTTGCTGGAGAGCAGCTACCGAATTTGAAGCATTTTGCGGTTTTTTCGATGCAGCCTTCTTGTTGCGATTCCCCCCGCCTCCACCGAAAGAGAGGGTATGACGTACAAAAAAAAATTCGGCCGTGCCACCCCTGATTTGTGGCCAAGTTGGAGATTGATACACATAGCATACAGATACATCTTAATTTTCATGCTGGTGAAACTAAATGCTGATATGGCACACCATCGATCGCCGAAGGAGCCGGACGCGGACAATCATGGTGTGTATAGATACGCGATTTTCTTTTTCACTTTCACACGTCTGGTTCTTGTGTCGTGTTTCTTCATGGCATTCGATTTCGCTTTACTAGCTGTCCCAAGACGGTGGCAGGCACGGACGAAATCTTAACTCATGTTCATACAGTGCCTCTACATTCCAGAAGCGATGACGTATTTCCTCCAGGTTTAGACCACCGGGCACGTCGACAAAACCTTTGACTTGGATATTTTTGATGTGCAGCGCGCCGTCACCTTCCGCTGATGCGGGTTGCTTCTTATTGTTGTTTCCATCGTTGGGCACGTCGTCTTCAAGGTTCCATTCATCCTCAAGATCGTCGATTGTTAGAGAGCTTGCCTTGGAGGAAGTAGCGTTTATTTCCTTTGCCCGTCCTGAAACTGGAGGAACATGATTTTCGGGCCGCGCGTTGCCCCTCCTAAGGCCCTGCTGTGCCCCCGGTGCTGCTCCCTTTTTATCGCCTTTGCTTCGCGCAGGCCGTACTGAGTTTGTCACGACCCTCGTCTTAGCCTTTGCCGCGGGTGGCTCCCAAGAAGGATCCTCATCAGAGGAACCCGCCTTCGCGCGCTTGCGACCGCCTGGTGCTTGGGCGCGTTTCATTTTCAGTACCACTGACGCTATTTATTTTGCTCCAAGAGTAAAAAGGGTATCGAGCTACATTGTCGAAAATGTACGTGAACTTTCTACTTATAGTATACTCTGCATTTAATGTTACACGCCCTACCAGGAAACAAATAAGTAAGTGTTGCATAGAAGGCACTTTCTAGTATGGCTATTCCTGGAAAAAAAAATTCTCAGGCGTTCTTAGCATACTGAAAATGAAGTGAAAGGAGCTGTATACAACATACGTAACTAGGGAGCAGGGGCGTCGCACCTCTTCGGATCCAAAACCAGAGCGCTGTAGGGTAAAAATCTTCACTGAAGTGAGGTGTACTGACGGTTTGCAGCCCGTGCAGCAGCTTAAAGCTTTGCGGCAGGTTTGATGCAGCAAGCGCTGAATCGCGACGGCTTCTGTCTCCGAAAAGAAAGATTTGATGAGCCTACTTCCTTGAGGTACAAGCAGCGCTAGGACGCGGTGCGCAACATTTTTTCAACTGCCTGATCGATTACTGCCCGTATAGGTAGAGTGAGCAACAACATAGAGATTTTTGATGTGTCGCATGTTCAGTGGCTTCTACTTGTTTCACTGAGGTTGAATTGGTAGTAGTGTTAGACTTATCTCGTATCATTATGTGTCGTGGCTTCTCTAAGCCTGAGATGAAAGGAGTCATCGCCTTTTCTTGTCAGATCATGTGTCACTTTTTCACCGTGCGCGAACCCGCCTCAGCTTGTTGGTGAATCGCTTCGGCGTGATTGCTATCCACTGCAACAGTATCGCAATCGTATAACTAACACTAAGATCACTTCACTAAGTGTGATCATACTGCATGACAAATGCACCGTCTAGATATACAAATTTCGATACTTTTGCAGTGCATACTCGCCATCGTGTAGGGGGACAGTTTTAAGGCGGAAGGCAGCAGCGTATCGCGGCCGCCGCCGTAGCGCAGGGCGAGCGGCAGTCGCGCGTCCTCCTCGCGGTACGGCAATTCGAGGGGTTCCCCGAACACCACGTGCCACAAAAATTCCATCACGTAGCACGGCTTGTGGCCCACGTTGCACACCGCGAACTCCTCCATTAGCGCCACATCTTCGGGGTCTACTTGTTGATCCCGCTCCGCCAGCGCAGTAGTACTATCGTTTCTGGCGATTTCCGCCGCCAGCCGCGTGTAGCGGCCGTGAAAGATGAGGTCCGCGAGGTGGGCGTAGAAGTCCCGGTCGCGGGCCAGGATCCGCGCCCGCGACACGACGAAGTTGCTGCAGCAGTAGGAAGTCACCGGGGCCAGCAGCGGGTGGCCAAAAATCATTTGGAACACGCGCTCAAAGCAGGGTGTCACCAGTGCGGCGTACCGCTCGTGCGTCAGGTGCAGAAAGGGAACGTCGTACGTGCGCTTTTCCACGGACTGTAGCACCACGTTGAAAAACGCGGACTTGAAGTGCCGGGGGCCGTCGTCGTGGATGAAAGCGACAAAGTCCGCGATTCCGCTTGTTGATCGTGTGGCTTTCTCCCCCTGCTGCTGCTGTGCCGGCGCTAGGAAGCCGAATTCGAGAATGTAAGCCAAGTACGCGGTGCACTCCCCCGACATGAACCGCGGGTCGCGCTCCGGGAGCTCGCGGATGAAAATCTGAATGTGGTCCTCGAGCCCCTCAATTTGGTCTTGCAGAATCTGGTCGGGGTCCTCGCCCTTTGCCCGCATGCGGTGTCGACACTTCTCGTAGATGAAAAACCGCGTTTTCTTCGGAAAGGCAAACTCCCAGAGCCACATCATGGGACTGTCGCACCGTGCGATCACGACGTCCAGCGAAAGAACGCTGTCCGGGTCCTCCTGTTCTTTCAGAAGTCGCTGCTCTTGCAGGTTCGTTATGTGAGCGTACTCGAGGCCGTATGATGTGAACGCCTGCGTGACAGGCCACATGATGTTCGTGGCCATGTACTCTTCGCGATTGGACACTGCCGGCACCGAAATCTCTTGCAGCACGCCGGGCGCAGGAGAATTTGTGGCTGGTGTGGTCTCCTCCTTCGACGAATCTACTTCTTGCTGTTGGTGTTGGTGCTCATGCTCTCCCCCTTCTACTACGGTAGGTGGATCCGCCAGTGTGCCTCCTGGCAGCTGCTGCTGAGTTGGTGCCGGGGGGTTCCGTAACCGCGCAAGGATGTCCTCCGCCTCGCTCGCAAACAGTACACTGAAATGGTCCGGGGAATTCAGCAGGAATGCCTCGGCCATCAGCAGCAGGCAGCTGATCGTCAATCCCGGGCAGCTGTCTTCCTCGGATTCCCGTTGCTTGCGGTCCGTTCCCAGCACTATCCAACCGCAGCTTTCTAGCGGAGGCGTGGTGGGAAGGGTGAGTCGGGCGCTTTGCTTACCGGAGTTCCACTCCCGGCTGTGATGCGACTGGAGCTTGCTCACGATCGCGGATATTCTATTTCTCTTGGTCGCTAACTCATTATTTTCAACGCTCTCGTCAACAGTAGATGATGGGGTTTCACCTGATAAAGAACTGCTGCCTACAACTTTGGGAGCACCAGACTCTGTTGCATCTTCTTCTTGTTCATCACCTTGATTATCTCCGGCGAGGACAGCGCCGGCGGCCGTGGCACTGGCTCCTGCTGCAAAATCCGACAGCGCGTTCGCTTCGTCCTCACTGAGGGCGCTGTCGTAGGGACCGTGCCGGTAGAATTTCCGCAGCTGGTCCTGCAGCGAGTGCGCCATGATGGAGCCGATCTCGCAGTCGCCCTCGGGCGAGTCGGGCGCGCACACTTCGGCCAACTGCCGAAACGTCCACATGCACACGCGCATGTACTCCTCGTCTCCCTTGTAACTGCTCTCGCTCCCCGCCGCAAAATCGGGCACGGAAGGGTCGAAGGGCATCCGACTGAGCTGTATCGACGTCCTGGTCTCATCTTCGTGCTCGCCTGCTTCGGCCTGGTGTTCATCGGGAAGTGGCGGTTCACCATGCTCGTCCGGGGAGGCGACACCAGGAACGACGTCTACGAGCCCTTCGTCCGATACCACGGCAGCGGAGCCGTGACTGGGGTCGTCATCATGTAGTTGTACCTCCGCAACGCCGGCTACTTCCTCCACCGGAAGGACACGACCTGGCTCTTCCTGCTGGTCTAAGTGGTTCTGCGCCAGTACACTTCTGACCAGGTGTCGCTCATCCGAAACAAGGAGCACGGCCAAGAAAGAACGACCGAACAGTCGCAACCACATAATTTTGGGGCAGCACGTGAGGCTCTGATGTCTGATCCTCAACCTCTATTTGATCCTTACTATATCTAACCCAAGTGCCGGATGATCGAGGATCACACTTACCGTGCGATGACGAAGCTGCCGCTAGAAAATAAGTAAACACACGAGCAGCTACGTAAGGTGGAGCCCATGTGCTGTATTCGCTCGTGAAAGCAGACACACTGGTGCAGCTCGCGGCAGCAGAGTCGTTGCCAAACACCTAAACGTCGAGATCCAGATCCAGATCGTTCGACATTTCGCCAAGATGAACTTGAACATCAGCTGCAATACAAAAAAAAATGAAGGAAAAAATCACAAAACGATCAGACTCCGGCAGTTGCAGCTCAAGCTGGATCTCAGCGATGATCTTCTGAGGGCCAAGTAAACGCAAGGAACGAGGACGATCGAGTTGGAACTAGGGCGGAAAGATCCGGTCGTGCCAGCCTCTACTGTGGCGCTTCTTCGTCGGCAGAGAAGTATACTGTGAGTTTGAGCACATTCACATATCCAAGTCTTTGTACCGATGCACATTGATTCGAACAAATGCAGACCATTGGGATCACAACGACAACGACAAGGAAAGAAAGACCTACAAGTCCGACAACACTGTCACCGTCTCTCTGCCTTTCGAGTTCAAGTAAAATGATGGGAGGACTCACAATTCTCCACCAAATCCACGTAGAGTGTCCTCGTCAATAGAGTGCAGATAAGAGTTTTTCGCCTATGGTCCGCACGAGCGAAGACTTGATCATGACGAAAAGCGGTGCGCTTTGCTGTCCGTCTGCCAAGGACCAGAGCATGCCAGACTGGAAGGAGCTTTGGAAACTCACTTGAAAACGTCGTCGCGTGGCGTCAGTGGTGGCCAACACAAAGTTGTTCTCCAGGCCCGAAACGTCCAGTACAGGTCGGTACTCAAGTTGCGCCACTTCTGCAGGTGAGGCGGACCCGGAGGGAAACAAGGAAATCGTGCCCGTTTGATTCGCCCAGAGCTCAATGCGGCCCTGGAGCGCGATATTGCCCGACAGGAACACCCCGGTAGGGTACAGGTACCAGGTCGTGTCCCACACCTTCCCCACGGCCAGCGTGACCTGCTGCTGCACCACGCTGGCTGTTTGCTCCACCGGTACTCGGCACTTTCGAGCCCGCGCGTACACCTGGTCGTGCCCTTGATGCTCATCTTGCCCCTCAGCGAAGCCGAGAAGGCATCGCTTCTGTTCGACGGTGACGAAGTCGGTAACCTGCAGCAACAGCCCCTCCGGTCCAGCGGTTATCGTGCGATCCTCGAACGTCCAGGGGGGCGTGTGGCCGAGGTAGCGCACTCGCTTAGCCTTCTCGTATGCTATGTGCAAAAGCACCGTACTAGTAATTGTAGCAGTTTTTAACTGGCCATCACAGTAGAGGTCGCCGTATGCAAATAGGCATAGGGCACCGAGTTTTATTCAGAACGCAGGTCTTCAATGTATGATACTTATATCGTGCGAAGTGTCTGCATTTTCTTGGAAATTCACGTCGACACGTACACGGCGACGGTTGTCCACCATGTACTTAAGTACATGTACTTTTCCACTTGATATCTTTCTCTGCTCCACGAAGATTTCCACCGCTTCCCGCACGCCCTGCTCGGCGCCATAATCGTCCAAAACGAGAAAGGGTGCGAGTTTTGCAGCCTGTTCCAGGTCGTTCAAGACGCTGGCGACGTCGTGCGCGGCGTCCACCAGGACGAAAGAAACCGAGTCCGAAAGCAAGTGGTTTTTTGGCAATTTCACCTCCCAATCGTCCAACACGGAGTGGAACTCAAAGTAGGCAATGTTGTCGTGCGCCTGATTGTTTGCCATGTTCTGCTCCAGAACCGCGATGCTGTTCTCGAGGGCCCAAACCTGGTGGCAGTGCTGCGCCAAAAACCCGGTGGTCAAACCGACATGCGCTCCCAACTCGATCCCAATCTGGCACTCTTTCGTCGCGCTCTTTTTACTGTCGGATGCATCTTCGGCGTCTGGAGGTCGTCCACCAGCGTTGGGATCATAGTGATTATCGTGGCTTTCAAGAAATTTTTGCCTGTATTCACGGAGCTCCGTCGCGAAAAAATTCACGATGTCGTGTTTGAACTTCACGGAAATGGTCCAAGGATTTTCGGTCTTATCCACCAGCGGCGGGTGCCCTTGTTCTGCTTCTGCGTCTGCCGTTGAGCCTACGTAGAATAAGAAAGGCGTCCACCTCAGCAACAGGAACATCGTCGTAAAGGGGCGCGTCAGAGCAGCTCTGCGACAGAAAGCTTTGGCTTCATACTGTTGTTGCGACATCGAAAAGAGAAAGAGGACGCAATGCGAAGAAAAATAACAAGTAGAAACAACACGATAAATTAAACGCAAGAATTTTTCACTCTTTCGGGCACCACTGCTAGGAGTCTAGGTGTACTTCATTCAGCAGAACGAGCGACTGTGACCTCAACCCGGCCATCCAAGAACTCCACGACAAGAACCATTACAGAGGATCGATGCACAAAAAAGCCTGATCAGAAAGCCTTCTGCACCTGCGTCCTCTCACGAGAAGTAGAAGAAAAAAAATTCTTGACCTGCTTACCTTTCAGGTTTGAAAGATAGAACCGGGATTGCGCTCATGGTCATGGTGCTCTCAATGTCAATATCAATTCCAATGTCGCCGGTGCACGACACAGTTGCGTTGTACTTCTTCATTCTGATGATCGTCGTTCCATGGGCAATGTGATCTGATCGCGATCGCGTCTTTCTTGTGACGAGGCAACGATGATCGCCTCGAACTGTTTTTCTTGTTTTATAAAACTGAGGTGAGACGTGGTACACGTAGCTACCACTTTGCATGAACGAAAACGCTCGATGAAAGTGGACTGCTGAAGCCTGGAACAACGTCGTATGCTCATTCGCTTTGTCGTGTGACCATCGCTATGCCGCCACGCACTGACGGAGCCGGAGGCACACACGCCGACACACAAAATGAATCTTCCACTCCACCAGGACCAGTGTTCATTTTCATATAGTGATGTTTTTGTAGCTTACAGTTTTCACACAAATCACGCGCCCAAGCGTGATAAATCATCAATCGACATGGCAGCAAGCGCCGGCATTTATTATCGATACCCATGATCATCATGATCTTCTTGATCTTCAATATCATTCAAGAATAAAAAACACTTGCTCCTCTTCGCACATTCTTATGTCTGTGAGTACGTGTAGTGTTTTTGCTCGCCCTGGTACATTTTCATGGAGTAGCAGCCCCTTTTCTGGCACGTCCACGACGCCGGGGACGTAGCAGTTTCAGTTTCCGTTTGAAAAAGTAAAAGTGAGTTTACGTTTAGTATATACGTGTTCGTCTACCTCGTGGCACGATAACGACCGCACTTCCGAAGGAGGTGCTAATTGGTTGAGGAAATTCTGCGCTTGCTCTGGCTACGACGCGACAAGAGTGATAGCAGCAGGCAGTAATCTTCGTGAAGATCAAGAGCATACAAACTCGACACACCCAATCTCTCGACACGTCGGGCAGCTTCTGCGGTACAAATCTCCAACATGGTGCCCAGTAGCGTGGTCATTTTGTGAGACTGTTGACAAATGAAGCACGGCAACAATGTAAAAATATCTGGGTGACACATTTACTTCACACCAGATTTTTACTTCTACATGAAGCGCGACAAACGTATTGAAAAAACGCAAGAGAGGGCCGCAAAGGCACGGGCAAACAGAGGCTGCTCATGTGAAGCTGCCACGTAGTTCCGTACAACTCTTCGACTTACCACGTTGCGCCTGCCCCGCGCTCTTGGGAGCAGCTAGAGGAAAATGGAACTTTTTGGAGAGTAGTAGAGATGGCGCGACCGCACAGTAAGGTAGAGGACTATCAAACAGCACTAACTCCCCTTCTCATCCCATTTTCAGAGCGATGGTCCCCTGGAACTTTTTCACCTTTTTCAGCTTGACGCATGCGATCTGCTTTCCCTCCAGGTCCCCGTCGGACTCCACAAGGTTCACTATGTCCGCGGACTCCACTGCCTTGGCGTCGGCGTGTAAACCGAGCGTGATGTGAAACGGATCGGTGTCGTACTTTTTGGCACAAGGAAGAATCAGGTCGTCCCCCAGACTCGCCGTGGCGCACACCAGACGGTCGGTCACGATCAGCTTTTCGACGTGCACTTCCACCTTGTCGCCGTCCATTGCGAGCAGGGCTTCATGCAATCCCTCCAGGGTCTGTGAATTGATTCATCATGAAAAAAGATTGGTAATGTTCTTGCCTGCTCGACGCGGCAAGATTGATCCGGGTTCTTGCGGAGATTTCGTGGGCGGACCTTTGCCCTCAACTTCATCTGCTACAACGAGGATAACAATCACGAAGCTGCAGAAACAAGACACACACCAATTCTAATTCTAGTTCTTCTAATTCATGACAACGAGTAGTACGTGCACAGAGACGCCGGCGTTTGCGGCCTCTTCCTCCTCTGTGTCGGCTTTTCCGAAGTAGACCAGGGTTATGTGCGGCTCCTCCACCATCTTCATACTCGCGGGGAGCTTGCCCTCGATCATGCCCTTGATTTTGTCGTCCACCCGGATTTCCCAATAGAGCCGCTTCGCCAGGCCCCCCTTCTCTGCCTCCTCGCGCTCCTTAGCGAGTCGAAGTTGCTCCTTTCGGTCCGCGTCCCACTTGTCCCAGCAGGGCCGGCAGAGCCGTGTCTCGGGAACCTGGTTGTAAGTAGTAGTTGGAATTTGCAACATCACGCACTACTACTTGTCAGCGCCAGCGCCACCCCACATGCCTTTTCTTCGATTTGCAAAAAACTGCAGAGAGCTGGCTTCATCTACAAGTTCTTACACCAGGGTGCTAGCGCTGCTACCAGCTGGTCAGGGCATTAGCGCACCAGTCGCGAAAGCACTGAAAGAGGAATAGCCAGTAGTTCGTCATTGATTGGGGCAAGAAAGAATTCCTTCTGCGAACTACTAAAAAGTTAAACTTTTGCTTAAGTACGTCATCCACAAATCTTCTGCCCTTCGCAGTGGCTTCGGCCATTTTGTCCTGCTTGACAATGGCTGTGATGTTAGTGAGGGGAACATCCTCAGCCTTGCAGTGAGCGCACAGTTCTGAGTCAGAGACTCCGCGCCAGGCCCGCTCTCGCTTATTTGCTTGCTCCAGTGCGTCTTGCAGGCGAAGCTTGACCTGCCGAGAGGTCAGCGTTTTCGATTTACTAGATGTTGTCCCAGCGGCGGAAGGGGCGGCCGCAGCGCCGGGATCTTTGTTTTCGTCCGGATCTTTCTTGTTGTCTCCGTCCTCTTTCTTTTCTTCCGTCTCCACTGTGGTGTTCGGAGGTCCCTCGCCGGACTGATTCTTGGAGGCAGCTGCATCGTCGTTGCCTGCTGGCGTACTTGCGTCTGCTGCCGCTGCAGAAGCCGCGGACGACGACGGCCCTGCTGCCGCTGCATGTGGCTGCGCTTCTTCTTGTTCTTCTTTTTCTCCTGTTTCCTTTGGGGCCTCATCTTCCTCCCCGGGGCGAGAGGGGGCGAGTAGGGCGGGCCCGTCAGGCAGGAAGGAGCGCAGGGCGGCGACAATCTCCATGCACTGACCGATAGGTGTGTACTCGACGGGAACGGGCACATACCGGCCGTACCGCTCTCGCTCGGAAATGGACAAGAACTCGGCGCCGTGCGCCTGCTGTTCCACGATCGCGCTCGCCTTCGCTTTGCGATCGTCCAACCCACCGCTTCCCGGTACGGTGTGCGTGTGCAGGTGGTGCGCCCCGCCTCGCTTGAGAACGCGATCCGCGCAAAGCTGGATGTGTGCCGCGCTGTAGGGGCCGCGATAGAGCCGGTCGCCGTCGCCAGTTTGTGTCACCGGGTCGTCCGTGTGGACGAGATCCACAAACAAAACCTGTTGTAAAAAGCAGAGAGAGTCAGTGCCAGACATTCTCGGAGCGAATTATATGAAAATGTGGTCTACTGTTGTTGAGCGAATACTCGCTCGGTATGCTTTCGAGCGAAGCTGAAGAAGGACAAAGATGTGTATAAGCTTTAAGAAAGAGAAGAACAAATACCTTGCCCGGCAAACTGCTTTCGCTCTTTTCCTTTTCGAGGATCACTATGGAAGGCAAATTGGCGATGATCATCATCCTCTGCAGTGGTTAGCAGCCCCAAGAAAGTTCTGTACTGTATCATATCAAAACCAAGGGCGCCACAGAACCTCAAAGCGAAATGCAAGCATAGATATGCGTCTTTATCACGTCGAGAGGTGACGTATCTTGTTTGTCTAACGGGATCAACCAGAAAGAGCAGAATTTCAATGTTCTTTTCCTGCGGCGCAACAGTGCAGAGAGAATCATGATCGAGATTTTCGTTTTGGATAAATTCGGCTTCCAGCATGTCTTCTGTTATGTCCCGGGCCTCTTTCGTTTTATGTATGTCATTATACACAGAAAATCGCGTGTCAGGGTCGGTGGCGGACGAAACATCTTACAAACTTCATGAACTTGTTGTATGTGTCATCTATTGTACTGATCCAACTTTATTAATGCATCCATTTCTTGAACATTATCTGTGCTGTCGCTGCTGGACGGCCGACTCCACCTGACAAATTGATTTTCTTTGCATAGTGGTCAATGAAGCAGAAGCGCTTGCTGTCGTCTTTGAGAAGGGAGCCCAGCTCCGTCACCCAGGAGTCGTCTAGTGAAGACCCGCTCTTGTTTTGCACCATCGTTTTGGCGGCCTGTTTCTGCACGTAACTGCCGTAGGAGAGCGACTTTCCCCCGAACACCTTTTGCAGCAGCGCGCAAATGGTACTTTTGCCGGAGCCCGGAAGCCCCCGCAGCACCACGGCGACCCGGCACTCGGTCTTGGGGTCGTAATCGCGATCAAAACCGCCTCGGCCGCTCCGGTTTTTCTTAGAGAAGAGAGAGTTCATCTCCACGGCTGCCCCTGGAGGCCTTCTCTGCGATTTTTGTGTGCCGGAGTTGTCTCCAGCCTGATTCATGTAGGGATTCTCGGTCTGCAGATTTCTGTTGCGGTTGGATCGGTCCCCGGACCCGCGCGTGTTGTGGCCCTGAGCACCGCCCGCCTGCTTAGCGAGGTCAGAAAACAGCACGGGCATTTTTTTGTCGCCACCCGGAAGAACGCCCGAGCGAGGCGTGGCCCCCTTGCCGGACGGTGTGCGTTCTTGCCTATTAACATCGGCGCCAGCTGCACCTCCTCGGTTTCGCGATCTCCGGCCGTCCCGCGATCTTTTTCTGCGGTCGCGTGGCGAGCGTCTTCTTCGCGAGGAGTCGTGCTTCCGATGCTGCTGCTGGTCGCGGCCTTCGCCACGGCCGGTAGTTCGAGATGACGCTGCTGCGCCGGTACCGCTGATATTTATGGCGATTTTCTTCTCCCCCCGGTTCGGAAGAGGTACCAGTCTCGAAGTTCCCGGCTGCTGACCACTACCACTAGACGTCGCGGCGCCGGTGCGCTGCGTTGGCCTGCTATGATCTTGGTTTATTTCCGCACGGGCTGCTCCTGCTGCTGCTAAAAGTGACGATTCGGCCGCGGTGCCGGGAGCGAGAACCGGACTCGTCTGTGGTGTGATTTTGGGAGTTCTACTCTTGGAAAACTGCGAGCTAGTAGCGCCAATGTCTTCAAATCTCAGGGCAACTCTTTTTAATGGAGTGCACCAGGCTTGTTTTACTACCTTCTTATTATCGCCCCCTGCCGACGCCAGCTCGTCACGCGACCCTTTCTCTCCCACGCGCGTTTTCACCTGATTACTACTGCCACCGAGCGTATCCAAAGCAAAAAGTCCAAACGCCCAAGGAGTCAAACAGCAACGCTGGTGCAAGCAAGCGAGCGCGAATAAGTGCTTTGAATTTGATGTTCAATGATACACGGGTGCATGGTCATCATGTTGATCGAAATGCAAATAATCACTTCGCTTCTTGTGAAAATATAAATAAGCATCACGATCTGTATACAATTTTATTAGCACCACCAATAATTCGTCGAGGTTTCCGTATTATGCAGATGCCGAAACTTGGTAGTCGATGCAGAGTCTGAGATCATCCCAGCAGAGTCTGAGCCTCGAAAAAGTAGTTACTTACTGGTGTACGATTACGAAGATGCACGATGAAAGCGATTCAACTAGGACTGATGCAAAACCACTCCGTGTGCGTTGCACTTTTTCCCAGTGGCGTAGCCGTCCTCACGTGGTCGGCGATCGAATCCGCCACCGCGGGCGTTGTTATCCCGTCCTCGCCCGCGATCGCGGCCACCACCGCGCCTGCGTGAATCGGACCCGCGTCTTCCTCCGCCACCTCCTCGCGGGCGCGGCGATCTTGATCGCGATCGTCCTCCGCCCATCTTCCCGTCAGTTGAACGCGCAGAGGCACGAGTAGTCCCAAGTAGACTTTGTTTGCACAAATCTGTCGTGGTGTCTGTGCAGTGCTTTTCCTTTTGTACGGCAACCTCGACGTCCTCGATTGTGCTCCAAAGTCGTTACTTTGAAAGTCGTTACTTTGCGTGCCTCCTCAGTGCCTCCTTCGATATAATCGATTGGGAAAACTACCGAAGTAACTCTGCTGAACTTTATTGCAGCAATCTGAGCCTCAGCCTGCACCAACTCACGCGATGCACTAACACCCTCGAAAGTCGGGTGGTCAAATGGTAGTTTTTGCTGTTCTCGACATCACTACCCACAACATTCCCTATCGTTGCCCTCGTCGTCAATGGTAGCTTCTTCTGTTGTTCCTTCGAAAAGAAACACCGCTTGATAAACCAGATCTATGATGATCTTGCTTGTTTCTCCACGACCACATGCGAACCAACTAATATACCATACGTTCACTTTTCTATGAATATATCGTGTACATCTAGTGGTGTAAAAACTCACACGAGGATTGGTGAAGCCGCGCTGCGAACTATAATTTTACAGATTCACCAGCAGAGACATCAAGAAAGTCACTTGTTTCTATACTCCATATCAATATTTTCTTCTGGCTAAATTCAAGAAATCTCAAAGAGTGCAGCAATATGACCTACAAGAAGCTGCGTGAGAGATGCAGAACAGTATGAATCACTAAGAATTTGGACGTGGTGCTTTGGAGTACTTTTTGAAGTCAAGCAAACGAAGTCTTCGCGCTTAGCCATCTATATCCTCACGTGTTCAAGTTAAGTTTGCCTGGATTTATGGACATTTTTCAGCATAGAAACATTTTGAAAATGAACGTATAAAAACCCGATGAAAACCCCGCCCACGTAGAACTGCCTCCAGGTCCGCAAAAGGAAATGCCTGCCACCGATTTCTTCGCACTCGCAAGGCATAGACCTACAATCCCGCTCGTACAATGACAAAAAAATTCAAACGGATTCCATGACCATATGTAATTCTTTGGCAGCTCCTTTCGTCATCATTTCAAAAATGAAAAAATTGATTTATGCATGGATGATCCGATTTGCGACGAAGTTGTGCAAGGAAAAAGTGATCAGCTCCACCGTGCAAGTGGCTTGTCGCCAGTCGTATTTTTGCACAGAACAAAGAACGCCTGGTCCAACCCTTTCCCGTGCCCCGAGCCAGAAAGCCATTGCGATATTCTCGTTGACGAAAAAAATCAATGGCCCGCCAGCAGCGAAAATCAAACACAAACGATGTTGATGTTTGAAAAAAAAGCACAAGAAAAGGTCAAACACTGCCGAGCCCTCATGCCTGCGCTGGCCATGATATTTCGACCTTCATCCTCTTGATCGATAGATTTTTTCCCAGGCTGCATAATTTTCATCGCATTTCTTATCCCGGATGAACCTGTCACCTGTGTTGAAAACTGCTCGCGTTTGTTCGGCTTCTTGCGTACTGCCCACACAAATCATCGCTACATGGTTTATTTATCAACCAAGCGCTTTCATCGACGTGGATTAGGATTTGCCTTCGTTGGTGATCATAGAACCGTTTCGACCGTTCCATGTGATCTTCGTGTCACATATTTTCATTCGTGTCAACGAACAGTATGCCCGTCCTACTGTTGTAGGCAGGTGATCGCGGCGGGCCTCGCGCTTTCTGATCCTCTGGCATCTTGATTTTCGTCAGTGCCAAGAGAAGCGTCCCGGTCGGGTGTTTCGGTAAGAGTAAGCACCTTGTTGCGCCCCACAAGGGCTTACCGTAGGGATCTATTCGATCCAGCATCGTAGGCGCGCCTTTTCCAGCAACTGGTGGCTGCGTGCAATACCAATATAGGACCCGAGACCACGGCGCTCATAGTCATTTACTCGCACATCGATCTGGTATTTGTATCTAGCTATCCCGAAGATCATGTTCATGGCGCCGATTCGATGTGCTCTAGTAGAGCGCGCGTTACGTTGCACCCCTGCACAGCGCTGCGCACCAGCACGAAGCTCGCATCGGAATGCAGATCGTTCGCAATGTTGTTGTTGAGTAAACCGCTATCGGCGTTCCTTCTCGCGCGGGTTCGCGGCCCAAAGTCCTGACTTTTCGGATCATGTGCAGCATGTGCTTGCCCCGCGGGCGCGATGTGGTCGTGCTCGTTTCGTACAACCGTCGCTGAAGCAGTGCCCCCACGAGCTCCTCGCTGGAAAGTGGAGGGAACCTGGATCGCCACGGGAGGCAGCAGGTGCGCCATGATGCGCTCACACGAGCCCAGCTCCCGCCGCATCTTTTGTTGCTGACTTTCCAGCACCGTGGTCATCACTCGCACCACGATTTTCCACGACCGCTCGTACAGAAAAATCTCCCAGACACGCAGAACGGCGGCTTTCGACAGCATCGGCAGTTGCAGCAGGCAATTGCTCACATGATAATAGAACCACAACTCGGGAGCCACACCCTCTGCGAAGAAATGACGAAACAGATCCAGGGCTTTTGCGCAAGTAACGGTCTGAAACTGCCGGCAAAGAATCACCTGAAAGAATGTGAATGTGAATGAAGATGCATTCTATATGTCTGCCTCTCCGTTGTACCATTTTTTGCTAGAAAAACCAAGATCATCCACAGACACGTGCTTACCGCCCTTTGCAAGCCGGTACTGGTCTTCATCAGGATTGGGTCCAACAGACCGGTCCTCTCCAAGCACCCGAGTGCGCGAGAAAAGCCCGCGACGGTGGCTAACTGCTCTCGTAAGTCTGCTTTCATGCAATCGTGCGTGACCGGTGACCTTCCGTAGCCGAGGCAGAGTAGCGCTGCCTGCTCTACGTGCTCTCCTGAAAAAGCAGTCTCAACATCCTGGTGATTTTTTGATGAACTACTCAAAGTCGCCCCTCGGCCTGCAGTGGGAATCGCCGAAGAGGCAAGCCAGTTCCAATATCGTTCTCGCAGACTGGCGTTGCTGATGTATTCCCCGTAGCGCACATGCCAGCTCCATAGACGCGGTTGCGTCGCTCTGTCTAGAGCCCTACGCCAGGACCGGCAAACACCGGCACCGCGAGCCAGAAACTCGATAGACCCCACAAAGCACATGACGCGACGCAAAACGGATGGGTGCTGAGTCAACGGATCGGATCGGGATACGCCAGAATCTGGTATTGGCGCGCCAGGCTCTAGCGCCGCTGTCGTGCTGGAAGTAGTAGTTGTCGAGTCGACGACTGCGGCGTCTGTAGAGGTTGGCGTGGTAGAAACGCTTTTTGACTTTTGTTCAAGAACAGCGCCATGCTTGTTCGCGGCGCTCGAAATCGCCAAGGAAGGTGGCGACGCTTCGTGTTTATCTTCCCACGGTGCAGAAACCAACAGAACCTCTTCGCTCGTGCTCTTGCTGGACAAGAACTTCTTCTGTTTCTTCATCTGCTGCAGCGCCCGCTGTAGGGGCGGCTTGTCGGGCATAAGTGGCGGCAAACGCTCGCGGAGTTCTGCAACGACCAATTCAGTGAGCGCGCTGCGCCGGTATCAACTGTAAAAGTGTCTGGGTCTGGGAGATTCTGACCCTTGTGCTTGTCATGCACGTTCTGCATGAGCCCTGATGTCTGTGATGCATGCCCTAGCATCACAGACTTTTTGAGAGCCTCTTGATGCCTATTCCGCATGACAAATGCCCTCTCCGCGTAGCAAAAATTACATTCCTTTTGGTACTCACGCAATACAGATTTTTCTGGAATCCAAATGCAGCATCACAAGTTGCGTTCTTCCAGACCCAGACACTTTTGCATTTCATAGCCGGTCCGCGATCGCGATTTTGCGGTACTCCTGGAGCTCCGCGGTCGCAACGCTGCGCGTCCCGCGACTTTGCCGCAGGGTCACGGCAGTCAACCATTCATGAATCTGCTTCAGTTTCGCGGGCACCAGAAACACCGCATTGACGGGCCGCTGCTTGAGCAATCGCGCCAGCGTCTTGCTTTGCGTCTCGGCCTTGTAGTTCGCACTGTGGTGGTCCTCGAGCACGGTGGGCACCGAGGTTGTTAGATTGACTGCGACCAAACGCGAGCCGAGCTCCAGATCCAGCATACTCGAGGGCGGGTGCGTCGCGCGCAACGACCAACCGCCGATCGCAGGCGCAAGCCCGTTGGACGGGAGTGCGCGGTTGTTCTTGTCGCCGAATGTCCGGGCCATCGGATTGCCGAGAAGCTGCGTGCTCCCACCACCCAAGAGCGGGGCAACTTGCTCCTGATAAGACGCGGCCGGCAGTGGTTCTGTGGCGACATACAGGTCGTGGTGTCCCTGCTGCGAGGCTTCGCCTTCTTCTGTGGTTCTCATACTATCCAGCGTCGCGCTTCCTGTTAGAGCCGTGGTCCCAACCACCTCCTCCATGTCCATGCCCAGTGTTCCGGGATCGCCGAACAGGCAGTCACGCAAGCCCCGCCTGGACCGCATCCAGCGAAGCGACCGCGCCCAGCGACGCCCGGGGACGTGTTGGCTCGTTTCGCACAACACGTCGAGCGCCGTGCGAGACGGTAGTATCGTCCAGCTCAACTCTTCGAACACAGCCGCAGGAGTACTACATATCAAGGCTGCACCTTCTTCGAAAACGTGATTATCTTCCTCTATTGTAGTTCCAGGTCGTGGTGATTCTGCGACCGCGATGCCGCTTTCGACGTCAACCAATTTCAGGGGTCCGGCCGCGTTGCCGTGCGTTTCCTCGGTTAGAAAAGGGCCGGAGCCTGCGTAGTACACCTCCCCGGTGAAGTCCGCAACGAGCTCCGCAACCGTGGATTGCATGCGACGGGGCGAGGACGAACGTAACTGTTGCTGCTTCAGAACGTAGAATCGCTTCCGCTCGGCAATGAGCGAGGTGTTTTTGTGCAGCAAGAACATGCGCAAGCAGGGGGAAAAATCCATCATGTCTTGCCTCTTCCTCACGTGTAGACAGATGCCGCCGAGCTTCTCCGAGAACTGCTCCAAGCCCTGGATCGTGCTTTCTGCTACCTCGGGCGTCAGCAGCAGCACCGAAACGGACACGAAGAGCTCTTTATTCATTATCAGGTGTGCAGCCAGGGAGAGCTTCTGCTGGTCTAGGCAGCTGCCGCTCCGTTGCGTACTCACGATGAGCAGTATGGCGCGGTCTCCAGCTGATGTCTTCCTCACATCATTAGCTTCGACTGTGCCAATTTTTTCCATTTCGTTTTGAAAAAGAACAATGCGACTGCAAAAAAAACATGCACGAGCGAGCGGGAGGAACGATATGAAGATCACTTCGTCGCTTTTTTGCGTTTATTTCTTAACCTGATCGCGATCAGTTTCAGTACCAGCAGATGACGGTAGTGCTTGCGTTTATCATTGTTCACTTATGAAAATGAATTGTGCTCTTTTTAGCTGATGAGTCTGAAGATTGTAACAGCTAGCTGCAGGCCATAGGTAAGCGCGACTCCCTGTTCTGTGGCGCCGAAGCTGCAGAAGTCGATGCAGTCCGAGCTCTGGTTTTACTCGAAACACTCCCGGATGTCGTGGCACTCTCAGGGCGTCCGTCTTCGTCTCTACCCATAGTGTGCCCCAAAACTTGAGTCCAAAGCGGCAACGGAATCGGAACCCCAGCTGCTGCATGGCTGTTTTTTGTTCCGGCTGCGGACGACGAGGACGACCCGTGCACAAGCTTGAAGGCGTGCTCCAGGGCTTCGGTTAGGCGCGATTCGAAGACGTCCGGATCGAACCGTGTCATTTCGAATTCATACACGTGCTTATAATCTCCTGGTCGCCCCCCCGGGCCCTCTGCTGTATTTTTAATACCAGAGGACGACCACGACCCGCTACTGGCGCGCTGAAACAACTCTGGCGTGCACCCTGCAGTACTGCTAAGGAAGAACAGCACCTTGATCTCCCGAGGAACGTCTTGGGCATCTTCCTTTTGCAGAAAGCGCACGACGTCGCCAACCCAGTGAAGCCGGCACCCATATTTCTTCCGGAGAAATTGCTGAAACAACGCACCGTCTTCGCCTGCCTGGTGATTAGTATTAGAGTTTCGAGATGAAGAGAGGAATTAATACGAAAGACTGAAGATGAGTGTAAACAGGCAAGTAAGTAGAGCTTTGCTATGTCCCTGTCTCTGCCGAGATTCACTGTAAGTACTACACCAGAGGGAGAAACGGAAAAGAAAAAGAGGACCTCAGCGAAGCCCAAAGTCATTGCGTGACCGTGACTTGGATTTGGATTTGCAGCAGAAGTGCGGCAAAAAAATCACGCAAAAGCACAACTTGCCACACAGATTATAATACCTCGGCCAGTAACTTCCCCGTGAGCTGCTTGAGTTTTGTTTGCGCTTGCTGCCTCGACCGGACGTATTGTTGCACCAGGTCTGCCTCTGCATTCACCGTGCGAGAAAGGACGAACGGCACCAGCTCCTTCTCCAGTTCGCGGATTGTGCATTCCGGCTTCAGCAGGTCCTGCGACAATTCGACAGCCAGAACGACGGCGTGGCCCCGCGGCTGACCGCTCGCACGGGACGATGACGACGACGAGGAGGAAGAAGAAGAACTTGGCGCATTCGCTGTGGTCTTCAATGAGGTGGACGTCATGTTCATCTTCTGCATCTTCACTCCACTTGCATACTTAATTGCAGGAGGACACACTCTTAGCGAGCACAAGAAACCAAAATTGTCCTTATTCTAGCGTTTTCGACTACATATCTTCTGCTTCGACATTCGACACACATTACAGCAAAATCATAGACACTACTTCGTACTCAAGTAGTAGCAATTCGGAGTCGATTCTTGATCCACTGACTAAGTCTCTACAAGAGCCCCCTTGCCCTTTTTCCTTTTCTCGTCTCGACGAGCACGAGGGCAGGTATGAAAAAACCAGAATTCCCCATGTCTTTTGATTGGAAGTTCTCGCGGGTTATGGCTTACCATCCTTCCACTTCATCCTCATCCACCTATCTTCAGCATGCCAAAGTCAGAGATTGCACTTGCAAACCTGAAGTAAGACCACTTAAGTTGATTTAAAAAAGCTGCTTATAATAGTTGATTTAAAAATCTAACGATTTGCAGTGGTGCCTGACCTTGGTCTGCTATCATAGCGGCTGATCAGCAGAAAAACAGAAGCAGCAACATCTTCGATTTTGTATGCTACGTCGTACTTTTGCAAAAATGAAACTTCAACTGCAGCTGAGCTCCTCAGCTGCGGGAAGAACTACAGCAACGATGCTTCTGGACGAATTGCAGCGACAGCGAACATCAAACAGAGGAGTTGTAGTCTGATTCCGCCTGGGGTGCAACTGCAGCAGCACAGGAACGAGCAGCGGCGGAAAAAATCATCAAGAAGCACTGGATGAAGATCTTTGTGATACTGATACTGAATGTTTCATCATCTGTTTCTCCATTGCTCGGCAATATTCTCTCCGACGCAGCACTTCGTTCGTACCACGTAGGTACGCCGCCTCTACTGATTGTCTGAGAGGCCTAGCATCCTGCGCGTTTGGTAGAGCGTGTCCCAGTCATTGTCCGAGCAGATCCACCCCTCTCTCGATTCTCGCACTAAGAGATCGGTCAACAAGATGGGTAACTTCTCTCCGGGCACCGGAATTCGCCCAATGGACAGCAGCCGCAGCGTAATCCACAACACCTTCACCGCCCAAATTCTCCGTGTCATGTTAACCGCACGCGTGTCGCTGAGAGCAGAGTCCTTCATAAAGCTTGTCTGTACCACAGCACCTCCTGCTCCTGTTGCAGAGGGGGACCCAGGAGGCACTACTTGCGTGCTGGTACTATCGTGGTCCCGCGAGTTCAAAAGTCCTGGCACAGCTGCGCCTGCCGGCTGCAAAACACTGCTGATGATTTGTGCGGCCGCGGTGCCGGTGGTGTACTGCAGACATTCGACCACAAGCCTGCCCAATCCGCAGTCCAGTGCCAGCACCGCCAAGGGCGGTTCGCGCACTGTGTTCCACAGCGCGTATAGCTGGAGTTGGAACAGGGATTCCAACTTCGGCACGCGCTGCAGAATGGCCGTCACGAAGCTCTCGGTAACCAGCAACGGCCGCAACTTGTCCGCAAAATCGCTCTGCTGGGAGAACGCCACGTGGAGCTGCGAGAGAAGCTGCATACCGCTCGCCGCAACGAGCGTACTCAGCCGGTCCGGCGTTTTCGCGTTCGTGAAGGCCGCCGTAATTGCCTTCTGCAGGTATTCTTGGAGGCGGACTGGAAGTGGCACGAGCGTGCTACCTTGTACATCTTGGCCCCGGCGGGCGGCGTCTGCAGATGATCCCTCAGCATCTTCTCCATCGTCCGCCCCGACGACTATTTCTTTGTCTAGTTCTAGCAAACTGAACAGTGCCAGATTGGGTAGGCGAGCAACCAGTAGGTAGAGTGTGTTTATCCCGAGCAGAGACGGGACCTGCTCCAACAAGGTACGGATAAACCGCGACACTTCGATCGTGCTTCCCACATCCCGCACCGCCGAATCCATGTACAGGAACTGCACCATACTCCAGGTGGCCTGCTCCGTGTGGTCGAGCGCCGCGCCCTGATTCGCAGAGGAGTCGGTTCCATTAGTAGCGTAGGACAAGAAGGAGTCTAGGACGGATTTCATGCTGTCTGCATTTTGCAAAGCCGAGAAGAACCCGCCCCCTCCGGCGTCGGCCTTGGAGCGTGCGGCGAAAAATTCGGCCTCCCGTAGGATTTGCTGGATAATCTGTTCCGCGTGCAGGTGCTGGTACACGGATTTCGGCAGCGGCATCGGTAAACTGCTGTCCGCGCCGGCGTAGATCTGCACAAGCTGCGCCTCCGCAATCCGCAGGTCTTCCGCTTGCAAAAACATATTCAGCGTTGGTGGTAGCGCTGACCCGTCAGAGGAGGTGCCAAACCGACGCGCGTCCTTGGTACCGCCCTCGGTCAAGAAGTCGGGTTCCACTGCCAAGAAGGCTGGCTGCGACTGTTCCGCGTGCGTGCCTACTAGCAACGCATTGTCCTTGGTTCGCCAGGTGCCGTCGGCCGATAGCAGTATGTCGATCGTCATCTTCATCGTGCTAGTATTTTTCGTTGTGCTAGAAGAGGTCCTTGCGCCATCTGTTTTTAGAGGAATTGTAGCAGTAGCAGCTTCATTTTGATCCACCACAGTATTCGACGTAATTTCATCCGGCGCAGCAACAGCTCCATCACCATAATCGTCCTCCGTCTTAGCGGTCGTTTGCACCACATAGAACAGCGGGTGCTTGCCTAGGTACGCGAAGTGCTTGAGGGCGTAGTGAGACGCCAGCTCCTGCTTTTGCACCAGCAGCCAAGACGACAGGAACACTCCGTCGAAAGCCCGCTCTGCACTGGCGCACGCCGATTGGAAGCAGAGGCGGATCCGCGAATTGGCCGAGCTACTGGAGGGCTTCCGCGTCCCCCCGGGGGGAAAAACCTGACACCACTTCTCGTGGATCGAAGCAAGGTCGTCTCGCTGGTCCTCGTGGAACAAGCTCCCGGGGCACAGTAACAGCATCTCCGCGAAGAACTCACCATCGGTCATCAGCCCGACGTCCTTCTTCGGGCGGTGCGTCGGCCTTTCGAACTTTCGCGCAGGGTCATCGGGGCCGCGCACAGAAAAATTGTCCACGGCTCCACCTTTTTCGTTCCGGGTGCGCAGGCCCCCGGCTCGCGCGACTCGGGTGTTTGTGCGGTCGAAGATGAACGTGGTCGCCTCCTGTTCGGCAGCCAGCTCCACCGGGGGCTGCGTTGCCAGAATCTCGTGGGCCAGCTGATTTCGCTCCATGAACTCTAGCAGGTACAGCTTCTCAGCGTTCTGCTGCGTCTCCAGATCTACTTGTTGAGCAGCCGCACGGAAAGGTCCGTTGCTTTTGGCATTTTTACCACCTGCAATTATGTTGGTGTTTCGTCCGCCGATAGCACTAATGCCAGGCATGCTATCATATCTTCCACCACCCAAGTTAAACGTAGGGCTGCCTAGTCCAACGCCTGCAGTTCCCACCAACGGAACAGGAGACGCACCCATTGTCGCCGGCGGCCTTCCCTGGCTGTGCGATTCGAGCCGTTGAGGGGCAGGCGGTGAGTGGCTGGCGTAAGCATATAGGGTACCCGCATCCTGCCGTGGGGGCGAGGTTCCCTGGCCCTGCACAGTTGCAGATGAACTACCAGTGCTCGGAGATACTATGTTCGAGTTTGTGGTAATCGTTCCTGCTGGACCTCCACCTCGTCCTGCATCAGAGATATTCATCCTACCAAACATCCTCTCTCGTTGATCGCGGAGCTTCCGAAATCGGTCTGTCGCCGCAATTTTGCCCGGTCTCACAGTTGCAACTTCTTGTTGCACGCCTTCATAATTCTGCGGCCGCCGAGAGGTGGGCGCCTCGTCGACGATTCCGGCGAACGATGGCTCGCCGGTCCTTATTGGAGGCACGCCAATGTGTGGCGCAGGCTTCTCCAGGCCGCTTTTTCGCGCTTCGGCATCACGCCGCTGCGCGGCGGATTTCATCTGGTCAGCGACTTGTTGATGGAATTTGAAAACGTTGCGGCGCGTTCTCTCCAGCAGAAACTGGTCGGCCCCTTCGCGTTCCAGCATCAGCAAATCGACGAGCGGGGGGCGCAGCTTACGCCGACGGATCCCTGGCTGCTGTTTCACGTCCGCCGTCGCCCCAGCACCTCCCGTCGGCCTCGTGGCTGCAGCGGCGGCTTGCTTCAGAATCTCTGCGTCGTCCAGGTCCAGCACGGCTTCCTCCCCATTGAGCAGACGCACGCGTGGCTCTGTCCCGTCCTGCTGCTTCGCGCGCACGGTGTTTTCCCATTCCGCAATCAGTGCGATCAGCTTCGCGATTTGGTGCAGTTTCCGCACCCAGATGCCACTGTAGCAGGCATCCAGAAGGACCAGAACCTCCCGCTCGCGCTTGGCTGCCTGCAGCTGCAGGGTATCCGCCAGTATGCCTCGCTCAGGTGGTAGAATCTCAAGTCTGTTTGAAATATTTAACTACGCCATTGTAATTGGATTACTTAGACCAAGACTCCATCTCCAGGTCCAGATTTGTATATTTGCATGACAGGCAGTGTCAGTGAAACCGCTCGACCTGAAGGAGTCTGCATCTTGGTTTGGATGCACATGATCTTCCACCAGGCGCCACAAAGTTCCAGCTGCTTCGTGCCCGTTGGAAAAACAGTTGAGATTGTTACACCTGCGCGGGCTATAGTTGGGTCCACGGCGTTGGGCAGCAACTGCTCCAGCAAGGCGAGTAGAAATCTTTGAAAACTCAAGTCTCCGTCAGCCAGAAGGGTATCGTAGCGAAATCTTGGGTAAAAGTCAAGTTAGTCATATAATGCGTCATGCCTTGTACCAAACGCGTGCCCAACGATTGTCTCTACGAAATAACTTCATTGAGAACGCTCGTGACCTCACATACAACCTGCGCGTGGTCGTTCTCGTTCGTGTTGCAGTACAATCGAAATCATGTCTGCTGAAAAATTCGTATCCAGTGCATAGATGATGCACGACACGACTGGACCACCCTTGGCGATGACCACGTTCCTGCGAAGACGTCCTCAAGAACATGCAGGAAGTGCAAAACTTTGACCTGACACGCTCGTCCCCGTGGGCGTTCGCTGGCATAGATCCAGTCCCCAGAATCCTCGCGGCCGTGACCACCGAACATCAAAAGCCGTGTCCGCCAGGGTGGGGGTCGGTCTTCTGGCTGTGACTGCGTTTGCGACGTCCTCCTCCCTGTAGAAGTTGTACCAGCTGCTGTTGCATTTTTGGAACTACTCTGCAGATTGTATGTCTTCTGCAGAAATGCCGTCATGCGGGCCAGCACCTGCTCGGAAGTGAGCGACCCGTCGAGGAGCGATCTCCGTGCGTCCACGCAACAGCCGAACGGAAGCGACGAGGGAATGTACGAAGTCGAGGTGGCTGCGCGATTTGGGTCCTCGTGTTGCGCCTTGCTCCAGCTCGCATACCGGGCGACACAATCGAAATCTCCATACAGGCGATCCAGAAACACACCGGATTCAACGTGGAACGGACAGCCCAGTAACAACGCCGTGCCAACTCCTGCCCTCTCCGCGACAGTGGTACTAGGTCCCTGAGGAAGCTTGTTGCTGGGTCCGCCCTCGCCCGAGGAGAATGCCCCGGCGCTCAACATTTAGAACAAGTCATATGATACAGCCTTCACTATCACTAGCGAATGTGCACACAGCGACGGTGCGAACGTCGATGGCCCAGAAACACCCACCCGGTATTTGCACGACATGTGTGCGCACTCCTCCTTGCAGATGGTAGAAGCTAGCGTAAGTGATTCTGAGAATGCGGTTGAGAACTCTATGTAGCGTCCCACACAAATTAATTAAAGAAGCAAATTGGCTCCAGTGCTCTCTTCGCCGATTTTTTTTCAACGCTCACCCTCACAGTGTCGTGTATCTCCGACTGACCTCTTGGTCCTTCGGAAACGCAAACGAACACGTAATAAATTACGTGCCCCCGGCCACTCCCACTCGCCAAAATGGAAATCGACGATATGCCAAACGACGGCGCAAGCGCATCAGTGGCGCAATTATTTCTTTTGGATTTGGTAGTATCTATTCTATACATGATTCTTGCGTATCTCTGGGAATCTTTCATACTGTACAATTCATTCTCAGGCAAGTTTCGGTACATGTGGATGAAAAGCATTAACTGATAAAAACGAGAAGCTGCGGGATCATGGCAGCAACAGCTCTCGAGAGACGTACAATGCACTGCTAATTTCTGCGGGTGGTGTCATGATGCTGACCCCTCCGCTCGCGAAACCGTGAAACTTTTTATCGAAAGAAACAAGAAGAACGTAGTAGTAGAGACCTCAAAAAAAGAGTAAAAAGCACGCGTGCTCTACTACATACCCTAATCATCTTTTGCGAATTTGTACTTAGAAAGAAACTTTGAGGTGTAAATCTGGAGCACCAGATCACGACAACGGATATTGGACGTTTCCGTGTCGTTCTTCGTCATAAACATCTATTCACTTTGTATCACAGAATTCTTACGTCCTCCGACAAGGCCTTGGCCTTCGTCGCTAATTTACTGAGTCCGTCTACTTTGAGGCTGCGCTCTCAATTATGTCCTAAAGAGACGAGCACGAGCAGCATACCAAAGGACGACGTCTGACTCCGAGCTTACTTAATTGTCGGACTTGTACTCGTTCCACTTCATGACCTTCTGCGTGAGCCGGTTCATTTCGGTTACGTACGCTTTCTCCTCGCGGAACAGCTGCTCTTGGTCGGAGCCGAGTTTTTTCACCCCGGTTGACGTGTCGTACGTCCGGATGTAGTGCGCCCAGGAGGTTTCGTGGAATTTCTCGCGCGCGGTCCGCAATCGCTCGTTTGCGACGCTCTTCGAAACCCCGGCCGGCGGATCGATGGAGACGGTGAGTTTTGGGGGTGGCCGCCTCTTCTCCAGGATCTGGTCCTTGGCGTCGTACTTCGGCTTTCGGAAAAAGTCACTGAACGCCGTTAGTGCCTGATAGAAAGAATAAGTCAAGAAGTTTTGTTGCAGCTGTCTTTGTGCAAAGAATGACGAGACCCGTCTTGTTTCGTGCTTCTCTGTTTGTCGTGCGTTGATCCCCACTGGTCCTCGCCTCTCTACGGTATGAGCGAGTCAGGGGAGTTCAAAAGTGGCTTCATCTCGCGCACGTGCTATGGATATGGTGTGAGTACTAAATAAAAATATACCTCTGACTTCTCTGTTCGCGCGGAGTGAAGAGGTGACTTTGCTCCTGGTGGCAGCTTATGCATTGCAAAAGTATCGCACTCGTAGTAAAATCTCTGTCTTTCTTAACGCAGGTCTGCATTTACAAATTTCTCATGCTGAGGAAATCATTTCTCATGCGATTTAATATACTAGTACAGTACTTTTGCCCAGGATACAGCTGTTCGTCGTCCTCCTGGTGCTCCACGGAGGTTTTGTCCTCCAATTTAAAACGATTACTCACCTTGAACCTCAGGTGAAAAGCGTCGGTGGAGCTTTTGCCCACGATCCCACGCGCCCCAAACTCGATGGGGCTCTCGTTTTGACTCGCGTTTTCCAGGGCGGTGTAGCTAACCATAGGGCTTATGGGGCTCTCAAACGTTACATTCTCAACTGTTACATGATTTGTCATGCAAAAGCACCTTCAGCCGGCAGATGATGGAGCTGCTTCGCATGACAAATTTCGGAAGGGCAAAACAGCATCTAAATCTGCGCCAAACTTGTAATGCAAAAGGCGCAATCTTCCTCCTTTCACTTTTGCCAGTCTTGCATTACAAATTCATGTAACAGTTGAGAATGTAACATTTGAGAACTCCATAGGGCTCAGCCAGGACGTGTTAAACTGCGCGTTCTCGACCCGGCTGTTATACATTGCAAAAGTGTCTGGGTCTGGAAGATTGCTCAGGTTTCTGATGCAGTGTCTGCTTGACACAGTAGAAGGCGTGCCATGCAAGGCCTAGCATCACAGGTTTTGAGACGGTTTCCCAATGCTTAATCCGCATAACAAACGCCTTCTTTCGGCGACAGGAGAAGGAGCCCCCTTTGCTGCCTAAGCATGACAGATTTTTGTGTGATCCAAGTACGCATCACAAGCTTACACTCTTCCTCTTCCAGACCCAGACACATTTGCGATTGATAGCTGTACCGTGGTGGTAACGTCAGATGCCGGAAAACGCACGTGCGCACCTGTAGAAGTTATCGGCTTAGATGCAAGCTTCTTGAGCTCAAGCTAAATGCAGCAAACGCATTGATGCGTCTCTAAGCCACATTTCCTCGCTGATGTTGTAGCGAGCGAACGAGTTTGGGCCAGGACATGATCTTCCACATTGTTCTATCTTGACACCAACCGCGCCAAGATGAAACCTATATCAATAGCAAGTGCGAAAACTCTAAGCAGCGAAGCTTCGAGGCAGCGAAGCCTCGAAGCAGCGAAGCCTCAAAGCAGCGAAGCCTCAAAGCAGCGAAGCCTCAAAGCAGCGAAGCCTCAGGCGCCAAAGCTGTGGGCGCGACCACCCCTTGTTCTATTCGCCGCCCCCGTTTGCTTTCGTTCCTCGCTAAACGCAAGCCCTAAGCCCCGACTTAAACCCTAAGCCAGACGAGCTGAGGCCGCGCGGCCAATAAGCGCCAAAGCCGGGCGAGGCCGCGCAGAGAAGCGGCAAAGCCGGGCCCGCGCGGCCAGGTGCCAAGCAAAGCCGAAGCCGCGCGGCCTACAACGAACTAATCCGCGCGGCCCAAGGCAAGGGCGGCCCAGACAACGAAAGGCGACCCGGCCATCCCGGCTCGTGCCGGCCCGAGCTAGCCGGGCGGGCGCGAGGCCAAGCTAACCCGGGGCCCAGCTAGCCCGGCGTGGCTCATGTGACGGCCAACCAGCCGGCCGGCGCGAGGCCATAGCCAAGCGGGCCGATTTGTCGCGTTTTCCAGGGCGGTGTAGCTAACCATAGGGCTCAGCCAAGACGTGTTAAACTGCGCGTTCTCAACCCGGCTGTACCGTGGTGGTAACGTCAGATGCCGGAAAACACACGTGCGCACCTGTAGAAGTCAACATCGCTTTATTTGCAAGTTTCTTTAGCTGAAGTTATTAAAAGGAAGGCAGCACACGCATTGATGCGTCTCTAAGCCACATTTCCTCGCTGATGTAGCGAACGAACGAGTTTGGGCCAGGACATTATCTTCCACATCGTTGACACCAACCGCGCCAAGATGAAATAGTCGGTAATATTCTAACTTCAACAGTAACAGGTAGTCCTACTGCTTTCTCGTATTTCTGTTTGTCCAGCTGGGCGTTAAACATTTTGGCGGTGATATTCCGCTGCATTTCCGTCGACGCGCTTCTTCGAAATCGGCTGAGCGCAGCGGTGCTCTTCTTGGGTTCCGGCTTCTTTTCCGCCGTGCCCGGCGCAGCACCTTTGGTACCGTCGCCCGCTGCACCAGCGCCGGCGCTGGCCGAACCTCCGCCGCCCTGCTGGACCGCTACGTCCGACTCGCGCTTGGCGTCGCGAGCGCGCTGCTCGCGGTTCGTATGGCGTTCTCAACTGTTACATTCTACACTGTTACATGATTTGTAATGCAAAATCCCAATCAGAATCGACGCGATCAAGCTGCTTCGCATGACAAATTCTTGAAGAGCCAAACAGGCTCGGAATCTTTGCCAGATCTGTCATGCAAGACCCGCAAGGTGACCCCTTTCACTTTTCCCATTCTTGCATGACAAATCCATGTAACACTTGAGAATGTAACAGTTGAGAACGCCATAGTTCGCCTTCCGCTGTTGCATATGGGAATGTAGTCAGGTTGGAAATTTGCAAACAAGTGGCTGCAAGAGAAACAATACTTATTTGCATAAACACGCATGGGCATGACACACACAGCGTCTGACCTGTTGCACTACGTGCAGCCTCCAAGGTAGATCATTGTAGTTCCCCTGCTCCTCGGGCACATACGCACACTCAATGTTGTTGTTGATGGCGATGCTGAAGAGAATGACAAAGGCCCTTGGAGCTTTTGCTCTTAGCGGCGTGACAGATCGACCTTTCGTGTCTGAAGATTTCGACATGCGCCATGTAGAAATTGTGAATCCAAAAATGGGTCTTGCTTGATCTTCCGCTCTGCCGATTTCCAACCTGACGCTGCTTTCCCATACTGCGAGTAGAGCATGTAGGACCCCGCAATCGCCTTTTCCACTGCGACTACATGCCCCAGGGACTGCCCGAGATCCTCGACCAGATAGTCGACTCGCGTCTTGTCTGCGTTCATGGCGTCTTCTTTTGCCGCGGGGTCCAGAATACCGCTGTATTGCTGTGCCTTTTCGCGTGCGCGCATCTGGAGCAGGTCGGAAAGCACGGACCCGTCGGGTGGTCGTGAGTCCTGTAACAATTAAGTACCAGTGTGGACTCTTGCAGTAGATGTTGCGCTTGACATCAACCATCATCAATGCAAATCAAAATTGCTGACGCCGCCCTCCTATTATTTCGTCAAGTAGAAATCAAACTGCGCGAGGTGCACGCGGCTTGCAGTACTTATAATTTTGAATTTCTATTTTTTCATAGCATGCAAAAGATCCGTACCTGTGAGCCGAATTCCAGCTCGGTTTGGTCTGATTCCATGAGCAATGCAGCTCCCATGGTGACATCGGCATAGGGGTGCTTTACCAGGTCGCGGACAAAGACCCCATCTCGAGAACGGTGTATTGTTGTCGCTTGTGGCGTGAATCCCGTCAGCTCGAAGTACACAATTGTACCTGGCAATTGCATTGTCTACTTCGTGTTATGATGTTCACCACGACATCAACTACAAGAATCAGCCGCCCGCGAAGTGACATGTTGACCTCTACAACTTCTGGCCACATCTTCCCCGTTTCTTTTTTCTTATGGATGGCTTTTCTTTTCTTTTTGTTTTTGCGCCATGATTGAAACAAGAATACACACTTCAGGTTCAGGGAAGCCGCACAACGTGTGCAGGCGCGTCCTGGTACAACATCGACATAGTCGTGTGTTAACGTCTTTCTCCATGGGGGACGACTCGCAAGACTTTCAAACACGCAACAGCTACGGAGACCACAAATAAAAAGCTTTTCGCATTGAAATGAGGGAAAATTATGGCTTCATCTACCGGATATAAAAAAAGTAACTTTCATCTTAGGCGTCCTGTATTAATAGTGTTACCTACTCTACTTATGACGGATTGCGCTGCGTCGATGAAACCCAAGGGACCGAGTTGGAAGAAGTCAAGGAGCGCCCGATAGACCAGCTGCGTGAGAAAAACCGGGAGAATTTCGAGCATATTGCGCTGGTGCTTCTTGTCTTCTCGAAAGTACAGGAGGTAGTCCTGCCAATTGGTGACCAAGCAGCTGCGACACCGCTTGCTGAGCTCGGCCGAGTCTTGCGGGCGAAAAAGGACGCACACCGAGAGGTAAAATAGGTTCGCAAATACCCGATGGAAGAGGGAGGACTGGACCATGTAACTCTCCAGAGGCAGCTGGTTATGGTTTGCATCAATCGAGTACTCATCAAAGAAAGTATCTTCTTCATCTGTTGGGAAGATGATCTTCTTCTGCGCATACTAGTACAGGAAGATCAGAAACAAACCAAAGTCACTCTCACTTTCATATTTTCACTAGACCAAATAATTTAAATCATTCTGTACCTTACTTCTCCCACCGGAATCTTTCGCGCTCATGGTGCTCGTGTTCGGGGAATTGGATCCACCGCCCTGCTTCAGGCCAAGCATCATAGCCATCCAGAGGAAAACATAAACAACCGCGTATTCCCGAAAATTGTACGAATAGAAGCACAAGCATGCGGCTCGGAAAGAATCTAGATCTACATATTCTTATTCATCGCGCCCGCCGGAATAAACAAACATCGGCTTCGGTAACAAATACAACTGACTCATTAATATGCGGGCTCCGCAACAAGTCGAAAAAAGCTTATTAGCGGGTTGAAGAGCGGTTGTTCTCATCTTTTCGATTTGGTAGTGTCCTTCACCGCTTGCTCCGCCGAGAGTGGCAGCGTGTTCAAATCCTCTGGTTCGTACAGGAACACATCCTTCCGGTCGCCGTCTCCCCCCATTTTTGTGCGCGTGCTCGTGAAAAGAGGTTGTTGAGGTACTGCGTACTTAGCTCGTCAGCGGGAAAACGCTGACCCGAGAGGAAAATTTGTGGTGGTGGTTGTGGACTACCGATGTATGTTGATTACCTGATGTGCAGCTTTCTGCTGCTTCTGTAATCTCGTCCTCTGGCGAAATTTCCAATTTTTACGGGCCCTACTTCCAACAGTAGTTGCTGCGCGCTTCGACAGAACAACAACTGTTCCCGCCTCCTGTAGTCGCGAACCACACTTCTGCTCGCCCTTCTCGGTAAGATCCACTTCGAGGAGAAAAGGTTGACACGGCGCAGGTACAAGAACCCCACGAGAGCGAGACCACGCAAGAACGGTTTATTGGTTCTGTGCCTGCTTTTGGTTTTGACCGCGGCCCCTGGTGTGTGCGGAAAGATGTCGGTCTCCCTGGGCGGATCGCTTCAGACTTTTCTCGTTAAAAATAGGTCCACCGCGACCGCACAGATCAACAACCGCAGTCAAACAACTTTCTTTGTAGTTCTGTTCTCCTGAAGCTGCTGATCGTGGATGAAACAAACGAAACGTGAGCAAGCTGGTGACCACAACAAGACTTTTTTATTTCATCCCCCGCCCGCGTTCGTACTCGTCGTGGTGCGACCGGTCTGTGCACCAATTTCGTACCGCAGGTATGGCTGAATCTCTTCTCGATCTTCCCCGTTGATGTTCGGTGCAAAGGAACTGGATGAAAATGGGCGCGAGACTGCCTGCTGGGGCGGGAAGCTACCGGAGGTGCCAAAAACGCCGCTGCTAGTACAGCCGCCAACGAGAACGCCGAGTAACAGGAAGCCCCAAAAGACTAATTCGCCCTCCCAGAACGCCGCCTCGGCAGGGTCAGCAACTTTGTTCGTGTTGGAAAGTAGCAGAGCAGAGGACGCACCACCAGGACTCGTCGTCACACTCGCAGAACTTGCGAATCCGAAAATGGAGCGGGGAGATAGCAGGCGCAAGTTCATCTAGATGGACAAAGGGCCGCCCGAGCTCATCCCGACGAGCGAAGATATACTGCTCCAGGCTTCCGGGTGACGCAGCAAAGCACGGCTCCCTAACACGCACCCGCACGGTCTGGCACAAGTTGAACTGCTGCTGGCTCCGTCATGATGAAAAAACAATGCTGCTTGATGTGCTGTGCATGTTCATTTTTTAGTTCTAGATGCACCGTCGGCGGTTCGAATCTTCAGGCCTTCTTACTTACTCTTATTTCATACGCTCTGCACCATCGGTGTTGAAAGAAGCCCAAAGATGGAACAAGAAACAAGTGGCTACAGCTCGTTTTCAGCCCTTCATCTGGCCTTTTCGTAAGCTGGAGGAGATGCTACAACAAGAACCCATCGCGGCATTGTGAAACAAACAAACACTATCACAAGCTAAAAAAAAGCACTGGTGGTAGTTGCAAGTAGGTGTGTTCTGGTGGTAATGTGAAAATGAACGAGATGATGACACTCATTCACATGTATGTTGAGAAGTTTCTAATCCCATCGGGATACGGATATGCCCTTCGACCCTTGCGACTCATTTTCGGAAAAAGTGCTACGGCACCTCCGCGTGACCTTGGTTAATTGCAGCAATACACGTGCTGCATCGACACCGGCTTCGAAATATAATGCACGTGGCTAGGAGGTACGAACGATATAATAATCAGAATCATAATCAACGCAACATAAAGAAATATAAGCTCCTCGCCCGGCACCCACACCCACGACGATCACAGCGCTTTTGTTTTCACCGATGGATATTGAGCGTAGTTAGACACTCACTGAGTGTTTCCAGGGCCCGGAAGCACGCAGTGAAGACTAGGACGAGGACAAGTTTTCCCTGTACTCATCGATGAAGTAGCTAGAGCTACAGGTGAAGCTTCAATACACAGATCAGATTAGGGCACCGAGACACGTGTTCCCGAGAAACGGTCGGAAAGCGAAGCTACAACCGCGTCCCCTCCTGGCATCAGACTTGGCCACAAGAGCAGAAGAAACCTTATACCACAAACACCACACGACGCTGCTGACTGCTCGAGCTAGTACTTGGCCATCGTAGTTGTTCGCTCTCGCTGGCTCCGTGCATACTTTCCGCCGATTTCAGTATTAACATCAACGCGCCCGAGGTTTTTTTCCACCTCATCGATGTGTTCACAAAGAGAAAGATGTTCGTTCCCATAACTCTATCTGCAACAATCAGCTCGGTAAAATTAAAATACAAGTTCGACATTTGGGAAAATTGTTCGAGTGCACCTAAGCAGTTCCATAAATTTTGAAACGGACCTCGGCCCGTTCAGAAGTTCTTTTTGACCGAACATACAGACACACGATCAGCTTTTGAAAAAGTAGACTGTTCTTTGGCTGTTTGCTCTATTTTGTCAAGAATCTGTAGAAATTTTGTAAAAACGCAAACTTTTTTGTTTATTTTCATTTAGTTCTTTTGTCTTTTGATACACGACTAAAAACAGTGCACTTTTTACCAGCAAGACGGTACTGAGTTGCTATAGACGCATACGGATACGTTGGTTTACTTAATCAAGCAAAGCGCTCGCAGGTGGTGCGGGAACAGGCTCGCTACAGCCACGTCGGTCTGGTTCCGTGAACGTGTAACTCTATTGTATCTATCGTCATCGACATCGTGGCAGAAGATTTTTAGAAGATTATAGAAGCAAGCCCATACTTTGTAGTTCAGCCCGTGACATGGTCTGCAGCCCTTTTTTCCATCGGTGCTGCAGGTGTGTCGGTTGCCGTCACCGCGTAGAGGTGGCCGTATGCCCAGACGTCCTGGTATGGGAGTTTCAGACAGGAAATCGACGAATGCATGAGTATCCGTTCAAATTCGTCCACGAATCGAAGCATCGACGCACGTTGATTTGCTTTTGGCATTGCCATTGGGCCGTGCAGTACTATACCATACTACTTGAATGATGCACGTTTATATGTATGAATGCAAATCCTATTTCTTCGACAATTTTCCGCCTGACACTGCCATATTTGAAGCGACTGTGCGAAACACTCCTTCCGGTTGCAGTCACCAGTGCGTCGCCAGTCATTGAATAAACGCGATTGCTTCTCGTCCTTTCGCTCATGTGCGCACCTTTTTTTTGTGATGTGATCTTGATAACGTCATCGTGTTTTATTTTCGAAAGATTCATTCGTTGATATCTTCATCAAGCCAATTTTTCACTTGTGGAAAAGAAAATCGATGTAGTTGCACCTGATCGCCGTTTCAGGAAATGCTTCTGATTTCCCGCCGAGTAGCCATCGGTCGCTGCGCCCCTCTGTTCAAGCACTCCGGAACCTTTGTGTTTGTGATTAATTTCTCAGCTTGGATTGCTACGGAGGTTCTTTTTTTGATAATTTCGTATGCGCTCTTTCTCTTATTTTTGCCCGTTGGCAACGGGCCGCTGCACTTCGTGTTTTCCAGATGGAGACAGCACAAAAAAAAACACATCCAAACGTGCAGAAAACCATCGTACTGAAGACAAGAATTCTGCCATGATTTTTTGTGAAATAAGCAAGTAGAGGTGAACCAGGGTAGAGCTGGTACCGCTCGCAAAGTAGCTTTTGGTCTCCTTTGCCTCCTCTCGGGCATGCACCGATAAACCCATCTTGGCGCGAACATCTGGCGGTAGTGCGCATTTTGGCATTTTTGGACGCGGTACCGCAGTATCCAGCTTGCTACCCCAAGCGCACTGCAACCCGGAAGCAGTCTTGCCGTACGACATTTTTGTCTCGATAATGATTTCAAAATGAAAAACTACTACAAGTACCCAACACTAACATTGACCAACGAGTTCGCTTTACACACAACACACCGCCGCACTGCACCCAACCAAAATCATCAACAGGACACATATTTACATTTAGAAATTGAAATTGGCAAGACAAAGACTACTGTCAAAAGCGAAAGCCGGAAGTATGTTCTATGAAACACAGTTCAACTCCTGTGCCACTTTTTGTAATTGTGTGTCCATTCCGCTAACAAGCCCGACAGTTCTCGCACGATACTCTTTTCGCTCATCAACTCTTGCGCGGACGAAGGAAACGAATTAAACTACATCTACAACACAATAGATCGTCCGTCTTGTCGCCGAAATCATTCTGCTACGTTCCTTTCCTGTCACTACTCGAAGCAAGTCTCTCTCGATGGATCACGACACATCGATTCATGGAAAACTCACATCACGAGAAACAAACAACGTCGATCTGAAACTCTCTCATTTAGGAGGTAATACAGATGAAACACGGCGACATGATAGCGTCGAACGCCTCTATCAAAGGCAGATCTAGACGCGATGGATTGCCTGGTGCTTGATGATGATGTTTCTCTTTGCATGTTTTTGCGTAAGTATATCAAATCTTTTTTTTGTTGAAGTAGACTGCAAGACACAATGGTACATTCGTCGTTGTCGTGGTCCAGCGAACAAGCGGCCTCAGTCAGAGTCCGCGCCGGAGCTTCTCTTTTTTCCCGACGTCTTACCACTCCGATTTTTCATCAATTTTTTCCCGTGTTCAACATTTTTGCGCTTCTTGCTAGAAGTGCTAGCTTTTTTTTTCTGCTTTTCTGAGCCACACCGTCCTTTTGTCGGCTTCATCTCGACGATTTCGCCAGAAGTTGCTCCTGTACTACAACCTCCACTTTTGATTTCAGGTGCTGTGGCTCCATCGGTGCCAGAAGAAGAAGAGCTACAGCTAGTGCTTGTCCAGGCGAAGACGTAGGTTTTCGCCCCTGTCTTGAGAATCTCCTCATTGGCAGACGCGGATAAGTTTTCCTTGAAGCCGATGGTTCGCCGGTGCGCGTAGCCGGGAAAGCAACGTGGGTCGAAGTCGTAAGCGCCCCGGACGCGGAGGCGGTTGTTGCTCCCCTTGGCGCAACAGCTGGCAATTTTCCAGTCCTTGTAGGTGTCGTTGCTCTTCAGCGTCACGTGCACCTCCCCCGTCTTCGACGTCAGGCACTTCACACACTCATTGAAAAACCCCTGGAGCATCTCCTGGTTCTCCTGCACATTCTTGGCCCGGTCCCGCTCCCCGGTCCCGCTGTGCGGAAACTGGAACACAATCTTGTCGAACTTCCGTTCCTTTTGGTCTGCAAACACCTCCGACAGCTTGCGGCAGTCCACGCCCACGCAAACCTGCGTGTTCAATTGCTTTTTCAGAAATTTCACGTTCTGCTTCGCCTCCTCGCCGTATTTCTGCAGCAGGGTGGACTTATCGTCGTAACACGAGGCCACAAGCAGCGCACGGCCTTCTTGCACCTGAAGATCCTGCTCCGGAAAGCCAGAACTGTGTTCCTTCGCTTCAGGTAAGGTGGAGCGGTGATCTACTACAACTTCCGCTACATTTTCATTTTGTGCCGCTGGCGACGACAGAGTGCTCGCCACCACCTGGCCGTCATCATAGGTACTACTGCTACAGGGTTCAGCAGCTGCAGCACCTTCTTCTGTCACTGACTCTAGTACAACTCTGACCGTCGGCCGCTCCGTTTCGTCCTGCTGGTGGCTCTCGCTTCGGCTTGTCGTTGTTTTACTATCGGAACAAACGTCCTCGTCCCGAGGCCCTCCTCGTCCGCTGGAAGAGGAAGGTGGCGGAGATGATCCAACCGGAGCTGCAAAAGGGCTGGTGCAGAGAGCGCGCGCAAAACTAAAGTTTCCCTCGCCGACCAAGAGAATTCGCTCTCCAGGGGCGTTGTACTGGCGCACGGCCTTCAACAGCTTGCTTTCGAACTCTTTGCGGCTCTTCTTCGTCATGACAAGCAAACAATTTTCCACCTCGCGCCCCGCCAGCGCGCACTGGCTCTCCCAGGTATGCATTGCAAACATGTCTGCGCGTCTGGAAGGCTGCGTGTAATGCTGAACTCCCGGCTTTCATCCCATTCGCATACTCCTGAGCTCTGTGATGCATGCTAAGCTACGGAATAACGATGCCTCATATTTCTTGGTGGTGCAAAAACGCGATTTGCGTATCAAACAACAGCACAAGAATTTCTTATGCGTAGCCGCATACTGCCGCGCCCGCGGTCAGCATTGCATGATGCCATTCATGTTGTATTCACATCGCAACTTTCCAGACCCCGACACATTATGTGCGATCCATACCAGAGGGCATAGCTCAATTTGCTGCAAACCGTGCGTGCCCGCTGCCCCTGAGCTTGTCCCTGAAAGTCCGCGGCGGAGAGGCCGTGGGGGTTCGCCAGCCGCTCTTTCTCCTTTTGCTCGTTCGCGTGTTTTTTCTTTTCCTTTTGCACCTTCTTCCGGTCGGCAGTCTTCATGTCCCGTCGCACGGTGCGGAACTTCGCCTTTTTCATCCCACGTAGGCCGTGCTTCGCCATGACTTCTCAAAGTAGAAGTGCAGGTAGCAGGAGGGATTCGGCCGTCGATTTTGGCGATGATTGGAAGAACTTTTCTTCCTGGTGTACTATGATATTCACGTTGTTTCTATCGAAAAAACGAACTCTTATTTTCTTCCAATACCACACTTAGACCAATGCTAGAGAGGACTGAGTCTGAGACGACGAAGAGGAAATTGAAATTGAAGACAAACACAAATTCTAAACTCAAACTACGAAAAAATGGACAGTACTATCTCGTGTTGAATGTCATCCTGTTCTTCAATCTAAATCATGCCTTATCATCTTCATCTCCAATCAAACAAGGGACCACATGCTCCTCTTGTCATACTTACTCAATTTCTCTTAGCCCTTCATACGCAGATCCGATTCAAGAGGTCGTGCGCAAATGAGCACTGCTTTCTCCACGGAGCACTGCTTTTTTTGTATTTGTGCTATAGCTATGACTCTCGTTTGCATGAAGATCTAGTTTTTGTGTTGCGTCCACCTCACCATCGCAATCCATTTCCATTCTGATCATCAAAACAAAATTTCCTTCAATTGATACTTATGATCGAAATCGATGAGCCACATCTGACATTTGCTTTTGGGTGACCACATCGATGACAGAGACAGACTTTTAGGCAAGCATGACAGGTCTTGCTTCCTTCCGGATCCGGGCATATTTGCAATGCTTTTTACTCTTTGCAATGGCTCGTACGCACGTGAACCCAGATCGATTTCCGGCATAAAAAATGTTCAGTTCGTATTTTCGTCCTTGAAACCAATATAAAATATGAATATCGCACTTTTGCTCCACCACCCACCAGCACGAATTGTGTATCAACATGATATAGGCGCATTCTTGTTGACGAGTAGACTTCGTCATCACGATCATTCTTGTAGTCTCCTGGAACACTAACACCCTTTGAGTCAATTCCGGTGGCCCGCGTCTAGCCTCCTTCGTCCGCCAGAAACGGGTGCTGATGATCAGATTCGATTGGAAGACAAAGCAACGGACCGCTCAAATATCAAACGATAAAAAGTACTTTGCGTGTACATATTATAATTTCCGATACTTTATCTTTTTTTACGTCAGCGCCCTTAGCTTCATCTGGCGCATCTGTTGATTCTCGATTTTTTATAGATACATTTATTTAGTGTAAAGTAAAGCGGATCTGTTGTAACCGTTTTTCTTCTGGCATTGTCTGTCAGTCGGCGTGAGTAAAGTACATGCCTTGTTTGAAATAAAGAGCCTCACAGATGAGGACGAAACGCGAAGGCCCAGCGTTGCTGCCGCGCCTTTTAATCTGCTCGTCCGGTCAAACAATTTCACAGATCACAAACTTGGAGAAAGGGCGTTATTTTTAGGCAAAGATGTTTTACTTGTTTTGGATTTGGGGTTAGAGAATAGAAAACGATTTTCATTTGGTAATGCTGAAATGTAAAGGCTGACGTAAACATGCGAAAGTTGTAAACTGTTACTGTAAATGTAAAATTTCAAAAATAGTTAAAACAAAATTAAACAAGCCTGGTACAAAAGATATCAGTTTCTATGTGATTTCAAAATCAAATAGATGAGTGCCATGAGATATGAACATATTATACTAGCACCTAAAATTCTTTTTGTGCGTGTAGCCGAAAGCGAGTGGTGCTAATATGATCAAATCTTCAGTACAAAACTGCAAGTGCAACAACTACAGTGATGAAATAGAGTATAATGTGCACAACAACTTTTCAAGTACTTCTACTTCAATTCGTATAATTTCTCAACAAGGTCGTCGTGATCATGCAGCAAGTAAGTAAGTAAATCGGTCCTCACATCACATTCATACCTTGGACCGATTGCCATGCTTGATGTCCTGTTCTGCTTCTTCGTTGTTCGAATTTCAACATTCTTGGTGGGATTTTGACAAATGGTGTGCGAACGCGGACTTCACATTTCCTTTTCCGCGACTTCTGATTGTAGTTTTTCGAAACGTGTTTGATTCTTCGACCCTCCTCGCGTCGTCCCAACCCTGCAGCTTCTTCACCGAATCGAGGGCGTGATCGCCGGACCTTGGCATTCGTTGCAGGAAGAGCTGTCCCGCAGCCGGGTTCCCATGAACCCCTTGATGTTCGACATGCTGGCCGATTGACAGATCAGGTCTATCCTCTGCAAAAGCGTTCCCATCGTCCCAGAGTTGTGTTGTCATGCAAATCTGCATGCGTATTAAAATGTTTCTTATGCGCAGCAGCCCCATGAGGTGGAGCATTTTCTCATCCTTTCTGGGATTTGTTATGCTCCAATCAGCATAAGTAAGGAGCTAGGTTTGTGATGTTAAAACAACCGCGCCGACATTGCCATTGTCCATTATCGCTACGGAAGCAAGCCTTCGCAGGCGCTGGTTTGTGATGTACTAGCTTGTTCAACAGTACTAGCCAAGCAGCACTAGTACAACACTACTCGTTATCCAAAGAACTTGTCATGCGCATCAACAGGAGCCAAAACTTCGGCTTCTGTGTTGCAAAATGATTCCCATCTTGACATAAGTACTCTGGGGTCGTGGGGACGTCGTTTTTGCACGGAATAAGGTCGCTGTGAAGTTCTTTCGTCGCCCCGGACTGGATAAGGTCCACGCCTGCCTGCATGGTGTCCTTGTACTGCGAGAAGTCGTTCGCCGGAATGTCTTCACACCGGATGACAATGCATTCCGAAAACAAGAAGCAATTCGTTTCCATCTGGGAATTGCCGTAGAAGGTCGAAAACAGGCAGTGCGGGTGGTCCTGGCATGCCTGGTCGCACGCGGCACGGTCTTTCACTCCTTTTACTTTCGACGGGTGGCCCGATCCCAGCAACGTATCAGCAGCTTGAATTTGGTTGTCGGCAATTTTCGACAACGCCCCGAATCCAGCGAAATTCGAACCCGCCTCCGCGGCCGCGCCCGCTGTTTAGTTTTAGTATTTTCGGGATTGCTTCCCTGATTGTTCAAATGCAGCATTAAATAACAGTCAAAAATCACTCTCGCGCTATTGAGTATGTACTTCATCCGCGACAAAGAAATCTTTCCTCGCGGAAATTAATAATATAACAATCAGACGGCCGCGCGAATGCGAAACCCCAAGTGAAGATACAACTGCGCCTGGAGTTTTAGTTTATGTCTTCTCGCTCGTGGCGCAGAGGCAAACAAATAGAAATAGGATTGATAAAGAAAATGTGAGATGAATAACAATAAATACCGAAAGTGGATTGCGTGAAGTCACAAACCGGGTGGCCACGGATGCACAGGAACCAGAGACCCCAGATCAGCAAGAAGAGTCCAATATGGCGCTCTCAAACATTACATTCTCAACTGTAGTAGTTACATGGATTTGTAAATGCTAAACCGACCGAAACCAAAAACGCAACCAATAGGGCATATGGATTTGTAATGCAATAGCACAGGTGAGAAGGAAATGAAAACCGCCCTCCTGCGCGTCTTGCATAATACAGATCAAATTCGGTGCGGATTCTAGTGCTATTTAGCGCGTCGAGAATCGGTAGTGATTTTGCATGACAAATGATGTAACATCAGTTGAGAATGTAACATTTGAAGAACGCCATATCCAACCGCGGATCCGACCGAGATTCCGACAATGGCCCCGGTACTGAGTTTGCCCTTCGGGTCACCCGGATTGCTGGCGGATCCGTAGCCGTACTGCGAGCCCATCGGCTGCATTTGCTGCGACTGAAAGCCCGTGGCCGCACCATAGCCCCCGTTGTTGTAGCCGTACGCCGCACCGCCGTCGCCGGTGGCGTTGTAGTCCATCCGGTGCTATCGACTGCAAATATGTCCGGGTCTGGAAGACTTCCTGATTTGTCATGCTTATCTGACATGACTCGGAACTCTGTCATGCGTAGGTGCAAAAAGATCGCTTTGTCTGTGATGCGAAAGCGTACTCTGCCATGCGGAATACGGTACACATAGCAGCTCAAAAACTTGTCATGGTTGGCCACGTATGACAATGCGCCCAGTATAATTCCTTGGTTTGCATCACAAGTTTCCAGACCCAGACATGTAACATGCATTTGATAGGTGCTTCCCCTCCTTGTTGATCACCTTCAGGGAGCTCCCCGCGTACGACTTGTTTTTCTTCTTGTCACCCGCTTGCTTGCGCGACGAGGTAGACATGGACGGCGCGCCCTGCTCCGCGTTTTCGCCCTCCTTCGACACCGATTTCGGCGGGGGCTTGTTCGCCGCCGCGTCCTCGCGCGCGGACGGACCACCCGTGGCTCCGCCGCGCGGGCCGGACGCAAACCGACCCGACTCGCAGTCGTCCAGCAGGTTGAAGATCCGGACGTCGCCTGCTTCGTTGACCAGCCGATGTTCCGCGCCGCCGTTCTCCTCCTCGCTAGTCGTCTGCGTGTACTCCTCGCGCAGAAGAGAGAGCTCCTCGCTCATTGCCTGCGGCTCAAACTGCCGCTCGTCCGCGTTGGAGGAGGTCGTCGAGAACGAAATCGCCCCGCGCTCCTCAGCCACCTCCTCGTCACGATAGAAAGCCGCCTGCATCTTGCCTGCGGACGTCTGGTTTGTTCTTGCAGCTGGTGCAGCAAGAGTGAGAGTTTTTAGGTTGATCGCTTGTTGCGGTTTGTTTTAGTTTTGTCGACGTCCTGGGCTGGTAGTTCTCGTCGGTCTGTGCTGGAGATTGATGGTCGTGGTTCCTCCCTCACAAACAAATACTCCTCGTCTTTAGATCGAGTTTATTTGATGACAGGCACGAAGCCGATACAAGCAGAAGAATGCTTGAAAATTAGTAGGTTTGCTTTGATGTTGAGAAAATACGTTGGCACTTCTTTTTAATGATCTTATGTAGTACAGTGCTTGTTTTGGTTTTGGATACTGATCCGTGTTAGTAGTTGTGGTGTTTTTACTCGACAAGCAGTCAAGTTCGTCAATTCAAGGAAAAATGGACTGAAAACGCGACGTCCTCTTTAGGTTGCGATTGTAAGGTGGTTTTTCAAAAGTGGTAGTAAATTCAGATGGGGTTTCACAGGAAAATGCCTGCTCGTGTGTGCAACCACGGTAAGATTAGTAATGAATTGAAATCGTCCAGATACAGATTCGACGTCCGTATTTTTCAGGTCATACTTGGACTTTCTCCTTGCAAATTCTAATTAGATACTCAGTAAACGACCAGAACGATGCGTTTGCACTTGCACGATTTCCTGGTCTTGCACGAAACCGAGGATGGTGATGGACGTCTAATCCATAGTACCTTTGCTGTGGCCGGGCACGAGCGCATAGTCGTGGTACGAGTACGAGTACGAAATCAATTTTGAGGCGAAGCTGGTGACCGACATCTTCCAGTTGTAATATATCGCTGCCTTTCGTATTCGTTTGCCTTGGTCGAAATAAAATACCGACGTAAAAAACGCAGCACCGACGGTTCTTCCGGGGAAATAATGGACATCCCCCAAACTTTGTACAAACCGACGACCGAATAGTTTCCGGTATAGTTATAGATACAACACCGACGTTGAGGACCAGCTTCACCTTTGCAACTAAAACCGAGAGTAAGAGGTTGTTGTACCGAGAGGACACAAAAATTGATTAGCCGGACAGACAATGACGGAAACACAAGAGCAACAGGCTGTGACGTTCTTCTAGCCAGGTTGTGAGTGGTTCTTGGTCTTCTCGCGGTGTGCTTGGTCCTTACGTGTAACTGGAGTGCGACCAATTGATAATATACGTATACTGTAGTGCGGGAGGATAAGGAAAAGTTCCTTTTCCTTTCAGTCAGAGCAACGCCCTGCTAAGCAAATTAAATGCACACTCGGCCGTACTACTATAAATAATGATAATCATAAACTGCAACGAGGCTTAATATGCAACTGCGGTGCACACGGAGCACACACACACACACACACACACACACACACACACACACACATGTTCTACCAGTTGTTTATGTTTCCTAATTGAAATATGTATTTACATGTGTGACTTCTGATTTTCCTCAGGAAAAAGGGCGGGTGCTTGAAGCATATTCGTCTTCATCGTCATCGGCAGGCTTTACCTTTTTTTTTGATTTAGCCTCCTTTAGCTTCGCCCGCAGTCCCCTCAACTTTTTGTCTAACTCCTGTATGCTTTCTTCTATTTCCGCTTGTTTTCGTTCGCTGAATTCGCTGTTGTCAAGCTGTGCCTCGAGGTCGTCCCGCTCGCTTCTAGCTGCTGCAATGTCTCTTTGAATGTCCTCAACAGAAGGAGCGGTGGATCCCAATTTCTTTTTGGCGCCCTTCCCCAACTTCACGGTGCTGCTAGCATCATCGTCGTCCTCGTCGCCGCAGCACTTTTGAATGGCCTTGGGCCGGGTGGCTGGGATACAAAACAAGAACGTGACAGCCAGCACGATGGCAAGCACTACGGTCGACGCCAGGAATATCGGAACAGTGCGGTCACTTTCCCCGTCGCAGTTGCAAAAGGTGATCCACCGGAAACTCCCACCCACGCCAGGGCCAGCCCCACTCAATAATCAAAAATAAAACCAGTCTTTGTCACCTGGCCTTGATGGTTGAAGACAAGATTTAGCTTTTAGGTAGTTTAGCTTTTATAGTACATCACTACGCCGGTCCCAGCTGCTTGCAACAAGAAGTTGCGGGACTACAATGACTCTTTTTCTTTTTGTTTCTTTCCCAAAGCAATCGTCTTTTCGTCGATGATAGACTACCAGTACTTGTTTTTGTTTTGCGAAAAATAAATGCTAGAAGTGCATGGAATGGATACAACAAACACAGTTCCTGCGTATTACGTGCCAGTAGGACGAGCAATGCGAACAAAAATCGTTCAAGTCACGGGGAGCCGGGCGGGGGTGGGAGTTCCATCTTGATACAGCCCTCTTCGTCGTCCAAGTTTTCGTGCGTCTTAATTTTCCGCCAGTCCTTAACTTCGTCAGGCTTCAACCAGGACTTGCGATCGCTCTTCCGGCCTCTTATGGATGCGCCAAATAGGAAATCGACAAAACTAAAATGACTTTTATTTTGATGTACGCATATTGTTATTGCCCTTTGTGTTTGCAACACTGGTCGAAACGGGTTACACCCGGAACAACGGCAACGAGGACTAGGACGTCACCAAAAGGCGACCTAGGCCGACCGCAGGAGGATTTATAACATCTATATGATCGGTGTAATTTGGCACCATCTTCGGCACACGCAAAAGCACAACTCGATGCGCACCACGGGTAGCCAGATCATTTACGTGTGTATCACTCTGACACACGGATACGCAAGAGCGGCTTGTTTCATGTCTCATGGATGGACTTCTTTATCGTCAAATCATTTTCATTCTGACGAGTTCCCGTCCACGAGCCTCTTCATATCTCCTCGCGTGGACCGACGTTCGTCCGAGTGCGTTGCCGCGGCACGTCGCGCCGCAATCAGTGCCACAGACCCCGAGGATCGCCCTTCCCCCTCCGGCTGCACGTGTGCCCCGCCGCTACGTATGGCGGGAAAAAAAAACATCACGTCGTTTAGTTTTGTTCACTGACACCGAGCCTCAAGCTGTCGCTGTCCTCGCAGACGACCACGACCCTCAGCCATGTTTAAGTTTATGTATGCAAGGTGTTTGTTTATATGCAAATATTATATATCTCGTGTTCCGAGTCCGTACGATTCGCGACGCTGGTGATAAGAGAGTTTCTTGTCGCCGCAGCTGCAGCGACGCTTCGTTACAAAATATGCCGAGCAGTAACCTAACTGTGTTGACTCGTCAAAAATGTCAAACATCGAGCCACCAGCACAAGGTGAAAAGGAAAACTTCTCGCAAGTCAACCTTAACAGTACAGCATCTGAAGTTGCATGCAAATCAAAAATGTTATCGCAACGCAGAATGTTTCCACTCGTGCTGGAGATGCAAACTTTTTCGTGCGATGTTTTTCAGTTCCATATGTCGGGGCCGCGCTCTGCTACCGGGAAGTAGATTCTTCTGCAGTATAGTGCTGGCAGTACCAAGTCCTTCACCTGTTCGTTCTTCAGCCCGTAGAAGTTTCATCCCTGGACCTGCTCGAGACTCACTACTATCGTTCGACGAGGACGGGTTGGAATTTTTGCTTAGTGTCGGAGCATTTTTCCCGAAAAGAGGCCGTCGGGGACCGGCTGGGGTTGTATCCTCCTCGTCATGAAGGACGATTCCGTCGAGCGGCAGAATATTTTTACTTTTCTCGTTCTCGTCCCCAGGTCTTCTTACCCTTCTTGGAGGTGCGCCCCCTGAGGAATCGGACCGGATCTCGTGTTCTCCGTAATAATATGCAGAAATCGTACTCTCGTCTTGGTGCAGCTCATCCTGGCTGTAATTCGCCGTTCCGCCGGACGAGCCAAACGCAGCTGCGAAAAAACCCTGTTTAGCTCTCGCCCGGAAGGCAGCCGCCGCGAGAATAATGTCCTCGTCCTCTTCGTCGACACTGCTGACATCGGAGAGATCCGGCCCACGGGGAGCAGCTGGTGACTATCCAAGAAAAAAACTGCGTGAGTGTAAGTCTGTGATGCAGCAAATGCAAGACTGTTACACTTGTCATGCTCCACATGCAAGGTAGGATCGTTACCTACGTGTTTTCCGATCCTATGTGCGCATGACAAGTTTTTCCTGTCATGGCAGACAAACTTGTGATGCTGTGTTCCCAAAAGACCTACACTAACACAGTTTTTTTCTTGGATAGTGATGTGCGTTTGTTGACTACAACATCTGGGGTTGTGGTGGTCGAAGCAGGAGATCCGGGCGTGCCTATGTTGTGGGTGTTCTTGCCAGGACGACCGGAGTGCGGCTGCTGGCCAGCGGTCAATAAAGAACTACCATTGAAAAATCCGCGCTCTGGCGGTTGGCGTTGGCCAGGATGAACGACGTGTGTTGCTCCATGCGCGTCTACTTCTAGCATCTCCTGGCGCGGCGGCACCCCCGCGAGTTTTTCCATTTGTTTCTGACCTCGTGCTCGTGGTCCCAAAGCAAGCTCTGTGGACTCTCGCTGTGTTTTTCTTTTTCGCGGACAGAGGCGGCCGCTGCTCGTCCGATTTATAATTTCAATTTATTCGATACCAATAAGTCCAGGAACCAACTTTAAAGAAGTTTTCCGCCACATATTTTGCTTGCTGCTCTAAAAAGCGTTCTCGCTGTCTGATCTGCCTATTCGACGTCCTTCCTCAAAGTCACCGCTTTCATTTTTGCTTCCGCAAATCGAAAATCGCCAGACGCTAGGTGGTGGGACTCTAGTATGTACTTGTATAGTCTTGGTAGTTCGAGAAGCAAGGAGGAGGATCCTTCACACCTGCTAGGATATACCAATACATAGATATTTCTAGAAAAAAACGATACCGAACCAACTGAAACAGACGAGGGGGTAAGCTGAAAAATACACATCTGTGGTACAAATACCATATATGATAAATGAAACCTCGGTGGCTATAGGGGTGGGGAAAATGGTTGGTCAGCACACTCACTGTGATATTTTTCGTTTGTGGGTCGTGCATGAATTAATCACAATCATGTTCATGTTGTATGAACCTAAACGCTACCGATATGGGCAAAAGAGCAGCACTACGAAAACGAAATGGCACGGCCGAAAAGTAAAACGGATTCTGTTTGTGCTCATGGTCCACGAATAGTAAACGAACGAAAGTGAAGATACCGATTTTGTTCATGGTCCGCAATAATTTGTAACCGAACTACGAACGTGATACTTGTTACCGCCATAGTACGGCAGAACGGTCTATGCAAGGCGTTCAGTGCGCGATCACCAAACTGCTGGTTTTTGAAGTACGACTAAAAAGACGAGTGCTGCTCTGGACGAGAAAATGCTTTCCTGCTGAGGACGACAACCACCGAGACCGGTCGCGATCGCCCTATTATCTATTGGGCTCAACTCCTTTAAGAAGCGCAACCCTCACAGGCACACCATGCGTGTATCTACTGCGAAAAAAAACGACAGCAGTGACTGCAGTAATGCGAGTTGATTGATTGTGGTCGCACGCTAGCAGCGAGACATGAAGAAATTGCACGGAGAGGACCGATCATAAAGGATACTATTCAATCGCTAAGACCGAGAAGATAACAAGTACCGACTTACTGTCTCTTGAGTGCATGTCCACTCGACACCGAACAAGATCAAGAATGGCAACGGAGACGGACGACTCACGAAACCTATAATTAAATTTCGTGGCGTCATATTATGAAGAAGAATGTCCTTAATGGACACGGCGACACTTATGAGTTTTGAAATGGAAGAAGCTACTGCTACAGCTAGGGAGTATGAATATCTATCTTTGAAATGGAAGTTGCCGTGGTCCGTGCTATTGGAATTGCTTGGCGCTCTCGTTTCTACTTTTTGTTTGTGGGAAGGTGCTGAAGTAATTTTTTCTCGCCGTGTTTTTCTATTTTGTTCGAAAAAGAGAAGACAAGAAGCAAGGGATACTTTTACAACTTGTCTTCGCGATCTTCAATGATAGTAAAATTTGTGGTGACGCCACAACTGTTTCTTCTGTTGCCACAACTGTTTCTTCTGTTGCGGTATGTCGCCACAACTGTTTCTTCTGTTGCAGTCCGTGCGTTCATGGTAATGGTCTATTGCTATATGCTTTGCGGCGTCGTAAGACACATTAAGGCGAAAGACAAAGACTTACTTAAGTACTTACTATACGCTGGCACTCCACGAAGTACACGGGAGTCGCGAATATGAAAGAGTATAAGCTGTACAGGCGGTGAGCAGAAGTGCAACAGCAGCTTTTAACATGATCAAAAAAATAGAAACATGCATATCATAATAATCTATTTCGAACAACTACTGTTCTGGTTACCTACTTAAGTAAGAACTTCCTTGTTGAAATAAACCTGGAGATATTAGCGGTTGATTGCGTCGAGCGACGAAGCCTTGCCGTCTATGGTGTTTACCCCGAAACTGATTTGCCCCTGCGTATTGATGGCCAGCAACCTCGCACCGTTGCACATTTTCCGCCTCGCGGCATACGCGTCTGTGACACTGGTAGTTCCTGTCCAACTATCGAGCTTTTTGAACCAAGTCGGATCCACGCGGAGGGCAATATGGAAAGCGCACATATCGTGAATCGGGGCCGCGGTCGTGGCCCCCGGACCTGGAGCATCTTCACATTTAGCGAGCGTCGTCTACGATAAAAAATGGCAACTTTTTCTTCTTTTTCTTTGAAGCACTGCCAGCAACTAGTTACTCACGAGGTGTGCAATCTTTGTTTTTCGTGTGCTACTACTGTAGCCCCCTACTCTCTAATCGTATAGGACGGGAAAACGAAACTCAAGACACACATTGAGGATCTGTTGATTCCCGAAAACCAAGAAAAACGATGTCAAGTTGCCATCTTTGTCTTTCAGCCCGCTCCATGCAACGAGTCCAATAGTGCTCCTGCGCGTGGATCTTGATGATGATGATGAATTCTTCGTGCTTATTATGTCGCAGCAAAGCACAAGCAAATAAAAAAACGAAGATGTTCTGCCGGTGCTGGCCGCCGTTTCACGATTCTGTGCAAGTGATCATTCTTTTTTTGATAGCACTCCTTAATTTCGCATTCGCCTTCCTCCAGGATCTGGCACTGATTGACGCCCGCTTGAGGAAAATAGTTCGCGTAGCTCCTCTTATTTTGTTTCGCGACGGCGCGGCACTCGGCCTCGCTGTTTGCTGTGTGGTGCCTCGAAGATACACCAGAACCAAAAACTGGAGCAAGAAAGTTCCCCGCTTTGTCTCCAAGTACGGAGAACACTTGGCCGATCGAGGAAAAGAAGCCTCCTTCTCCGCCGTTGTTCTGTGAGGCGTCGGGCGTGTCACAGCAGCTGTTGCCGGTCAACGTGGTTCCCGGCGGAAAACTATCGAAAGGAAAAATCACCACAACTTCCCATAGACACAGTACAATTCATACTCAAGTAGTACTGCTGCCGATTTAAGTACTTAGTTTATCTTTATTTATTTACGACCGCGTCGTGCCTCTGTTTTGCATACAGCAGATGAAGCACCCTGCGGGCTACTTATCTGCACTGCCTAGGGTTTCTGCGGCAGGTGAGATGCGTACAATGCTCAAGAACAAGAGCTAGACTGCTTCAACAAGAATCCTGAACATGCAAATTCCTGTAGTCCCTTGCGAAAAGACAAAGCTGATTCATCGTGGTCATTTTGATTCCTGATCACGGCAACAACCACGACCACGAGCATGAGCAAGAATCAGCATTATGACAACGTCAACGTTTTCGTTTGACTATCAAGCATTCTCATTTACATTTTCGTTCGACTATGGGGCGGAAACATTTTTCCTCACGATACACGCAGATCATGGCTGGCCGCAATGCGAAAGACCAGAGGCTCACCAGGCCCACGGATAAAACCAGTGTAGTTCCGAAAAACGCAATAAGGCACGTCATTACGCTCCACCCAACTGTTTGTGTTTGTGAGATTTTGTTTATTAATAGGTACGAGGCCAGCACGAGGACCGTGAGAAAAGGACGATCACTTCGTTCCTTGCTAAGGCAAGAACGACCCCAGACAAAGTACTTGTTAGACGCTGCACGTTCATAATCATCTCCACAGTACTAGTGCATACTTATGCCTACGCTAATTCGTCCGATAGAGAAAAGCACATAAAAGGTACAGCAGCACGGGCCCTCGTGCTCGTAGTGGTTGGTCCGCATATTCGACGGCAGGCGAGAATACCGGCCCATCATGGAGGCACGAGATCCGCTGAAGCGACCACCCTTGCTGCTCTTCCCCATGTAGTTTTTGCTTCCTTTCATACCCATGCTGCTCCGCATGTGAATCATCCAGCTAAAAAATGAGCAGTTGCATTTGCTCAACAAATTTCCTTATTTTGTTTTTTGTCGAACACGCAGATGTCTTTGCAAAAGTGAATTGAAATCATTATAGATACAATGCACGAATATTATCATGATCGCACGAGACTAGAGAAGTTGAACAAGCAGACGCAACTGCACCTTCATCTTTGCTTGGATAGTCATGCTCCCACCCTTAGAGCCCATCATGCTCCCACACCCCTTAGAGCCCATCATCTTGGACCCCGCCATGCTCCCGTAGCCGCCCTTGGATCCCATGAGCATACTGCCACGCCCGAGGGCCATGGAGCCCCGGCCTCCCATGCTTCCGAAAGGCATGCCCTTCATACTCGGACCCCGCATCGGCATACCCATTCCGTACCCGCCGTACATAGATCCGGCGGCCACCGCAGCCGCGGCCCCGCCCGCGGCCCCGTCCGCACCCGGGTCAGCATCGACCTCCGCGCCCAAGACGAGCACCGCATCATCCAGTTCCGACCGGTTCACTTCCGCGAGTGCGCGCGCGAGCGCCTCCGAATTATCTTCATCCGCCCCCGCCGAAAGGTTGGCGGCGGGGTCTTTTTCGTCTACTCCCGCGGCCTCACCCTCGTGGTGCCGATGAGCGAGCATGCCTCCGAAGAGAGTAGTAGTACTGTTGCCGACAGGTGCTGAAGTTCCTCTTTCTGCTGATGTGTGAGGAATAAAACTACTGTCGTCTTCGTCCCCCGCCTCCCAAAAGCCAAAACCATATTGCAGCTGCTCGTCGTCATAGTCGTCATGATACAACCCCTGCTCAAGAAGAAGTTCAGTGTCTAGTTCACCATCACCACTGGGGACAAAATTCTCCTGATCTTCCTGCTGACGACCCCACTGTAGAGGTAATCTCTCGGTCTCGTCCTGCCCAGCAGGAAAAGCATCGCCCCAGCTTGATGTAGTTTGTTCCTCGTCCTGTTCCGGAAGAAACCTGAAATCTCCTTGTTCCAGATCCACCACAGGCTCCTCGGCCTCCTCGAGGTCACCGTCACGCTGGCTCTCCTCGGACAAGGACGCGGTGAAGAAACTTCCTAGATTTTGAAACATCGTTACCGCCGGATGTTGATCAGAAGTGGTGCAGGAGAAAATAAAGTATTGATTTGTATCCTGCAGCTAGACATAGACTCACACTCAAGGTCAACAAGTAGGTACTACATTAATATTCAGAAACGCCTAAAACTAACAATCCATCTGGGTCGATTTTATCTTGAATGTGACACGGGATACGCGCACGTTCATCTTCGTAGAAGCCTGGTAGGTTGACATGCTGAAAAAGAAGTGCTCATTTTCAAAATCTTGAGTTTGTTGATGACATTGACACGGAGGTGGTACTACTTCAGCGCTTTTTCTTGCGCTGAAGCGCAGTGGACGACGCGGCAAGTGGTAAGCAAGGACGAAAAAAGCAAGAAAACCGAACAAGTCCCAGTAGAGACGAAAAGCTTTCAAGAAAAACGACACGGCGCACAGACCTAGGGATGGAGCTGTGGAGCATGCGAATTTAGATATTGTAATATTCACCTTCCAGCAAAGTGCTAGCTTTTGCCTACCTCAAACGATTTTGTAGTACGAGAAACGGAAGAAGAAACAAAACGAACGACGAGACCGACAGACAAGGTTTGTGGATGGCCGATGTTACTTAACCAATAGCGCACGAAAATAGATGCCGTTTCAGATGGCCATCGACGTGTTGCTGGACGAGCCGGATACAGGACATGCGACGCTGATTTCGATGCACGAGCACGATTTGAAAAAAATAGAAACTCCAGACTGATAATCTTCCCGATACACCTCGATTAGCGTAGTCGTAGCCGCAGTCAGATATTAATCATGCGTTTCAAATTACTAAAGAGAGAGAGAGAAAGAGCATTTCAAATGAAAATATAGATATACTGCTTTCTTATATCAGGTCTTCACATTATAGGGGAAGAAATCTCGTCTGAGACGAGTTCCTTTTCTCTATATGCTTCAGCTTCAATTCACCGCAAAATAAAGTATCACATAGCGCCAGAAGCTTTCTCTGTCGTAGAAGTAGAACTATCTTTACTGCATTTGAAGCGAAAAATAAGAGACAAAAAGTGTATGTGTTGACGATAACTAAAGTGGATGGGGATCTCTGTGTTGAGTTGTAAAATAAGACGTTTCCGTTTGCGAAAATTCAAGCATAGCTCTAGTGACTGCAAATCGATAGGGACGTGGAGAGAACAAAAGCCGTTCTTTCATTTGAGTGAATACTATATGTTTCTATTTCTTGGGGTACGGGTAGGAGACAAGGTTATAATCGCATCAAGAAAATGAAACATCGACTCAGAATCCACTCGTGCTTCTTTGCTTTCTGTTTTGTTTTTCTGTCAGGTTCTTGGTGGAAACGTATCGCTATGTGTTGCACGCTAGCTAGAAGAAGCACTGCGGTCCGTTTTTCGGTTTTCGAGTAACGGGACGGATGTTTCGTCACAAAAGGTGCAGAGGTACCGCATTCAACGTGCAACCTGTGACAGCGACAGCGACTTCCCGTCCATCGTGGGCACCGCGGCGCTGGACGTATCACCACAAAAACCTGAGTCAACAACGCGCTTCTGTGATTGCAATCAAAGTCTGGGCCTGGGGGATACCCGACCCCCGATGAATGAAAACAGTAATTAATGAAGAAGCAGTTCAAGTTGCAGCTTTGGACTGAGCTTGTATGCAGATACGCTTGTTCCACATCCATTTCCATATTAAAAATCAAAAATATTATGTTCGCAAAGGCGCTGCTCTTTCACATTGGGAATCAGTTTGTTCATTCGAAGATTCATTTCTTCCTCTTTCACATTGAATACTCGGAACGACAAGCCACAATATGCTGGACATGCTTATGCATAGCTCATGCTGTGTCTGTATTTCTTCTTTGTGCACTGGCTGCGCTTTGCCTTTGGCTTTGCATTGATTTGATGGCCTTCGTTTTGCTCATTATGCTTTTCGGCTGCGTCTGCATCTTGTCTTGATGCCGAATATCAACATCATAATCATCCTTTATTCGGGTTTGAAGTATGCCTTCGTCTCGTATACAGTATTACTTAGATACATCTGCGATTGCGAGGTTGAATCGACTCAGGTTTTCACATGGATAGCTTGCTCCGCCAATCGGGACTGCAACCAGGAGGGCGCCAGCGCAAATATTACTGATTTCGTCGTAAGTAGCCTTTGAAGCAGCAATACCCTTGTTCATTTGGAAGTACGATCCATCGACAGATTTACAGTTCACCACTTTGCACTCCTCCGTTTTGTAAAGGTGGCAATTCATGTTGGGGCTGTATTGGGGATCGAAATAATTGACGTGGTTATGGCCTGCTAAGGTGTTACAAGCTGAGACCAGGCGTTACAATAGAAACGTCTGTTTTTCTTTTTGACGCTAAGTCGTCCGAAAAAATCACGATGAAGTGGCCTCTGCTACGCAAGCAGCGACCAGTTCATTGATTCACTCAAAGCAAGCTTCCATGCATCTCCTCTTCCTCAACTTCATTCCTGTCGCGGATGCGCTTTTCAAATTTTAGGCGCTGTATTCAATATCAGTTCTCTTCCATCTGCAAACAAATAAACCTTCTTATCTTTGTGAAGCTGAAGAGAACGAGTGAGAGTGATGTAGATGTTCTGCGCGGCAAAGACAATGGAGAGTCCACAGCCTCGCATCCTCATCACTGTAGTGAGGGTCAGCCAAAGGTCGCTTGGTACTTTGTGCAAAGAGAAAAAAGACCCGAAATGCAGGTAATAGTGAGTTCGGAATGCAACATCAGAGCAGGCCATAGTACGGGATGCCAGCTTTTTGCGCCTCCCCCACGCACCCGGCCAAGGTGGAGAAGCTATGATAAATACTCCCCCTACCTCCCGCGATGTCGGACACCGCGTTCTCGATTAGTGCTCCACCAGACTCGACAAGTCCTTTAACGTTGTCCATGACGCCAGCATCGCCTTACCACAGAGAAAAGTGCTCCCATTACGTCGGTTACTAACTACTGACGAGGCGACTTCTCACAATCCGAGAATATAAAAAATCGTGATCGACGTCCGGACAAAAAATACTGCTGGTCTACGCGTCGGCGTCCGCAATACATTCACTTTTATAAATTCCTTCTTCATGACACCAGGAATTCTTTTCAAGCAAGCAGGGTGACCCACCTCCGGGGTGGCTGCCAAATTTCATTCTGTTTTTGTCTTTATCCTTGTTTTTTGGGGCGTAATCGCATTCATGCCGGCATCCATTCTTTCATCTCTCTTCACAAAACTGTTGTAAGTAACTAGTATGGGTGCACTTTTTTTGGATAGCACCGTCCCGGTAGGGCCACAACAAGCCGTTTTGTGCACCACCGTTTCTTGCGTGACGCAAATCTGGACAGGTTTCAACACGAAGGTCCACAGACACAAAATCCCGACAACCAGCACGAGCGAGCCAACTCCGGTAACGATCAGGCATGTCATGACGCTCATTCCTGTGTTGTTTGATAAATGTCAAAAATTTGGGAGAAATTACAAAATTTTCCCAACAGGTGCCAGTAGTTGAAAAGAACAAAGGGGAGGCTTGACTAAGTACTTTAAGAGCAACAAGTGCGAGTAAAGAAAGAAGAAAATTCTTACCAAAGCAAGGACCTTCCCGTTCGTAATTGCGCATGGACCCACGACTCATCTTTCCGCCTTTGCTCATTCTCATCGAGCCTATCCATCACAAATATTATATCGGGCTCTGGGAAAGTGCGTTTGTCTGTACTTGCTCTTGTAGCATCGTTTTGTTTTTATTGGGTCACGCAGGTCGTAATCGTATAGATGAAAAATGCACGCAGAGGCGGGAGCGTTTTTACAAGTCGATGGCGTCTGAATGTTTCCACTTCCGCATGCGAAGCTCGGCGTGTCAGTAGAAAAAAGTGCGCTAGTCTTCGCGCTCATCGTGCAACTCATCCCAAACATTTGTCTGATTCCGCGGTCATGACTTCGCAGCTGTGGAAGTGTTTCTTTCTTCACTTTCCAGGCCCAAGAATTATATTCGCAATGCATAGAGCCCTTGCTCCCCATGGAACCGGACCACTTCCCGCCCTTCGATCCAAACTTGCTGCCCATGCTCATGGATCCTCTTCCACCCATCATTTTTCCGCCCATCGACATGCTGCCCATTTTTCCGCCCATCGACATGCTGCCGTAGCCACCTTTGCTCGGCATCCCCCGGTACGAACCGGCCGCGGCGGCTGCCGCCGCTCCGTCGGCCCCATCGCCATCACCGTCACCCGCAAAGAGGACGAACCTTATCCTGAGTAAAAACTACGTACGTAGCCATTGCTCCTCCATAGTCGAGATCAAACTACATAAGCAAGTTGGGAAGTTTCCCTTTCTTTGTTTCCTGCTCTTGGGAGCGAATCCAGAACTTTTATTCGGGACAAGTTTGGAAGGACGTTGTGCAGAAATAGACTCTGCGGCCGCAGTAATTGTAGCAAAGGGCTGTAGTACACAAGTGTAGCCTTGAAAAATGCGCCGCGTCATCACGCCTAGCTAATGCAATGGCGTCACAAACCGACTGTTTATTTAATACCTGTTTCATCGTTCTTCTGATCAACTGCGCACAGCATTTTTTTCGAAACAGGCCTGCTCGCTGCCTTGGCTCTCGCTCTCAATCTCATGCAGGTAACCCGCATGAGAGGTACTATTGGTATTCTATTTCCAGTTCAGATCAACATCAAGGCATGCAGAGCGGGATGACAAATATACTATAACAATGGGGTTTTCGTGAGGAGGTTTTTCCTCAGGATAGAGCCATCATCTTCGTCAGCAACCACATGATCCGTGTCCACCGCGATATGGATGTGTCAGAGTTGAAATCGACAAAGTTGAAATGATTTTTCATGCATAAAATGGATGCCAGTTGGAACCCAGTTTCCAAGTGGCGCATGACAAATTTCGGTGGGCCCTAAATCCGGTTTGTCATGCTGTTTAGGCAAAGGAGAGCGATTTTCTCATGCTACTTAAGCAGCTCGAGCTGTAACCCCAAACAGGCTTACCATCGGCCTCACTTTCCTGCTCTGCAACGCACGTACCTCGGGCCATGCATTTTATGCATTACAAATTATTTCAACTTTGACGATTTCAATCCTGACACTTCCATACGCGGCCACCGCACCGTCGACCGCCGCGATGGGTCCTGCTGCGAGCGCCGCCTCTAGCCCGTCCTCTGCGCCACTCACGTCGCTCGCCCCTTCGTTCGCCTCTCCCTCTGCCTGAATGTTCTCGGGTGGAGCATCGTGTTCCGCGGACCCGCTCCCGCCAAACAGATTGAAAAACATAGTGTTCTTGTTGTAATCGTCCTCGATGTTCTCTTTCTTGCTACAAAATCTCCTTTTTAGTCTTAACAGTCTGCAAAGCAAAAGAATCACAATCAAGTAGGGATACTACAGATAGTCATTCGCTCGCAGCTGCGGGATACGCAAGACTGGCGAATATTACTTACGAAGATATAGACCGTAGAACAGAATAAATTCGGTAATCTTATGAATGAACTACATCGTTGGGTGTTCTGTGCTCGTAGATAAATATTCGAAGAGATCATGGTGCGGTAAGCAAAGACCACCAGCAAAAGACATCTACGGCACCAAAACTTTCAGTACGGACGAGGTGCTTGACGCTGGCGGCGCACGAAAAGACCGATAGTCACAAAAGCAAAACGGTATGTATCGTGTATGGACGCGGACCGAACAAATAACGTGATCTACGACTCTAGCCTGTAGTTGGTGAACGCAACGATACCGAGAGAGTCACCTGGTGACACATGATATCAGAACGACACGAAAATGCACGAGAAGCAACAGGTACTCACAAAGACGCTTACATTCATCATACATCCACGACTACACATACGAAGACGAACGAAAACGAATGCCAAAACTTAATAGTAAGATAATTAAACCGATATCAGGTGGCACTGGCAAGTACGAGAAATTCCGGCCTTACTCCTGCGGCTGCGGGTACTAGTGCCCTTCGTATAGAAGTACTTGAAGACGACTCCCATAGGGATCCGATCCACCGAGGAAAGGAACCACTTAGAAGCTGGCCATCAACGAATTCTACAAAGAAGAGAACACACCAGGAAGTGGTTTGCGGTCAAAAATTAGGAAAAACAACCTTGATGAGGAATTCTTAGCAGTGAAGTTGCTGTAAAACTTGAGGATGAAGGCCTAGTTTCTCATTTTTCATCGCTTTCTTGCAGACGTCTTTTCGGGGGGCTAGGTACAAACATAGTACTAAATTATTTTTATTGGTCGTGGAAATTCAAATTTGAAAGATAGCAATAGGGAAACACTAATGTAGGAAAAAGAATTGTTTTTTTCGCCGCCGTGCGAAACTGACTTGTTCTACAAAGAAATCAAAAGCCTATACTTGGAACATCTCTATCTGGGTGCCAGCTATCGCGGTACAATGCCGCCCATCGAGCTCGCGTCGACCGTGGGGCCGCCCATGCTCTGACCCCCCTTCTTACTCTCCATCCCGACCCAAATCAGCTTCGCTTGTTTACACAGCGCTTCTTTATCCATTGCAAAAGCATGATCGTACTGGAGGTTATTACACAGCATACAAATTTTGTAACAGTCCCCTTAGGTGGAAAAGTGATCAAATTTGTAAAAAAATGCCGGTTTCGGTTTGTTCGTCAAGAACTCCAAAACAAACCTGTCTTCACTCATGCCAGAAGACCAAGATTTTTGCAGCGATTCGAATATCTAGTGTACGAGCACGATCGTACTTTTGCAGAGGATAGTTCTGTTCCTGATACATCGTCAGCGACGTTGGATCCGTTGGCGGACACATGCCGCAGCTTTTCGCTTGGGCTCCCTCTCCACCTCCACCCATTCCCATGAACTTTGCCCCGTTCATGCCTAGATCCTTGATCACCTTCGGATCGACAGTGTGGCAGGGCTGCACGATGCACGTCTTTATCGAACGCAAATATCGGGTCACGGTCAACAGTAGAGATTGCCCATTTCGTATTGGCTTTGGTAAGCACTCTTCCATGCACGTACACGCAATTCGAGCTGCACATAGAAATAAATGAGGTGGCAATATTTTTAAAACCGCTTTCATCGCAGTCCGCAGTGGTTGAAGTTGCATTTTTAATGCCTACTGCTCCCATGTACGAGCGCACGGGTAGTTCATCCGTTATACTGAGTTTAGGATGCACGGTGCCGACCCACATCAAAGAGCACCACCAGGCCGCCCCGAAATGACTTCTCTTGCCCTGACCCTGACCTGTGTGAACATGATGCATATTCTTGTAGAGAAAACAGTTGGGTGTGCCTCCAATCGCGCCAAGAAGTCCTCCCATCATCCCCGCTCCTGAGCCACCTGAAAAGAAGTCATCCCAATGAACAACCAGGAATACACCATATCCATATCCTTGCCATACAATGGTACGCGGCGTAACAAACTGCGGCTTCGATAATGTAAATTTTCATTTTGGAACGTCGGTAATAAATTATTGTGCGAACTCAGCGAGCTGCGCTCGAAGTACCCCTACATATTTATAATGCGCACGCTTCATCCACCATGTTGTCCCGCAAATCCAAATACACATGTTGCGTTCCAGCGTCAACATTCTATTCTGGTACCAAAGATGCGAAAGGGCCGCGGCAATACCAACAGTACGACCTTGCTTTATGTTCTATAGTAACAGCGTCCTTATGGCCAAAGATGATATCATGGATTCCTGGTGCGCGCGACTTGTTCTCTGTTTGATAATAATTCGCGTAAATGCAGCTGGGATGATCCGTGCACAGTCGCTTGCAGTGATTCTCGTCGGTGGCCTTCTGCGACCCGGTGTGGAATCCGAGGGCCGCACCGAAACTATTTAACATGTTGCCGGCGAAGTCCTTGCCTCCCAAAAGCGGGACCGCCGCCCCCGCAGCAGCAATCCCCGCTGCTCCGAGCGCCAGTTTTCCTGCGAGACCGAGCCCCAATACAGGTAAAACTTTCTTGTTCACCGTGTGTGCCAGCTTGTACTGCGTTTTTTTGTCCAACCGCTGCCGTTCGTGAGTACGAGCAGCGACGCTTTGCTGCTCCGTTGTGTTCATTTTATTCTGCAGGTTTTCGTGCTCCGCGGTCGCGGTTTCCGTTTCAAGCAATGCACCGTCTTGGTCAAAGCCACCGGCCGGCGCATCTTCCGCTCTTGTTCCTGTTGAAGATGTGGCTCGAGCTAACCTCTTTTTTCCGTCCGCTTGTTGTGTTCCCTGCTGGTCTGTCCCTGTTGTATCAAGTGCGAGTTGACCTTGTTGACCGGCGCCAGAAACTCCGGCGTCCTTCGTAGCTCCTGCCCGCACGACCGTCGGGGTGTTTAATATCCTACTAGCAGGTGGAACAAGATTGTCCTCCCTTGGCGGTTGGTCCACGAGATGATCGCGATCCTGCTCATGTTCTTGGGCTGTCCTCTGTCCACCCTCCGTCTTGGTAATATCAGTATCACTCCGACGCGGCAGTAGGTGCTCCCTTTCTTGCAAAAGCACATTGCCTTGTCCCGTCTCGGAAAGTAGATCATGCCCACGGTGGTTCGCTCTACTCGACGTTTCTGCTTGCGCTATAATACCGCCCTGCTCGGCGCTATGTCCATTTTCTTGGCTTAGTATGGCGGCTTCGCCGTTCCAATGACTATGCGGAGCCACTTCGTCGAGGTCCTCGTGATCCGCGACCTCCATGCCGGCTGCCCGCATCCAATCAGACATCATGCTGTCTACCTCATCTACGTTGAAACCATAGGCATCTATGATGTCCTCGATTTCGCGCAGCTGCTCTGCCGTCGCCGTCCGCTCCCCAGCGGCCCCATGATCCCCAGGGTAGTTGTACGACGATTGCGTTTCTTGCATGAAGGACGACGAGGCTGAAGAACTACTGCTTCCGAAGCCCTTGTGACCTCCAATCCCCGCGCCGGTGCTACCTTTCGGCTCGCAGATAACGGGTCCACGGATTATGAACCACCAGAAAACGCAGCTACCAGCCACAATCGCAAACGTGATCACAGCACACAATATCCAGTAGCAGGAGCTGCACCCGCAGCAGCAAGCTGATGTATTATGATTGTGAAATAGTTTTTGGATTGATTTGCATTCGTCCAGAAAAATATTACTTTATTTCAATCATTTTCATGTAGTACTGAACCTGTCACCAGTCGTATCAAGATCTGATATCTTGATCTGAATAGCAGCAAAAAAAATTTCGTCTTTTAGCATGTGCAAAAATCTGATCTGCAATTCTTGTACACAGAAACTATACCTTCGTCCGCGTAGCCGTAAATATCGTAATCGTCGTAGCCTTGGGCGTACCGGCCCCCGGGCGGTGGCGGCGGTCCCTTCGTCATTTTCCCGCCGGTTCCTTTTTTGCCGCCACCCTTGGTCGAAAAGCCTTTGGGGGGACCGCCTTTCATCATCGGCTTGCCAAACATGCCCATCATGCCAGAGGATTTCCCGCTACCCATGCCACTACTACTCAACATGCTGCCGACGCTGGACATAGCACCGTATTTACCCATGCCCTTTCCGCTAGCCGCGAGTGCCATCACTTCGCCCGACGCCTCCCCCTCGGGTTGTTGACGCACCAGTCTGGAAGAAGGTCCAAGAGCCACCTTGTCGAGATGCGGCGAAGGTGACCACGATGCGTCGTGCCTGGTTTGTGCGTTGTGATGTTGTTCCAGGGTCGCCAGTTGCTCTGGCGTGAAGGGGTAAAATCCGTCGTCTTCGTCATATTCCACTGGGTAAGGAACAACGTGGTCGTGGAAGTTTTCACCCCCCGTGGTGTCGTTTTCCTCGCCTATCAGGACGAGATCGTCCTCGTCGAAGGCTGCGCCTCCGCCGCGTCGAGGTGTTTCTTGCACGAGCGGACCTTTTCCGATCCTAGACCTAGTACCAGTTGTACTATCACCCTTCAGGGTCTGCACAGGTTGTACTGGCGGAGTCCTCGTCGCTGCTCCGTAGAAGGCCTGCAGTTCCGGAGTATAATTGCTGGCGTTCCTGGTCGTCCGGGCATGTTCGTCCTCGTCCTCAACTATTTGTGTCGCTTGGAATGTTTCATGATCCGCGTTTGAGAAAATAGAACCACGGCCTCCACCATTTTTACTTGCGACGCTTCTAGTTGTACCACTTGCAGCCTCCCCCTCACGCTGTTTGCTGATCATCTTCTTGCCGTTTGCGTTTCTGCTTTTCACTGGGGAAAAGGGTGCGCCTGCTTGTTGCCGGTGGGACGAGGGTATTTCTTCACGGTCTTGGTCTGGCTTTCTAGCAAAAATGTCGATCCCGTCACTGTCCTCTTGTTCTCGACTGCCAATGTTGATCTTCGCTCTGGTGTTGCCCGGCGGGCTGTAGAGGCTCAGGCTGTAGGGATCAGGGACTATCACAGTAGTTGCAACAGAACCGCGGCCTGCGTCAAGTGTACTAGTTGTCGACATCCGGTCCCCGTCTAGTGCCACGGTCTCGTCAACACCATCTCTGCCATCGCCGTAATAATTAGCCTCCATGGTAAATTCTGGCGTCACCTGGGAAGCGTACTTCTAGCACTACCTCTGGTAGAGGGAATGAGGATGATACATACCAGCACAATGTTACATCAAGGAAGGCATGCGAAAAACTGGGAAAGAGATCAGAATAGCCGTGACAACTTTTTCAATAGACATAGGAGGTGGATCTGCAGCCGATAACAACATCCATACAGCTCTTACTGAATGCATACTAGGTTCTTGGCTCTTCTTCAAAAACCACATTCAAATTCTTCTACCTCGCAAGTGTGAATCGTAGGTACGCTCATCGCGTAGCGCGATATATTCTTACGGCCGGCTGGTCGACGGGACCACGCCGAGGCATGATACTAATATTTCTATCTAAAATTACTATCAAGGGCGGAAGGGCAAGGGCATAGATACTAGGGACACATTTTCTAAAAAATTCAAATTGTTGGGGAACAATAAAGATGTCTAGTAGTTGAAGCACAGAAAATGGGGGTCCTCAACCTGGAGCGGGCGGTCGCGGTGCAATTAATAGCGACAAATTCAATGATGCTCAAACGAACATGAACGATACGAAAAGTAAGTTTCTTTAAGTTTTCTGAAAAAGACACAGGTTGCACGACTTTGTCTTCAAAATTGTACTATCCGCAATGCACGACAAGCGACCGACTCAATCAGAAACACGAAAGTTTCCTTGTACGAAAGGACGAGAATAACCGATCTGCGTTGCTGTACGAGCTTAGGTAAGAGCGTCACTCCTGAGATCAGGATCAGCAGACGAAGAACGTGTTAAATGCACACCGAAAAACAAGGTCAAAGCGCGCTCTACATAAAGTCGGATGGCTGGACCTGGATGAAACGCTAGACTTTGGCGAATGCTACCGAAGGAACGAGAATGATGTTGTGAAAGACGAATGATGAGGCCTATTTACACGACTAGACGAAGCGGAAGAACGCTGACGTAACGAACAAAATATTTTCGCGCACAAATCCACAGCCGGTTTCGATGCTTGTGCTCATACTTCACAGACTTCAATGCACTCGTCTCGCCTGCGTCTCGGCTTAGTGCGTTTCATTTATGCATGGAAAAGCTCTGTTTTGATGTTTTTCTTAGTAATACCATCTAGTAATCGTGTGTGTGATGTGTGTGCGTCGTGCCTAAGATGTTGGCTTTCCTGTAGAAGATGCAGAAACAAAGAAGACAAAACAACAATGACGATACGCTTCCTTTAATACTTACTTTTACTACTGATCAATGTATCAATCATTCACAAATTATGTCGCGTCTTCGAAAAATTTACAACAGTGCTCATCCGAGTTTGCGCAAAGAGCCGGGTCCGTAAACCAGGTTTGGCGTAGTTTTCTGTGCCGAACTAAAGTAAGCCGCTTCGCCATCGGGAAGCAGTAAAGAAGCTAAACGGTGCATAATCTTGTCGTAAGACACATCAGGAGCATCGGTCTTCGTATAATTCATCTCCTGATCGTTTAGCATGATCTGGAGCGTTCCGTCGCCATGGTGGTCGTCAACATGATCTTCAGTTCTTGATGTCGGCCCAGGTATTTTGATTTTCTCATTCTTGTCTGCCACGCCGTGGCGGTAGTTGTACCCATGATCGTCTTCACCGTCCAGGAACAGCAAGGAGTCAAACAGCAGGTCCGCCTCGTTTGCGGACAAATTGAAGTGGTGCAAGAAGTTCCGGATTTTGTCGCGTGCGTCGCGCAGAGTTGTAGTAGGGGTCTCGGACGAATTCGAGTTTTTCATCATCAGTCGAAACGACGAGCGAATATTCGTGAACCGCCCGTACGCGTTTTGCTGCAAAAGGTGGACCAAGTTCTCAACCTCCGTCTTCGACGAGCGGTGGCGGTGCGACAGCTTTGCATTTTTCACGTCGGTTTCAGATGAACCAGGACTGAATTTGTCGGCAGCTCCACCGCTCACTCGACGTGCAGCGCACCGCATAGACGCGAAGTCGATTCTTGGTGGATCGTCCTGCATACCCACGCGTGCGACAGACGACGACGCAGTAGTTCTACTTGGAACCTGAGTACAGTACCATCAACTACAATATCATTTTTCATCACGGAATTATTTATCCGTCAGTACAGATGATTCTGTGACTATTTGGGATTGGGACTAGATCACGATGGAACTACGGGAAGCATGTGTTTCGGATGCGTGCAAAAAATAAGCATTGCACCATACCGGCTGCTCCTTTGCGTCGCATCCTTTACCAGTCCTTCCAGGACGGGTCAAATTCTGCATGGCTGCGCGAAACTCGGCCTCCCTAGGTGTTCGTGTTGGTGTTGCAGTGGTTGTCAATAACATTGCGTTCGAATCAGCCACAGGACGAGGAATCCCATCCGACAACATCATCATCATTTCTCTTTTCTTATCAACTCCCTGTCACTGTCAGCAAAAACAGCAAAGAAATTCTAGGCGCGGAAAGAAGAAAAATAGCAATTGCAGTCTTCAGAGCAACGAGGTACGTGGTTCTTGTTTCGGACAATCCGTCACCAGCAGTTGCAGGTCAAAGAAAGAGCGTAAAGCGAGAACTGAATTCGATGCACCGAGACGAAGGCTAGTGAAGAACCAAGGACAAAATTGTAGTTAGGTTGATAGTAGGTAAGTACATGTGGCCTGTAGCTGTCTACTAACTGCACAGCACCGTGCTCCGCCGTCGACGTCACGACTTACTTTGTCGTTGCGCTCTGGTGTCTGGTGTCGTGCTGTAGATGCAGTAAAAAACCCTGAAGTTCATGAGTAAAAAACCAAAACACAACAAAAAACCGACGCGCCGAGCAAAAAAGTAAAACCAAATCAACAACAGAAAAACGTGTGTGCCGAGCGCTCATTTTGAGGCGAGTGAGTTAAAAGCAAACAACAACCATGAGTTCACGACCGAATTCTGATGAAGTTTTTGCTGAACGTAAAAAAGACATGCAAAGTAGTAGAACGTCGTCAGAGCCAGGCGTGAAAAAACTACAAAACCGCCGCTTGTTCACGGGGCGGAGATTTTCATCGCATTCGTTAATGATGAGGCTACTTCTACTTCCGCTTCAGAATAGAGGAAAGTGTGTGTGTAGTCCAGCAGACCATGTGTACTACTGGTGCTCTCAGTCGGTGTCGCGGAAGAAGGCGAAGAGGATGCGCTGCTCGCGATAATGGCATAGCACCTCCTCGAGTCTCCCTCCTCCAATGCTTCTCGAAACGCGAACCCGACGACGTGGTCTTCACTCGTCTCGTCCCCTTCTTGCTCGTTGGCTGTTTTCATCGCACACACCGTCATGCCGCACGTAGCTACGAAAGCTTCGTAGACATAGCTCATGACCAGGACGTATCAAACGCAAATATGTCTGGGTCTGGAAGAGTGAGTGTAAGACTTGTCATGCAGATTTTCATTTTACGTGACCCATGACCTCTGTAATGCATAAACCCAGCATCACAGATTTTTAGAGGGGTTGCTGATGCCTATTCCGCATTAGAAATGCCCTCTCCATATAGCACAAACTGAACCCCTCTTGCAGCTGGTCACGCAAGACAGATTTTTTTAGCATGCAGAGACAGCATCACAAGTTGCAACCTTCCAGAACCAGACATATTTGCAATGCATAGCACGCCCCTCGCGAACGGCTCGCTCCCCGGATTTTCGTCGCGTAGGTTCTGGTCAAACTCGTCCGTCTTGTCGAGAACAACAATGTTATCCTTTTGGCTACTCCTTCCTGTCACGACGGGTACAGGAATTTTCAATATGCGGCCCCCGTTGGTCGTCGGTGGATGCGCGACGTCCAAATTGTGCCAATGGCAACGGCGCTCCCAGCGCTCCCACACGAAGGGCAACCCCATCACGCGGCGATGGGTCAGCTCCAGGCGCTCATGCACCCGGCAGTAGCCCGCCATGGACCGAGAGATGCGGCGGGCCACCGGCACCACCGCGGGCGATTCGCTGGCGTCCCCCTGCACGCTCGACACGATGTGGGTGGCAAACTGGATGTGCGGCAGCGCAGCGAGCGTGGCAAAATTCAAGCTGGGAAGCACGTCGTACTCGCACCCCTCGCAGTTCAGATGCAGGAGGAACATCTGCTTGAGCGGTGTGTCCGTAACGCGTTCAATCGTCTGAAAAGTTTCGGTGACGGAACGCACCACGATGGACTCGGTGGTGGACGCCGTACGACTCGCAGCCTCCGCTCGCGCGGCCTTCCGGCGTGCAGCTGTCGCGGAATTTTCATCTTGTTCTGTGCCCGCCGGCGAGCCTGGTGGTGAGTTTGTTCTATCTGAATTTTGGTTTTCCTCTTCCTCGCCGGTCCGTTTCTCTTCGCCCACCACGCTGGAGCCATCCCCGGACACCGCCAGCCGCAGGAGTTCTGTCGTGGGCCCCACGCCGTAGTTGTGGAAAAAGAGCCGCTTGGGATTTTTCAAGGGTGGCACGACGTCCTCGGAGTTTGTACTAGTGCTGTCCATTATCTCTACAGTTTCATCTGCAGTGCGAGGGCTGCACTTTGGCGACGAGGTCGTCCCACCTGCGAGAGCTTCTTCCGCGCTGCCGCACGATGTAGAAGTTGTGTCTTGTTCGGGTCTTTCCGCCAATCCCAGCACATGGTGCACGAGATGCTGGAAAAAGCCCATACTGGGCTCGAAGAAGTGCACCTCGAGGTCGGGATCTAGCCGGGCAAAGTGCACACCGTCCGTCCCATTTTTGAACGCGCCAATGTACACCATCGTTCTTACCGCCTCTGGCAGGCCGTAGAAAGGGGGCTCAGCACTGACCGAAAGCAACTTCGTTTGCGATGGAGCGTTCGCGGCATTTTTGTCGTCCTGATCCAACGGGGACGGCGCACCAGACGGAGGCAGCTTGCGCAACGCTCGGTCCAGGCGGAAGCGGCTCAGGAGGTCGAAGCTCAGGGTGTTGTGGAAGTGGCGGTCGGGCAGCGCAATCTGGCCCCAGAACGCGCAATCCCCGCTCTGGTACTCGTACCCGGAGCCCGGGAAATGATTCGTGCGCCAGTGTGCGGTGAGGAGGTGCTGCCTGCAGGCGCGGTACTCTTCATCCATGAGGTTGTCTTCGGTCGAGGTGCTTCCGAGCACGAAGGAACCCAAACGAGAGGTGCACGAAATTTCGTCCGGCGACAAGGGTGCGTTGGGATCGTAGGAGAACTCCGCTCGGGCCGCGTGCGCGTAGTAGAAGAGCCGGCTAGAAGACGAGGCAGCTGCATTTTGGTCCTTTTCGCGCAGCAGCTCCACCACTAGCTCAGAACTGGAAAGCAACACGGTGCGGAAGTACACGGATACAAGCAGGCTGCATGGAGCGACAAACAACGCGCGTGTGCTGGGCGACATGGCGCACCTTTGCATTTTGACGTCGCCCCGCGTCACTACAAATGCTTACCTCGGACGCGGACTCCTTCGAGCACACAGTCGCACACAAAAAACATCAAGAAAGCGAGCTCCTCTGTAAAATTTCGCTAGATGTTGATCAGAATCGGAAAACCACTATGGGGCGCGTCTTCCTCGGAGGCACGAAATTCTTGCAGGAGCAAGAACAGAAACAAGAGGACTGTCGTCGAGAGTGAAGACACAAGGCTGTGCAACATAAGTAAAGTACTTTACATAACTCAAACAATTCACGCTTGGAGCGCACCTTATTTCATTTCACAAATGTATCAGGAGCCTGATCCCTGATCACGGCAGCTGCCAGGGATGTTGATTTTGAATTTGATGTGGTTGTAGCATTAAACGTATTCATTAGGTATGCGTTCATTTCGTAGAACCATGGGAGTTCCTTGAAGCTGTTGAATGAGACGGGAAAATTACTAAAAATCAGCCGCGGCATTCTCCCTGCGAATCCAGAGCAGTGCAGAAACTGTGCCGTGCGTCCCTTAAAATAATTCCAGGATGCGGACTCCCGATGAATCCAGGCCCGCATCGGATTCTGCACAGGAAGCTCGGTGGAGTAATACTTGGCCCAGGGCACAATGACAAACTTATCTCGCCCAAACTCGTCCCGAACCACACCACTTCGGCGTTTCACATCGGGCCCGTTTACTTCGAAGGGTGAGTCTTGTGGTGTTGCTGCCTCGTCTTTCGCACCATCGGAGCTTGTAGCTACTTCCACCTCTACTTCTTTCGTCGTAGCGATACTTCCGCTGATCGCGGTTGTTCTCGAGAAGATGTCCGGAAAGATGAGCGCCTCGGTGAGGCAGGCGTTGAGGAACTTGTCCTCGCGAAAGCCCTTGGCGTAGGGCTGACACTGCTCGGAGTCCAGCATGGGCAGGGCCTTGAAGTGCGCGAGGTGGTTCGTCACATGGTGGTCCATTTTCCAAAGAAACTTGGCTAACCGGTCCAGGGCCCCGCCCGAGAGGCACACGCCCGGGCCCCCATCGTTCCAGGGTCGCCGTCCGTCCCAGAGCTCGTAGAGGTGCGCAATCCCGAGGTTATAGGACCAGTCCGTTACGTCCAGGTCCCGCACCAACCGGCGCACGTTATTCGGAAAAAACCAGGTATCCCGTTCCAGCCGGCACGTCCAAAATTGCGACACGATCTCGGGCTCTTCGTCATTTGTGGTCCCCTGGCTCTCCGGCTCGGCATTACCTCGATTTTGTCTACTTCGAGCAGTTGTTGTATCAGATTCGTCGCCTTCCCCTTCCGCGGCTGCACCGGGTCTGCTCTCTCCTGCGCTTGCAGCGTCGCCCCTTGATGCCACTGCCGATGGTCGTGTCAGATCATTATACCCGTGCGACGCATCGGTTACGTTTTCCTGTCTTTCCAGCAGCATCAACCTCTCCTCTTCGTCTTCCCACCAAAATCGATCGGGTTCGTGTGAACTCGGCGCGGAGGCAAGAATTGTGTCGATACGGAGATTCGAGATCGCGACCCCGGCGTCTTCAGCAAGCGATCTTGTTTGCAGTTCTTCGCGAGCCGCGGCCGTGTTATCTACTTCTACTCCTCGGTCGGATTCAGAATGCCCCTGTTTCTCACTCGCAGGCTGCTGCAATCCGGCAGTTTTTGATAAGGAACTTCCACCCTCATGTTGATCGTTTTTGCGAAACTGACACGGAAAAAGCAGTCTGAGAAAGTGCTGCAACCTCGCCCGGCCTTTCGATTCAATTTCCGTGCGGAGGCCCCGGTGGACAAACTGAAACATATGCAACACCTTCGCGACGGTGTTCTTGTCCTGGTCCGTTAAGTGCTTCGAAGTGAAGCTAAAATTGGCGTCGCTGTACTTGTAGGTGTACTCCGACCGATCCGGGGAAATGCCGGGAAACGTCTGTCGCAAATCGAACACCCCGAATGGTAAACAGGAAGCTGCACCTCGTGATGTGCCGGGTCGAGATTGTTGTTGTTCATCGTGAAGGTTAATGTCAGAAGCTCCTTCACGTTGACTCTGTTCACTTCGTCTCTCGTCCTGGCGAAGAGCTTTCGTCCTTTGCTCGTCTTCGTGCACGCGGCAAAAGGCCTCTTTTTCTAGCTCGATTTGCTGTCCTCGCGCAGCCTCGTCGTCTCGCACCTTTTGCTGGGAGTTACCGCGATCAAACACAGATTTCCGACCAAGTAAAAGATCGAGCAAAAATTTCGGATCTGTGAGAAGGCTCCCGCGAGAGGGCTTTATCTTTTGCCCTACAACTGACTGGTGCTGATTAACGTCTTCGGCGTCTTCACTTTGCTCACTGCGGTCGTGTTCTTCTTCTTCAGGCACCGAAGTAATGATTCGCTTCTCCAGCTCAGCCACGGTGTCCGCGAACGAAGAGCGAACCTGGAGATCACGCTCAGCACAGTAGTGAGAGCAAAAATCGTCCGGCAGAGCGACAAAGAAGTAGATTTCGTCGCAGCTTCCCGCGACGTGTTCCCGCCCGCCCCACGTGTCCAAGATGGCACGCCGAAAATCTGCCTCCGCAGGCCACACAAGCGGCAGAGCGCACAGTAGTTTGACATTTTGACTCTTGACTACACTTTGCTCGGGGTCGTGCTCGGTGCTGGTCGTGTTCTTGACCTGGAAGGCACTAGGTGCGGTTGGTTCTTCTGGAGTACTAGAACCCGGATGATCGTCTTGCCGATTCATTATCGGGGCCGGCTGGCGCACCTGTGGCAGGGGCGGGTGCTTGCTGCGTTCTTGCGCTTGTCGTTCCAGCTCGCTGTCGGTGACGATCTGCAACGTGTTCACATACGCCGATGCCGCCTTTTCCACTTCTTCCACGATGGTCTGTGCAAGCCTCAGTGCTTTGATGTCCACCTCGTGTAGCACTTCGACTGAATCTGTTTTTTCTGCTTTGTCTACTCCACTTATGGACGAGGACACCACCCGCTGGAGGTCCGTGAGCAGGCGCCGGAAGGTGGCACTGTCTTCCTCATCAACCTCGTCCTCCGGAAAGGCGATCGACATCAAATTTGGCGAGGGGGCAGCAGATGCTGTATCAACGATATCGCGTTCTTTGTCATCTGATGTCGCACCAGCAGTTGTCTTTTCAGCCTCGTCCTCACCATCCTCGATTATTCCCTCGAGCTGTTCTTGCAGAAGTGCAGACTCGAATACAGGAAGCGGCGATAGCTCAACGTCGTCCATTCTTCGTCGGCTCGTCCCGGGGTCCTCGGATATCACTTTTTGCAGCTCTTTCTGCCACCGGGCGGCCATCTTCGCTCCGACCGTGCCTGCAAAGCCCTCCAAGGAGGAGATGACGCGCTTTTCCTCGTGACGTTGGAATACGTGTGCTGCGCCCGGCACGAGCTGCTCTTCGTGATAAGTAGACCGCTCTGCGTTCAAAGTGTCACCCGGCGTGTTGAAACGAAAAATCCTTGTCAGTTTCGCGAGTCGGCCTGCCAGCGCTTCAGGGTCCGGTACGACGACACCGCCGGCGCTGTCGTCGAGATGCTGCATCGAGGACGTTCCTGCCCCGAGGACGGGTGTACTAGAAGTTGTGATGCTACTGCTGTGGTCGGCCAACACAACGTCTTGTGGCAACAAAAGCACATCTTCCCCTGGTGCCGGGCACGCCTCCGCAAACGCGTTTTCTGCCAGTTCGTCGTCGTGGTGGCGCCAGTAGAACCGCGAGTATTCCCACCATTCGAGATATTTTTCGGAGACCAGCGTGGCAAAAAGCTGGTAGTTTCGGACGATTTTTGCACTGGTAATGCCGAACACCATGGCGTAGGGCGACCGGTCGAAGCAATCCACGCCCGCGATCTGCACGTAGTCCAGCGCCGCCTCGCGGAACGCCTGCGTCAGCAGCGAATGCTCCGGGCCGAGCTGCATGCGGCTGCACCGCACGGCATTCGCCGCCAGGTCCGCCGGGCAAGTCGCGTCTTCGCGGTAGCTCCGCGTCGTGAAAGGCGCGCCCATCGTGGCATCGAACTGAATGCGGGCTGGAAAATATCAGCATGAAAAAATCCCCCTCCATCCTCGTGTTTTCCTCATGATACTCCTTTGGTCCTCTACTAGAGTACGTAGGTGCAAGAGAATCTTCCAATCGGATTCGTCGAACTACACTGATACATGATCCACAAGGGAACTAAACGCAGTCGTGCGCTCCACCTAGGTAGCTGCACCGCTGCACACGTTTGCTGTACTAGGAATATTAAGTTCGTCTTGCCCGTGGATGCTGCACAAACGAACGGGATGCGGGCGTTTCACTTTGATAGGCATCCCTGGAAGTCCTCTGGCCGCAGAGTGGCATCAGCGTCTGCCTGCAGCTCGTCCGCGGACTTTTCAAAGCGCGAAGGAGGCAGGTGCCACTGCCAGCGCAGAAAGATTTCGTACAAGGTTTGATCCCCACAGTAGCACTCGCGCCCGGCCTCCAACGGCGACGGAAAGGCCTCGCTGGCGTCCGGCACGCCCGACGCTTCGTTGACTTCATAGAGCGCAAGAACGACAACGCGCGGTGCCGGAGCAGTGTGGTCAGCATGGTACTCGAACAAACTGATAAACAACGGGCAGAGGGCTAAACGGCGTACCAACCCAAAAGTGACGGAAGCGAAAAGATGAAGTTGGGCACCGACAACAAATGACATTGGTGTGATTCTCGTCCTGTGTAGCAGCGCCGAGACTTTTGCGATTGGCAAACACTGTCATCCTCAGAAGATTTCATGATCCCACTTGTTTTCGTCGCGTTCACACGACAAAGCCAAAAAAGTCCTGCAAGCTTTTCGCTTCGCTTTTGATCAAGAGAATACTTTGCGTGACAAAGACAATGAGAGTGAGCGACACGAACTATTACAAGAAGATCCGATGATTCCAATATCTTCGTGTAGTTGAATTGGTCCGGCTCCGGCTGCCAATGCTAGCCGTCACTGGCACAATGAAATGTAAAAAAAAAGCTAGGGAAAGGGAATTGAAATTGAACATCCAGACCAGTCAGGGGCAGACGCAGTCGCCGATCTGCGGCTGTGAAGGACAAAAAACAGTAGTGACTCGCATCCGTCTCTCCGCAACGGAAACAAGATTGACAGCTACAAAGATGAAGCTGCTCCTGTCAACGTGCAATTAGCAAGAAGATCTTTCGACCACGGCTACAACAAACTTTGGTTTGCAGTGTTATCCTCTCCTGCGCAATCGAGCATGGTTCTTTTTGTACGAGCTCGCGTCATGTTGTACTCACCGGTATGTGTTTGACGGGAATGGGAATGTCAACGCGGATAAACCCCTCTGAGACGAATGGGAATAATGAGGGCAACCAACGCTTTATCTTGACAAAAGTTAAATGATGTTCCGACTCTTCAGACCATGTCAGCGGACGATCTTTCATGATTCGGTGCGAGCGACTCGTCGGCAACGCCATCGGCGATCGCTAAAGTTGTTTGTTCCGCCGAAAGAGTATTGCTAGATCCCTGAAGAGAACCTATGTGAGGCGCCGCGCCGCTCATACCGCGCTTAATCCGGGGAATTTTCGCCGGGGTCGTGCTGTGAAAATGAGGTTCTGCATCGTTGCTGATAAGGGAGCCGATGTGCGGCGCTGAGCCGCTCATGCCACGCTTCATCCGGGGAATCTTTGCGGACGTGGTGTGAAAGAAGGAGGTTTCCTTTATGAGAGTGAAAAACAGCTGGAGAAAAAAGTCGTGTCTTGTCTCATTCGAGATACAACCTTGCTCAATCTCTGGCCCCTGTGCCGGAGTGTTTCTGCTTCTGCTAGTACTTTACTTACTTAGACATAATGCACATGCACATTTAGGACAAGGTGAAACTCGGACACGGAGACAGACACGATCTCTCTCCTACGCGTGAAGGGTTACGCTTCGTAGCCAGCAGCTGAGCATCGGCGAGCGCAGCGGCGTCTTCGTCCTTCATCGCATTTGACGCTCTACGTCCCTGCAGATTGTCACTTCGAATTGCTAGTTTGTGTGGCTGCTGGGCGCCAGGCTGTTTTAGTGCGTTCGCAGCTGTATCGGAGTTGCTATCCGGAGGATTGCTGGAGGCGTCTATGAAAATGTCGGTGATATCTGCTTCTCCCTCGCCCGTCATCTTTTTCCCCTCCGCGTCCCCCTCGTCCTCCTCGAACACCGCCCGATCCTTATCTTTAATCGCGAGCTCCACCTTCTGCCCGAACTGCGGCTCTGCCTCCCCACCCTGCTTTTCGTCGTAGTTGTCAGCCTCCACCTGGGACGATCGTTGGTAGTAAACTTTGCCGACGCCTGCAATCAGCAAGCACGCGATGACGATGACAATTATGATGAGACCACCGCCTGACGAATCTTCCTCGTCCCCGCCGGAGCTATCAATCTGCATTTCGATGGTGGCTGGTCCCAAGAATCCCGCGCCTGCCTGCTGCAGGATCTCTATGGTGTGCACTATCAAACCGGGCATGCGTGCAGTCAAATCGGGCGCCATGTATTCCACAACCGTTGTCGAGTTGGAAACCCGGTTCACTATGAAATCGCGCATGGCGGGGTCCGGCACGATCAACTCGGAGGTCACGCGCAGATGCTGCCGCGTCGACAGGCTCCGCTTCCGCGGGCTGCTGCTCCCTACCACCTGCACTACCGAGACGCCCACAATGTTGGAGAGTTGAATCCCCAGCGCGACCGACGTGGCGCCCTTCCACGCGTTTGCAAAGGCCCCACTGGAAGTCAAGTCCGTCGTGTGCGAGAAGTTACCCGAAAGCACGAACAGTGCGTAACTTATCGCCGTGGTCGTCGTGGTGGTGGTAGTACTTGTAGAAGTCTCTGGGTCCGTACTAGTCGTACCACCCGTCGCACTACTTCCACTTCCACCTGCTGTGGAGCCGCCTGCGGCCGAAGCGCCGCTGGTTGTAGTACTAGATCCAGTTCCTGTTGCGGAGGACCCGCTAGTGCCGCCAGTTGTGCCGGATCCACCTGTAGTTGCAGAACCGCTACCGCCGCTACTGCTGGACGACCCGCCAGTTGCACTAGACGAGCCGCTCGTCCCGCCAGTTGTGCTAGCGCCGCCCGTCGTCGAGCCGCTGCCCCCGGTGGTCGTGGCTGATCCACCTGTTGAGCCGCTTCCGCCCGTTGCGCCAGTGGAAGCCGCGGCTGTCGTAGTGGTAGACGTACTAGTGGTAGTGCTCGTTGTTGTTGAGGTGGTGGTGGTTGTGCTGGAAATCGTTGTAGTCGTAGTGGTCGTCGTCGTGACAATTTCGTACACCCAGATGCCACAGAAGCAAATATCCGCCCCCGCTCGACTGAGGCGTATTTTCTTGACGAGACTGTCCACCGGCACCCAAACCCCAGACGTGGACATCGCCGGCGCCGCGTTGGTGGTTACCACTTCACTCGTGTCGCCAACTTGGGCGACGCCGGTGTAGATCACCTCCCCCCCGTTGGCGCCGTTCAGATTGGTCAGGCATCCGTTGCCCCCGTGCCCGAAGATCATGAAGCCGGTCACGTTGTGATACCCGCCGTCTTTGAACTCGGACTCCCACCAAGCCTTGCCGGAGCCATCCTGCGTGATGTAGTTGCACCCCGTGGCCGAGGTGAACACCGTCCAGTCGTACTCTTCGCGGACCACCAGTGGCTTCGCCGGGTAGTCACCCGCCTGGTTGGTACCGGAGTAACTGGTCGTCACGCTCGCGTAGGGGATTAATGTGTAGGACGGCAAGATCGAGCTGTCCAACGAATTTATCGTGCAGGCACTCATGCTGTAGAACATATGGTCCCGCGGTAACTCGGTGGTCCGCTCGCAGCCTTCTTGGAACAGCGCACATTCGCCGGTGACGATCCGCCTCGTGAAAGCAGCACACCCCGTGGTTTCCGCACACAGGTATCGGCACTCGGCAATGGAGTAACTTCGGTCGTTGTAGATCGTCCCGGCGCCAATCTGCTTACTGTACCAGTTCGCGCAGGTACCCTGCCATTGCTGGTTGCAGCTGTCGATGCGCGGCACTTTCCCCGCGTTGCGGCACTTGGCGCTGTTTTCCGCCATGCTCCACTGCATGTGGTTGAAAGCAGAAACGTCTTGCGTACACCCCTCCCTGAAGTACGAAGGATTTGTCGAATGTCCGTGGCGAGACACCGATTTGCAGTTCGTCCCGTAGCCGCGGCCCCGGCAAAAGAGGTCCAGGTCCGTGACCCGGTTGTTCAGCAGGGTTGCAGACTGGTCCACGGTTGTGATCCCAGACGTGATTTGCAGCGTGTCGCGCTGCATGCACCACCCACTCCAGACCGCGGGACACACGCGCCCCTCCAGGCTGCACGCGGCAAGGTTGTAGCCTTGCATGCTCGCGCTCTGACTGCTGTCAACCGTACAACCACTGCGCTTCAGCTCGCAGTACCCGGTGGTCGTTGTTAAAAAAAACGCGGCGCACCCCTCGCTCGTCGCGCAGAGGTATCGGCACTCGGCGACCGTGTAGAGCCGGTCCCGGTACACGGCGACCGTTTGCGCCGCGCTTGTTGTTCCGCCGGGCGGGGTACACCCGCCGTTGAACGCCGCGGAGAACGAGCTCACGACGGGCGCCTGGTGCCGGTCGATGCAGAGGTCCAGGTTCCTTGCGATTTGGAATTGCACGCTGTTCAGATTGTTCGCGGTGGAACTGCTCGCCGTACTACATGCGGCCGAGTGCAGGAGGCAGGTGCCCTTCGACGCGTTGTCTTCCATATTAAAATTGAAGGACGCACAGCCGGAGGTACTGCGGCAATGGGCGTCGCACTGCGCGATCGTGACACTGCTGTACGTGGAGCCTACACGGTGCGTCGCTTCGGAGTCGCACGTGCCCGGCCACGCCGCAACACACACGGGCGACACCAAGTGCGCGATCGAAGCAGGCATGACGGCGCCGGGCGTCGAGGTAGTCGTGGTCGTGGTAGTTTCGTACACCCAGATACCGCAAAAGCACATCGTGCTTGCGGTCGAGCTGATCCGGATGCTGCGCAAATTTTGGTTCACCGTAACCCAGGTCCCAGTCCCGGAAATGGAGCTCGGGGCACTCACAGTGGTGGTTGTATCGCCGGTGTAGATGAACTGCCCCGAGCTGGTAAGCCCCGTGTTGCAGGTCGCCCCACCCGCGGTGTTCTGAAAAATCATGAACCCCGTGACATAGTGGAGAGCATTGTCGGTGAACGTTGCTTGCCACCAGGCTTTGCCTGTTCCGTCTTGCGAGTACGTACTGCAAACTCCGATGCCTGACACATAGGTCGCACCAGCGTAATCCGTGAAATCGGACTCCTGGCGCAGGAGCGAGTAGTGGCTCGTCGAGCCCGACGATGCGGTCGGGGTCAAACCAGTTGGAGACACAAACGCGCCTGACGTGCCCTCGCTCTTGAGGTTGCACGTACTCATGGTGTAGGCCGAGTAGTCGGAGTTCGATGTGTCCGCCGTGCAGCCTGCCTTGTACAGATAGCACCACCCGTTTGACGCCTGCACGATAAAGGTGCCGCACTCCGGAGTTTCCGAACACAGGTAGCGACACTCCGCGGCGGTGTGAACCCGGCCGTTGTAGACCGCGGTGTAACCCACGGTGTACAAATCCTTGGATCCGTCGGAGTTTCCGCCGCAGACGCTTGTAAACTGCACCGGGCAGCTGGTTCCGTCCACGCGCGGCACCCACCGCTTACACTTGCGCGTGTTCAGCTGCAGGTCGTACTTCATGTACGAATTCGAGGTGCTGGGCTGCCAAACACAGCCCGATTGGTAGAAGGTGCCGACCCCGCCCCCCGCACGGTCCTTCAGCAGTGCACTGCAACTGCGGTGGTATCCTCGGCCTCGGCAGAACAAATCATAGTCGGTGAGGTACGTGTCCCAGGTACTGCTGGACTGGTAAACCCGGGTTACGCTATGAGTGTCAAACTCACTGTTATTTTCGCACGTCCCCTGGCCGCTGGACGGGCACACCTGGCCGACCAGCTTGCACTGGCTGAGGCTGTAGCCCTTTAAAGTCGCGGACGCGCTATTGTCCACGGTGCACGTGTCTTTGAACAGCAGGCAGTGCCCCGACGTGGCGTCCGAGCCCGCGGCGGTGTAGCCCCAGACAAACTGGGTGCACTTTTCCGTCATGGCGCAGAGGTACCGGCACTCGTCTTTGTGGTAGTAGCGATCCACGTAGTTGTACAGGTTCTTGGTGTCGTACCCGCTACTGCCGCAGGTCGCCATGATGTGCGCGCACTCCGTATCCGGATTGCGCAGTTGCGGAACCTCGTAGGACTCCGCGCACTGGGCCAGGTTGCGCTCGATGCTGTAGGCTTGCAGCCGCTTCACCACGTTCGCGACGGTGTCGTGCGGCTTGTCCCCGAAAGCGGGATTCCGGTCCTGGCACCCCGTCCGGTAGAACGTGCAGGACATGGGACTGTCGTCCTTGTTCATCACGTAGTGGGTGCACCCCGCGGTGTTGCGGCACTCTTGGTCGCACGTCTTGATCGTATTCCCCGCGTTGTTGTTCACATGGATGCGCTTACTGCTCTCATCACTGCCGCACCACCCCAAACTGGTCCCGAAAGCGTAGCCCGACCACTCCGCAAGGCACAGCGGGTTCTTCAGGTGCTGCAGGTTCGTGTACGCACCCGGCTGAGAGGTCGTCACCAGGTAAGGACTCCCGAAGACAGGGTCCACTAGTAGCGAGCTCTTCAAAACAATTAATAGAGCCAACCACGACAAAGAACCAATTCCGGTTTGTTTCCCTGCGCAAAAAAGCGTTAATATCAGCCGACAAACGATCAACATCGCTTCTGTCATCGGGGAAGAACGGCGATGGTGATACAGGCAATGGAAAAATTATCGCCGGCGAGTCTCGCTTTTTAGGAGATGTCAAATCATTGAGTACTCAGGAGAAACAGAAACTGGTAAAGCTTCACAAAAGATGCGTAGCACTTGCAAGATTCCAGTTGAATGATCAAAGTGAAAAGAATTCTTGCAAGCTACATACTAAATACTGCCGGCACCGAGCGCTGCTTCCCAACATATCCTCGCTTGGCAAGTCAACGTCAGCGCGACCTCGGGTAGTGGTAGAAAAGAAGCAACACTAGAAAGTAAAAAGATAAATATGAAAAAATAGGTATGGATATTTCTTCATCATACTGTTTGATATTGGGGTCCTGTGTTGCGCCGTAGGAGGTGGTATGAAAACTTTCGTGTGATAGATTCAGATTGACGGTCGGTGACACAAGGGTGCTAGTAATCATGACGTCACCACTTAGATCACCACAGATAAACCGAACCCGATGTGGCATTTTTTGCACCGACACATGCATAGTTTATGAGAATGAGTAGCATAACCACTTCATACAGCGAAAGACTAGCGAGGGCGATGAGCTTGCTTTCATTTCTACTTCATGTTCACGATAGCGATGGACCACAGGGTGACCTATGCTCAACCGAATGCGCTTTCGTGCATGATGTCATAGAATGTCGGGACCGAAGGGAAAACCCAAACGACAAGCGGAAAAATGCGATGCACTTGCACGGATACCGAAAAGCGTATGGAGTGTGGGAGTGTCGCATCATCAGCATGAGATCAACGCTTCAAATTGTGTTGGGCTAACAACACGACACTGCTGTACTGCTATGTTCAGGGGCTGCACCGGTCAACAGCTGCAACCGATGAAGAAAAGCTGCAACCGAAGTGAAGATTTGGTCAAGGCCACAAGAAAGATTGCCCTGAAAAAAATACTTATTCCTTCTTGTCTTTCACCTCTACAAACTACATTGGTGGCCGGCATCCGGTCACTTTACTCGCCATCAAGTGGCAGCGCCATCGATGGTCCGGGCATCCATTTGCGATTCTGAAATTCATTATATTCAATTCATTATTGGCAAAATTGGAAGTCCGATACATTCGCGAAGTCTCGGGCGCGCTTGGATCTACGACTCTGTTCCATTCTCGCGATTTTTTAGGTGGATTTCTTTACAACTTACGTTACCTGCACTACCACACTAAAATGAGATCGTATCGAGGTCAATGCAAACAGAGCTTCTTGCTTGCCTTGGCTATGTTGCAAGTCTGCGCACGGTGCAGTCTTTACGCATTCATAGCCGAGGGCGTAGAAAGATGACGGCGCATTCTTACTACTTGTCTAGGTTTTACATCAAATACCTTCAGCAAAAAGGTCATGTATGTAATAAACAGAAACAAATAGTACGCGAGCAGCTACGTCCCATCATTAGCAAAGATCTTATTTCTCGTCTTCCATATTGATTTCTATATATTCTTGCAGCATATCAACAGTCTCGTATCTTCAGGTCGTAGTTGTATTTCTGTCTGGACACTTTACCAAATTACCACCAATCTCTTCCATAAATCGTTTATTCAACAATTGCCAATCAGTCAGAGTCTTCGATTATATACAAGGGTGCTCGGGCCCTGTCCGCCTCCGCACACTAGCAAGTTTGGGTTTGCAAAAAAATAAAATATCGGTGCGTGATATAAATACTGACACATCTGTCATCCGAATCTTCACGATCATTTTTCAAGAAAGGAAGACGCCTGCCACTTGATGTGACCCTTCAATTTCCATCCCTCGAGTCACATCTCTCTTTTTCAGTATTTGGAATTCCTTTCGCCCGCTCCCGCTAGACGCACAAGCGCGCTACTCCCCGATCCGCTTCCCGCTCCCCGCAACAAGGAGCTTCTCGCAGTCAAACCACCTGCATTTTTCGGTTCTGCTGCCCCGGATAAGGCCGGGCGATCGAAAATAAAGGGACCGTCGTCGGGCCCGTCACTTTCCTGTGCTCGTGCCTCTGCCTGCTCCCTTTCCAGTTTGGAAAAATATTCATCCCATCCACCGCCTAGGTCCTCGTCGCTATGGAAGCGTCAGGTTTGAAATCGCCAAGGTTGAAATAATTTGTGATGCATAAAATGCGTAGCGCGAAATGCGTGCGTTGCAGAGCAGGCAAGGGGGGCCGATTGTAAGCCTCTTCGGGGTTAGAGCTCGAGCTGCTGAAGTAGCATGAGAAAATCAGTCATCTTTGCCTAAACAGCATGACAAACTGGATTTAGGCATCGCCAAAATTTGTCATGCGCTACTTGGAAACTGGGTTCCAACTGGCATCCATTTTATGCATCACAAACTATTTCAACTTTGACGATTTCAATCCTGACAGTTCCATAGTCGCTGCTCGTCACATCGTTCGCATCCGGATCCGGTGGCGGTTATGCATTTCAAAAATGGTGTCTTGGTCTGGGCTGCGGATAAATGCAACGCTTGCAATGGCAGCCAGGCATGACAAGTTTTTGGAAAGCTTTCTGACACCTAGCACACATCACAAATTGTGTCTGCACGTGACAAATCACTTTTTCTCTGCTCAAGCAACACAGATTTTCCACAAATGCCAGACACGCAGCGTTACAAGTTCCACTTTTCGTCCTTCCAGAGGACCCAGATTGATATAGTATCCTTCTACATTCCATAGCGGTTGTTGTACAGCCTCTGCGATGCGGCCCGACCACGGTGTTGGTGCCGGTGCGGCGCGAAAAGCCATAAGCTTCTCAAAAGACGAACTTGCAGCAGCATCAACTTCCGAGGAGACGGAACTTTTTTTCTCGGCCTTGCGGGTTTTCCGGGCCGCCGCGTTAGGCTTACTCATTGCGGAAGATGAACCTCCAGGGTTTCGGCCTCCACCACGATGAAGCTGTTGTTGATCGTCCGCACTTAATATTTCTACATCTGGATCCTCGATCGGGGTGCTGCTGTGGCGCGACGCACGTGGACCGTTCCTTTTGCCCGGACGATAGGTGAAGATTTTTCCTTCGGCCGAATCTCGCAGTTTTTGTGACGTGTGGCGAAGGACAAAGGGGTCAACATCCGCCGACGCAAGCGGAAAATAAATACCGCCTTCCTTTCGTCCTTCCCAAGTTCTTCCGGCTTTCGCTTTTCCACTCGGGCCTTCTTGGCGACGGAGGTTCCGCGACTCGCGGAAAGAAGTAGCAGTAACAGGCTCGAAAACAGAAATCAGTGGAGGCACAGGCGGGCCGGCTGAAGTGCGACTGTCACGAGCCGCTGTGCTGGGAAAAGATGGCAAAGCTGCTGGCTCAGCTTCATCCCCCGATTTCACAGAAGAACGAGAAGCACAACACGAGGACCAGCAAGAGAGGTCGCTGCCCAAAATGGAGGGGTGCGGCAGCTTAACATCATCTTGCGCCTCGGCGGCAGTTCGTCCCCTGCTGAGGATCATTGTTGCCAGATTCGCACACGCCCGGACTCTCGGCAACCTCGGTGTCATCATTGGTTCTGAGCTCGAGATGAATTCTGTGAGGCTGGTGTCGCTTTCTTCGGTCGTGTTTCCGGAGCCAGTAGTTGTTCCTGCTTGTCCGGCCGCCTTACGAGGCGGGACGTCGCCTTCTTGTTGCATCTCTTCATCATCATGTTGCAGTGCGGCACGCTGTTGTAGTCCGAAGGAAGAGCAGCTTGTTCCGAAGTTCATCTTCCCGTCACGCAGTAATCTCACAGAATGGCCCCGAGGCAAGCGAAAGGCGGGGTGGCAGTCGGAGACGGAGTCCGAGTCGTTTCTACCGGTATAATTCAAGCCGAGGTTGTTCATCTTGCCTTCCACGAAGAATTCTGCATCGCGCGTCCCCAAAAACCCGTTAAGAAATGCGCGACAAATTATCACGACACCAAATCCCACAAGGCGAACCTCTCCGCGCCAACCACGTCCCCGGGCTGCCGCAGCACGGAAACCACTCCGGTTCGACAGATAACTGCACATCCTCTTCGCTCCGCGCGTTTCTGTCCGCTGGTCCTAGTCGTTGACTTCTCGTCCACAACTATTAACTTTATTCCTGCTGCAAGAACTACCCGAACTTTTGACTCGAAGTTCTTTAGGTCACCTTCTTCTTTTCGTATATTATGCCGGCAGAAAAGAAGACTTGGACTTCTAGTCTGAAGCCTCACAATATACATTCCGGAAGTAGAAGAACTTGTGTCCTTTATTTCCGCTGCTGCTCCTGTTCCTCGTACGCTTTTTCGTTATTCTGCATTCCTCCTGTGGCCCTCTTTTGCTAATGCTCGGCTTTTTTCGAAGTCCCGGCCGGAAGTTGTACAGTACTTTGCTGGAGTTCACCTTCACCGCTTAGGGCGATGCTTGCATATCTACTTCTTGTCAATGGAAAACATAAGTCACTCTCAACAAATATTACCGACATTTTTTCTATCTGTAATACGGGTACAGGTAGAGCAATCAAAACGCCACACTTCTCTAATATCTTGGTCAAGGAATACTCGTACGAGATCGAAGAGATTATCTTCATGGGCCAGAAAAACATCTGCAGCCGCCCCTGCCGACGCACGCGAGTACGAATTCGGCAGCAGACACTACAATCGCGCTCGCGCCACGCCACCAAGTAGCACTTGATAAACAACATGACAGAACGCGAGGCCAACGATGCGGGCGAAGGAAACCATCCACCCGACGAGGCGAGGGCCGGTCCTCTCCTGGGAGAATGATACGCCCAACACCCATCCGGCCGCGCGCGCGGCCGTAATAAATGCCGCCACTCGTGTGGCCAGCGCGCGCCTGCCGCACGAAGGCACGCACTGAGGCAGCCGGGGAAGGGCCGGGCGCCGGCCAAGGGCGGGGCCGCGGCGCCCGAGCCGTGTGGCCGCTGGCCGCAACACTCGAAGCGCCGAATGGTGAGCCTGATACTCCGGCGGCCGCAAACTTGGCTTTGCTAGCCGAATTCTCCGCAAATGGAACGCCAAGTAGTCATCGCCGAAGTTCTCCCTTGCCCACGCTGCAATATCGGCTACGTCCCGGCACAACAAGGGGGTCGGGGAAATACATTGGCCGAAATCTATGCAAACCAAGTCCGGACTCAGGTTGTCCTGCTCCTCATCCTTGTAAAAGCTCACGCACGGATCGTCTGGGAAAAGCGATACTCTTGGCTGCAAAGAGATAGCGTCGTCCCGCATCTGGAACCGGCAACAGACGCAAACGCAAGTCGGTAAGACCCCGGCAGCAGACGCAATCGTGTTGCGCCGACGTCAGCATACGTTCAAATGATGACCTAATGACTGAAGATAATTATGCAAGAACGCAAGGCTTGTCTGTCATGTCTCATCTCTCTGTTCATAATTCTTGTTCGCTGCTCTACCATTCACAACTACGCGAGCTGCTCTCTGACTCGTCTCCTGCTTGACTTCATCATAAGAAAAGGAAAACCCAATCGACTCATGAACTCGTGTGAATTCACGACTGAATCATCTCCTCGACGACACTGGTGCGTCTCGCTCTCGTGCACTCCAAGTCAAGAGACCATACTGGCAGCGAAAAACAAACCAACCCACTGGACCCTCGCCTGACATTCCTGTAGTGCGTGATCGATTAGGGCTTTCATTTTTGTTATGCTTTTGTAGAGTATATTCGCGGAGGACTTCATCATGTAGTTCGTGTTCCTGTCCAAACGTACTCGCGCTGTTTCATTTTGCGATTTCATTGTGGCAAGGACATCAAATCTAAAGCTCTACATCTACAAGTGCATTTCCTCAGTTGTAAATATACAGCATTTTATGGAGAGACGTAGGTACTTCTGTTAAGTAGCCTGAAGCAGGCAGAGGAAAGAATCGCTTCTGAACGGTGTTGAGGGCACAAGCTCTACATTTACGGTACGTCAACAGCCGAAGCGAGTCATCTCTTGTTGTACAGCTCCTCTCCCGACCACAAGGTCAAGCCTGCAAGCAGGCCTGCTGAATAGTATAAATTTAAATTCTGAATTCTGGTATCAAATGCAAATAGTGAAAATAAAGAACCGTGACGAGGGTTGAAGGTTTTCTCAAGAACTTTCTTCTGCATCGGTATCACTTTCCGTGCCCCCTCACAGTGCATGAGAAAATGAAGTCTCATGCACTTGTTGCATAGTAAACCATAGTAAACCAAATCATCTTCATTTTTTGCGATATAGTGTTAAACATAAAACTAGGCGTTTTTTCTGTATTCTTAAGCAATAAACCACTGACATTTACACGATGCAAATAACTGTATTCTCGGCGAGAATCGCCGCGAGGAGGATGGTTGGGACTACAAAACCGATGACAAGTTCTTCTCCTCCAGAAATGAAAACTGTATTATGAAAACTGTATTCTTAGGTTCTCAAGAACATACTCTAGAGCGGATCATTTGTACTTTTTGAGTGAAGGAGGGGCAAGTAACATTCTCTGCCTTCGACTTCTATTTCCCGGTGTCGGTGGGGAACATTTCGCTGCCCCAACTACCAGCCCACCCGCAGCTGACACCGCCGCCGATGCCGTCCTCCAGAGGTTCGTTCAGAAGAGCGAGCGGCAGGTCGCGCCTTCTCTCGTCAGTCTGCACGTTGTAGTACACCCGGATGTCACTCTCGTCGTCGAACGCAATCCACGGTGACAGCGCCCGGGCCAGGTTGTGCGCTGCGCCCCCTCCCAATGTCACTGCCGCGGCGGAAATGTTTCCGAAATCGAACGTGCTGATAGCCGGTACCTGTACGCGTTGACATGAAAAATTCAAGTACATGCGGAAGTGGAGATGGACGTGGAGGTGGACAACGAATGACAATGAGAAAAAAAATGCGGCACAAGCACAACTATTAGCTGCTGCGAAAATAAAGTTTCAGAACAAGAAAGTTCAAACAAGTTGTACCTTATGCGTTTGTGTTGAAAAGGAACGGAGGATAATCGGAACGTGATTTCTCCTCCCACCGCGTTGATGCCACTCCTGGAAGCATTCTCCGCAATACGCGTCTGTTTTTTGCATTTTCGTTTGTATCCCATGTCTACTGCCAGCGTTGCTGTGTGTGCCCGGCAACTCGTGACTAAAAAAAGTAAGAACGGGAAAAACCACTATCATGAAAAACAAAAAATGGAAATACCTTGGCATTGCACGCAGTGGTAAACAGCAAGTGCCTCTTCGCACTCCGCACAGGTACCCAGCTCGACCCAAGTTCTACGATGGTGTTTTCTCCTGCCCTTGCTGTGCAATCGGTCAAAGCACTGCTGGCAAAACAAATCTCGGCAGTGATCGCAATACCTTAGTTTTGTTTGTTTTGATTATGTTCTTGTAAGAACGATTACTCTCTAAGTTGATTCTTTCTCGACATTGAGCAGCACGGCTTCAACATACTGACTCATGTATCAAAACAGAATTTCAAATGTCTTCTATAGCGCTCTTACTTCCACAACACAAAAAGATTATCAAATACAGGACGGCATCTCGCGGGTTCGCGCTTGGGGCGCACTCTACGCACTGCATGACGGCTCGGGTTTGCTGTTCCTGAGCGGCCTTTGCGCGCTCGTAGTTGCCCACGATGTCTCGATACCTCTGCATCAAGTTTCGAAAGTCCTCCACGTCCTGCACGGCGCGCTTCTCTTTGACCACCACCGCATAGTGCCGCAATGCCCGCTTCAGCACGTGCACGAGGTAGGGCTCGTTTTTGATGTCGATTTTGAAAATTCGTGCCATCTCGAGGACGTTCTCGACGGTCTCCTCTTTCGGGTACCTGAGATGAAAGCAAGTAATTTCCTGCGGTTGTTACGCTTGACTGCATGCAAGTGAATATTGAAATTCAGATTGATTGTGGGTTTGCGTCTGCCTCTGCGCAGGAAAAAGAATGCATGACGAAGTTCTACGCCTTGATCATAGGGATACATACCGAAACCGATGCGCACAATCAATATGCATGAAAAATCACAATACACTCCGCTGACTTCTGCCTCCCACGTAAAAAGGGTCGAGAAGAGAAACTCGATTTGAAACGCCATGATCGCCTTCCAGTGCGGCAGGGTCTTCTGCTTCCGGCACACTTGCAGCATTTGCTTGTACCTGTTTTGTGTTGAATTTTTTGCAGTCTCTGGGAGCGCAAATTGACTCGCCTATGCAGAAAAACCGGTATTGAAGTGGTGCTGGAAGCTGTCCTCGTTATTTCTCGCCTAAGATAAAGATGAATGTCCACGACCTACTGCATATAAACTTCTTCATTCTAGGAAAAAACCAGTTGTACTTGTCGTAGTGTGGGTGTTTCCAGGTCGACTCCTGCGTTCTCCCGTCGACCCAGTAGAACATTCCGTTACTGCAGTACTGGTAGTAATCCGAAGGCAGCGGCTCGTTCATAAATTCGTGTACCACCCAACTGTAGGGTTCGTCAGTGTCGTAGTTAAAACCGAGGTATCGCTCGCATTCCTCAAGTGTTGGCTGGGTTCCGTTGGCGCAATACAAAATACCTGTGGTTTCGCGCAAAAAAATTTTTTGGCCCCTCTCCCTTTGGCGGGTTGATAAATATTTTCGTCAGAGCCTGGTGGGTCGGTGCATGTGCAACAAAAAGACGCATGAAATTGTTACCGTCGACTACGGTTTTCTGATCCACGTTCTGCGCAACTGCAATTTGCACGGTATCCTCTGTCACACCGAAAGTCTGCCACGGCCCCGCTGCAAACATACCCATGTCCTTGTCTTGGGTTTCCAAAACCTGATTTATTTCATCAAAGATGGGGAGACAACGGGGATTGGTGTCATGAGAACTTTGTTTATGTACATCTCATGATTTGGTTTTGCACGCAAGGATGTATGACACAACGCCACTACACGACAACAATTGCACCAGTACCGTGAGGAGCTGATCCCAAATTTCTGCGATGTTTGGATTCCACTCGAAGAGCGTAAAATCTTCGGCCACGGCGGATTTTGGAAGGTAAATTATCTGAAATTCCGGGCCGAATGATCCTGCGTATGTTGTTTCGAAAAAGATGCGAAGGACTACCCGAGTTAAACTGACAGATCGCAATCGTTGTCATTCATGCCTTTTCCAGCAAATAAAATGCTGCCTACCTTCCCTCGTCATAAAGACGATTTCGTCCTCGTCCCATTTTATTATTGCTTTGTAGCCCACTGGTATGTGGTACTTGCCTTCGATTTTGTACTTGCTTCCGTGTACCTTGTGTGTCAACATTTTTCCTCATTTTTTTGCTCACCGTTCTACAGCCTGTCTCGGAAAAACGAACTACATAACAATATCATTGCGCCCTTTTGTACTTCTCCAGTCCTTGTCCTACACAACTCTGTATCATGTCGAGAATTCAAACCACAAGATATTTCGCAGTACCCCTTGGTATTTCATCCCGAAAGACATGACCAGAAAGGGCTGATCGTCGCGAATCATGAGGTGCCCCTCCCGCTCGCGACGGAAGTCCTGGAGGTTCTCCGTCTGCTCGACGGCCCTCATTTGGTCGAGGTGCGACCCCATGTGCACGTCCGGTTGCTGGTCCCCCATCTTGCTAGGGTGTTTCCTTGATCAAGATGACAAGGAGGAAAAGCGCGGTCGTTTGGACGCTAATCACGACACTTCTTTCAGACAAAGCAGCTTCCTTGTGCTACTTGAATGAAAGCGTCACTGTTTCGTGGACTGAAACGGAAATTCCAGTGCTATTCTGGAATTCGATAGTGTCGACGGCTTCGGCGATGATACTGCTCGCGAAACGACGAGCGGCTGCGTAGATCGCCAAAAAGAGCCGGAGAAAATGATCTGCAGTCGTACGTCAAGCGGTACAACTCCGGCTGGTTGCGTATATTCGACCACTTCTAGGGAGCGCGTCACACGTCGCGACTGCTTTTCGACTAGGTATTAGATGACCCACGGCGCGCTTTAGCCCAGCGATGATCGTGGGCACGCGGTGCGATCTTCTTCTTCTTCGCTGTCTCGTCACGTAAGCAGCTACGTCGGATGAAGTCCCTTTTTACTGCTCAATTGGCTGGCTGAAGCTAGCAAGTTCTGCGAAACGACCGCTCGATCAGCTAGTACAAACTGGCCAGAGAAGAGATGACTCCTTCTATTTCCTCGCGTAATAGCTGGAAGATCACAGATTCTCGTCCGTCTCTGTTGCGACGTCACAGCAGCAATGCCGTAGGCTAGTCCGTGGGGTCGTCGGAGCTGCAGCGCAGCTAATCACGGAGGAAGCCCCGTGTGGTGCGAGTCGTCTGTGCGAAGCAGAAGTGAGGGACTCGCACTCAGTGCCTCAACCGGCATCGAGGCGGAACCGATCGCACGGTGTCCCCATATATCTTCTCCTGATTAACCAAGAGCAAAAAGGAATTCTCTTCGCAGCAATCTGTACTTCGCCCCTAGCGTAGCTAGCCTCTTGGTGATTTCTATTTTTGTCTGAGAGTAAATACAGGTGGTGGGTGATGATCGTATTGATGACATGTAGGTAGTTTGTTGTGTGGAATTCCCTGTCGAAGATGTCGAAATTCAAATTTTCGTAAAGTGCAAGACTATCATGAGAAACCCTGGTTTAGGTTTACCCCCACTTCAGACAACGACGAGCACCCTTAACGACTTTGACGTACAAACATGCAAATGCATTTCCGCTTGATATAGAACTTCTATACTTATTCTACTCAAGCCCATTGCTACGACCTACGAAGTCCTTCCCAATAGTGCGATCACTCATCGCTCAATTCGCTCTTCATTTCCAGTGCGCGCCTGGGCCGGCTCTGATAAGATAAGTACTCTCAATTTCAACTCATTCTCGTCAGACACATGTAAAGAACGATGCGAGTAAATCAATTCAAGACCACGCTCCTGCTGTTCTTAGCACGCATGGTCGTGCTTGTGCTAGGAGTTGAACACCTTGAAACATCTGCAACTTTCAGTAGTTCTGTGGTCGGAGATGGAGCGATTAAAACTGTGCTCTGCTATACTGTTTTTGCGAGTTGTTTCTCGTCGTTTATTTGAATTTCTATTACAACACGCGTGGCAAATTCCGATGCAAAAAATCGATTTATGCTCAATATGTCGATGTTGCAAATGAATGTCGCGGTCTGCTCTTGCAGATAAAGAGGGAATGATCCTATTCCTGCACAGTTTTTCCCCTCAATCGCGGGCGGACGTAGATGCCATGCTTATCGGCGACTCGTTCTCGCATTTTGACAGAGAACTGCCCGGTGTCGTATCTGCGTCGAACAGTAACCGCGATGCAAGATTTGATGCGGCGCTGGCCTGGTCGTCTTTGATGTCCGGGGAGCAAGAATCTGCTGCAGACCCGGTCGTCTTCCGCGCACTTGATGGTGCACACGGGGTGGTTTGTTCTACGGAAGCAGATGAGCGCTGCTCCTTCTCTACAACTTCCGCCCCCTCCTTCTGCGGCTCCTCCTCGGCGACGGAGGGGAGCGCGGCCCCGGAGGAAACGGATGACAGGTAGGAAAATTCCCGGTCGAACTCTTCTGCGTCCGTGCTTGTCGGTCGGGAAGTAGAACTCGCGTGCCCGAGAGTAAGGCTTCCCCGCGGCAGCTCGTGCACTCGCGAGTTCGCGTAACAAGTCCCCATCACGGTCGCGGCCTTGGTCAGAACCCGGCGCGTTGTCGTGCTTGAGGACTTCAAGGCGAGCGGCTCTCGAACCTGCTCGTCGCCGTCTGTAGTTGATATCACGGAGGAACAGGGAGAGGACGCAGCTCCTACGGAGGGGTCGTTATTTCTAGTTAGTTGTACCCCTCGCGCCGTAGTAGTTTCAGCGACGCTGTCGCTGTCTTCCGCAGCAGCGCTAGTAGTACCTCCGGCGGTGTCGCTTCTTTGCACGTCTGGCTTGGACGTTGCACCCTGTATTTCCGCCGTTGGGCTAGCGTTCGTTGGCACGGTCCGCGCGCGCTCCATCAGGGAAAGTTTGCTTCTGCCCGAGGTGGCCGCGCCGGACGTGGTGTGGGACCGCTTGATGGTTCGACGCAAGGAGCCAGAGTGGGACTTGTAGGTGATTTCCACGTCCATATCCGTGTTGTTCTCGAGATCGAGCAAACTCCGGATTTTGTAATCCACCTTGACCAGATTGTCCTTGTTGGCCTTGCGGTTCCAAAGCTCCACCTTCTGTCGCCCCTTCGCCAGCGACAACACCGCGCCAGAGATGGCGTCCTGCGAATCCTCCTTCTCGAGAAACGAAAAGTGACCGCCAATCACACCAAGGACCAGGTCAGTAAACATGTCGATCCTGCGTGAATTTCGAAATTGGGTTCGTGGAGGTTTTAATAACGAGGCTCTTGACAAAAATGAGGCATGGAAAGACACAGAAAAAAAAAGCCTTTTTCTAGTACGATCTGTGAGTGATACTACTATCCAAAGTAACAAGTAGTACCTTTTCTTGTTCACTGCCGCCAGCGTGTCTCGGCTCATAGTCGTGAGAATCCAGCGACCACCCTCCTTATTCTCCGGATCCTCCCATTCGGGACGAATGCCTTCACGAAAGACGCCCAAGCTACCCTGCGCGAAGCCAAAGTTGATGTTGTTCCAACATCTCCAAAACTCCTGCACAGTGGCGACGTTGCAAACCTGGTTTTATTGATTGTCGATGCTCGTTCTCCGCAATGAATCACATCAGCAAAACGGTCGGAGCGTGAGAAGATTTAAAGCGTAAGCTGAAAGTGAAATGACCTGATAGTCGAATTAGATTGTGAAGCAAATAATCAAGTACTCTTGATATTCCGCTGGCGTAGTCCTTTTTTCGCTGGGCGTCGAACCAGATCGTGTAGACCTGGGGGAGTTTGAACACTAGTGTCGCCGGCACCATCTTGAGGCCACTGGGGTTTACCACCAGCAGATCCGCATTCGAGATCATCGGCGCGACCTCGTCTTCACTGAGCCACTCGGCATCGCTGCCTAGGTCGTCGGCAACAGGAACCACGTCCTCGTCCTCGGGTAAATCGCCCCAATTCAGAATCTGCCGCGTCGGAGACATGCACAGCCTCTCCTGTTCAGGACTCATGGCTGATAAGTAGACCATCACGCCGAGGCCGAGCGCATGGGGAGATTCGCTATCGCAATTCTGTTCTTGTTTCTCTTGTTTCTGTTTCTACTCGTACTCGGTACAAAGGGAGGTGCACTATGTTCATTTACTTTTGAATGTCGCTTCTTTCTTCAACCTGCTTCCACTAAGACATTCACATTGTTCACATAGATCAAACTATATCACTGACGGGGTTTTTGTGGAAGGTGGAGTTGAAGAAGTCATCATGATCGCTTTTTCATTCTTTTTTGATGAATTTATTTTGTCGGCCGCAACAACCTGATCGCTGTGTGAATTTTCGCTGGATTTTCTGAGGAGGCATGATCGATCATGTTTCCACGAGGAGCATAGATTTGTACACTACGATTGCGACAGAGTGAAGGGAACCAGAAAGTAGAGCTCAGGCGATGGTAAAAGTTGCGAGCCACGACGCACGAAGCACGCACGACAAATTTTTTTGGATCGCGGCAAAACTAGAGAACAGAGCTCTGATGTGTGATCTTCATTTCCGCTTTCAATTTCTTTCAATGATCATCATCGGCACGGCCTATATGCTCTCTTTCTGTGCAGCCTGCTTTGTTTTCTGCGCAGCTATGACTATGAACCATCTTTTCATCTGTAAAAACTTTTGATGTAGTGGTAGCCACTCAATTTGATATGTTCAACAAGAATAGGCGCGCCATTGGGAAAAACCTCACCATCATCGGGAAAAACTCACTTTTTGCCGTCTAGAATTCCCCTGTTGATTCCTCGGGGCTCTTCGGGGAAAAGGGTATGTACAGATACGAATGGGATCCCGGCAGTGCAGTTTTCTTGCCGGTCGCTGTGCTTTCCCCCTGCTCTAGCTCGGAGGACATCACGGTCCAGATTTTCGAGAATTGTCGTTTTGCCCAGGGGTCGCTGGAGTCTGGCGCTGCGGCCGCGGAAAACGCGGTGCCGTTCTTCAACGGGCCCTGTTTGCGCGTGTAGAACGTGAGGCAGTGCCCGTACTCGAGATCTTGGTTCAGCCAGTCTTTTTGGTCGTAGGCAAGCTGCACGATCGCGGGCCGGTCGTCCGGGTCTTCCGCCAGCAGGCTCTGCAAGAGGTTGCGCACCTCCGGCGAGGTCTCCTGCTGGGCGGATCGCTCCTGTTCGCGGAGGTCAAATGACACAGCACTGCTCGCGGCCCCTGGCGGGAGGTCCTCGTCGAGGACGCTGGCCCACTCGGGCAACCGCCCGCGCCGGAGAAACCAGTACGTCACGCCCAGTGCCCACGCGTCCGACTTCACCGAGGGAGCGGTGCGCCGTTGCCGTAGCTCCGGTGCCATGTACGCTCCGGTGCCTTCAAACTTTAGCTCGTCCTCAACATCTTCCGGCTGACTTGGTGTTGTTCCTCGTTCTTCCGTTCTTGCGGACCCAGCAAGCAGTGTTTGGTCTTGTTCAATAGCTCCTGCAGCTCCACCTTCTGCGTTGCTCAACATACTTCGTTGGTCCAAGATGTAGTCGTCTTCCCCGCTGCGCAAGTTGGCCAGCAACTCCACGTTGAGCTTTTGTTTTGCCGCGTCGGTTAGGGGTCGTGCGCCACCAAAGTCGGTCAGTTTACAGTGGCCGCTCGAGGTGATGACGACGTTCTCCGGCTTCATGTCTGCAAACGCAAATCCCTGCTCGTGCACGACAGTCAGCCCCGCCAGAATTTCGCCGGCGACAAACCGGAAGGTGCTCAGGTCGTCCAACGTGCCTTGGTTGGTCACGTAGGAGTGCAAGTCACCCTGGCTGCAGAACTCCAGGACCAGGTAGGCGCCGTCGCGCCACCGAAACGCGGAGACGAGGCGGCAGATATTGGGGTGCGACAGGTGTTTCAGCACCGCGATTTCCTGGTTCACCTGTCGGACGTAGTTGTGCTTCTTGATGGTCTCGATGGACACCACCTTAACCGCGTACTCCGGCCACTCGGACTGCGTTTTGCTTTTTAGCACGGTGCGCCCGTACTTGACCACGGAAAAAGCGCCGCGGCCCAGGTCTTGGTTTCCGTAAACGACATCGTGGAACTTCAGAGAGGGCAGCCACGTGGGGGTGAGCGACAGGAGCTGATCGTCCCAGTCGCGGACGATGTCGCTGCGGGGGTTCAGTTTCTTCAAGTACTCGCCCATGGCTTTTAGTGCCGGGTCCTGATCGCTGTCCGCGGAAGGTTTCATTTGCGAGATGAGTTGTTCACTCTCTGCTGACGCGCCGCTTGTTTCTTCCAGGGGACCGAGTAGTCCGAGGCGAGACCCGACGCCTCCGGGAATCACCGGACCTCGGCCGCCCCGCATGCTGGTACTGCCCGCATGACCAGCGGCGCCTCCCATGGCCCAAGGAGCCACCCCCGTGATCGTCGCGGGGGGCTGTCTGCTGGTCCCAGTTCCGCCGCCGGCTGGTCCGCGAGCCCAGGGTGCGACACCTGTTATGGTCGAGGGCGGAGCCGCGCCACCGCTGCCCTGTTCCCGCCATTCGCGCATTTGCTGCGCGACGGACCCGGTTGCTGCCCCAGGTCCTCCACGCGAGAGCGAGCCAAGCCCGAGAGTTTTCGCCGGCGCACCGATCGCACCCCCCGCTGCCAGGTCGGTCGAAAATCCCGGGTCGCCGCGCCTGGGGTTCTCACGACGGGCGTGCGACAGCAACTGGTAATTGTTGAATTGTTGATGTTTTCTTGTTCTTACTCGTGGCACTTAAACGTAAACCCCAGGTCACAGATCATGCTATTTCAAATGAGATAAACTTAGACTTGTACTTGTTACCTGCCTACTTTCCCATATCTGTCGCACAGTTTCCTCGAAGAGTTGGCGGTGCTGCGCCCGGAACTTCTCGAGTACCAAAGCCGTCATCTTGTTTACGGTCGGATTCCAGAAAAGTTCCTCGCGCCACAGCAGGGGCAGCAACATGGCCAGCCATTTTGCAACGGATTTCCGGCTCGTGGCAAACAGCATCGCGGTGAATGATTCATCCTTCCAGAACAGCAACGCGCTCTCTATCACTTGTGCGTTGAGACTTTTCAAACAAGCACAAAGTTTTGGCAGCAAGATCGGTGAAAGCCGCTCTTCAAATGTTTGGCTTACGGAAGGAGCATTCGGCGCCGCGCCCGATGGCGCTACGACCGCGGTGCCCCACACCCGGAGCAGACTCCGCATCTCCTGAAGAAGCAAGACCTCCTTCGCCGTGTTGGCCTCCGTGGGTGGCGGCCACTTCTTTACGCAGGCTTGTTGCAGTGCGTCTTCCAAAAAGGTGGACGGGGAAATAATTGCGCAAGAACTGGTTGTCCCGGTCGTGTTGCTGTGATGCAGTTGTGCAGCTCCCTCGTTTCCTTCGTCTACCTCCATGGGGTCGTCCCCCACTGGTTGTCCCGCCAGGTCGTTGGGCACCACCTGCGAAAGCCGCACCGACGCCGTGATCAAGGTCTCCAGTGCGCGCACGAGCGGCGTGTGAAACAGCTTGATCAGCGGAATCTGTCGGTCCCACAAGTACCACTTGTTCGTTGCGTGGAGCGGAAACAGCACTTCCCGCGCGAGCTTTTGCAGGTTCGGAAAGGCGGCGCGCAGGTGCGCGGCTCCCCGCTCCACGGCGACTTCCCCTTCGATGACGAACGCGAGGACGCGCAGGAAGGGGGCGACGCAGAAATTCCTGTGCGAGAACCGCACAAATTCGCGGCAAACCTTACCCAGAGACTCTCGCCGAATGCGCATGCGTGCGAACGCACTGGCATCGCGGTAAGCCGTGTACAGGATGAGAAACAAAATCTCCTCATCTTCTTCGCAGTTGTGGGAGGATTGGGCCAGCGACTGCAGGTCAAACAAAAGATTTGCGTCGGGCTCCTCGCCCCAGTTCCACTCTGGGTACTGCAACAGAGAGGTGACGATGCTGAGGACGTGCACTCGCTTCTTATTCAAGGCCCGCTCCTCCGCGGTTTTTTTCCCCCGCCACCGCCAGGATACCTGTAGCGATCGCAGCACGCCCTGGTACACTTCCCGGGAAAAGGGTGCTGCATCGCGCAAAATCCCGGCGGATGCGGCCTTTTCGAGCTGCTCGAGTGTTCCGGCCTCGCCTCGCAATCCGGCGTCCAGAGCCTGCAGGATTTGATCCGAAGTATCAAAAGCGGTGGCAAGATCCTCCTCGGTCATCCTCGATGCCCGTGTTCTCGTCAACTATAGTACTCGATACGCCGTCTCCCTCTTCTAGAGGCCATTTTAATAGCTGAAGGGTCGTTTTATTGTCCAAAAGTTGAAGAAATACGCCAGGAAGAGGTACTATACTTTGATCCCAAGACGCAGTAATGTAAATTGCTGAGAAATAGAAGAACTCACTACATGATCGCTATATATAAGCATACGCATCGCTGCGTACGGTGTACAGGGGTGCATTGATGAATGTAGAAGTTCTTGTTCTCCACAATCCATCGCCTTGCGTCCGTGACCGAGGCTAGAAAAAAACAGAGCAGCACGGTCACCACGGATCAAGATTTGTGATTTCGGCAGACCTCACGATTTTCCATGAAAGTGCGAAGTTGCGTAAGGCTGCAATATGCAATTTCCATCAGTTACGTCGATCTAGAACCAAGTCAATCCTGATAGGGGATTTGCTTCTGACCGTTCAAGTGTGACGAGGTTCGCTAGAAGAAGTGCCTGCTGGCCAGAGGGTTTTCTTCTTTTGCGGTTGCGAAGACCAGAAGACTTCTTGTTCCCAAAAAAAAGTTAGTCCACACCGGTAAGACTGTGCTTGTTGCAGTGCGGCTGCTAGAAGAAGCACCTATCCACATCAAAAAGCTCTCTGCCGAACGCGACGCAGAGGAACACAAAGAGCAGTTTCTCCAGTTGCTTTTCCGGAGACCGCGAACCCTATCCGTGTGGTGACGGTGTGCCAAATTCATTCTTTGTAAACACGGTCGTTCTTCATATGATATCGATGACCACCAATCCAAAATTAACTAAAACCTCCGGATCATATTTTGATCCTCAAAAATCCACACGTTGAATGACGCACTGCCACGGCTTCAACACTTTTGTACCTACCCTTTAGGACGTCGTCAGTGTGGTACTCATCTCTACATCTACCATCCAGTTTCGCCTCGGATGATCGTCCCTATCATTTCAACTTCTCCGCCAGAGTTGTAGTACTTCAGTTTTCTTCTGCGACCAAAAATACGGATAAAGTTATGACTCCCTACAGCTTTGCTGTTTTCCAAATACAGATCCTACTCAACCAAAACGAAAAGATGCATGGTTTAGGCAATAGAATTCCAAACTTTTAATACTGTAAATCATCAACGCCGTTGACATGCAGCACATTTACAACTGAAGCCTCCTATGTATGTACTTACTTAAGTTAGTAGTTTTTCCGATACGGCAAAAATCTCCACCGACGCTGACCTAGTAGAAGATCCATCCCGTCTTCGGGCACTTAGTCCCCTTCATGTGCATTTTCTGACAGTTTTCGCAGAATTTCTTGTTTCCGCCGTATTTGTTCGGGTCGGCACCTTTCGCCACCAGCACCGGACAGACCGTTCCTCGGAAGTGCGTCCCTCCGCAGTGCTTGCAAGTGTAGCGAAAGCTATCACGGTGCTTGTTGAACTGCTTGTTGTTCGCATTCTTCGGGGCCGATTTCGCACCCATCTTCTTCGCGCCCCCGGTGGCCTTCCCGGCGTCCGCGCGCTTGCTGCAGAACCCGAACATGTCAAACTATTATATGCGAGAAAGACTGTGTCTTTCGAGTTCAAGTGAACGCTGTACTATTTCAACACAAATCAAGATGAAGATCTGAACTCTAGCAATAATTTTCAAAAAGGTCACTCTCGTCGAAGGTATCCTAACCAATCTTACCTGATGCTCACAACAATCTGAAACTGCGCATGCGCGCGGCGCAAGCAGCCGAGTCGGGGGTCCGAAAATTCCCTGACCCTGCGCTGTGGCGTATCCAATTCGGCAGCAAGCAACTTTAACGCGATGTCATCGGTGGCACAGCAGTTCTTCGCTTCGGGCAGCGGCAGGGCGCGGCAGCAGCGGGGCGCGGCATCGCGATTCAACAGATCCAAAGCACGCGATGAAGGCGGCAGTGCAAACCCGCCTGGCGGCAGCAACGGGGCAATTGCTTGTGCGTGTGAGCGTTCATCTCGGCAAGCGACAGGGCCAAAAGGCATGACAGCCTTCGGCTTCGCGCCCGACTGTCATGCCTTTTCCTGCTCAGACGGGCGCGAAGGGGCGGCAGGGGCTTCCAGCGCGTCTTTCTGGCAATGCGTTTTCGCGTCATGGTACCCAAAAACGGCAAGATACGATTGGTCTTCAGAGGCATCGACGGCAGTGCTCGCAATTCCGTTGTAATTGATCGCCTGCAAGTAAAATTGGTTCTCTACTAGTGTGAGTGGGTGTCACCTTCTGTTTGATTTAAGAATAACGATGTGGTCCCTTAACTAATGTGCGGTGAAAGTCGAAACTCTATTCGTTCGCCAGACGGGAATAGCTTTTCCCTTTCTAGCAACTGTGATTTTTCGTTGGAATTGAGTATGAGCAAAGCGTTTCACGTACCGAGCACAAAAATGACTGGCGATTTTCCGACACGCCGGCCTGTCGTCATCACTTTACTGTCGAGGTCGACATTCCATGACTTCCGATAATGCAGACAACCGAAAACTACGGTGCACTTTCTTCGCATCAAACGAAGTGTCGTCTCCTGGACCGATCGGAGTTTTAGTATTTTTGGACAGAAAACATTTCAAGTTTTCGTTCAAAAATAGTTAACCGAAGCTGTTGAAAATTGAAATTTGGCATTGGCAACGAGATCGATTCGATTGCGAGATAAGATATCGCAAAACTGCAATAGCAGTAAACACAATTGCTTTTCTGCAGATGACAGTTGCAGCAAAGTTCATAACTGAGTCTACGAGTACTCTGAAACTGAATAAGTCGTATCCCTTTGGCGTTAATCTTGTAGATACAACTTGTCACGATGACTACACGCGAGCGCCACCAAAAGGCGCAGCTCGAGAGGCCAACTGGAACACAACAAGCCAGCTGGTCTGACAAGCTCTGCGGTTTGCCTTTACAACTTCCGTTCTTTTCTATGAATCTTCTCGCCGTGATATATGTTCCGAACGATTTGCTCGGTGCGCATTTCATGGGAGCGTAGGTTTTTTCGGGGTGGCCGTTTTTGTAAGTACTTAGTTACGGGGATATTGTTCATGCATTGCTAGCAGTATGTTCTATACTTGGTTTTACTATTCGGTTTTCTACTCCTACTGCTAGCACACAAGGACGACACTTCTAAGGTAGGGCTCCCTCGCGCCAACATCTTCCTCCCCGCCGACTTTCGTTCACTGGTACAACCTTTATTTCTGCGAGGGGATCAAATTGTGAGCTCGTTGTAGCGCACAGTAGTATAATTTTCACTTGTGCAAATCGAGAGGAGTCAAACAGCATGAAAAGAGGCTGGGATCACAATCAATACACATTTTCTTGAATTGTTCTCAATCATAGTTTCTTTAAACCAAAACTCGCTGAGCGCTTCTACTCTTCTTCTTTACAAGAAGACCAAAATTGTGCGCACGGAAAAGATGGGTAGTATTAGGCTCAGGTCTTTAGTTGTACTCACGTTACTAATATGCAGCTCGCATGTGCAGAAAAATCTACGCAGGCATTCTACTAGTTGTGTTTCCCCTTTGGTGCGGAAATAAAGTCGAAAGACTTACGTCAAATTCGTGGAGGTACTGGCAAAAATAAACAGGTCGTGGCATGTAGCGAGCGACCAATGGTCGCTGCTCGTAAGTCTAAGAAATTGATCGTTTTTGTGGTCGAAATTGCCAGTCGGGGGGAGCTCGGCGTATTGGGAGACTTCGTTGTATGAACTTAGTACAGAGGCATCGGTACCCGTCGAAACAGCTGGAGAACGGCGCACGTGGGCGCGGCGCCATTGATGTTCTTCTACAAATATTCCAGTGGAGTATACTCTACACGTACTGACCTTACCGGGAACGAGCGCTGTTGCGATTTACTCAACAGTAATGCGAAGTTCCAGTAACGGTGTCCGAGGTTATGATTTACTTTTTGGTTCTTTCGTTTTTTTATTTTTCACTTTTTTGTTTACAATTTCAAGAAGGAGGAAGTAGACACACTGTGTCCCATGCCTTCCCTCTTCCTCACATCTGTCCTAGCGATTCTAGGACGATAAGGAGACTCTTGCGTCTCTGCGATGATGAGCGTACAACCACGTGTTGCGCCGTCCGGGCCCCAAGTACTTTTTTACTTCCCCGCCCTGATGAAACGGCCCCACCAGCGTTTCTAGTTCCAGAACGGAATCTCCTGCGCGGTATCGTTGCCGTTGATCCAGATAATGATGAACATGGTGACTGCAATCCCGTGGAGCAGCTGCAATCCCCATCCTGCCTTGACAAAGTCCGTGAAAGAGTAATTTGCCGCCATTGTGGCGAACTGGTTGTGGGAGCACCCGATTGGTGACATGAAGTTGGCGACGGCCGCGTTCACCAGCAGTGTCATCAAGGGGATGACGGGCATCCGCATTTCGAGCCCCACTGCCATAACCGGCAGCATCAGCATGGTCACCAGTGTACGATTATCCACAAACTGCGTCAGAAGGGCCACCATCACGTAGATCAGCGCCACCGCCCACGCCTGGCTCCCGCCGCTCATTTTCAATATCATGTCGGCAATCAGATCGCTCACGCCCGTCAGCGTCATCGCAGCCGCAACCGGGCCTGCGAACGCAAAAAGCATCAGCGTACCGCCGTTCTGCGATGCCAGCGCCTGCTTGAAGGTGACAGCCCGGATGAAGATCGCGATCTGTTTTTTCCGAAGGATGAGTGTTACGTAGTACGTGAGTTGTCACGACTTGTGGCCTGATAGATACAGAGTGCGTGCTCTCGAAACGATATTGAAAACACGCTTCTTCAGCAACGCAAACAAAAGTACTTTATAAACAAAAAGCAGATGAAAATATCGCAACAAAATTTCATACCAGTGCGACCAGCCAGAGGTACATGTTGAAATCGTCTTTGAATGTCTTCAGCGGCTTTACGAGGCTCCCGATCACATTCAAGACCACAACGAGGAGAAACAGGAAGAGAATGGTGTATCCGCGTAGATTGTCCAAGGTGCCCGTGCTGCGAGGAGGTGTGCTATTAGGGACCGGTGTCACCAGCTGGAAGTCCATCGTGTTTTTGCCCAGTTCGGGGAAACCTTCGACGAGCACCATCTGCGTCATGGGGTCCCGGCCCAGCACGACGGCGTCAAACTCAGTAAAGAACCGCTGATCGTCGATCTCGTCGTAGGACACTTCGTCCAACGAAATCTGGTAAAGCAACCTGTATTTTAATTTTTACGCATCATGATGAAAAAAAATTCGATGCTGTTGGTTTTCTTCTCCTACCTACCGGTACATCAAAATGAAAGTTTCTATAACTCATTCACATTCTTGAAACAAACCATAAGTGCAGTATTTAATACCTGCTTTTCCTCGATCTGCCTAGCAAGTCGTACAACTTGGAACTGGGGACGAGGCCGGGCATCTGGCGGCGCAAGCGCGCGATTCCGTCTGCCCGTGCGCGCACCCGGATCACGTCGTCGACGGTGATGATGGTTTTCCTTCTGCTGAAATTTCTGTGTCCGTTGTAGCCTATAATCTTGACGCCCTTAAAAAACCTCAGCGCGGACTGCGAGAACGGTTCGTTCGTGATCATGTCTTTCGTGATCCGGAGTTCCACCTCGTATTCCGCTCCTGCGCCGATCCGCAGCTGCGTCTCCGGGTCTTCCTCCGGCGTGCTCCGCTCCCGATTTATTCTGCTCCCGTCGACGTCGCGCTCCTCGTTAATATTTTCATCTTGTAGTAGTTGGCGATCTCCCTGAGAACCTTGAAGATCCTTTTTGACGTCGGACATCTCGATTTCGCTTCCGGACTGCAGATCTTCGTCCTCGTCTTCATACGAAGAACTGATCATGTTGGCCTCGCCCGCCTCGGGTTCCTTTGGGTACATCTTGCTCAAAGCCCACATGGTGAACAGCAGCCCTCCCGTACCAAAGGCCGCGGCAAAGAGTCCGGTGAACAAAAACACCGGCTGCACGACTTGAAAGTCGCAATTGCTCTTGATACTCGCCAGCAGGGCCTCGCCGGGTTGGCCCTGCGCCAAGAGCCCCTCCTCGAGCCGCTCCCACGCGTTCTTGGTGTCGGCCTTCGACCACTGCTTTATGCGCACGACCGGCTTACCGTCGTCCCCGTACCGGAACAGCTTCGAGTAGGCCAGCATGCCAAATGCCGTCGCGGTGTCCAGTTTCGCCTCGGGAAGCTGGTGCTCCTGGTCCGATTGTCGGTCGTAGGTGATGATGTTCTCGATGTCCGACAAATTTTCCACTTTGCACAGCGTCGCGGGCCCCCCCGCGATCTGCCCGGCGGGTGCCGGCTGGCTCGGGTCGGGCAGGTAGAACCCGATGCAGAGCTCCAGCTGGTAGCACAGCTTCATTGCTTTCTCGACCGGTAGGGGTAGGTCGGTCCGGATGGGCAGCTTCTGCTTTTTCGTGGTGGGGATCAGCTCGGAGCCCGTCATGACGTTGCAATTCGAATACTGCGCGTTTTCGTGCTTCTGGAAGGCGTCAACCAGCGTGGTGGCCAGGCCGAGGGGGTAGGACGGGTGCTCCGCCATCGCGAGCGCGGTGAAGGTGGGCTGCAACTTCTCCGGGACCTTGTCCCAATACAGCACCGTTTTTCCGTTGCCCGGGTCCTCGCGCGTTGTTTCGCGCCCGCGGAACGCAATCAGGCTTTCAACGGCAAGGCACTTCCAGTACCCGCCGGAGTCGACGCGCCGGTCGTTCACGAATTCTTGCGCGGCGAAGTTCGGGCTACTCCCGATCGTGGTAATGCTCCCACCCAGCGTTGCCGCAAAGGGCACCGCCATGATGAACACCGAAGGCAGGTAGACGCCGACCCGATCCGCGACGGAGATGGCGATCGGGATCCCGATGGCGGTGCACGGCCCGTTGTTCAACACCGCCGAGAGCACCATTATCGGGGCCAGCAACCGCAGCATTCCCACGATACTCAGGGGTCGCCCCACGAGCCTCCCTATCGCCTGTGTATATAGAAGGTATGAAAGTAAGTGTAAGAACAAGGGTGGGCAATAAAATGGTAAAAATCATAAAGCGCGCCAGCTGCTGCTGGCCCTGAACAGCATATCCATATTTCATGTTTAGTACGTGTAACAGTTGTACAAAGAAGCAAAGACGACATTATTGCACCTTTTCCAGGACTTGTGTCTCGGCGAAAGCGCAGGCAATGACGAAGAGCGCAGCGTAGAGGATGACGGCGGACGAAGTCATTCCGGCCCAAAACGCCGAACAGGAGGGGACGCAGCCGAACATGTAAAGTTTAAAAGCGACGAGAAACATGGCGAGCCCTACGTTCATGTCCTCGAGCATAAGGAGGATCAGAAGAATGATGCTGCTCATCACCAGCCATTTGTAGAGCGGGTTGTGGGCCAAATTCGGCTTCCAGATTAAGTCTCCGTCGGAACTGCATTTTTTTTTTTTCGTCACACTTTGAATCACGAAATTAATAAGTAAGTAATTGATGACATTCTTTGATACTTGCGGTCTGGTGACAGACTGCAGAAGAAGCTTCCTTGTTGCATATTTCGTGTCCTACCATGCTACTACACCCATCGATTTTTCATGTCGCATACGTATTGAAATGAAAAACTGAAAAGCAACTGTGAAGTACTCTTTCTCCCCGGTGTTGATGTACAAATCGAGGGGCCGGGATCCATCTTCGTACGGGGTGTTGTCTTGCATGCAGTAAAAGATGATGTACCCCAGGACTGCGAAAAGCAGCCACAGAAGTCTGGGAACCGTGGCATTGCGCAGAAAAATCTCCACGCAGCCAAACTTCTGACGGCGCACGGTAAGCGGCGGCTCACCTGGAATTAAGGATTCTTTTTCGTCTTCTTCTACTACTTCTGCCGCCCCATGAGGTGTCGCACGCAGGGCTGCCCGTCGCTCTGACGAGCCCCCCGACGGAGATAGCAACTGCTCACGCGCAGAGCTATCTTCATCGATTTCGTCATTGAAATTTTGGTTCCTAATTCCCCCATCGTCCCTTGGCCGTTGTATACCACCCCTGGCTTCCTCTGAGTTGGACATGGGGAAATTCAGCTAGGCGGAAAACTGACAGCAGAATATTACTCAAACAACTGGGATGACTTGTCGCGGCCAACTAATAGGCACTGTTATTAAGGCACAAGGGCTATTACTATTTGTTGAAAAACTAAAGTACGACTACGCGTGGAATTGTACACAAATATTCAAAACTGAAAATAGCCTCGCACAAGCGAGAAAAACTTGGTAGAGCGTACTTCTAAATTACTGCAGGGCCTACGAGGTAAAACTCTACTCAGATGAATCTTCGAAAAAGGTAACTTATAGACATGGTTGTTGGTGAGACAAATGAGTCCAGAGGACAAAACAAATGTATATGCGTCTGCGAGTAAATGAAATTCACATTCACATTTCTTTGGAGGCAACTAGGAGAAGATTCATTTTGCCAGAAAGGTCACAATTCTTCTTCGACCCCAATTTGTGTATTTTCGGAAGGTTAATTCATTTGATTTGCAAGATAGGGATCCGCGCACTGCTGCCGCTAGCCGAAGTGCTGTCGGCTACTTTTCTCTATTATTTCAGGCGCAGCTACTAAAATCTTGCTCCTGGTGGCGACTTCGTCTTTTACTTTTTTGAGTGCAAACCGATAGCTCGTCCGTTAGATCTTGTCTGATCATGGCGTACCGAAGTAGATGAACTACCATCAATAGTATTCGTCCACATGATACCGAGTTCATCTAATGTGATCATGCCTTTTCTTTCAGCTCTTGCTTGCGATACTCGGAGGATACTACCTGCAACATCGCTTGGTGATTGCAGCTGCGTCGATCTCGATCATCATAAAAATCCGGCAAACCGATACGCACCGATCTTTTTCTACAAATCGATATCTTTCTAGTGTGCTGTGAGTTCGATCAACGAGAACCCAACTGTCATAATCAGTAACTCTATCATCATTTGCGCAGCGTACTACAACGAACGTTACTATTGCATCGAGCAATAGATTGTCGCGCTTTTTCCACAAATTCAGGTGCTCGCTCTACACAGCAAAAGTAAAAAATTAGACAATACTTCGCTGCAATTTCCTGCCACTTGCTGTCAACTCTGGCGTCCTGGTTTCGTATTTAGCAGAAGGGGAGCCATCCTCTCGTTGGTCTGCCAGCGGCTGCTTCAGTTCAAAGATCATGTTCGGAAATAAATGCTTCAAGGGAGTGGCGATGACGCGGCGCGACGCGAAAAAACTCACTGTTCTGCGAGTGCGGCTCGGAAAATGGAAATGCAAAAATTCAAGCGGAAGACTGGTCGTTACATTCTACCGCCGAGGGTGGAGAAAGCGGACACATGTATGTTTGTGTTGCAGAAGTTGATGCAGAAACACGCACTAAACAACTGTGAAGAAACGGTAACGAACAACATGATACGGTAGACATTTTTTTTACAGAAACTAAGTACATTCATCGAGTGCACAGGCAGCCCTACCTTTTGTCTTTCTCTGTACAACTATATGCATTTACATTCCAGTATCTAACTACTATATTTATGACATTGCAATGGATCAGACGAAGCTCAACCACACAAGTGAAAGAAAGCGGAAGCGCAAGCTGCGACTACACTGGCGCAGTGCAACGGGGATCTTCACACATAGAGTCTTTTTTTGTGAAACATGCAAATGGAATTTTGCATGAAAACAGAGACTGGGGATCTTCACACATAAAAACTGCAGAAAAATGCGGAGACGAGCATGCAGAACACGCAGTTAAAGAAGTAGAGCTGCAATCCCGGCCAACCGAGTGAAGGTGTCGATCGTGTACCTTGGAGGTGAAGCACAACTACGTTGTTACATACAACATGAGGCTTTGCAAACCCCAATCACGAGTGCAATGCAGATGCAGCGTAAAAAAGTAGTAAGTACTATAATATGTGGATGATTCTAAATGATTTCTGTTGCGTCCTCTCGAGAAGCTCCTTCAAAACAAGCACTCACTTTTTGCCTGCTACTTCTGCGTGGCTGTTTGATTGGCTCACTCTTCGCACCCAAAAGTGCGCGCGGCGCATTGTTAGAGACCTATCAGTGGCAGACAGCGAAGGGAGGACCTCAGGCAAACCCCTTGCCTGCGCAGCCGGACTTGCAGCACGGAGGGCAAACCATGCCTCTTTCTCGGTCGAGCCCTTTGCAACTTGTGCGTTTCCACGACGATTCTGGAGATTCACGGCGTTGCGCACGTCTGTGTCCTCATCCGCTTCAAAGGGTTGCAGTACCTCCACGGATTTACTGGGCCAAACGGCCTGAAAAAGCGCACAGGCGGCGATCTTTACCATTTTGGGCTGTCTCCGATTGTGCACCTTCGTTTTGATTTTGTTTTTTTTCTTTTGATTTAGTGTTAGACTTGCAATCATGTCCGGAAAGGAACTAAATCGGGTAGCTGGTTGTCAACAGCTGCTGCCCCGAGGCTACAGAGACCAACTTGAACTTTTCGTCAAGTATCACGACGATTTTGCTTGTTCGATCTCCGGTAATATCGGCAGATACGCAAATTCGTGAGAATAAAAAAGGCATTTATCGTTCATTAATGATCTGCTCCGTAGATGTTGAATGGATGTCAACCGAAAAGGTCAAGGAAAAAGTTATATTTCAAGAAGATAATATACCATGCTCGCGACAAGAGCTTCAAAGTCCAGGGTCGCGCAACAGGAACTGCACTCCCGACAGGTGCGAACGAGTGCAAGAGCGGCAGCGACTACGGTTTCGGGCTCTCCCTTCGCCGTTTGCCAGAACGCCTGGCCGCCCGTCAAAAAGCTCGAAAGCAAAGCCGCATCCTGTTCCGTCGTTCCGTGCAGTGCCTTCCCAACGGCTTGCCTGCCCCAGCGGCGTACCCAAGGATCCGCGTGGCCAAACGAAAAGTCGACGATGGGCCTCAGAAATCTCTCCGGTTGCGCAACTCCTCTTTCGAAAGCTCGCAGGCTGCTGCGCACGGTCTGGAGGCGGACCGTTTTCATCTTTGGGTCGAGGTTGAGTAACAACGCCCTTGCGAGTGGCTCGGGCAGGGGACTCGGCAAAGACACTGCGCAGGCGTAGGAGACGCTCTCGTTGTCCGTCGTGGCAAGCACCTCAGTCGCCCACTTGCCGCCCAACCGCCAACGCGCCATGATCCGACACGCCATGACTCTTAGATTTTCGGGCTCCGAGGCACTTTTTGCAATCCGTTCGAGGATCGGCAGAAACTGGAGCTGGAGATTCTCGGAGACTTTCGCTGGCGGCGCCCGCGCAAGAATTCGCAGCCCGCGGGTCTTCACTTTCAGCGCAGATGTGAGAAGACGGTACAGGACGAGTTCTTTCAGCACCTGCTCTTCCAGATCGCCCGCGTTAATTTCCGGCACCGCATCAAGAAACGCGGCGAACCGTGTCTCCTCGGTGAGCTCCGCGCCGTCGTCGGGCGAGACCGCCTCGTCGACCGCTCGTCCAACGAGCAATTGTGCGACTTCCCTCACGTGAGAGCCGGTCCGGAGGAGTGCTCCGGCGACAAAGAGCCCCAGGTCGCCGTGCAAGCGGTGGAGGTCGTGATTGGGAGAGTCCACCAGCACGCGGAAGAGGTACTCGTATATGTCGCTCGGTTTGCATTCCCCCGAGACCTCGATGCCGACACTGGTCACGGTGGTTCGGGTCGTAGATGCCGAAGGAGCCTGCTGATGTCCCGCCGCTACTTCTCGGGACGGAAGAATCGTTGCAGCAAAGCCGACCAGCTGCTGCACCTCCTCCACGCACGAATCACGATCGCCGCAGGGCGGATTAGGATCGTCCTTATCTATCTGCTGAAAGGTAAAATTGATGAAACTCGCGCGAATCGACTTTTGGAGCACCTCGCAACGAAAGAATTCCTGCACCACTTTTCGCGTTTCATCGTCAAACCCTGCCTCCGCGGACGCTGTGACTTTGCGCAGTATCGCGGACCGAACCCGTGGCCGGCCGCGTTTCCCCGGTCGCTCTTCGCGCAAGCGTTCGTAAACTGCAACGAGCGCCGCGGGTCGAAACACGCCCAAAAACTCAACTATCTGAATCGCGACGAAGTCCACGACATCGTCCCACCATCGGCTGTTCAACTTCGTAATAAGACTCTCCGCCAGAGCCTCCGTGTCCTCTGTTGCATCAGCAGTTCTCGCGAGAACCGCCAAAGCAGCTCCCAAATGTTGCGCTATGTCGGCTTGTGCGACCACAAGATCGTGGCTACCAGCGTCGCTGTCTGCAGCAGGAGCAGCTCCGGTAGTTGCAACACCACGTACTTGCTTGTCAACATCAATTCTCTGGAGAAGCGACTGCGCATGCTGCTGCACCAAGTCAACTATCGCGGAATGCCGCCCTGCGTAGATGAAGAGGTCGACCGTTCTCGGCAATTGCGGAAGGAATCGGGACTGAAAAATGCTCAGCCCGAAGTGGCTCCACGCACTCTCGGCCGCGCGGCGCCGAACAGAGGCAGCCTGCTTCGGCACCTGTTCTACCACCTCCACCAAAACTTTGCCATCCAGTACCTGCAGGAGTGACTCAGCGGCGCACTGGGGCCGTCGGGCTACGCTGTCTTCGGCTTTTGCAAGTTCGCCCGGAGCGAGCACATACAATTCGCGGTCCTCATGATACTTCGAATTTTCAGCGCAGGCAGTAGATCGTAGTTGCAGAGGATTCCCCGAAAAAGAGGTCGACGGCTCCTCTGTGGTCGTGGTGCGCCAAATTTGGCGGAGTACGTGATCCTCCTGTGTCAAATCCAGTTGTTGGTACTCCAACGCGATTGTTTCCGGCACTTCGTCCGAACCAAGCGCTTCTGTTTCTGGAAAGAGCGTGCCCAAATAGTAGGAGAGCAAGGTTGATGTACTGGTTTCCTGTTGGGCCGCGAAGTCGTCCGCAGCGAGCACTTTGGCGAGGAGCCGCTGTTGATGCGACAAGGAGAACGAGCTAACCACCGGCTTGCGGCGGTCGTTTCTTGGAAACGCATGCAGCTCGAATGCATCGGCCAGGATGCGTCGGATAGCCTGCAGCGTGTGTTTGTCCTGCTGCAAGGCCCCGCGAGGCGAGCTGCTTTGGAAAGAAGCCACAACGCCGGCGAGGTTCGGGTTTCTGCGCAAAACACCGGTGAGCGAAGCCTGATAAACCGGATTCCAATCGGTGCGCTCCGCGAGAGAAGCGAAGCACTTCTGGCTGATCTGCGCTTTGTTTGCGCCAGCTACGTGCGCTGCTCCCTGGTACGCGCTTGTTGTTGCGCTCTGCTCTACACAATTCCAGAACACCAACTCAAACGCGTTTGCGTCTTCCAGCGACACTCCCTCGGTTGGCAACCATGACGGGACAGTTCTGGCCCCAGCGCCTTGTTCACTGGATCTCTTGTGCTGTTGGTCAACACTAGTACTACTCCCGCGCAAATACTGGTACACCGCGACAGCAGCGGAGGTAGGCGGGTTGTCGCGAGCGTGCATTTGCTGACGCTGTTCCTGTTTTGCATCTTCATCTTTTCGCACAAGCTCGCGCAAAGCGAGAGCGGACTGTGTCCAGGTCGCGCTAACATCGCCTTCGGTTGCGCCACTTCGCCGCACGAGTGCGCCAACTCGGTCAGCTTCCCCCCGGGCCACGACAGCCAGGTTTGCCGATTGCACGGCGTCAAGCCAAACTTTTAGGTACTCCTGGGCACTCTTTCGAGCGCTCGGTGCCCACACTGTTTCCAAATCATCATCCGGTGTGCGCTTCACCAGCGCCGCGGCGGGATCGGCACTTACCAAAACGTCATGCACTTCGAGTGGCAACTCAACGACAGGACCAGTAGCCTTGCTTTCTAGTACTACTGAGATTCCTGTTGTACTAGGCCTGCCGCCGACAGTGCCGTGGCTGGGTGCCGCGGGAGATGTTGTTGTTGGTCCCCACAACAACTCCGCCTTGGTCTGTTCATCCAAGAGCGTGCAGGCCGCTCGGCGGATAACTCTTCCGTACGTCTCGCAGCGAGACTCCGGGCAGATGTTCTGCGCAAACGGCCCCTCGGCGGGCTGCGGAGAGGCCGCACAGACCTTGCGAAGTGTACGAAACATCTCCCGACTGTCTTCTCGGCTCGCCAGGTCAGGGCAGCGGCCACGAATCGTCTCCATCAATACTAACAAAAGGTCGAGGAGTCGCAGAGACTCCTTCAACGCCGGCAGGCGCAACTCCACTGCGCGCGCGGGCATCAACAACTCTTGCTCCTCTTCGGTCTGCGTCGCAGGCGACAACACCAGTAGGGGCGAAGTGGTTCCGATGCGTTCCACGATATTCGCAAGCACCACGCGCTTGATCTTCGTAATTTCGTGTTCATATCCTGGCCTTTTCTGCGGTCGTCCGTAATTCGGCACGATTTTCCCGAACGCCGCCATGAACATAGCGACGTAGTTCCGCGCAGCAGCGTGACTCGCAGCCGGTACCAGCGCAGCAGGTTCCTGCGCGAACAAGTCATAATTGTCCGCCTTCGCCAGGCCTTGCAGTGCCTTTACGACGCCAATCTCATCGTGCATCGCGCGGCCCATGTAGCCGAGACACTTGTCCACTTCCAGCGCAATTTTTCCATGGTGTATGATCTCAGCGGCGTTGGGAAGAAAGAAACTGCCCGGATGCTTCTTCCACACCTCTGTCAGTTGCACCGGAGACACGCGGCTGCGGGCCACGGCTTGCGTGGCCAAGCCGCGGATCTGCGGCTCCTCAAGCATGGCGAATACCGCCTGCCCTAACGGTGCTGCGGTGGAGGAAAGGGGCTCCTCGAGAAACGGAAGGTGCTCCAGCATCAGCACAATCTTCAAATACCCCGCTTTGTTCATACCCTTTGTTGCTGCCGGCGTGGCGAAATGCTCCACGTTGCCCAGTGCCGCAGCACACCGCGCCATCGTGCGGCGGAACAACAACCGTCGCGCGGCGTGGGGTTTATCTACCCGCGTGATTTCCTCCCGCAACCGGTCAAACAACTTGATCTCGTTGAACAGAATGTGGCGCACCTTTTCGTCGTGCCGCATCCACAGGCCAAACAGCCTGCAGACCCCGTTCTTCAGCCCGAGGCTCATGTCCTCTCCGATGACGCTGGTGATGACGGAGGTCACCAGACGCAAAAGGACGCTGCTCAACCCACCGACCGCAGCGGTATCTGCCTCGAGATCGAAGTGGGGAGTGACCACGTGCACCCGCGCGAGGGTCTCGATCAACGCGAGGAGCGGAAGCGTGCTAGCTGCGTCGCGCGGCCGCATGAGGTTGCTCAGCGGCTCCGAGGAAATGCGATCCACGAGCAGTTGCAGGAGGCTCTGAAAATGCCGCTTCTGCATCTGCGAGGCCCGAGACAGACACTGTGTCCACTGCAACGCAAGCGACGCTTTCTCGCTGGCTGGATCGAACAAATGGTGCGCGTAGGTGACGGCGGTATTTCCGGAGCCCCCGAAGGAAAGCTTCCTCGGGGCGGCTGCGTCACAGCGCGGCTGCACTTTGTGAATGTTGCCAGAGGACGCTGTTGAACTAGTAACAGACTGCAACTCGCCACTGTGGTCCCTCTTTTTGCTCTCGCTGGCGACCGTTGTCTGCTGAAAGGAAGAATGTAATCCGGCTGTTTCCGACGTTCCGGCACCAGAGTGCTCGTGGTGATCCGCCTGCGCGGCGCTCGAAATTATAAACGTCAGACCCTTCAACGCGGCTGCCCGCACCATGGGGCTCGGGTCCTTTTCGTACAGGGGTAAGAGTAGCCGCTTCCGACGAGCGCCCTGTGCCACCAGCATGAGCCGAATGAGCTCACAGCCTGCTGCACGAAGATTTGGATTCCTCTCCTGCAAAAGATCGATCGCCAGTGTTAGATCGGCCAGGTCTAGAATCCTCCTCATTGCCAGCGCCTCCAAACGAAACTCGCGATCCTGCAAAAGCAGCTTCAGACCCTGGCGGTCTTTCAAACCGTGCAGCACTACGTCTTCCGCCACTTTTATTTCCTCCTGTTGCTCACCCGGGTTGCTGTGCTCGTACGAAAAACGCAACAGATTCTTCCTGCCCTCGAGAAAAATTGGCAGGTATTTCGCTACCAACGTAGGATCCCGCAAGGCCTGCAGCACGCGCATTGCCGCCAGGCGGTCCTGCCGCTCCGACGATCGAAGCCACGGAGTGAGATCAAATGAAGGCGTCACGACTGTGGAGTCCGGTTCTTGACCAGAATCATTGGCCGAATCCCCAGCATCTTTGTCTTTCACGTCCGAAGGAAATAGCTGCTCCATGCGTCTTTGCACGTCTGCCGGTATTTGCTGCCGCAGCTCTGATATTATGGATCGCTGGCTGCTCGACGTGGGAGTCGTCGAACTGCTTTTTTCCTCAGAAACAGTTTCCGCAGGAGCGGTCGCATGCTCTACTGGGATAGCAGTTTCCTCCGAGGCCTTCTCTTCCTGCGCCACAGTCGGTGCCCCGCGGTCGTGAAGACCAGTCGTCACACCACCGCCCAGCAACTTAGCATTGGATGCTTCAGCCTCAGAAGTTTCAACACCCGCGGGCTGCTCTTTCTGGTTGATAAGTGAAAGAGCTGCAGGGGCGCTGTCTCTGGCAGAAGCATCTACATGATCTTGCGCATCCTCCTCCTCTGCACTTCTGCTACCCGGCGAGCCGCCGACGGGCTCCGGGTTTCGGTGCACAAAATTCAAGTGCACAAAGTAGGACTCAATGTCACTGTAGGTCGGGAGATGCTCCATCTGCATGTGGTATGTCGAGATCGTTGCGTACAGTGCCACAACGGAAAACAAAAACACAAGTGCCACAGCGATCCATCTTTTAGCACCACCCGAACGTGGCTCGCGCTCCTTTTGCAAACACGGGAAAACAAACTTAGCGCACAGCGCCAAGTTGGACGTCGGCCGCATCATGCTGTGCCAGTCGGAGGTGCGTTCCTGCGTATAATCCGGACGATCCGGAACTCGAACTTCACTGATTCCACGATCTATGTTTCACTTTCCTGCCTCCTGCGCCTGTCCTCCGTGTCTGGCTTCAACTTCAACAAAGTGAGCAGAATTGCGTTGTGTTTATTCGAAGCAGGGCGACACCGTCTTCTACGGGGGAAGCGCCCAGCGCTCTCGGCTGAATTCCGGGTCAACATCGGGGAATGCGTCACAGACAGACTGCAGCTGCCCGCAGGCCTGAGGAACTTCGACTTTGGATACTACGCCTGCTTTCTTGCTCTTCTTCGCAGTCACGTCAAGCAGCAGCTCCTCTTTGTCCATCATCAGGCTCTCTATCACTTCGCGCTGCTGGTCCCAGGGAAACATTGCGTAGTACACAACACCCCACAAGGAGCACAGAAAGATAAACCCCCCTAGGAGAAACCGAAAATTACGTCCGGACGCCATTATAATCGTGCAGCTTTTTTCTTGAAATCCAGCAAAAGCGGACTCGAATCCATTCGAAGGAATGTGAAAGACGGAAACAATGCACGCAAGATAAACCAAATCCAAAAGGAAAAGAGTTCAATTTTCAATTTCAAAAAATAAAAAAATCCTGATAAAGATACAGGCAAAGCACGAAAACGACCCTGAGAAGAACGATTTTCTGCACTCCGGCACGGGCTTGGAACACGCCAATCATGTTATGGCACACTGCTGGTCGTGTTGTCCTTGCACTGCCTATACGCCTGTGCATCATTTTCGCATTTGTCATCTTGTCGGACTGGCGGTCCTCCCTAGATTTCCTTGGTGTTCGTTTCGACATCGACGCAGCAGTAGTTCTTGAGTAAGTAGCGCCCTTAATAGGAAGCAACTTATTTTTCAAATCAACACAAAAGCTTCCAGGCGGCCTAACGAGGATCTCCCACCTGTCCAGGCTGATGATCATGATGCGCCGCCTTCTTTTTTACGACTTTCACAACTTTCTTCTCGTGCTGTGCTTTCAGGCGCGCTTCTCGGTAGGCAGCCTTGACGCCCCAGGTAAGCTCATTCCAGACGAACGAGAAAGAGTCGTTGCGCGGCCCCCACAGCCGCAGTCCCTTGTGGATGAAGTACATGTCTTCCAAATTCTGTCGCACGTGGCGCGGCTCTTCGTCGTACATGATCTCGCGAAAGACCTCCTTGCGGACCGACACGTGGCCGTAGACGCAGATCGCCCCCTTGCCGATGAACCACCCGGTCCGGAGCATGCGGTAGTACATCCACTCCGAGAACGTGGCGTTGTAGACGCCCTGCAGCTGCAGCAGCAGTTCCATGTCCTCCGACCGCGGGCCCTCGCTGCGGCGGTGGCCCACCATCTTCAGACTGGGGTAGTTCCAAAACTGCCGCAGCAAAATTTCCGTCCGGATCGGATGCAGGCCGTCATCGGCGTCCACGTAGGAGAGAATGGTGCCCCGGGCCATCTCGGCCAACCGGTTGCGCGCCCAGCCCTGGTTGAAAACCGCCGAGTGGCACTGCAGCTTCAACTCTACCTTCTGTGGCGCGCTCTCGTCCTCGTCATGATGTTGTAAAACTGGGTTCAACAGACTGGGCACCACTGGCAATTCCGGCGGTGGACGGCGGAACCGAGGACGCAGGCGTCGCGAGTTGTGCACGCGCTGGTCGAACTCCTGCAGTCGCTCCAACATGGCAGTGGCCCCAGAAGTTTTATCGATGGCCTGCGCTTTTACCCAGTCGGCGACCTGCTTACCCTTGTCGAACAGCGGCTCACGGCGTGCGCGCCGTACTGGAATGTTCAGTTTGGGCTCCACGTACGCAGAGGGGTCCGTTGCGGTGTCTGGGCCGGTAAGCACCCAGGCCGTTTTGTTGGTTTCCAAATCTTCCAAAATGGTGGCGCGGTTGGCCACTGTTCTCACCCGGGACACATACTCCTCTTTCGTCATGGGAGGCACGGCGAGGCGAGTGGTCAGAATTTCGTTCAATTTCTGTTCCATCTGCTGACACGTGTTTTCCGTCACGCCAGACAGAAAAATCAGCCACTCCAGCGGTAAAATGGTTTGCTGGGCCACGGTCTTCGCCAACAGCTCCAGCCATCCCCCGTCCACGTCGCGCTGTGTGGCTGGGGTGCACAGAGAAACCTCGTCTCGGGTGTGGAATCCCGACCCGTCAACGCTCGGATACTTGTCTGTCGTGTGGGCGTCAGTATCCTCGGGAAGTGGACTACTTGAAGCAGAAGGTCGCGCCGCCGGCGCTGCACGCGTTGTTGTGTCGTGGTCCTCCGGATGCACTTCGCTCCTCTCGGCTTTTTCTCCACGTACGCTATGGTCACTATCGTGTCTCTGCCCGCCGGGGTCTGCGTTTTCGTCCCCCCTCGCTGGCGGGCTACCATGGTCGACAGACACGCCACTAGTCCTCCCTAGTCGCTGTGTTTCCCGATTCTCCTTGCGCTTTTCCGATCGCCTCGAGACGAAGAGTTGTGGAAACGCTAGCAAAGAGGACGCACGCTCGCGAAAGCAGAAAAGATCGGGATACACTGCGACATAACCGACTACAATCAAGACGAAGACGGTGCGCATACTTTGCCATAAAGTTGGAAACAACGACTACCATAACATCGATCAAAAATATCGGTTTCGGATGTTTTTGTTCTTTAGGATTTTGGTTGTGTCAGTCGCCAAACAAGCAAAAAAAAATCTTTTTCCCGTGTCGCGACTGAGTAAACTTTTGTACTCGAGGATTCTACAGCTCAGCACGGAGCAGAAGAGGTGTGCTCTGGTGCACAAGGCAGGCACAGAATAAACCTTGCGCCATTTCTGCATCTGTTTCCATTTTCTTCGTGTTTATGTTCTCCATCTGCTTTTTCAACATTTTTATCCTACATGTTTGGCCTCATGTCTGTACACGGTATTACCCGGTTGCAACATATTCTAGAAGCAGTTCCCATCGAGTATGGAAGTATTTTTCTCGACGGCCAGTGGAGTTCCATCTGTGTATCTGTATGCATGCTTCCATATTCTTGTTCCAAAAGCTAAAATTGTTCGTACAAGTTGTGTATTGCTGGTCAATTTACGTTGAGTACAAAAGCCGTACCACAAGTATGAAGTGCAGGAGAAATAAGCATCAACACCAACACCTGGCCCTGGATTAGAAGAAATCTTAATCTATGTTCCTGGTCGACATGCTGTGAAAATCATTTTACATCAAGCTAGACCGGCTCGCGCCCGCAATCGAATCGGTTTTGTCATTTTTTTCGCGCCTCCACAATTTGGTCCATGCTTCGCAGGAAGCGAGCGAAAAAGGTGGGGAGGAGATACTCTGCCGAAACGAACTTTGCAACTGCCCGCTCACACCGCATATCAACAGCTTCGTTATCCTCGTATGCTCCATTTCCAAGCGACGCCGAGGCAGCGGTTGCAAAAATCTGGTTGGCGTTGACCAGGCGCGGCACTTACTTGGGTAAGGCCCGCAGCTTCCGTGAAACATTTAATCGCGCAGCACATTCTTTGTTTTAAGCCTTCAAATGCTTAATCTAGGAAATCGCGTTCATAAGGTTTAAGAGAGAGAGAGAGAGAACTGACATAATAAATTAGGCCAGACAATATACGACGAACATCACACAGAAGAACGCTGGCCTTGCTCCCGTCCAACTGCTAGCGTGATGCCTCTCCGCCCAACTCGCAGCGCCTTCAGAAATGGCCCGGCTGACTACTCTCGGGTCGGATGCTGCGTGCGGATGCTGCTTGGTGTTATCTTGTTGCCCTAGCCGAAGTTCTCCTTTCAGGTAGTACAAGCCTGGTAGAGGACGACGAACTAGACCGAAGACTAGAACGCCCCCCAGCTACCGCGAGGTTTTTAGTAGTCAGTTTGCGTCAAGGCCGGCCGGAAGACACTGGGATAGTTTACCTGTGGCCTTGTAGCCCGAGTCTGGTTCGAACCGTTCTACGCGCTGATGTCATCCCCCATGTCCGTGAAGAGTAAGGCGGCAAGTTAAGGGGGATTTGAGATGACGGGGAACTTAAAAAATAAAAGGCAATCGAAAGCAAACTAGTTCCCCGGCTCGACATGCGGCGGCGCTGCTCTTCCACGCAGCGCCCCGGCGAGCAGTTGACGGGGCACTCACTCACCGGACAGGCCGTCTCCCGCTCAGCGGCGTGGCGCGGCTGTTCTACCAGGAAAGCACTACAGATAGCTTTGCCGCTAATATTTCTATGCTTTTCTTTTTCCTTATGTTAATATTTAAGCTACTGCAGCGACGGACCTCGGCGGCGCATCCATCCGGTGAGCGAGTCAGGGCAGTTTGTGCAGGACGCATTTTATTTTTGTTTTTTGACCGACGTGTTTTTGCGTGTGTGTGTGTGTGTGTGTGTGTGTGTTTCTTCGTCAACGTCCTTATGTGTGCACCCATGTGAGACTAGCGCTACCGGGGGGCTCTTCCTGTCCCCCCGGGTCCTAATGTGTTTTGATTTGGAAAGGGGTAGTATCCGTTCTCAAAAACAAACGCAGGATCAAACGCAGGATCAAAGGTTTAGAATTTATGGAAAGCGTTTAAGCATTCGCGTTCATAAGGTTTAAGCATTAAAATGCCTAAACTAAGAAGTCGCAATTTAAGCATTCGAGTGCTTAAATTCACGGAAACGCAGATTGCAATTTGCTTTAGCAAATTTCAAATTTGCTCACACAGCTTCAAAGATAACCAGTCAATTAGCCATTCGAATGCTTAAAATGATTGTTTATTTTCAAGCAGTTAAGCACTCGAATGGCTAAACTGATTGCTTGTCTGTGCAGCTGCGTGAGCAAATTTGAATTTGCCCAGAGCAAATTTCAAATTTGCTCACGCAGATTGCAGTCTGCGTTTCCGTGAATTTAAGCACTCGAATGCCTAAACGCTATATCTACCGCGACCGAGCGCGAGTGTTGTTGGTGTTGCTCGAGAGACAAAGAGCTTTCGCACCATGGGAAACAAAAGCTCCGCCGGTGCAAGAGCACAGAGCCAAAGCGTCCCGCGGCGCTTTTGTTAAGTGCCCACCCCGCGCAAAACCGCCGTGGGCGTCGTGATCCCTCCAGATCGCGACGCCTGGGGCAATTTGCCCCATTGGGCCCCCTGCGGGCTTCGGTGCACAAGGTTGCAGCGCGGCGCGGGCGCCTGGCGCGCGAGGGCGAGAAGGCGAATTCAAGAGCAAGGCGTGGCGCGCACGCTTCTCGCTGGGCCAACTGACGCGCGGGTGGGGTGGAGGGGCGTGGCCGCCGGAGCGGCGCCGCGCGGGCGGCACTTTTGTGTATCGGGGGCGAGGAAGCAAAGGGCAACGAGAGCACGACAGACAGAGCCAGGGCGCCCCGGGGCGCTTTTGTATGTTAAGTGCCTGCGGGCCCGGCGCAAAACTGTCGCTAGCGTCGTGATTTCACCAGACCGCGACGCCATTGGCGATGTATGGCGCAGGCACATACGACGCCACTTGCCCCGCGCGCGAGCCCCTTGGGGCGAGTTGCGAATGGCGTCGCGATCTGCTGAGATCGCGACGCTAGCGACAGTTGTGCGCGGGGCCGGCAGGCACTTGGCAAAAGTGTATGTTAAGTGCCTGCGAGCCCGGCGTCGCGATCTGCTGAGATCACGACGCTAGCGACAGTTTTACGCGGAGCTTGCAGGCACTTAACAAAAGCGCCCCGGAGCGTCTTGGCTCTGTCTGTGCTCTTTCCCTTTGCTTCGTCGCCCCCGATAAAGCATTCGAATGACTCAAAGCAGCATCACAAAGTTGGCAAATAACGGCTCGCAGGGTCAAAATAAGGAAGCAGCAGATTGAAATTTGCGCGAGCAAATTGGAATTTGCTCTGCCATTTTTGAAATTTGCTCGGGCGGTTGCAAAAATTCTCTTCATTTAAGCATCCGAATGTCTAAACGACTACTCTTTTTTCGGTGACTTTAAGCGTTCGAGTCGCTATTTCTAGACTTCTTGCAGAAGCTCCGGAGCAAATTTCAAAAACCTGCGAGCAAATTCAAATTTGCTCGCGCAAATTTCAATCTGCTGTTTTCTTATTTTAAGCACTCGAACGCTTAAACTGAAAAATGTCCGAGTTCTTAAATTAAGCACTCGAATGCTTAAACGCTAAAATCTCAAAGCATTCGATTTCTCAAATTAAGCCTAAAGACGCTTAAACCTCTAAGCTCTGCTCTTCGATTAAAAGTTTCACGGAAGCTACTTTGACGGACCACATATGCAAAAACCTGGTTGGCGTTGACCAGGCGCGGCGCGGCTGGAGACGGATATCGAACAAAAAAGTGTTAACGTTACGGTTTGGCATTTTTGGCATTAAAAATTTTTTGTGGGTTCCCTGCCGGCATCACATGAATGCGTAAAGGGCCCCGCTCACTTTTTTCACTATTGTGGGACTCTGAGTGACTAACTTTGTTTGAGTTAGCTGGTGCACAAGGCCTGACGGCGCCGAACTTCGCCCACCGGGGCCGCTCCATGGCGAACCTTCCGCGCCACTTGGGCTCCTGGACCCGGTCGCAGCGCCTCCGCACCAGGTCGGTGTCATCGGAGCCTGCTTTTCAAGTGTTTGGGGACGCTTCGTGGACGGCAGCTACTGCAAGCCACCTCATTGAGAGATGGTCTCGAGTTGCCACCATCCTCGCCCCCGCTATCGACACTGAGGATGGACCTGCTTTTGGCAGGCAAAATCGATCATAGCGTGCTGTCTAAAAAGTGTTAACGGTTTTTTCGGGTCATAGGGAATTCCGCCGAAAAAATCCATGATTTGCTATCAATTTGAGGCCAAATTTCGCAGTCACCCAGAAAAACCGTTAACACTTTTCAGACAGCATGCTATGATCGACTTACCCTGTCCAAAATCCTGCAGGCCAAGAAGCGCGGGCTCTGGGGAGGATAAATCGACCATAGCGTGCTGTCTAAAAAGTGTTAACGGTCATTTTTTGGCATTTTCATACAAAAATGCCTGCTTTTGGCAGGCTGGGGCGATCATACCGCCCATTCTAAAAAGTGCTAACGGTTTTATGGGTGACTGCAAAACTTGGGCACTTTGGTGCCCTAAATTTGCCAACTTTCCTCATCCTCGAAGTCACAGCTTTTCTGCTTCATGGAGAGAACTTCGTGAGATGGCTCAAAAGCTGCAGCGCAATGACTAGAAACGCAGCGAGCCTATACTGTTCTAAGGTGGCGATATGGTAAAGAGTTGCGCGGACCTTTCGGGGGGTTGTCGCATAGGCTCATATGCCGACACATGGCGCACGCCTTGCATGACAGACTTCATGGCGAAAGGTCGCCAACATCACCGCCATATCATGCCAAAACAGTCAGAGCCGCGGCGCCCGTGGTATTCCTCCGGAGGTTGCGCTAGACCCGGGCGCGGAGTGGAATGCTTTGTGTACTAGCTAGCTCAAACCGATGACGCTACAACAGAGTCCCGCGGATGCAAAAACCTGGTTGGCGTTGACCAGGCGCGGCGCGGCTGGAGACGGAGCAGGAATCTCCATCGTTGCTGCCACGACAACGTCCATAGCTCCCTCTGCCGGCGTTCGCGGTAGTTTCGTAGGGAGTCCTAGCATCCGCGCCGGCACTGAAAGCCACCGACGGGCGACGCCTCGGTCACTCCTTTTGATACAACTGGAGGGCTCGGATTCTTCACTCTTGGAAGGAGGTGCTGTTGCCGCGTGTTGACTCGCGAACGGACAAAGGAATGACTCTGCGGAGGTGTCGGAAGCTTGATCTCGCTTGCTACCCCGGTTGCTCGGGCCGCTCATGCACCAGCCTGGGCATACGAAAAGACTGTCGACGGCATGGGAAAACAATGCAGCATACGCTCGCGCTTGGTATCAAATGCAAAAGTGTCTGGGTCTGGAAGTATGGAGACTTGTCATGCATATTTCTCATGACCCGCGATGCCTGTGATGCTTGACCTAGCATCGCAGACTTTTAGAGGGCTTCCTGATGCACCTTCCGCATGAGAAATGCCCTGTCCGTGTAGCAAAAACTGGGCCGCTCTTGCTGGTCATGCAATACAAATTTTTTTAGAGTCCAAAAACAGCATGACAAGTTGCAATCTTCCAGACCCAGACATTTTTGCAGTTGATACTTGGAGTGCGTTAACCAGTTTCGAATCCATGTACGACTTCGAGGAAACCGCCGACGCCTGTTTGGGATTGTCTCTGCTTTGTGGAGTAGTAGATGTAGTGCAACTACAGCTGCATATATATGTATCATGCAGTCAATGCACTCATGCAATATCTTTCCAGATAAGTGATGCACTGTAAGCACCACGTTAGACCGACGGCGCTGCTGCCTTCCAGAGAATTTTCTTTGCACACGGGCAGGCAAAAATGTAGTTCTGTTAGAACTCAAAACTTCACAATTACCTGTTCGTCGTCGCGAAAAAACGCCATTTCTTCCGCCCTTCCCGTAATTTGCGTGCTCGTCTCCCCACCTTCTCTATCGGCAAGGCCCAGCCGCCGTGAAAGGTTGCTCGGCAAATCTCCGAACTGCAGCAAACGCGAGGTGACGAAGACGACGCGCGGTCTCACCTGGCTGCTCTCGGCCGCGGCTTGATCCTCCTCGTCCGGTTGCGCAGGAGGTTCGAACGCGGGCGCCACGGAAAAGTGGCTCGCTTTCAAGGAACTACCAAACACCGAGTAGCTGTGCCCGTCTTCGCCCTTCGAAAGCTTATTGATCAAGTGGTGGTGGCCCAGGCAGTTGACTGCAAAAGGGGTTTCCCCAGGACTCCATGCGGCGGCGTTACAGATGAGCGCGTGGAAGCGCTCTTGCACCTCTTCCTGCAAAAGCCTTACGTTTTCTACATCCAGGTCGGTCGTCCCATCAGGGAGTAGGCTATGGTCCCCGCGAGATGTGGAGGCCTGTAAATTGAACAGATTTCTTGAAGACCACGCAAAAAACCGTTTATACCAACGACTACGAGGGGAGAAGTACTTCAGGTTAAATAAGCGAAAATTTTCTATCTTATTCGGTGTTCCAGCAGGGCTCAAATAAAGCAATGGAGTCCAACTACATACCTCGTCGTCCCTGCCGATGTCAAAATTGGTCTGCGCCCACACCTGCTTTTCCGCGTTCACGTAGTCGACCATGGCCTTCTTTGTTTCCTTGCCAAAGCGCTTCACGGAGCGGAAATCAGCCAGGTCTAGCGGCACGACAATGATCCTTCGCGCTATTCGCTCCACCAGGGAACGCCGCACGTCGGCTTCAAGGTCCCGCGCAACCTCAATCCGCTTCTCCACGTCGCCGCGAATAATTTGCAGCTCCAGGTCGGAAGGGGATATATTCCGCCCTACTGCTTTGTTTCTGGTTTTCGAAAGCGCAAATTTCAGCTCCTCTTCCAGAAGGGCACGCATCAGGTTTCCACGACCGTAGTCGCCTCCCCATCCGGAACCGAGTAAGACGGAACGTACTACAAAATCCAACACAGGTATGGATGCGCGCTCGCGCTGCTGCATCTGCTGGTAGTCATTGTCGTGAGTGAAACAGTTCGTTTCAGCCCGTCGCTCTCCTGCTTCGCTAGTACTTCTTCCATACCTATCGAAGCACACATCCGAGGCCACCTGGCGCGCCAAACGCAGTTTTAATGCCGACGAAAAAGCGAGTCTTCGCGCTGCGTCACATGCGTTGCCCACGGGAACAAAGCTCGAAGACGAATTCGGCGGAGGACCACGGACTCCAACCACGACAATTGCTCCTTCCCGTAGCAGTCCCCGCGCGGTTTCGTAGCCGATGCCACGGTTGCCTCCAGTGACAATGCAGAACCGGTTTCGAACCGAAACGCGAGGCAACGAAGAAGCTTCGTGCTCTGGCCGCGGCTTCAAGGCGGCAAGAGCACCTACCGCTGCTTCAATCAATCCCGACGCTCCATGTTGCCCAAAAAATCCTGTATGTGAAAACGGAAAACCCATCTCGATCGATATCAATGCTCATGGGCTAAAAATCGTGAGTTTTACTTATGTATCTTGAAGAGGCACAAAATCGAAACAGAACGGCACGCCCTGAGGCCCAGAAAAATCCATCGTAGCACCCTGATTGAGAAAAATGCAACAAAGCTCGACTTTGAGTCTATCTACATCACGCACATGATCTTGACAGAGCGATGTAAAGACGCACGACGCACGGTTGAGAGTAGTAAGTCGCATTTGCTAATTTTCTCTTCAAGAGGAAGCGATTTTTTCTGTGTCGTCACGACACGTGCGTGCGTGCAAACTCAAGTTGCCTACATTGATTTTTTGTGCGTCTTCTCAGCAGCACAACCACTGGCTGCTTCTTGCCTGTCATGAACTCCCTCAGAGTCAAACTCGAACCCTCAGAGAACGCAACAAATTAGTACTAAACGAAAAAGCTTCACCGCGTCAATCTGGGCTTTGTGCTCAAAGAAAGACTTGAAACAAAAGCATCATGGCGCACGCGAAGAGCACGGACAGCCACCAATTGCAGGTTGGCAAGGGCATTTTTGCGTCAGAAGATGCTGCCGCGGGGGAGGGTGAAGGCGTGGGCGACGGCGATGGGGCAGGAGTCGGTGTCGGACTGGGCGACGACACGACTGCCGTCAGTAAAGCGGGGTGCAAATAGGTTGTACTGACGACGGAGGTTGTTCTGCCGCTGACCTGCCCGGCATAGTCAGCACCCCAGCAATTCGGCACCTTATCCGCTTGCAGGGCACAGAAATGCGCGTACACTCCTGCACTGCCGCTCGCAAGCTGGCTCCACGACACGCCGTCGGGGTACTGAGCCATGTCCACGCTGCCACCGCCCCCCACGGAGTAGGAGTAGCTCTTCCCCCAGGCGTGGAGTGTCCCGTCGGCCTTTAACGCGTACACAGCAAAATTCATAGTGGACACCTGAGTGTAGACCTGGCCCGCGACCACAGAGCCCATGCTCAGAGACCCGATGCCGCTCGCAGGCTTGGAGTTCGTCAGCCCATTCCCAATTTCCTGCGTGCCGCCGTAGACGCCCAGCTGCCCGCTCGCGCCGAGTACTGCTACGAAATCAACTCCGCCGGAGACCTGCTGCACCGGGAAGTTTAAATTTGCGAGTTGTGTCGCGGTCGGCGTGTAGGAGCCGCGACTGTCCCCGAAGCACGTCAGACCGGCCACGCCCGATTGGAACGCGCAGCACCAGTGCCCCCCGCGTTTGCCGGCGCAGCTGAGGCCAGTAAACGTCGTGGCGGTCGCTGGCACATTTGCGAGTGCGAAGTTCACTGCAGTCGTGCTGGAACCCGTGGCGGCCGGCTGGCAGCTTATGGACGTCGCGCTTCCGCAATACACCGTATTGGGTCCCCAGGCCGTGATCGTTCCGTCCGTGCGAATGAGTGCGCCGCCCCAAAAGCTTAGATCGGCATCCTTTACCTCAACACCAATCAGGCTCGCGGCATCCGTGTGGTCGGGTCCGTACCCGTTTGAGCCAACGTAGAAACTCACGCGCATGTTGGCATCCACGCCCATAACGGCTTTCCCGCCACACGTCAAGGCCTTTGCGGTGGTGCAGGGAAGCTTCGAATCCATGGAGTTCCCGCCCCAACAAGACGGCTTTCCGGTACTTTCGATGATTGCGCAGCAGAAATTGTCCCCACAACAGAGCGGGGAAAGCGCTCCGCTGACGCCGTGGTCATAGATGATAAGTGTGATGACGCAAGCCAGAAAAGCGATGGGAAATCGCCACATTTTTTGCCTTTCGCTCCGCGACTCAAAAAATCGATCCGCAGGTCCTCCGGTTCTATCTACTTATTGTCGTCTCTCTTTGTTTCCGCCAGAGTGGGCAACTGTGAACCCAATCAGGGGAGTCACCATGGAAAAGCAAAAACATCGCTCCGGGGAACGACAGATGTATGGGGGCACGACCAACAGGAGGCTACAGTCGTCTCCTTCACTCCATGTTTGCGCGAATGTGGGCGAGGCGCTGCGTCATAAGTCGCGGAGATAGGGCCGGCACCTGCGGGTGGAGTACTGAAAATACACAAACTAACTACAGCTGCACAGAACAAGAACTGGTCGTGGAACATGACACGAATGTCTTGTTAATGATGCGCGACGACGCAAACCTTCAGCTTCAGGCCGTCAGTTGCATTCTATCGCCACAGAATGATGCCTTTCTTTTTCATATCCTTGTCACGCTTTTTTTGTTCAGTATCCATATTGACAACAAATCAACTCGAGCTACAAGCACAACAGCTCTACGCCATTGCCTCATTTCTCGACCAACATGCCCCCATCGGTATGTAGTGTCTGCACATGCTACACTTGAGGAAGAAAAGGCCATGACTTCTTCCTAAAAACGTCGGTGCACAAAAAAAATAGATGCAGTCGTCTCGACATTCGTAAACAAAACGGTAAGTAGCCACACGCTTGAAAGCTCGACAAGCTAGCGAAAACCTACGAGCCTCCATAGGCGGTGACCAAATCATTGAGCGTGTATATGGCTATCATGACTACACGCAAACTACAATAAACAAATGAAAAGGGAACATAAGAACCGCAAATACGGCATGACGCTCTTCTAACTAGAAATCTATTAAAAAAAAAATGGTACTTAATTCATCAATTATCCGCAACGCGAACGTGGCTCCGCACGTAATCCGCGATTTCCTGCCGTCGTGGTAGAAGTGGTGCAAGCACGAACTCCTCCACGAGGTCTGAAATGTTTTCCTTTGCAGAGCTATCACACTGCTTAAATAAAGCACGCAGGGATTCTGACATGACGGCAAGCTGGGGGTTTTCGAAGGTGGAAGAGGACATCGAAGAGATGGATCGCAAAGGAGCGTCCGCACAATTCGGAGCGGGGTAGTAGATGTCTTTTTCGTTCAAGGTCGCGGGTGAGTTCCTGGCAAGAACATCCCGCTCTTTCTGGCCCCCGCCCAACATGGCTTCGTAGTAGGCCATGGCCTCCGCTTCGTACTCGGTAATGACGTCCGCTTGTATCCAACGAAAAAACTGTTTCACTGTGGTGATTTTGCAAGATCTGCAACACAAGTTTGTTACACATGACAAAGAAAACTTGGCATGCGTGCTTCCTAAGGGAAAACACAGCTAGAAATCCAATGTGTTGCATGCGTAGCAAGACAAACACATTTGCGTTCCGTATCCGTTCTATGCATCACAAGTTTACAGTGAAACAGTTTTTTCTTGAGATAGCTTCGTCAGCGGTGATAATGCCCGGGCCAGAGGACTGCTCCGGGACGGGCGGGAGGTCGCCACGACTAACGCTGCGCTTTCTCACGTTGACGGCCACGTTGCTGGTAGATGTACTCTGCAGGGGGCTGCTACTACTACCGCGCTCTAGCAAAAGCAACGTCATGGCAAACGCCAAACACACAACGACAGATCTGTGGGCCTCACTGGTTTGTTCTGGTCCATTGTCATCTTGGAACGAGCTGGAGACCACGCTCGCCGTCGTTGGATTTGAGACGGCGGACTGCCGGTCAAACTCCGCTATATGCCGGTGCAGCAAGCGAACCACGTTTCCCGCGCGGAAGGGCTCCGGGCAGGACAACCCATCAGTTGCCGTCAAATCCGATGTGAAGTGGTACGAATCGCGTGCGATAAGCGCGGCGGCAAAGAGCAAAACGCGAGGAAGCAAATCGATACACTCGCCCCTGCGCACGAGAATTGGCCCGCTCAGCGGCCGCACTTCCTTGTTGTCGGCGCCCGCCGGATTCTGTCGCGCACAAGCTGCGAGAGCACAATTCAGGTCGGGAACCTTTTCGAGCCGAAATCGCAGATAATCCGCGCACCGCTCCGCTAACACTTCAGCGCCCAGCGTGCGAGTGTTCAGCACACCTGCAGTCTCGTCTACTGCAGACAACGCAGCTGCTCTACTCCGTGGTTGTTCCCGTTGTCCTCGGTTGCCGTTACTGTCTGAGCTTGTTCCAGAAGATCGCACAGGAGACACTGTTGCTGTCCCGGAAGATTGATGCACTCCGACCCCCCGCTGCAACGACTCGGATTGTTGTACCAACCCCAAAGCACTTTCGAGAATCCCTTTGCGCCACTCGCGCTGCGGGTCACTAGAGGACCAGCCGCCCCACTCGCAGGTGAGCAGGTGCTCCACGTCGACCAGAGACAGGTGATCCTCGACGGCGCTGCCACTGTAGGTTCGCATCCGGGCCAGCCGCGCGAACTCCGGGGACACGAACTGCGACAGCCCCTTTTCCGCGTCGGACGCCGACCAGGAGCCGCGCCCGTTGGAGGTTCGCTCCTGCTGGTCGATGCGGTTAATGTCGCGCTTGACGACGGCGAACAGCGCGTTCCGCAGTTCGTCCGTGAGCGCAACACGATCGCCACTTCCGAACAGTTGCCTTAAAACCCGAATCGCGTTCGCGCCGTCGTCGTCCTGGTAGCTGCGCCCCCGCAGCAGGGACGAGAGGACCTCCGCGAAGCAGTTCTGCTCGGCGGCGAGGCCCAACTCGCACAGTTTCTGCGCAACCGCGACGTCTTGCACCACCGCGGGGTGCCCCGCCTGCGCCAGCTGCACCGGGTCGAACCGGTACCCGACCTTCAAGTTCCCCTCGCTGTCGCGCACCTCCACCTCGTCCCCGAAAAACTTCGTTCGCGCCTCCTCCTGCTCCGCGGTCTGCGCGAGCAAGCGCAAAATGTCCTCGTTGATGTGCGCGTCGACCGACAAATGCAAGGCTCCCCCGCCGGCTGCACCTCCCGCCATGCTCATCATCCCCGCGGACGGCTGGAGCTGGTGCACGGGCGGCAGCGGCGACGCCCGGGTGTCGTCTCGCGGGTCATCGAAGGGAAAGTTGATGCGGTCCCTCGCAGTAGAAGTGAACTTCTCCACAGCACTATTTGCCGCCGTGGTCGGTGGCAACAACCGACACAACCGCGCAGCGACCAGCCGGCATCCCTCGCGCTGGTTCTCGCGCACCTGCATCAGCCGCCGCGGGCTGGTGAAGTCGTTGATGAAGTAGTCCGCTTGTTCGTTGAGGTGGGGATGTTGACCAGAAGTCGCAGCTGCACCTCCCGCCCACTGGTGGTTGTTAATACTGTGGAAATTATCCCCAACATCGTCCGAAGATCCGTGCCAGGCATTGGGCAGCAACTTGTAAAAGGACAGAGGAGTGAGCTCTCCGTACACCTGCCGAAGCCGCATGTGGGTGAGCTCGATGAGGCCGCGCAGGTTTCGGAACCTCGGGTGGTTGATGCGCGCGAAGTCACAGAGAAACTTGGAAAAGCGGCGTGTGCGCTTTTCGAACACCGGGAAGTGGCGGGACTTGACCAGCGCCCAAGCGAAATCCAGAAAGTGCACCATCCCCCGACTGAAGAAGTTCTGGTCGGTCAACACCTTCTGCAGTTCATCCAAAACCTGGTGGACGCGCCGCCGCAGCATATACTGCTCGGCGGCACGGTCGAGAAACTTCTGCTTTTCCTCCGTATTTTTACCGTCAAACACCGCGGTTGATATTTTCGGGTCAGAGGTCGACAGCGCCTCGAAATCACGGTCCTCCGTCTGGTACAACGACAGCGCCCACTCCTCGCGCGCGTACGTCTTGCGTTCCCCGCCAAACTCGAAGTCGTTGTCAAATAAGGCCGTGTGCGCGACCTCGTACTGGCCGTCCAGCATCTCCTGCAGCATATGCAAGAAAAAAACTGTGTAAGTGTAACTCTGTAATGCAGAACATGCAACAGAGTTACGCCTGTCATGCCAGACAGCCATGAGCTCCTCTCTTCATGTGTGTTTTCCCTTATGGTCCACGCATGACAGGTTTTCTCTGTCATGTAGAGCAAATTTGTGACGCTGTCAGCCAAAGATAGTTACACTAACACAGTTTTTTTCTTGGATACAGCATGGGGCTCAAGCAGTAGCCCTCAATGTGGCGCGACACGAGCTGCATTTCTTGCACCTTTTTGAAGGGCCCACTGTCCCGCGAGTACGCGCGCGAAACTTCGCGTGTGACAAACCCACCACTGTCGCGGGAGTAGGCACGGGACACCTGTCGGGAGATGGATACTGAATGTTGTCGCGACAGGGTATTAAAGTCGTCCGACCACTGCCGCGGAATGTCGCTGTGGTTGTCCTCACCCTGTTCGCTCGCCGGAACAACTCCAACATCAGGTGGCTCTTCGAGTATTGACGAGGTCTCGCGGATCAACTCCAGATTGAAGTCCACATCCTCGTCGTCGTCGATGAAGCGATGCTCCTCGGTGTCCATGAGCATGATGCACCGCAGCGGCACATTGTCCCCGTTCACTTCATCGAGCATGCACTTGCACGCCTGCCCCAAAGACGAACCGGCAAGCAACCAGGACCCATCATCCTGGGAGATGCCTACTTCCGTGGTAGCCTCTGTAGTCGCTTTCGTTCCTGATGGTGGACGACCCGCAATATTCCTCCGGTCCGGACTGCGCGAACTCGATTTCCGCTTGGTTCCCGCTAGCTTGTCTGCCGCACCGCTTAAGACCGCGCTCGGTGACAGTGCGTTGGAACCACCTGCTGTGCCATTGCTACCAGCAGCTCCGAGCAGAGCTGCATCGTCGTCCGAATTGCGCCGACTGCCGGTTCGGGAGGCAGAGCGCGAAACCTGCGAGGGCAAGACGTTCACTTGCTTGAGCAGCTTTCGCCGGGCCAAGTCGTTGTGGACGATCTGGCCGACATCCTCCGCGATGTTTCGCCGACCAGAAGCTGGCTGCTCCGCTACCGCCCCAAAAGTTGTTGCGTCTTTCCAGTCAAACAAATCCCCCTCAAACAGGGTGTCGCCGTTCAGACGCAGAATTCGAAGCCGCCGTCTGCGAGGAGAACCACTCAGGAAACTGAGAGACGACGATGGTGGGGGCTGCTGAATACTTGCCATCATCAAGAAAAAGCTCGAGCAGTGAACTTTCAAGTAAATCTGACTACGAGTGCTACGAGTACAACAGCCGTGCGTCTCTTGATGTTTTTACATTTCTGATTACTAACATGCTCCACCGCCGTCACAATACATCACGTCGTGAAGCTAGTAGGGGCAGATGAGACTTTGTAAAAAGAACTAACCAAGGGTGCACAGAATGATTAAAACTCTTTGTGACTAAGTCGTCAGGCCTATACGGTCTGGATGTCTCGCGGGTGTGTCTTTCTTTTCGTTGCTAGTAACAATAACAAATGCCAGTCACAAGCAGCATGAGGAGGGGGGATTGCGAACTCGTTTGATCACGAACGAACTGTAGGAATGGCAACATGGTGGATACACTTGTGGCGAGGTATGAGATCTTTTCTATTTTAGTGGCGCGCTCTGTTGCATTGCTACCAAATCACCTCCTCCGGCGGAGCAAACTGTTGGCTATCACAACCAACAACTTAAGCAGAAATCGTTTTCAACTGAAAAAACTGTCTTGTCTCATTCTTGCATCCATGATGGCGGGTGTCTTCCATCGTAAGTATGCACGTCCAAGAAAAAAACCGAAAACCAGCATTCGCCTTGTTTACAACTCAAGATCTTTACCGAAATCCCGCCTTTCACTCGTTGGCAAAAACTCTGTGTGTCTCGCTGACCCGAGTTTTGCAAGATGAATCTGTCAGAAAACACTCCGGAAAAACTTTTTGAGCCGCAAAAAATATCCGCGGCAGTTCGAAGGCGCATTGACTTCCTTTTCAAATTTTATTTCTTATTTCATATACCTGCTGTAGCTGTTCTTTCCAAAAATAAATTACATTCAGATTGATCGCATGTTGTCGCGGTACATTCAGGCACAGAGAGTTCTTGGAAAATTTATCGTGGACTAAAACTTATACTGAGGCAAATATTGGTCGGCTGCTCGCATCTGTATCCGATGGCGTGCGTGTTGTACTTAACGCTAACTATCAAACAAACATCGAGTTCGTTGGGTACCCAAAGAGTAATAGATAACATGTGGTAGGCTAATACCTCGTGCCAAACGAAAGAACAAACTTACTGCAGAAAACTGTCCAAACTTTTTTGTACAGGTACTTGTAAATAAAACAAAAGGCAAAAAAGACATGTCTAATGTCGCGGTCGCTCTTTTCGGGAAATTAGATCACGAGTGGGTAGATCAGAAGTTGTGGGTAGATCACAAGTGGGTAGATCCTGCAGGTACTTCTAGATTGGGTACTTTGAATTTGATCTTCTTCAAGCTGCGGACTCGGGTGGGGGTGCAGCTGGAGCCACCTCGTCCACTTCCATCGCAGTCTCGCCCGCGGGAGCTTCTTTCGATGGCGGCTTAGCTGCAACTGCCTCCGGGGCAGCAACCGTTTCCGCAGCCGCGTCTGTGGCCACCTTCTGCTGTTCCGCTGCGGCTTTTTCTTCCTCCAACTTCTGCTGCTCGGCGAGTTCCTTGGCGGCCTTTTCCTCTTCCATTTTTTGCTTCCGCGCTAGTGCCAGAGCCTCACGCTCGAGCTGCGCCTGTCGCTGCTTTTCGCGAGCCGCCTCCTTCACGGCTCTCCGGCTGTCTTGATCTTGGATTTGCTTCTGCGTCGGGTAATGGACGAACGTTCCGTTGCACACTGCAACCTTGTCTGCATTAAACAGCAGGGTCACATGCCCCTCAAGGCTCGATCCGTCGCAATCTGGAGGAGGTGAGGATGAGACATGAGTAAAGAAAGCATGCATGATAGAGAAAGATTTGCGTTCGTCCAAATCGCGATCTATTACCAAAGTACTATAAAAAGCACCAAAATCTACATCAAATTCAAAAAAAACTAGTATGCGATACCAAGTCGCCTGAATGGAGCCCGAAGTCTGTTGCCCGTATCCTTCTTCGGAAAATCCGTGAGGAGGATGTAATCTCCAGCATCCAAGGATCCGCTCGTCGTTTTTTTGTCCTGTGCCTCCGCGTCGCTCTCGAAGTCAACCGTGATCGGGCAGTCGGCCTTGATTTGAAACACGGGCGTGGAATACGATTCGAAGAATGGCTTCCCCGAGGACGTGCGCAGGGTGATCCAGCCCTCCATCTGGTCCTCCGCACAAAGGACGCGTGCCCGCATCATGCCACCCTCGTCGAGACCCGTTTCCAGGACGCGAACCCGTTCGTTGAACTCGAATTGGCGGACTTTCTTCATCTTTGCCAGGGACTTCTCCTCGGTCATCACGGTTCTGTTCACGCACCGATAGAAGCTCTGCGCCATGAAATCCCGGAACTCCCGAGTGCTGAGAGATTGCTTCTCCCTCCCAGCGAGGCCCCGGACCACCAGCTGCAGCAGCGCCAATACGGATTCTATCTTGTTTTCCTCGCAGTAATTGTGAATCGCCTGCGCGGTGATCCGACCATCTCGCTCTGCAGCTGCTGCGATGTCAGTCTGCTGTTGTTCCAGCGTCGCATCCTCCACTTTCTCGTCTTCAGCCTTGTCGTCCACTTTATTTTCGATGTCTTTCATGGCGACGTCGTCTTTGTTCGACTCCACGGCGGGGTCGGACGGCTTCTCGGCGTTAGCGGCTTCGACGTCGGACGTAGAGCTGGCTTTCGCGTCGTTCGATTTGGATTTCTTGGCTTCTCGAAAAGCTTCCACGATGCCCTCCGCTTCGGCGTCAATGGTCACTTGCGAGTACTCAGCAAAATGTTGCATCAGGGTATCCCGCTGGCGCCTGGACAGCAGGGCCTCCGCTTCCCCGGCTCTTTTGCGGGCATCATTTGTGTTCTGGAGTGCGGTGTGTGCGCGTCGCAGCAGTGCGTGGATGTCCTGCTGGAGCTTCTTGGTTTCTTCGTCCACTTTCAGAACCTCGAACTTGGTCAACTCGCTGCCGTTCGCTTGTGCCCAGGACTCCGCTTCTCGCGCACACTCCCGCAAAGAATTTGCCAGGACTTCGTACTCTTTGATTTTGTCGTACGCAGTAGTCAAGGACATTGTGGGAAAGCCTTCGAGCTCTTTGGCACACGCCTCGAACGCGGTTTCGTGTTTCTGCATCTGTGCCTTATTGTCGCCCAAAGCAGCTCCCAACGTCACCGCAAGCTGTAATTATAGTCAGTGTTGCATATGTGGAAATGAAGTTCTACCGCAAATGAATATCAAACATCTAGTTCTAGATCTGTTCTCTTTGTTGAACAAAGGGATAAAATAAATTGGCATCGTCAATAACAATGACACCCTAGTACTTCCATCGTCAATAAAGCACGAGCTAACACGCACTTAGGTAAGTACCTCGGCTCTGCCTTTCCTTTCCGCTTGCTCCAGAAGGTAGCGCCGGACCTGCGTCAACGGTCCATGCATTTCGACTTTCTGTTGCATCATCTCACGCAGCGGCCCATCCACCTCCGCCATTTGGCCTTTGATGTCGATCTCATAAAGCAATCGCATGCGCTGCAGTATCGCCAGCCCGGTGCGCGACGGAGGTTCTGACTGTCCGCTGTTGCTGTTTTCACCCCCCACCGCTGGGGCAGCGGAAGCTGCCTCCTCCGGTGCTTTCATGACAACGTCCTCGTCTCCGTCTCCAGAAGTTGCGTTTTTGCCTGACCCAGCTCCGTCGACATTCCCCTGTGAGTTCTTGACCTCGCCCTTTCCGGGTAATTCGAGATACTTTTGTTCCACACGTATCATGGAGTACTCTTTGCTGTCCGTCGACCACTCTCGACGCACGAAGGTCATCATTTTAGTGATGTCAGACACCGCTGTCTCCGATTTGAGCACTGCGTCTGCGATTTCTTCGCATGTCGGAACGTTTGTCATATCGCCGAACATCGCTGGGTCGTCCGCAACTCCGGTTTCCGTCTTTTCGTTCAACATAGCAAGGACGGGCTCTGCACGTTCCTTCAGGACTGTCAAAACGCCAAATGCATCGTTGGCCTGTTATTTTGCGTCGATGTTGTTTTACTGGCAGTATTACCTCTTCGATAACGACGCAAACAAAATTCATCTGAGAGAAGTAGTGAAATAGATAAGTACGCACCACGTCCGACACATGCGAAGAAGCAGTGACTAAGCATCTTACTGTCGGTACCTTCGGGAGAAGTTCTTTGACCTCCGCAATTTTCGTCTCGAAGTGCTTCTTTACATCCTGCAAAGAAGACTCCATGGTAGCTTCGATCTCCGTGGCGCTAATTGGGCGCTCTGCCTCCGGCTGCGCTTCGTTTTCGGCAACATCTCCCGACGCACCGCTATCTTTCTCAGCTGCTGTTGCTGCGTTTATTTCGGAGCCGATTGTAGTTGTAACACCTTCTGGTTGCACTTCTCCAGAGTCACCGATTGTGGTCCTGCTTAGTGGTCGCAGATAATTTTTCTGACTGTCGCGGAATGTCGCCCAACCTGTTTCTTCTGAAGGTACAGCTTCAACCGTGGCAGACGCAGCATTTTCTGCGCCAGCAGCTGCATCGCCGGTTGCAGCTCCTGTGGAGGACACAGCTGCTGCCTTCTTCGCCTCTGACGAGTCTCCTGGCAGTACTCGCACCGGCACCCGATACAACACGCGTGTGGAGTTTTCTTCCGGAACTGGAATCTCTAGCGCGAGCAGCTTCTCCTGCACCTTCAAACGCCGAAGAGGTTTGACGATACCTGTTGCTACATCGCGAATTTCTTTTCCGGGGGTCAACACCGTCTCGGTAACCACACAGAGCACCGGATCAAACGGCACACAGAAGCCGGGCTTGAGTTCACGAATGCTCGTCTCGTTGGAACCTCGGACCTGTGTTTGTAGATAACATTCATCACACCAACATCGACTTCTAATTGATGCAACTTTACACTTTGCGAAACACCATCATGATGACGATTAGGTGCTGCTAACTCACACAGCATACACTATTATTCAAAGGAACTAACAGAAAAGAAAAGCGGGCGCGAGGGCGTCCTCCTATTTATCAATACCATCAATGGCTTTGTCACCACTTTGGACCATTTCGTCGATTTTTTCTTGGCATTCAGCTTCGTCAGAACCCCGGCAGCTGGGTCGACACTCTCGCCAAAAGCCAGGAGCTGATCAGCATCACTTGTGTCAAAGGCAACAAGCTCCAATAAAACGTCAGACGCCGCATTTTTGCTACCGTCGGTCGACCCTGCGTTTTGGTTTCTGTTTCCTTTTCGGTTTCTCCCCCGGTTTTTCTCCGCAGGTTCTCTCTCCGGCGTCAGAGTAACGATGCAGCGTGCGATACACAGGCACCATTGAGATTTGACGATTTTCCCCGCCGGCTCTGCTTCAGCATTGGTCTTGGTGGCTCGCGAGTGCATAGTCGGAAGCCCAAAAGCTACGCGGGAGGCATCGCAGTGCACGACATCGATTAACCAGGTTTGAAATGCTTTGTAGTCCATGCTGCCAATGTTCGCCTGTTTTTTCATCAGATCCCAGATGATTTCTCTGTCACATGTATCCACGTACCGGTCTGTAGTGTAGTCTTCCGCGCATCAGGACGCAAATCACGATTCGTTTCGGTTTTTCAAAATGTATTTTGTACGTCGTGCTGCGCCATTCATTGATTGTATCGATCAGAGCCTAAGTAAAAGTGATCGAAGCAACAAGCACTAGATGCAACTGCAAGAGAGAAGTTGTACGTACCTGGTCATACAGCTCCCCTGCATCGAGAACTGGAGTACCGCCAACAACAAGAGCCTCGGTATACTCGCGAATTTTCTCGACGATGTGCAGGTGACCCTCGAGAGCGAGAAGCTCTTTTCTTTGTTCACGTTCCAACAGAAGCGCAGAAGCTTTGTCGCAGATACCGCCAAGTCGGTTCTTACTGTTCTGGACATGCTGCTGAACCCATGCGTTTTCCTGGCTCGGAGGGGGCTGGCCGCGTTGTTGACGTTTCGCCGGGCGACTTTGCAGATACCCGTCAGTCGCCATGATCGCCTCGACTCGCAGCACGCACTTCTGTGCTTTCTTCTTCAGCGCGTGCAGCGCTTCATCCGTGGAGGCTTGCTTGGCGAGCAGTGCAACGGTATCAGCCTCATCTACCTCCTCGGCCTTCATCTGTTTCTCCAACATACTCCACTCCTTTTGACAAATCGTCGCCATTCCGATGGTTTCAGTAACCATGTTGACCAGATCCAGCTGCGCTTTGTCCTTCTCTTTTTCCACTTTGCGCTCCTCCAAGAAGGCCCGCCCGCGGTTCGCTTTCAAAGTGATCCGACTTTTCAGCTCATACCACACCCGGTCCTCTTGAATTGCTGCCAGTTTGGACTCTTGGATCGCTTTCTTCATGACCTCGTCTGGTTCCTTTTGGCTCTTCAGTGCTTGCTCCGTCTCGTAGATAGCCTCCTTTAGCTGTTTAATCTGCGCTCCAACGGGATCTGTCAACGCCAGCAGGTCTGCTTCGGACTCTGTAAAATAAAAGTTTTGGGTCAACCTTTGGAATCTCTCCAAACTCAAAGTAGACACGGAGGCAGGTAGCGACTCCTGGTCCTACTGCTTGCTACCCTAAGCCTAAGCGCGGTCAGAAAATTAAGATAACTAGTTTGACATATGTTATGCGTTCCGGCATGAAGAGCCACAACAAGAAAACGCAAAGTTTGTTTCTAGATGGAAATCAAACACACATCCAATCTTACCAATGCAATTGGTAGCGTCCTCTTCTGTTGCGAAGGCCACACTGCGCGCATTATGTTTGTCTCCCACCTTCTCCGTGATGTCGTCAGCGAGAGCAGCGACTGCAATCTTGACCGTTTCCAAACTGTCGGTCAGCTGTCCTCCTGCAAACTCCGTCAGCCACCGGTCGCATTCACTTTCCAGAGCCACATCAAAGGCAGCCTGCATGCCATTGCGGGTCTCATCGGCAGTCATCAGCCGAGTCGTGAGTTCTTCGTACTGGTTCAAAAAAGCAAGGTCGTCATCGCTTCCAGGTGCCGCGGCTCCGGATTCCGTCTTTTTCTGTAGATAGTTCTTTTCGCGGTCGACTTTGCTCTTCGCGGCTTCGTACGCACGATCGGCGTCCGTTTTAGACTTCTGAAACTCTCGCTTGAACTCTAGCGTTTTCCGTCGCTTGGCTTCCAACTCTGGGTCAAGATCCTGAATGAAGCTCGTCAACTTCTCCAGCATTTCCTCAACCTTTACGACTTCTTCAGTCAGCTTCGTAAGTTTCTCTTGCGGGTCGCGTGGAGAGGGCAAGGCAACAGCTGGTTTGGGTGGCGCCCCGTCCTTCGATGGAAGACGCATCTGCGACCTGAGATGAAAGTGATAAGTACATATTGCCGTCGCAGACTTGAACTTCATACACCTCAACCTCTCCTCTAGCTCGAGACTGACTGTAACTTAGCAGGTTGTAGTACTTGAGGATCACAACAAGCATGTCTTAAACTTAAAGGAAGCCAAACAAAAGAAAAAAAAATATTCATAATACACGGGCCCCAGTGGAGCTCCCCCAGCAGGAACAAACTGCTGCATCGCTCCCATTTGGGAAGGAACTTGTTGGTCAAATCTCTGGGATTTGAACTGCGGCCCACCGACGTCATTCCATCCATCTTGTCCTTGCGGCCGCTTCATCGAGTTACCGCCAGCGGCACCTGTAATTTTATTTGAATTCATGTGCTTATTTTCACCACGTGTGTACCTAGTGTGCATATCTAAAAGCAGAGGGGGAAGTCGTTACTTCTTGCATTCACACAGAAATCAAGAACCAAAGAAACAACCACAAGTACCGAAGAGAGACGTCGCTGAGTTTTGCCTGCCGCCTTTCCTGTTATCCTTGTCCTTACCACCTTTGTTGTTACCGCGTCCTCCGCCAAAGTCGTCATTTCCTCGACTCCCTCGGCGGTCCTGTCCCTTTTGCTTACCTCCTCTGTCGTCTTTGCCGCCACGATTCTTCCCCTTGGCGCTCGCAAACATCGCATCTTGCTGCGGCAGGGGACCGCCCATCATGCCGCCGCCGCCCTTGTTCTTTCCTTGGTCGAAGCCCTTACCGCCCGTACTATACGAGAAGCTATTGCCGTTATTCGAGGACTTGCTGTTATTTGGAAACGTGCTGCTGCCACCTCCATTGTTCATCATGTTCATCTGATTATTTGAGCCGTAGTGATCATAGGGATTCGTGCGCCCTCCGCCTTTATTGCCATTGTTTTTGTTCTTCCCACCTCCGCGGTTGTTACCATTCATGTTGTTCTTGCCATTGCCGCCCTTTTGAAAGTTGTTCTGGCCGTTGTCTCCACCCCACTGGTTGTTCATTTTATTGTTTTGCTTCCCGCCTCCTCCACCCATATTGCCGCTCATCATCCCGCCACCGCCCATATTTGCTGGGGGGCCAAAGTTGCTTGGACTCGCGCGACGCTGATTCCGATTTTGATCGAACCCAGAGGAGCCTTTGTTTCCGCCAGCTTGTTGGTTATTTCCGCCACCCCACTGGCGGTTCGCGTTGTTGTTGAAGCCACTGCCACCTGCTCCGCCCTGCTGCATGCCGAACTGCCCAGCAACGGAATTATTTCCGGAGGCCTGCGGATTGAGGCTCGGGCTTGCCATCATGTTCTGCATGGCCATGGCGTTCATCATCTGCTGCATCATGTTTTGCTGTATCATGCCCTGCATCGTGCCCGCCACGCTGTTGGGCTGCTGTGCGACTGGGGAAACGGGGGGCTGCGGGGCAGCTTGTTGTGCCCAAGGGTTACTTGGCGCATTGGACGTCACCGAGGGGGCGACCGTGTTGTTGGTGTTCAACATGTTCATCATACCAGTGTTCGCCGGAGCTGCACTAGGATTGCTCGTCGCGGGGACGAGATTCATCTGCACCTTGGGATCAATCGTGTCAGCGTGCCAGGGAGCCTTCCAACCGGACTTCGGGGGCATAGAATCGTTGCCGGGAGCGTGGGCCCAAACTTGTTCACCACCAACTTCTGGAGCGACCCACCAACCGCTCATGCTCGCCCCATCACGGGCGTCCCAAAAGTAGATGCAGGACTGTTGGCTTTTGTCATCTCTCGTGTTCTGTTGCTTCGAAAACATGGCCTTGCCATGATTCGAGCCCCGCTGCACGTAAGTCCCATTTAAGGCGAGTAGATGCCCGTCAAACCCGCGCACGTCTAGTTGCATATTAATCCGCAGCTGGAAATGGAATGGTTCGTTTCGTTCTCGTCAAGGACGGCGAAGATAACACAGCTCGAACGAACTTTGTTCTCAGGATGATCTTCCAAGCGAATAGGTTCGCGTACTGAAGATTTTGTCTGCAGTGGTCGGCCCGTGCACCGGGGCATGCTATTGATACATCTTCTCGCAAGCGAAAGCGAGCATTCCCCAATCAAAAAAAAACCGTAGCACTCTGATGTTTTGTTCAGAAAAACACAATCGCACGTGGAGCTCCTGCGCAACTTCTATGCGGTCGTTTGTAATTGCAGCTAGTATTCCTAGGATTGTGTGAAAGGGCGCAGTGATACTACGAAGCGCCACAGAGGCAGCGGCGCAGAACCGGTAAAAAGAGGTTCGCGAGGTCGCAAAACGCAGTGGCTTGCTCAATAAAAGAGGAAGCCGAGGGTCGTTTCTAGAACTCTGTAGGTTGCTGGAAGGATTTGAGGGGGCAAGAGGCGTTAGTTTTCGCGAAAAACAAAAAAAAATTTGCATCTAGATCGACCCGGCAAAAATGCACGTCGAGGCAGATCGGACGGTTTTTTTTACTGTGCGGTGCACGGTCGTGAGGCAAGATCTATCAGTACGAAAACGATTTTTCAATGAAAAACGGATCTTCCTCGTCTGTCAAAATCATTCCTTTTTTCAGCGGCGTTCATTTTCTTCAGAAGGGTGCAGTACATGCACATAATTTGTGATTTGCATCTAGGTGTTGTATTGTACGAGTACGGATCAGCCTAAATTACGCTTTGTTGAGCGCGTAAAAAAGGCAGATGCACGATGCAAGTGTTGGACGAACAATGCTTCGCGAGCAGCACTGAGGAACGAAAAACGTAGTTCGCAGCACAACCTTTTTTGGTAGTTTTTCTTGTTACAAGAATGTCGTGTCATGATATGTACGAATGTGTTCTTGGAAAATAGACAGCACGATCTTAGTACGCGTCTAGGTTTGAGGGAATGTTTGCAAAATTATGTGTCTGATGCGACACAAAATGCAGCTGCTTTTTCATCGAATATGAATTTGAATGGGCGCCACTGTGCCTCGTCAGCAAAACCTAAATCCGGTCTTTGATTACACAGGGGATGGAGGCAGTTCTCATGCGCGGGAGGCACTACCACGGTACATCCGTCAGAGCTTGGACGAGGTTGTACTAGCCAAACTCTCCTGTCGAGATGTCCAAAACCAACTGTACTGCTCTAGGCGCATAGTCGCGATGAAAGCGCAAGTGGCTTCGTGCGTTCGCCACTCGTACTCCACTGCAGAGACGCGCTTTTCATCCTGGTCCGATACAACAGACGAGCGTCTGGTCATCATCTCCCGCGTTCGAAGAAGTCCAACCTTCCGGTGGAAGTCAAGTGGCCGCCCGCCCGCCCAGACGTCGAATCGCTGGCGGTGCGGAAGGTCCCAATTCCCGTGAATCAGCGCAACGTGCTGGCAGGTCTTCAAACTGTCGATGATTTCGTGGACGAGCATTCGGCGGGAACTCGGGCTCCTCTCTTCCAGCCCGTACGTGGGGAACTGCCGTGGCATCGAGAGATGCCCCAACAAATTCGTTACCTGCTCGGACGCACGTCGTTTTATGGTACTTGGAGAACTCTTGATCTCCGTGCTCGACCTACTACTGCTCTCCGCAGCACGACTCAACGGCCGTGCCGGGCATGATGTAGGAGAATCGGAACTGCCGCCTATAATTCCGTCTACGGATTTCCGACGCTTAAAGCTGCGGTAGGACATCTCGGTAAGCTTGTGCAGGGGGCGGTAAACCAGGTGATGGGGCAGGCTAGCCAAGAACCTTGTTTGCTGTTCGCCGTGACTAGTCGAGATCGGTTCTGGATACCCGGGTGTCGCCAGGATAACAAGACGGTCGATAGTGAGGGACGCAGTGTCGAACCGCTCTGGATCTTCTACCGCTGAGGCAGATGCAGACGCTGCGAGAAACTCTTGGTAATACATTTCCATCGCTACCCGGGCACCCATACTGCATCCAGCAATAGTGAGTTTCGGAGGAGCTGCACCCTTGTTTATTTTCCCGACAACGCTAATATTCTTTCGTCTTTCACACGTGGTCGACCCAGTTCCGCTTGTGCGAGAAAGGTGCCGTTGTCTATACCATCCCAGTTCATCCAGAAGCGCAAAGACGGGCCTAAGCCAGTTCTTGGCCGTGGGCGCAAAGTCTCCTTCGGCCTCGAACGGTCGGCTCTTGCCATGCCCGGGGAAATCGATGAGGAGGCCCGGTAACCCGTGCAGACTGCAAACTCGACGCGCGGTGGTCCGCCAGCAGCTCTGGGATTGCGTCCAGCCGTGCAAGTACAGGACGCGGCGCTGGTCTAGTGCCGCGGGAGAACAGCCGAGAAAATCACTGCGCCGTATAATGGTGTAAGCCAGGCCCCGCGCAGACTGCCCTTCGACCTCAACGAGCCGTGCTGCTGCTTCAGAACCCGAGGATCGAGAAGTCATCTCATTCGTGTTTCAATGAGTGGTCGGCAGACGCAAGATAAAATTCTGGCATTTGAACTGACTCTTCTAGGATGAATGGTCGTACTTCTCCGCCCTATGCAAAGCACAAGTCGAAGATGATGACTCGTTGTTTGGTAGGCACAAAGATGCCGAAATGCTTCCTGTTCCTCGCCTCGACTCAAAAGCATCGATCTCTCGAGACTGCTACTTCCTATACATAGATATCGTGTTTCTCTCTCGGCGGTGTGCCATTTGCGTTTACCTCAGACCGGGTGACGGCTTCGCCTTTAGTTCGCCTTTGATGACTACATCTACATGGTGGAGACGCCTCACCTGAGTTACAGTTGTTCTTGAAACGTTCTTCCACCGAATACAGTATGGTGCACGAACGACGCATCGCGAGCACTTGCACAAGACCTCCGTGAAAGGCGCACTTTCCGTGCACGAGGTCATGAGTTGCCGCTTCGCTCTTTTCGGCAGCAAACCCATTTGATTCTCCGCATAAGCACGCAGTTTTTCTGCTTCATCACCCGGATGTTTCCCATAGATAAACCTATATCAATCTGTTGTTCTTGTTCTCTATTTCAAGTAAATTTCTTCTGTCTTTGGGCTTTTTTTCAGCAAGTTCATTCTTTATTTCGTGATACAATGGGTACTTCCACTCCGGTTTCACGATTGTCATTTTAGATGAGATCCCCATGATCGTTCCGAGGCATAAAAACTACTAGCGGATTTGCGTGTTGTCAGAAAAGCTGATGAAGGTGTTTGCTTTTTGCAGCGAGATTCTGGAAAAGCGCGGGGGGTGCATTCATTGTGATAGTTTGTGAACCGCAGCGAGCTAAGAAAGATTGTGGAAAGTGAGTTGCTCTCGCCGCTCCGAAAACCTTTACAATACTGCGACTGCCAATCGAGCTAGCATGCCGACAAAAGAAGTCGTCAATCGATGTGCGATCCCGCGATGGGGTACCGCAAACGCAACTCTGGCTGCTCTGCTTGATGCATGATGTCGCTTTGGTCTGGGTCTGGAAACAATTCCAAACCTTCAACATCATTATCCGGTGAACCCGAGGGGGAAGACGACCTAGATGAGATTGCGGAAAAAGCCTGCTCGTCTGGGTCTTCCATCGTGGTGGACCGGGAGGCTTGACGAACGCAACACGCAACCTGCTTCATCTCATCGTCTTCTGACCGAGCCGGAGAAGGTTCGTGTTTGTCGGGCCCCAGTGCATCAATCCGGCGCGACGCGGACTGGATTTTTATTCGCGTAGCTGTTCTGGGAGTGAGCAAAGTTGTCACAGCGCGGGCGGCCTTATTGTATGAAATAAGGCTTGAAGAAGACGATGAACAAACTCCATCCGCATGGACATCCTCTGGCCCTTCTTTCTCGATTTGCAGATGCGGGTGCGAAGTGGTTCTCCCTGCATCCTCCTCCGCGCGACAGCTGTGGTCGTCCATTCGCTGCTGCATCGGGACCCGGGTCCCAATTGGTAAGGCAGCGAGAGAGTGTAGTCGCGCTCTTGTACTACTGGGCGTCGGTTCTGGGAAACGCTTCAGACCGCAGATCAGCTTTCCCCACTGCATACACCCGCCACAGCACTCCAACCCGTCTCGGCAGCAATCGCAGTGCGGGCAGGCCGTAACCGGTTCGGGTTGCCGATATGTTCCTGTGGCTTCCTCTGACGAGGCTGTGAGTCCCTTTTTATCCGATCGGAATCGTACGGACACGGCTGTTGCAGGCTCTGGTGCACTCAGAACCGCAGAGCAACACACGAAGCAAAATGCACGGTAGACCCGGGCTACCGGCTTTAGCCAACACGATGGAATCATGCTCGCGGTGGGAAACATAGGTCGAACAAGTAGAATGTTGGTTTCGTATATCAAAAAAGGCACCGAGGAGCAGTTCTTGGGGCTTTCGCGGGACAAAATCAAAATCAAAAGATTGAAATTCGTCAAAATCCAGTATCGAACGAAACTCTGAGTCTGCATAATCGCAGAGAAAAAGAGCCCGGCCGTTCAGGGAAGGCGCGGCCATCCCGGACCCACTGCACAACGAACAAGCACACCCAAACCTTTTACGAGCGGTAGTGGTTTGACTGTGTGCGCCATTCCACTGGGCTTGCAACTTTGGATGATCAGGCAAGGGTTGTAGGTGAGTAACCGCATCGCGTTTGCGTAAACAGCAGGTCAGTTTGCTGGTTGGAGGACTCTGATGTGTCTGTCGCGCTACGTCACCTATGTGTATGTTCAAGTTTCACAGTGTCGCAACATCACACTCAAACAGGCGGCGTATGGAACTTTAGCGAATACGATGCTTGCGTTGGGACTGGTCCCTTGAACCGTTCGTTCAGCATTTGCAGGTAGCTGACCCCGACATAGTGGGGCATCCCGGGTGTGAAACCACCACGAACCACCACTATCGTCGGCTCCTCAAACCGGGAAATTGTGCCGCGCCAGAGTCCATTCACGTACACCAAAACCGCGTCGAATTCTTTCGGTGGGGGATCCAACAGTACTTCGAGGATACCGACCGGTAATGCCTGCGCGACTGCTCCCTGCGACGGGTCGCTAGAAACGAGATCCATGGTCGTGACGGTGGAGTTTATCGTAGTGTTGGCGAACAACGTCCCGTTCGTTGTCGCATTGACGACGGTCGACGCATTCGTCCAATTCGTGCTGTTCGTGTCGTCTTCTTCGTCCGAACCGGCGCCCGGGGCGGGGGAGAAAAGGCTAGCGGGTAGGCTAGGTAGTTGCGGAACAGGAACCGAGTAAGCAAAGCCCAGACGCGCTGGCGGGTCCGGACGGTACTGCAGGGGAGCAAGGCCGCCGTTGGGCACCAGCCCCCATCTCGCGACCCCGTCAAGAAACAAACCGGTTCCTATCCCCAACCAGATGGCAGAGGTTTTGTGCACGGGCGCTTGCGCAAGGGGTATCATCACGAGGCCGATGCTGGCGTGGTGCAGATGCGGGGAAAAGTGCTTTCTCACCTCGCTACCGTCGTGCCAGGTCACGATCGGATGCAGAACGCACAGCAGAAAGTAAACGACGATGGTTCGTCGCCATTGCGACTTTCGCTTTTGGATCCCTGCGCGGTTTATTGCCTCTGCTCGCCGATTTTGATCAGCCTGCTCTTCGCCGCTTTTCCCCACTTTTCCAGACACGTCGCCAGTGATGTTATCTTCTGTGACGACGCCTCGGTGACCAAGGTCCGCAACCGCAGTTGATCTTGGCTGGCCAGCATCTTCTAAAGAGTCCTCAGGACGCGTCAACCCGGCGTCATCGTGGTCTGCCAAGACCACTTCAGACGATGGGTTGTTCGCACCGCGTTCCTGTGACGGCGCAGGGTCGTCTCTTTGCGCACTCTCCGAAACGATCATCAGGGTTGCTTGCTTTTCGTCCACCCCCTTCGTTTCCCCCACCTCAACCTGGGGTCGAGTTTCAGCGTCGAACTCTCGACTCTCCTCCTGCTTCTCCCTTTCGTCCGTGCCTGCGTCTCGTCCTTTAAGCGAACTAGAACTCTTCCTCGATCCAATTGACGCGAACATCATCTGCCACCACTCCGCACACCGCTGGGACACTTTCTCGGCGGATACTGGGAAGAAGAAGCAGCACAAGGCGCGCAAGACTTCCAAGAGAAGAAGCGCGACAAACACGATGAGAGCCCAAAACCAGACCACCGATTTCCCCTCCGTGTTGTCGGAGTCCGCGGATTCCTCCCAAACGCTCGCCGACAAGTTCGAGTCGAAGCTGTTCACCGGCACCACGTTATCAATTTCCGGAAAGAAGCCGAACATGATGCAGTGCGGGACGAGAAAGCACGTGCGCAAGCAACACAGATCTAGCAAGCCCTGCGGTGGGCCTTTGGTACCGCCTTGAGTCGTGCTGATCAACACGCCCTCTCGCTCGACACCGTCGACGTCGTCCTTGTCGAGGACGACCATCGAACGCGTCTCTACGATTCCACCGGCGGGAAACAGGAACGGAAATTGGAACATGTAAAAGCAAACCCACAACAGCGACAGGCAAATCAGCATGGTAATGGGCACGGCCACTAGGGACGTTTGCGGGTCCGGAGTCGGCAGTTGGAAGAAAAGGATGTGCACCACGGCCACGCTCCAAGCCGCAACGAAGAACCAGCTGCTGCCGTGCAGTCGATTGCTGAGCGCCTTGTGCAGTTCTTCGTCACGATTGTCTTTCCGGGTGGACCGGTGGAAGACTTCTTGCAGCCAAGCAGTGCCAAAAAGGTACAAGGCAGCAAACGTGAACGCGATCGGCTCCACCACACTCAACACCTCTGCGTACGACCAAGCCGTGCTGTCGCACTGGTCAAGCTCCACCGCGCGTGGAAAATACCTGGATACAGATACATGCAGCTACTGGCTCAGAGGAAACCAAAACCACATGCAAAGATCACGAAAAACATTGAAAAAAATCGCTCGAACAGGAGAGCCCAGCCGCGGGGTACTAGGTCCAAAAAATTTACAAGAACGGCGCGAGTACATGTGAGATGAACCACCTATTTACTTCCTTCTCCTACGATCGCATTTATTTCTAGAGAAAATTAGTACTCACAACTACAACATCACGACTAATGAATCAGAATCTTAGCGAAGATCGATTAGATAAAGTAAATCCGCACCCCATGGCTGAGGATTGCCCGGCGCCGCTGGTGATACTGGGATAGGAATCCTGTCCGCCAATGACTCGGTACCGCAGACAACCCCCGGTGCCGTCCTCGACAAGGCCCGCGTGGACGCCGGCGGGGCAGAGCAAACTGGTCGCGGAATAGACAAACGTGTTCCGGGCACCGTTTCCGTTCACCAAGGTGGCGCCACCATAGATGCTGCCCGCCAGCCGTCGCACTTGCTGCGCGCACCCGCTGCTGCAGTACACCGTCTTCCAATCCGTGCTGAAGTCACACGCCTGGCCGTTCACACTGCACATTTGCGGCGACCAGTAGCTGGAGAAGCAGCTACTTGTCACGCTGTTCTCCGGCACCGTGAAGAGGATGAGCAGCAGCACTCCGATCGGAATGACGTAAAGGCACAGGTGGAATAGCAGCCGGGTCCGCCCGTTATCCTTCATCTTGTGCGCAATCGCACTCTGCACCGGCCAGACCTTCTGGATGAAGACCTCATGGGCGCGTTGTCGCACTGCCTGCATGCGCATCGTCCCCAGCCCAAACACCATTCTCCTGCGTTGCTTGTTGTGCGCCCCAAAAAAAAGAGCGCCGGCCCGGGTGGCCTGCAACAAATAAAGCGCAAGGTGTGGTGACAAATGAAGATGGGGCTTTGGTGCTTACAGAGCCAATATTTCAGCGGTGAATGGTTGTTCACCTTGTTGCCGGCTGTGAGTCGAAAAAGGTTTTTTTCACTCCTTCTGCCCCTCCGTGCGTCACATTTTCTCCAACTGATCAACATCTTCCCGAAGGCAAGCTCCGGATTTCTTGTTGCTCTACAGCACTCACACGCCTCGTCCTCTCTCATGCTCCTCAGAGTGGTGACTTGACTCAACGTCGACCTGAAATAAAATCCCGACTAGAGGTCGTGGTTGTACTTGGTCATGCTTTGCCTCGCAAGTCGCATCGCGGTGACGTCACTGCGGTACGAGTAAGTTTTCTCCAGCGCATCGTGCGGCTCCGTGTCCTTTGCGTATGTTTTCTGTCGCTCGGTGTCGAAGGGCTTTACTTTCCGCTCGGGCCACGGAACTACTTGTCCGGACTTTTTTGCAATTCGCAAAATCGCACCGTCCGGCTGAAAACTGGTGTTTTTCGAAAACAACTTGCAAATTAAAATCATATGTGCCTGCTCAAAATATGGGTTACATACATGCTCAAAATATGGCTGTGTCGCCATCTTCACGAAGAATCCAAATTAAGTCCTATACTTGAGGCAGGTCCGCGTTGCCTCCCGCGTCACCGGGTCCAGCAGGTTCACGTTGGAGTAGTGAATCTTGCGCTCCACCTGGACTTTGTGCCCGCTCTTGTCCCGGAGCATCTGTAGATTGCAGCCCTTGACCTTGACCATGTTTCTGCGCTTGTCCACCGCAAGAACGACTCCTTCCTTCTCTTTGTCTTTACCAGATAACACGCGAACATCGTCGCCCGGGGCGATCTTCCACGTGCGAATCATGTCCTTCGGCATAACACATTTTGGAAAAAGGAGGGCAGCACTGGCTTGAAAAGCGAATCCACGGGAATGGGCCTGCAGAAATCCCATACTGAGCTGCTGCAATCGGCTTCTGTCAATACTCGCGACGGGATTTTTCGTTGGAAAGACGCGCGTCACGCTCACCGGGACGCCCGCAGCGAAACAAGAGGTAAGTCCTCCGAGGAGAGGAGCGCCTACAACTCTTTCCATGTTTGTTGATGGCGTCCAACCTTCACGGCCAGAGCTTCGTGTGGCGAAGTGCTTGGTTACGTGACAAAAGTGTCTCAGAAACGGCCACACGACCCAGCCGGAAAACAAAACTACAGAAATTTACCGCCCGACTTCGGCGGGAAAAACAAACACAGTGTATTTCGGATCCCTTTTCGATGCTTCTAAGAAGTCCGCACGAACGCAAAGGTGAGGGTGATCAAATTGATCCAACGACCGACGATCGCTTCCCAGCTTTTCCTTTTGCTTTTGGTTTTTCTACAACTTGCGAACACACTTAAAACAAAATTGGCTTCTCTTGTTTGGGTTTGACTTCGACAATTCCCGCGACCTTGTGTTCGCGAAGATTTAGCACCGTCTTGAAATATGTGTCGTTTGGTCGCGAAATCACGATGCATTGCCACTTTCCTCGGTGGATCCGGAGCAGCACAGAAGACAGGACCTGCATTGCAGTACTTTCAACCTGCTTATACGTGAGGGGCGCCTGCTACTGTTCTCGCGCTGTAACACACCCGTCAAAGAACTCTGAAGCGTCATGTGCATCACTTCCGCAGGAACAGGTTTAAGTGAGCCATGGCTTGTTGTTGCCTCTTCCAAAGCAACGAAAGTCGCTTCCGGCGGAAATATTTTGCGACACTCTTCTTCCCGCTCCGGATGGTAGAAAACCAGTATCGACTCGGGCGTAGAACGCAACAGCACGGTGCGGCTCCACAGCACGAAGTTCGTCAAATCTGACATAAGATTTTCAAACGTGCGGCGGTCCAGTTTGTTTTGGTCCTGTGAGGGCAAGCAAATCCAAAGTTTGTGGTTTGCGCGTTGTTGTTGCACATAAAATTGCATATTCGGATTCTATGAACAGATTTTCAACCAATTCGGATTCTATGAACAGACTTCTCTTTTCGCGTCGGCGTACTATGAAGAGCACCGGAAATTGTAAGTAAGTACCAACTCCGCGAAGGGCTAGGAACAGCGACAGCGTAGCGTAAGGATCTGCGTCATCTTTCCAGTTTCCACACAGTTTTGGTGTGCATGAAACCAACACCTTCCCCTTTGAACGGGCCTGGTCCTGCTGTAGCCTAGCGTTGTCACGCTGCTGCAGCTGCGAGTGATGCTGCGCGGTGCTGTCGACGGTTTCTGCATCAGACACCACAGGACCCGGATTCGGCGGAAGAGTTACAGTGATGCTCTGGTACGCTGTTGAGAAACATGAAAATGTGAGGACTGGTCGTGCTAGTAAACCACGGACAAAACATCTATCTCTATCTGAAAATACGATTGATTTTGAATTTGAGAAAAAAGAAGAATTACAGCTGCCTGCATGTGCATGATCATGTCCACGTCAACAAAACAATAAATTTGTTTACTTTCGCGTCCTTGCGGGAGCTCGGCCGCCGAAAGCACCGAGTTCCGCGCATCTTCGTAGATATCGCGAGAGGAGAGCTCCACGAACAATTTCGATGCCTTGCGGCCCAGGGCTTTGCCTGACCCCGTGCGGCGAAAGGACAGTCGGCTTATGATCGATGAGCCCCCTGCTCGGCCTCCAGCGCTCCTTTTTCTCGACTTCTTCCCGTGGTGGCTGTGGTCCTTTTTTGCGGACGCTACGGCGTTTGGAAGATTGTCTTCGCCTGCTCCAAGGTCGCTTTCTACCGAGCTGCCATTCGTCGAAGACGTGGCCGACTTCGAGAGCTTCGGCGGTACAGAGACAGCATCGACGTCTTCGGTGACGGTGACGCTGTCGCGTCCGGCCATCAAAGGCGCTGCGGCCGCTGCGCTGCACTTGGCATCCGGAGTGCGGGCTTCGTGGTCCACCCCGGATTCACGAAACGACGATCCTGGCGCTGCCAGTAACGACAGTCGTGGATCCCGAGCCCGGTTCAGCTGCTCCAAGCTGCACTTCTCGCAGAGTTGGTCCACAATTTCGCCGGCGAGCCGCGAATCCGAATGGTAGGCAATGTTCACCGACTTCCAGGCAATCACGGGCGCGGTCTCGGGAATACCGGTGAACCGTTTTCGAAACACATTCGAAAAATTCTTCATCTTGAACACCACGGATTTCGACGAAGCATTCAGAGTGCCCAGGGAGCCGCGTTTGTTGTTCCCGCTACTTGTTTTGGCTCCCGAGTGATTCCCATTGCCGCCACTCGAAGAAGACGCGGAGGAGGACGTGGATACCCGCCAGGTGGGAAGCGACACGCCCGAGAGCTTGCGTCCTTTTGGCGGTGCCGACCCGCACTTTTTGTCAGCTGGTGTCACTACACTCGGTTGTACTGCGCCGGGGGGCCTCGTTTTAATATTTGTGGTTCCAAAGAAAGGACTCTTCATCTGCACCGTTGCTCCTTCGTTCTTCGAGGATGGGTGGCCGGTCGCCAATCCCGACACCCCCCCTGGAAGACGGTCAGACCCCATTCTGTCAAACGTTCCCTTCTTCAACCTCAACCAAGGACGGGGCCAGATGCTTATTAAGTAAGTTCAGTTCCCGAATGACTCTTAACAAAGCATCTTCCGCTCACACATGTCCCATCAACTCTCCTCACTCCTAGATGATGTTGGGCTCGTGCTAGTAACAAGCTCACACTGGTAAGTCACCAACGAGCGGCTGGTGGCTCTCTTTCTGGAAGGATTCATGAAGCGAAGCACGAAATACAACTCACATGAAGAAATTGCAACGCACGATGAACTCTGGCACTTCCAGTCACGGGCAAAGCTCCGCACCACCCTGGTACCGGGTTGCCACCCAGGTGTTGTTCAGAAAGAGAAACAGCGACTACAGTCGTATAATTCATGAACATTAGTACAAATATAGCCGCCGGGGCGGGGGTAGTGAGGTCGTGGGCGTTTTTTTGCCGACCGTAGCCGTGGCCGCGGCTTTGCTTTTCATGGGCTCGCCATACCGCCGTGAGTAACGTTATGCCGCACGGTATGGCGGCCACTTGGGAAACGTCGCAAATTTTGGCACATTTCCAAAATTCCTTTCCGAAAGCCAGCCCCGATGCTATGGGGCCGATCCGGGTGCCACGGGGGGCGCCCAAAAAGCGAAGAAAAACCGGGCCCATAGCATGCGGATTGGCTTTGTGCATCTGGCGCGCTTTTTATTTTTCGCGTTTTTATTTTTCACGCCGGCGCTTTTTGCAAAGCTTCCCAGGCTCTGAAACCGGCGAAAAGGCGGCCGCATTCGCGGCCGCCCAAAATGCTCCGAAATCGCGGCCGTGCCATGCTGTTTCGCTGTTCTGATTTTGGGCGCGTTTTTTGCGCGCCCCTTTTTGGGCGCCCCAAATCGCCAGAAACTAAGGCGGTGGGCGCCTCAGAAGGGCGCCCCTTTTGCCGGCTCCCCTGCGTCGTTTTATCAAGTGCGAATCGATAGTTTTCGACCGGGCTTGTTTGACAACAAAGCCCCGGCCGCTTGATAAGTGCAAATTTTTTTCGTCAAAAAACACTTTCGGCCGCTTGAAAACTGCCGGTCGTTTTTCACGGGAGCTGTCAAAAAAACTCCCTGGTTAGAACCGTTCGGTGACCTCACTACATACGAAAAGTCTGTTTTTGTTTGTCCGTTTTGGATGCTGTGAAAATGAAAAACCTTGCGAAGAAGTGCTATTACATGATCATGCGCCGTAAAAACGTCAATCCGAGTGCAGTTGACATTTCAATTTCAAAATGGAAGTTGCATGATGGCGTTGTCATACATTTAACTCGGGAAGTCATCGTCTCCGAAGACCATCTCTTCGTCATCTGACTCGTCGTCCGGAAACAGGCCATTGGTTCGCAGGTAGGCATTTGCCTTCTCAATAGCGACGTCCTTCAGCTTGATGCCAAACCGACCCTTGTCCGGGTCTCCCTTCAACAGCGCAAACGCCTTGGTCTTCGTAGACCGGTCCTTCAGGTAGCAGCTGCTCTCCCCCATTTCCTTCAGCATCGCCTGCATCCACACGTCGGCAGTGGTTTTATCTGAAAAAATTTACGAAGATTTTACCTCCTGCTTAAATTTTTGACACTGGTGGACTACAACACCCGTTCGATTTTTCGTCGATAAAGAAACACAAACACTTCCCCTGCTTTTCTTGCACGAAGTCCTCACAACCGAGGTGAAATAAAACGCTCAAAATCCTCGCGAAAAAGATACCTTGCAGTTTCTCGGGTACGTAGGCGACGCAAGCGAGGTCCGTATCCGAGGAGAAAATCATCTTTCCGACGTGGCCAGAGCCACCTTTTCGCTCCTCTTCGCTGGGGTCGGACTTAGCATTCATCGCGTCGACGGACATCTCGGTATAGTCCAGGTCCCCTGCGGGGCAATCGACGGAGGTACCTGAGAAAAATATGTGTAGTTGTACGCCGGTCGCTTGCTTGTCAAAATTCTATTTTGGTTCTTCTGGGAAAAGGGAATCAAAAATCCAAAATACAATCAAAGTAAGAAGACAATCATTTTCTGTACAGAAAAAGTTGAGGCCGCCCATGTCCGACACACCCTCGATTTCTACGCCGCGCTTGCCGCCCTCTTTCAAAACCTGAAGAGCAATGGAAATACGGAATAGTACACGCAGACATCTAAGCGGGGCATATCTCCTCGGGAATGAATCTACAACACGAACGTACCAGAGAATGTGCTACTTCTTATCTTACTCTTTCTCTTTTTTAGTTTCTTTCATCACAGAAGTGCGTATCGGTACTTACCTTCTTCTTGATTTGCTCCGGCGTCGGGCCAGCAGGTGCTTCCTTCTTTGCTGCTTCTGCCTTGGCTTTTGGTTGCTGCTTAGCCTTGGGTTCCGCCTTCGGTTTGGCAGCTGGTTTTGACGCGGCGGCCTTTCCCTGCTGCTCCTTCTTTCCTGCTCCCTTTGCAGCTTTTGGTTCTGCTGCGGGTTTCGCTTTTCCACCGCTGTTGAATACGGCCTTGAATCCCGGCTGTACCGTAATCAAATTGTACCTGAAGATAAAGATATCAAATCACGAAGGTAGCCTTCTAGTCCGAGAAGCGAGCGAGGAGCCCCGCTCTCATGCAAAATCTACACCGTCATATGCAATAAAGAAAAATGCTCTTCAGAATGCCTCACAAGGCTAAATACAAGAAATTGCGTTTTTTTACCATCTTCTCAAGTGGTCGAGCGGTTTCATGACCTCCCCAAGGATGTTGAGATTTTCTACGGCGTCCCACAGGACGGAGGCAATGTGGATGTCGGCGAAGGTGAGCTTCTCCCCAACCATAAAAGTGCGATGCAACAAGTGCTTGTTCAACACTTCCAAGCAGGTCGCCACGTCCAACTTTGCCCGAGCTGTCGCTTGAGTCACTTCCTGTTTTAGGCATCGGTGTTTGTCGATGTCTGCAATCGTTGTTCCATTTGTTTCTCGCTCCCAAACCGAAACCGAATCGGAATCAGATTGATATTGATTTACATACTTACGCATGGCGCAGCACATCCAAAAACGAGTGGTGCCATCAGAAAAGTGATTGAAAAGTACCGGAAAGATCTTTTTTATCGGAAAGGCCCAGGCACACATCGGCGTCTCGAGCTCGTGCGTTGAATATTCAATCCAACTGTCAACTTCGCCACCCTCGATAAAGTTTTGCCCATACCTGTATTGTTGCACGCAGTTCGTCTTCGGTTGTTGAGTGTTTATCATGGATTCCCTAGAAGTGCATCTACATACAGACACGTTTCGCATTGAACAGAAGACATTTTCCGGCATAAAATTTCAAAAAAAACTCCGTACAATCCGATATCAGGTCTGATGCGGGCCAGGTAGCGTCCGATTGCGTTCGACGCGAAGATGCATCCCTTGCCGGTGTCCAAAACAGGTATTTTGCCGAACATATCATTGCTCGTGCTTTGGTCGTCGATTACTTCCACATCGATGTCCGAAATTTTCGCCATATCCTATGTAAAAACGTACCCACCCCAGAGTTGTCATGCAATTCTGCATGCCAAAAAAGTTTCTCATGCGGAGCCCTATGAGAAGCATTTTCTATTCGTGTTTTGGAATTTGTGATGCTAGAATCAGCATGGTAGGCTAGATCTGTAATGCTTCTGAGCTAGCGAAACAGGATTACACTACGAGGACAAACTTGTCATGCCAAACGACCAAAGCTGTGTGATTTGTCTAGCAGATTTGCCAACTTGACTCTGGTGTGGGTACGTTTTTACTCAGGATACGCCAGCGCCAGCAAGCGCATCGTGCGCTCGTTCTCCTTCTTCGCGAACAGCTGCATTCTGAGTCGATATTGCCAATACTAGCGCAACGACCAGAAAATAGTATCAAAACTACCAGAATAAACTAAGCGAGGCTCCTGTGTGTAGTACGCAGGGAAATGATGCAATAAATTCAGACTCAGAGGGGAAATGAAAAAAGCAACTTGCAAGATGTGAATTTTACTCGTTACAATACAACTTTGAAAAAAGTGGAAATGACCTTCAGAAATCCACCAAGCCTGAAAAAGTTGTGTTAGCCTTCGATCAAAAACAGTAGGTCATCCATCATGTGGAACTGCAACGCTGTGGCGTTCCTCGACAGTGAACGACAAAAAGATCCTTGAACTCAAGTCAGTACAGACCAGATCGTTCCTGTTCATGTAGCTTCATTAGAAGACTTGGACTTTCTTGCGGAGCGCAGCAAAAGGCGAGAGGAAGCTAGCGTGGAAGACAGCAACTCGATGTCTTTTATGTCTTCCTCTGCTTTGATTGCGCTGTTTCGAAACAGCATCCTTGCAGCTCCAGGAACAGGTACAGAGGTGCGCTCCCCGACAAACACAAAGTCATAGACAATGGAACTATTGCCTCGAATTTTTCTATTCTCTTTTGATATCTACAAATCGAAGTTCAGGTCCAGCTGGGTTTCATCTGCAATCTTACAAACGGGGTATAGTGCGTCTCCGCCACCAGGGAGTGTGTGGTAGTGGTTGATACATTTCCTACAACTCATCATTTCTTTAATCGGCACTGCAATGTTGCCATCTTAGTATCTAGAATCGTAAACGAGTTCGAGTGCAGTGCACATTTTTGAGTTTATTTTGAGTCACTTAATCGAGAGTCTTGGACTTTTGTACGTTTCGCATTTACGTAGTCCAGATCTGCTGCAGACATTAATTGGAAACTTGATGAAGCAAACTGCGTTAGCATTTTTGGCATGCGTGAACGCATTCGATGAATTTGTTCGAAAGTGGAATTATTGCATTTTTTAGAATTTTCTCATATGTTGAGTGAATTCCTCGAGTGCACATCAACACAAGGGACGTCCTTACAACTCCATAGGATTTTGTCTATCAAGGTTTCGTACAGTACCCTGTCGGAGAGTCGAGGTTTTAAAAGCTTTGGGAAGCAGGTTTGCGTCCGGCGTTTCGCTTTCTTTAATCCGATTTCGTAAGCGACATTTTTATGTTCGGGGGAGACGCCAAGCTGACGAGCTCGTTTAGCGCGAACCGCTTCTCGAAATGCTGTTTCGGTGTCGGAGAGGACAGAGACGCGCTCTGCTCGTGTTCCTCCGTCGCCACCGCGACCTGCTTATTCTTGACCAGTTGCGAGGCCGTCCAAGACACGGGCCGCAGCTCGCTCGCTTCGTCAACGACCGAAGTGGCTGATATGGATGTGTCAGGATCGAAATCGACAAAGTCGAAAATTTTATGATGCGTAAAATGTAGGGCACTGAAGGCCTGTATTGGGGAGCAGGCAAATGAGACGGATTGTCAGCCTGTTTAGGGGTATGCAATGAGCTGCCAGAGTAGCATGACAGGAGCAGTATTCTTGCCCAAACAGCATGACAGACTGGATTTGGGTGCTCCCGAAATTTGTTATGTGCCACGTAAAAACTGAGGGTCCAACTGACATCGATTTTGTGCATCACAAATTTTTCGACTTTGTCAGTTTCGATTCTGACACTTCCGTAGCTGACGCGAGAAAGTTATCCGGATCTTCCCCCACTTGGATCGCGGCCGCCGCTCTGAGTTGGTAGAGGAGTTTTTTCTTCGACATGAGGATCATTTCAGGCACAAGCACACGAAATCAGTGCAGGAGCACCACGACCGCAAACAAAGCCACCAGAGCGCAGTAAGTAGAGCAGAAGAAACCACCTCAACGACACAACAAATCACACACGATCAAAGCATGGCGCCATTCAAAATTTTTTTACATATTCCCGTCATCTTCCAGACAAAGAAATTGGAATGGCTCCTCCCCGTCGTCGCCCGACACAACATCCACGCTGGCCGCGTCCCGCGCATCCGGGTAAAACGCAAATCGATTTCCGCCAGCTGCCGTCCGTGTCCCCTGCGGTCCCTTGGCCTTCGCGGTGCCTGCAATGTGCCTCGAGACGGACTTGATGTTGGGCGGGGAGCGGCTTCCTGGTCGAGCAGAAGATCCACCTCCCTTACTATTTCCCTGGTGCCGCTCGGCCACTTGCTGCACGAAGTGTGTCCAGCCGTCGCGTGCCTTCAGCAGAAACTCCGCGTACTTGCGCAAATCTTGCATGGTTCCTCGGCGCAGGTCTCGCAGATCCTCACGCATCGCCGCGGCAGTCCGCGCTGCATTCAGGAGCCGTCGCTGGTCAAGATTCGTGTTGCCATCTCGCGAGCGCAATTCGCGGGACAGCTGCGACACGCGCGCGTTCTGAAACCAGGAAAGGAAGGCCTTCTGCGAAATCTTCCGCTCTATCACTTTCTCGTACATGTCGCTGATGTCCTCTAGGCGATACCTTTAGGATGCAGAATGACGTTCACGTTGCAACGAATTAATAGGAGCCCTTCCGTTGTTACTTCAAAGGCGACCAGAAAAAACTTTGACAAAATCATGCAGAATCACGCACGGAAAAAAAAAAATTGAAGTGTGATAAGCTAGTGTACTTAATCAAAGCAGTATTTTTACGAGCTCGAAGCCGCAGAGCCTCCCGCAGCGCCTCCGTCGCTGCGTAGGGCGAAGTTATTTTATCGAGTGCAAATATGTCTGGGTCTGGAAGATTGCGAGAATTGTCATGCTGATCTGGAATGGCCCTAAAATCTGTATTGCGTGGCCACAAACAGCCTCTCTCGCCTGTCATGCAAAAACGCAGCTTCTCATGCGGAATACGCAGCACAGAAGCACGAAACAACTTGTCATACTTGGCGGCGCATTACAGTGCATTTGTTATTGACTGACTTGCATTACAAGTTTCCAGACCCAGACATATTTGCAATCCATATCTTTTCCAAGCTCTCGATTTCTGCTGAGAATTTCTGCAACATCCTGGCGCGATCTTCTGCTGCTTTGCGCTGCATATGAATTGCAAATATGTCTGGTTCTGGAAGAGTGCATGTTTGTCATGCTTGTCTGGCATGACTGAAGTGTTTGTGATGCGTGACCAAGAAGAGAGCCTTTTGCCTGTCACGCAAATACGCAGTTTGCCATGCGGACAGCACAACACTAAGCAGCGCAGATATTTCTCATGCTCGGCTGTGCATTACACAGCATTCACTATTCCCAACCGAGCACTACAAGTTTCCAGACCCAGACATTTTTGCATTTGATACTGCACGGCGTCGCACAAGCGGCAGGGCTTGTCCCCATCCAAGCCAGGGGACCGATCCAGTAGGTCGCTGGGTGACAACCCCCCTCGAGAAGTGCCGTCGTCGCCGGTCCGCATGTCGAACATGCGCCCTCCACTGCTCTCGGAGAGCAGCGAAGCTTTCAAGGACCGGGAAAGCGCTGGCCCGCGGTCCGCGGCGATCTCGCGCTCGTGGCTGTACATCCGTTCCATGGACTTGGCCAACTCCTCTTGTCGAATCAGTTGCTCTTTCAACCGACTCACCTCGAGGCGGTGCTCCACTTTCAGCTTGGCAACCTCCGCCTCCGAGTGCGTCGTTCCGCTCTCCTCCTCGAGTCGCCGCTGTCGCCGCAACTTGGTCACTTCAAACTCAATCTCCTCCTGGCTTTGCCGTAACTTCCGCACCTCTTCCTTCAGCCGCCCATTCTGGTCCTCCAGTTCCCGCTCTCGCCTGCAAGAATTCATTGTTGTGTGAGGGAATCAAAAATGACTCGCGGTTTATTTCATAGGCGTGAATACCAAGAAGAAATAACGAGTAAGCCAAGCCCAAGCATTATACGAAAATAAAAGTGTACCTCGGCGAGCCCTTAGGAATGACCAGTTTTTCTTGCTCGCTTTTTGCCAAGAGGTCCTTGAGCTCGTCTACCCGCCGCTGCAGTCGTTCGATGTCGAGATCTTTTCGCTCCCGGAGGTCGCGAATCTCGCCCTGGAACCGAGCGAACCCCTCCTGCAGCCGCTCTACTTCGCGCGTTTGGTAGTACGTTTCCATTTCCTTCATCTTTTGCTCGGGCAGGCCTTTTCTCTCCGCATCGCGCTCGAATTCCAACAGTCTGCGGCGGTAGTAGTCCCGTTCCTCCTGCAGGAGGTTCTTCTCGTTGCGCAGCACCTCGATGCGTTGCTGCTGCTGGAAATAAGCAAACTGGTCCAGCATGGAGTTCGCCAGCATGGGGCTGCTTCCCATCAGCGCTGGGCTGTGCAGCATCTGCCCGGCGCTGGTGGGCATCAACTGCGGCGTCGTGTATGCGAAGGCGCCCTGGTGGTGTGCGGGCGGCGCTGGCATCGGAGTCGCGGGAAAAAACGCGCTCGTGTCGAGGGGCGGGCTCTGCCCCAGCACCGGGGAGGTCTGTCCGAAGAACGACGGCGACTGCGCATGCTCGGTTGCAGTTCTGCCGGCGGATGACGAAGACGCCGCCGCTGCCGCAGCGTTCATTTGCTGCAATTTCGTGGCGTTCTTCGCTTCCATATCCCGCATTTGCTTCTGAAAATCCCGCTGAAGGTCCAATTTTCGTTTCTGCTCTTCGAGTTCCTGCCGCTCCCGTGTCTTCTGCGCCTCTTCGCGCTCCTTGGCGATGGTCGACTTCATTTCGTTCAGCTGCAACCGAAGCGCATTCATGGCCTCGTCGTTCTCGCGAGCAGCCTTCATGCGCGCCTCTTCGATCAGCCCGTCGCCAAACAAAGCATCCGGTTTCAGCGCAGAGACGTAATTTTTACCAGAGTCGGTCTTCTTTTCCTGCGCGGCTGCGATCGCGGGACTAGTACTTTTCGAAGAACCTACTAACGGCGAAGTAGCTTTCGCAGTGGGGGCGGGCGGCTGTTTCTTTGCAACGAGAGGACTCCTGCTCCTCGATACCGCACCAGCCGCCACCCTGGCGGCTCCCATGGCTTGTGAAAGAAAGCCCGGACTCTTCCGCTGCCTTGTTTTACCTGCTGTGTCAAAGGAAAGGTCGTGATCATCCTCCTCGTCGTCTGGTGGGGGCCCGCGGGGCGAAGCTACGGGCTTTGCTGCCTTCGCGGGCGTGAGCGGGCTTTTGCTCTTGCCAGGAGCGCGCTTTGCAGCGGGAGAGCTTTCCGATCGCGCAGCAGCCTTGTACTTGCTGGTACCTATTCCAGGCGAACTTCGTCCTGGCGAAGCTGACTTTCCACCGCGTATCAGCGCTGCACTGGTGACTGCGCCGCGGGCCTTCTGCGTTGCTGTCTTCACTCTTCTTTCCACTGGCGAAGTACTAGCTGGGGAAGACTTCGATGGCGTTAGCCTTGCTTTTATGCGTGATTTTGGTGCTGCACCAGCACTACTGGGTTTTGGGTCCTCGTCTTTCGCAGACAAGCCCACTAGCCAACTGTCCGTAGCGGCTCTAAGCGCACCTGAAGCTTTCCCCACGATTTCAGACGACGCTAGCGCAACAGCCGCTGTTCCGAGTGACTCGATTGCGTTCGGCACATCAACTCCTGCATCTTCCCTGCGGTCCTTCTGGTTACCATCTCCCGCTGGTTGCTCCTCTGACACCTTGTGGGCGTGTGGTTTGTCTATCATAGCGGCGGCGTAGGAATGCGGGGGCGGGCTCTTCGAGGAGGTGGCGGGCGAGATCGGACTGATCACCTGCTCACTTACCTCTGGCACAATTGCAGGTGGAGATTCGCCGGCGGCGGCCGCGATGGCGGTTACAGCCGTGCTGGCTGCGGTACCACTTGCCTGTGCCAAGAGCTTCTCTTCCGCCTGCCGTCGGGCGCGTGCCCGACCGAAAAAGCCTTTCTTCACAGGTGCGGGAGCGGGTGCTTGCGGTCCCGGAGACGAGTCCGCACCGGAAGCAGTGAGGGCGTCCAGGCTTACGGGCTTCTTCGCTCGCTCCGCAGCCGCTCGGGCTTCTGCGGCACGCTCCGCAGCCGCTTTGGCGGCGGCCTCCACAGCCGCCGCGGCCGCAGCAGGGTCGTATTTGATGCCGCTGTCGTATTTTCCCCAAACCGAAGGCAAACTCTTCGGTGGCGCTATGCTTTTCTCCTGTAGCCCCGGCGGGAAACCCCCAAAGGTTTTCCGGTACACCAACAAATGCGCCGGCCGCGGGCCATCGATCACCGCCTGCAGGTATCAACTGCAAAAATGTCTGGGTCTGGAAACTTGTAATGCTGCGTTGGGAATAGTGAATGCTCTGTAATGCACAGGCAAGCGTGAGAAATGCCTGCGCTTCTTTGTGTTGCGTTTTTCGCATGACAAACTGCGTTTTTGCATGACAGGCAAAAGGGTTTGTTCTTGGACACGCATCACAAACTTTTTGGCCATGACAGACAAGCATGACAAATCTCAAAATCTTCCCGACCCAGACATTTTTGCATTTGATAGCAGGTGCCTCGGGTTGTCGAAGGTGGATGACTTGTTCCCCACCACCACCTCGTCGCCCTTGCGCAGCTGCTGCGTTTGGGCCCAGCCCCCGGGGGCGGTGTTTTTGATCGCGTACCCATTCGCATCTAGCCCAAAGCCAAAATGCCTTTTATCGTCTTCCTTCGTTACTTGCAGGAACTTCGCGACCTCTAACCGGGGTAGGAAGTGAAAGAAAACGTAGTCGTCCCCGACCTTGTCGGTTTTGATGGTTTTCTCGACCAGCCGTGCGATCACCTCATCCGGATCGGAGCCCTCGCATTTCGGGAGAAATTGCGTCCGCGTACCGCATACGGCAAGCAGTAAGTCGCCCAGTGCCGCCTTCAGAATTTCTGTTTCCGAAACCTTGCCCACTCGAACAAACGGAAACGCGCGCCAGTCTAGCGCGAAGCCGAACATTTTTTCGAAAATCTCGCACGACCCGCCCAGCTCCGAGGCCTCGGTGACCATTTCCCGCGCTCTGCTATGCATTCGAAGGCACTTCACGCCGTACCGCACCTCTGCCCCGATGCTGCCGTCGCGTCCCTGCAGCAGGTAGGGGAACAAAAAAGGTGCTCCGTCTCGCGGGGAGTCCTTCGGGCCTTCTACTGGCTCTGGTGCCGGGGGTGGTGGCTCCTCTTTTTTCGGTGGTTCATCTGGGGGCTTCACTGGTTGTTCTGGGGGCTTGACTGGCTCGGGGGGTGGCGGAGGTGGGGGTGGCGGCTCCTCTTTCTTCGGCGGCTCCTTCGGTGGCTCTGGTGCCTTGGGGGGTTCTGGAGGCGGCTTCGGTGGCTCCTCCGGCTTTTTTTCCTCCACTGGAGGAGGTGGCGGCGGAGGCGGGGGTGGAGGTGGGGCGGCTTTCGCATCCCCTTGCAGCTCGTCCCTGCCCGGCGCCTTTCCACACAACTTGTCCCACGAGGCCGGCACCGGCCGCAGAAAGGACCGCTCCTTACTGAGCACGGAGTCGGGAAAGCCGGAGGGCCGCGCCACCAGAATGTTTACTTCCTGCCCGGCGAGGTCCAACCGTTCCAGCACTTTGCTGGACCACCCCTCCCGCACGGCTACCAGGTCGTTGACGACACAAATGATGTCGCCCTTTTGGAATCCCTGCTCGGCCGCCCAGCCTTCGACCGCGGTAACCTGCCCGTTTTTCTCGTCGTACTTGATCCCGGCCGAGCTTGCGCTGGCCGGCCGCTGCAGCTGCACATACCGGGGACTGCGATGGCCCGGCAGCATGGCGAAGGAGCAAACCATGTCGTCTTTCCCCTGCCGCTTCTCGATTTTGCCCAACACACGCTGCACGATCGCCTCGTCCGGCCCCGCGCTGTCCGCCTTTGGCCACGACGAAATCAACCCGACGCGATCGTTGCAGCACGACAGCAAGACGCAGCCGGGAACGACGCCGCATTTTGCGGCCCGCGACTTGTCCTTGCCGTCGACGGCCAGCTTCTCAATTTTCGTCACCCGCACGATCGGGAAGTAGCGCCAATCGAACTGGAAACCGAAGACCTTGAGTATTTTCTCCGCGGGCGGCACCGAACTGTCCTTCAGGACCGCCAGCTCTTCGTCCTTGATGCGCTGCTGCCACCCTAGTATTCCGAAGTCTTCCGGCTTCTTGGCGAAGGACATGTTGGCCAGGAGAAAGGACGGATTCGGCCCGCTGCCGTCGTGCTTTTTCAGGCCGCGGACCGCGGACACACCCGGGAGACCCTTCAACAACGGATCGGAGACGTCGGCCTCTGCCGCCTTAATGTCTTCCTTCGACAGGTTCTTGTTCGAGTCGTGTTCGCCAGATTTCTTCGCGTCATCAAACGTCACCGCCTTGGTTGGAGCCGCCACCGGAGCGGCGGCGGGCGCAGGGGGAGGCGGTGCAGCGACAGCGGCCGCGACAGCGCCCCCGGCCGGCGCGGCCACGTTCGGTCCCCGAGCCGCAGCGTCCTTCCACGCCGAGGGGAAGGGGCGTCGGAAGTCTTCCTCTTGCGAAAGGGAGTCTTGCTCAAAACCCTCGGCACGGTACAGAAAGAGAGTAATAGGTCGCTTCCCCTCCGGGCCAAATCGGTCATTCAACTCGTCAAAGATCTCTTCCGCAACTGTGTCGTCTACGAGGAGCACCTGAATTGGTCCAAAATCGAGCGATTTTCCTTTCAAAAACACGACAAAGAAACACATGTAAAAGAGCTTGGGTTTGCGTAGTACACCCCAAAAATACAGAAAAGCGGAACAAGGGAGTGCTTATCTATCACGACCGCTTCCTCTGATTTTGAAAAGCAATCGTCTTTACCAGATCGTCCTTCTTGAGGCCGCAGCTCTTCGCCCATCCATCCTTAGCAACCCCGACAATCTTTCCGGTGTTCTCGTTACACTTTGCACCCACGGATTTGCCCGTGCAAGTCAGCTGTAGGTACTGATTTGCCTTCTGTCCGTTTTCGCCCCAGGGCAGGAACTGCCACGCTGCCACCATGTCGTCTACCGTTTTCCGGCGTCCAATGGCGCGGTTAATCTTTTGCACGAATGCGTCGCTGGGGTCCTTCCCCTGCCACTGCGTAATCATGGTCACGCGCTCCTGCTGCGTTTTCAGCAGGATGTCGCCGGGCCCCAGGCCAATTTTCGTGGCGCGGCTCTTGTCCACCCCATCCGCGGCGAGGTCCTGCGTTTGCGCCACGTAAACCAGCGGGAAGTCGCGGAAGTCCAAATTGAAACCGAAGACTTTGAGCAGCTTTTGGTCTGCCGGCAGGCTCGGGTCTTCCAGAATGGCTTTTTCGTTGTCCTTTATCCTCTGCTGCCAACCCACAAGTTTCTTCTTGGTAAAATCCACGTCGGGAAGCTTGGTAAAGAAAAAGGGCCCAGGCTCCTTCCGGGGGACTTTGCCGCGCAGCGGTCGCGCCGCATTTGCAGGCACCGCTTGGTATTTGGCTGACGACGAGGACATCGACGAGGCGCTGGCGGCAGGCGCCGCCATAGACGCTGTGGCGCTCGGGCTCGCCGCAATAGTGGCCGTCACTGACGGAGCTGAGCCAACGCTCGAAGTTACTGCCGCGCCTCCTACGCTTTCGTAGGCTTCGAGGAACCGCGGGGCGCTCGAGTTCTCATAAACCGCCGCCTTCCACTCTGCAGGCAGCGGACGCTGGAAGTCGTTCTCCTTGGCGAGAGTTTCTAGTGGAAACATGCTTTCCCGTCGTGCCAGGAGATGCAAGGGCCGCGTTGTTTTGTCTAGCAGCCCCTTCAAGTCACCGCCCTTCCCCACCTCCACACACAACTCGTTTGCAGCCCAAATCTGATCCCCGACTGCGAGCCCCTGGGCACTCGCCCAGGACCCGGGATCTACGCCGGTGACACCGCCGTTGTCGTCGACGTGCAAGCCACTCTGTGGCTCGTTCAGCGCCAACTGCACCCACCTGTCGTGCTTGTGCGGCTGCACAAATCCCCATTGCGCCACCACGTCGTCGGGCTTCTGCCGACGTGTGCAGGCCCGCACCACCTTCTGGAGGATCGCATCGTGGGGATCTTTGCCAACGAAGCGCGCTACCATGGTGACCCGCTCGCCTTGGGAGAGCAGCAACAGCGCCCCTTCTTTCAGTCCAGACTTCGCGGCACGCGACGCATCCGCCCCGTCTGCCGCTTTCGGGATTGTTTTCGCGACGCGCACCACCGGAAAGTGCCGGAAATCGAAATTGAAGCCAAACACCTGCAAATGCCTCTTCCAACTGGGGAGGCTTTCGTCCTTCATGATCGCCTCCTCGTTGTCTTTGATGCGCTGCTGCCAGCCTAGAATTTCCGCCTTCCCACGCTTCATGGTCGATAACAGCGACAGCAGATACGGAGGTGGCCCGCCTTGCGGCTTGACGCGCCCGCGAAACAAACCACCGGACGCAGATGAAAATGATGCAGCAGAGGTAGAAGTACCACCCGCGCCGGGAGCCATGCTGGCACCGATTCCGGGCGCCGCTGCGATGCTCGTGGTCCCCGCCCCCGGCGCCATGCTGGCATTTGTACTAGCAGGGCTAGTTCCTCCGGCCATGCTCTTCATTTGGGGCGACCCCGCCATGCTTGCTGTGGGTGCTGCGTTGGCCATGCTCTTGTTCAACAAGTCCGGCGATCCAGCCATGCTCTTCATCGCACTCGGAGAAGATCCACCTCCAGACGCCGTCATGCTTTTGTTCATGGCAGCGCCCGCGTCCGCTGCACCCGGCGCCATGGACTGCGCACCCGCGGCGCTCGGCGCCATACTCATGTTCGCACCTCCTGCCGGCGCAGGCCGGAGCGGGCACTGCGGACCCGCATCGACCGCGGTCTTCCACTTCGACGGGAGTGGGCGGTCGAAAATTGGATCCAGATCTTGCGAATACCCCGCACCACCACGACGAAACAGGGCGGTCACCTTTCCCTTCGCGAGCTCGGCTTGAACCTTCCCCGCGTCGCCCTTCAGGCTCTCGATCAAGGCAAGCCCATCGGTTGCGACAAGCTCGTCCCCGGCCTGCACGCCATTTTCGGCCGCAAAACCGCTCACGCTCGAAATTTGTCCGAAGCCGTCCGCTTCGACGCCTAGTCCCCCGCCTTCCGCAGTTAGCTGGATATACCTGTCGATGATCATGTTGGGGACATCAATATCCTCGTTCTCACGTACTTTTCCTTTACACGGTGCAGTCGGATGGTGCCTGTGTTATTTCGATCGCGAAGAATGTGCGAGAATGATCAAATAAACGAAAATCTTGAGCTGTACCTCTGCCGGTAGCGGCCCTTGCAAAAGGCAAACGCTGCCACCGGATCATCGGGGGTTTTTCGACGGCCGCACGCACGAACGATTTTTTGCACAAATGCATCGTCGGGGCCACTTCCCGCCCATTGACCCACCATTGTGATCCGCTCTTGCGACGTCATGAGCAAAATGTCCCCGACGCGCACGTCGATCAGGGCCGAGCGCGATTTATCAGAACCATTCGCGTTCATGGGCGTAGTGGCTGCCACGCGCACCACGGGAAAGTCCCGCCAGTCCAGACTGAAGCCAAACACTTTCAGCATTCGCTCGTGCGCAGGCTGCGACTCGTCTTCCAGGATCGGGAGCTCGAAATCCTTGATCCGTTGCTGCCAGGATATCAGCGCCGTCTGGTCAGGTTTCTTCTTGGTCTGCCACACGTAGCATATCAAGTATGGAGGCGGCGTCGCGGGCTTCACCTTATTGCTCGGCGCCATGCTGGAACTAGTACCCGCACCGGGGGCCATGCTCGCCCCGGCGCCCGGCGCCATACTCATGTTGCCAGCGCCGCCCGACGAGAGTGCGCCGCCCGGTGCCATACTGGCGTTACCGCCACCAGGGGCCATGCTTGCGGAGGCACTAGACGGTGGGGCCATGGAAGCTCCGACCGCGGGCGACCCTCCTGCATGGTAGCTGTCGACGGTCATTGCGGTTTTGTGGTTCCACTTTGACGGCAGCGGGCGTTGCGGCGTGTACTCATGACTGGCGCGAATGTTGTCAGGCCAACCTCCAGAGCGACGAATCAGCAGCGGCAGCGAAGAAGTGCCACTGAGCTTCGCCGGTAACTCCTGGCTCTTCTGGGGCACAAGCAGATCAGAGCCGGCCATGATCACGACGTCGCCGGGCTGCAGCCCGACCTGAGCGGCCCACCCTTCCACCGCTGTTATTGTTCCCATTCCGTCCGCACTGATCCCGGGGGTTTGCCCGCTCGGCGACTCGATATGGATGTACTCGTGCTGCCACTTCTTCCGCAGAAAGCACCAGGCGCAGACGACTTCCGTGTCGGACTTGTTCGCACGCACGTGGGCCCGTGCGATTTTCGAAATCAGGGCGTCATCGGCGGAGCTCCCCGCCCACTGCGCGAGCATGGTGATCCGCTCTTGCTGTGACAACAGCAGGATATCCCCGACGGCGATTTTCTGCTGCGCGGCCCGCGTAGGCTCCTTGCTGTCGGGACGGACCGCTTCCACCCGGGACACCCGGACCACGGGAAACCCGCTCCAGTCGAACTGAAACCCGAAAATCTTCAGGCATTTCTCGTGCGCGCTCATCGAATCGTGGTGCAGAAGGTCGGCCTCCTTGATTCGCTGTTGCCATCCTATCAGCCCGTACGAACCGTGCTTATCGGATTTCAGGCCCCCCAGCCCGGTCAGCAGGTAGTTCGTCGTGGTCGGCATGGTAGTAGTGGTTTTCGTCTCAGGCTCAGCCGAAGTCAAAATGGCAGTCGTCCGCAAAGATTGGCACCACCATGTAGATCATGAACTGGTCCTACTTTCTCCTTTTGGTGTCCTTTGCCCATGTCCACCTCTATGACCCCTAGCAGTGCCGAAATAGTGGTTTCTCGCGTCTGCCGGAGCAGGTTCGCAGCTGGCCTGTGATCAAGCTATCTAATGCGTCACCATGCAGCACGCGCTCCCTCACACGACGTGAGCGTGTGTGTGACCCCCCAGGAGCAGGAATTAATACCGCCGAAGCTGGTGGGCGTGCCATGTTTGAAAGCTTCCGGCAAGACTTTGATTCAACAAAAACTGAAAAAAATAAAAAACTGCCGACTTTTACACGCACACGCTTTGCCGTGTCAGCGAGCATCTTCTATGTCAAAGTCAAGCCCGGCACATTCACACTCTTGACGAAATCAGTTTTTCAGAGCATCAACTCTTATCTCTCGCACGACAGCACAGCAGACGGACAGAGCTGTGCCACGAGAAAAACCTTATCGAAACGCAGACCGCGATTTTTGTGCTCTGACTCTTCCTAATGCAGCCGAGTTTGCCCCTCGTCACTCCCGCCAAATTTGCTTCCGCTCGTTCTCTCGGATCCCTTTTTGCACGTTGGAAGAAAGCAAGAGTTTGTTCCAAAGCAGGTTGACGCCAGCATTCGAAGACGGCAACAAATCTCGGCGGTACAAACCCCGTACTCAAGTTCTGGGCTCACCCAAATCGTACACAGTGAAACTACTGCAAAAGGGTCTTACACGAATCGATCTACATCATTTCTTTCGAGCACAGCGCGCACCTAGCGCTGGCCCGACCTGCTGTTGACTTGTTCTAGTTTTTCAATCTTAACCCCATTTTGTTCTGGTGGTTTTCAATGACAACGAACTGACATGCTGTAAAACACGTAGGTTCTGACAAAAGCCTGCAAAATATCGGTTTGGATGATATTTGAAAGTTTGAAATTCCAAGTTGTTTCTGATGACCGGATAAAAATGACATAGTTACATAGGCGAGGACTGAAAGTTCAATTTTGTTTTTACAAGAACTGTGGCGGCCCCAGCAGTACGCCAAGACTAGCGCCCACGCTGCTGTTGCTCCAGAAACGGCATGTTGTGGTGCTGGAAGTAAGGTGCATGGTGCTGATGCGGGCCAGCAACGACATTCTGGCTACTGTAGTAGTCCGTGTAGAAAGGCAGCGGCTGTTGTGAGTGTGAGGGCAGTTTCACTATGGTTTCGCATTGCAGAGGATGCGCGTTACTTACTTCGTCGTGCGTGGGCGATCTTGATCTATCTCTCATTCGCGTGCTAACAAATAACTCGAAAATTTTCATTTACCTCTGTGCCTACCGAAAGGTACTGCGGGGGTTGATCAGCCATGTAGGTAGTCGAAGGGTTCTCGGACACTTGCAGCGAACCCCTGCGCGGATCTACCCCCGTGGACTGCATACTGCCGCTCAGCGCCACGTGATGCCCCGGAAACCTGGCGGCGTCGTGCTTCTCAAACCGGTTTTGGCTGCGGCGCACCCGATATCTCGCTTCCTCGCCCACAGATGCGCGGCCGTGCCCAATGGCCGCTTGTAGCTGCGGAGCATCCTCAGGCCGCTGGCGAACTTCACAGTACTGCCGATACACCTGCGTCGTCAGCGATTTCTCGTACGAGTCATGATCCAAGAAATCGTTCGTGTTTTTGCTGCTTCCCGCGATCCCGAGCATCCGCGTGGCATGTGCCTCTTCTGGGGAACTCGGGCGCCCAGTCTGTTTGTTTATTTCATCTTTCGCTCTTCTGGCTGACTGTGCGCACTACAAATCGACGGCCAGATGGTAAAAAGTGCAAAAGAACAAAAAAAGTCCTAAGTAATAATTCCAATACGAGAACTACTGTGCTTAAGCCACGAACACGCCTCATTTTTCACTGCTGTACCTGGAAGTCTTTGTGGTAGGTGAGGGCCTTTCGCGCGGCTTCCTTCATCGCTTGATTTATCGTGTCAGAAAAAGCGTTGTCGTCGGCTTGGAAGCGCCTGTGGAGATGCTGCTGCGTGCTGCTACTACCTTGCCCGTCGTGCGGTGACAAGGCTATCAAAGACCCTGTTGAGAGTCCACCCGGACCGGCGCCCGGAGATGGGCTTTGCGGAATGATCTGGTGCTTGAAAGTCCCCGTGTTCTGTGATGTTTATGTTTTATCGGAATGATATCACTTCATCTCCTCCCTTACCCGCAGAACGTAAATCATGATGTTGACGAAAGGGACGGAATCCGAGGCTGATACTAGAGCGAACAACTGACTGTCCTCTGGCCTTAGTACTTTTGATTAAAAAAGCTCCGCTGCGAAGTACGAGAATCAAACAGCACTACTTGTATTCTGAAGGGGAAATTCTTGAGCGTCCCTGCTGGCGACGGCGAGCGCTTCGGAGCAGCACTTTTCCGCAGCGCGCCCTGGCCATTGATGTCGCGGAACATTTCCCCTGGTGAGTTCACCCGCCCTCGGAAGTCGGCCTTTGGTGACAGACTCAACTTTTCCGACGCGATGGGCCTGTGCTGCTCCGAGGCCGCTATAGCCTCCCACTCCTCTCGGCTAATCCGAGCTCTAGCTGGCTGCTCAATGCGCGGCACAGCCTGAGTGCATAGAGATTCATGTTGAACCATGACCATTGCTATTCGACCAAGAAGAAGAACGAGAGCGTACGACGAAGATCAAATTAATATGTTCATGTATTGGATCAGCCGCAAAACTTTACAGCAAGTGCAAGATTTCAGTACCGCCTGCAGGCTTTGCGGTTGCTGGAGTTCGCGCCCGCGTCTGGGGTTTCCATACAGCAGCTCCTGCACAATCATTTTCTCCTGCTCGGGTGAAAACTTGGGATCTTTTTTCCCGACCGAAGAACCGCGGGGTGGCCGCGTGGAATGTTTACCCTCTTGTCCGGATCGTTGCTGCTCCCGCAAGATTGCGAGCTCCTGCTGCAGCTTCTGCCGTTGCAACACCTCCTCCTCGAGCCTTTGCGCAAGTTTCTGGGTTTCCAAGTCTTTTTGAGAAGACGAGCCGCCCTGGGGTACGTTGTAGGTAGGCGCGTTACAGATTCATTCCGGTTGCGTTTGCAAAAATTCAATAACAGCATGTTGGCAATCCTTGTAAAGACTTTAAAATGGTACTACGTGTACGGCCATGCTAGTACACCTATGGTTACAGAATATAAAAGGCACTGCAGTATTCCAACCTTCCTGGACGATCGGGCACTGTGCGGCTTCCCACGCTGCGACGTACTGAGGCTGACGCTATTGCTGTTCGAGGCCGGGGCGGCCGGTGCTGGCGGCGGTTTTGCCCAGTCACCGATGCAGGGATCCGTACTGAACACCATCGACCCACCGAAGTTTCTGTTCGCACAGAAAGGCGACGTCTTGTCCACAAGCGAATTTCGCGCGGACAGGCTGCGGGACGCGGACGAGGAGCTACTCTGCGTATGCGCGTGAGGTGGCAGATCGTGGTTGTACTGACTTCCACTCTGGGGTTCCGTGCTGGCACGCTTGCGCGCGTAGTACGCGGCAGTGTAGCTGTTCCGTCGGCTCGATGAGGCCGTCTGTGAGTCGTACTTGTCGTGCGAATTGCGCCTGCTGCTTGAGCCGCTGCCGTGCCCCCCCTCGTCTTTATTATTCCCCACCGATGCGGACGAGTCCGCGGTACGGGCTGCGCCAGCAGGAGGACCATTCCGCTGCTGATCGTCCTCCGCCTGCCGTAAACGCTGCTGTCCGTACGGGCTGGGCGGGACTGCATAGTAGTTGCGGTTCTTTTCGGGAGAAGACTTGTTGTTTTCTCGGGAGCCCTTACTGCTGCCCGAACTATCCGCGTAGAACAACTGCACGCCACGACTCGCAGCCACGGCGGATTTCAAGGCGTTCTCCGAAACACCAGCTTTTTTCTGCTTCTGCTTCTGCTTTCCCGGGCTTTTATTTTTCTCTGGACTAGGGTGCAAGGCGGATTCATTTTTCGCCAGATTTTCCTCCTCGGCGTCAACGAAAGCCATGGGCAGCATCGCGAGTCCGTGCAGTTGTCCATCGACCACCACCGGATCATCGACGTTGTACAGTGCATCGACTTCCCGGTGCAGCGACTGCGCCACTGGCCGCGTGCCTGGCGCGAACATGTACTCCATCTGTGGTCCGCCGTTGGAAGAGGCGCCTGACATCGTGTGGCTCGGTGGTAGTTCCACCTCCGCCGGCGCCTGCAGTGCCTGGGACTCGCGAAACACGAACTGTTCTGGTCGCGACTGGTATTCGGGATTGTCGAAGGTTCCGCTCGCGTTGTTGGAACTCCTAGAGTAACTCATACTGTCCGCAGCGCCGTAGGAATTCGCCGAGAACCCCCGTTCCCGCGCAGCGCCCGCTCCTGGGTCGGCGAGCAACTGGTCTTGGGGATTGCTTGCAGAGGTCGGCGTTCTAGGCTTCTTGTTCCCCAGTTTTTGGATCACCTCGGTCACGCCCTTTTCGCTCTCCAGCTGCGGGAACCGTCCGAATTCCTGCGGGTTTTGCCCCCCGGCCGTGTCGCGATCTCGGTCGACGACCACGACGGAGGGGCCCGCTCCTTGCGTGGAAGATCCTCCTCCAGGCTTGTTCTTTCGGCCGCCCGAACGCGAGGCCGAAGAGGACGCTGACGCCGACTGCTGTACTATATTGCCAGAGCTCATTCTCTGAAAAAGCTCGTTCCCCACGTATGAAGATTCCGCGTCTTTATCATCAGTTCTTGCAGCCACGGGGTGTAATTGGCGTAGTTGCGAAGATGTTGAACTGCTCGCAGGCATGGCAAATCCCGTCGACGACTTGCTGCGATTGGGGCTCATGGGGCTCACGGTGGCGCTGGGGTTGTGTTGCAGCAGAATTGACATCGATTCGTTGTACCGCTTGCCCGTTGGCGAGTTGGGCGACAGGGACCGCTGCTCTGGAGACAACCGCGCACCGTACTCGTGTTGCTCCGCCTTGGCCTCGGGCCAGGTGCCCCGGAAATCGGTTTCGTGCTTGAACTTCAAAACGGAAAAGAAATTCTCCAGCGACTCGAGGCCCCGGGAACTCTTGATGATGACCTGCTGCCCCCGAAAATCCGCGTAGATCTTCTTGCCCTGCGCGCGGGCACCCGTGCTGATATCCATGACAAAGTACCAGTTCTGATTCAGCTTCGTGATTTGCAGGAAGGGCATGGGGTACTCCTCGAAAAACCGCGTGAGCGCGAAGTCCACCTGGTCCGGAATGTGCTGCCCCAGAATGATGTCGCACGTACGTCGGCTCTCGGATACCGAGGCGGTCGCCGACGCAGAAGAGGAGGAACCGCCAGTGCGTCTCTGTTGCAATGGTTGCGTCGCACTGCGCTGCGAAGGTGCCGAGATGACCGTTGCTGTCTTGTTCGGCGAAGCTTTCTTGCCCCCACGACCAGCGTTCTTCGTGGGTGAGGGCGTTTTCTTGTTGTCGTTTTTACTATCCCCCGCGTCTATTGTCACCTTCGCCCGCGAGCCCGAACGACTTCGACTTGAGGATCCGGTCGGCTCCTGTGTTGCCGCGGAGGCCCTAGTACCACCTTGATTTGGAGCTTTCGACGCCGCTTTTGTTTTCGGCGCAGCCACTTTCTTGCTGGCTGCTTCCTTGGTCCGCGGCGGGGTGGTCTTTTCTGCTACTTTTGCAGAAGCAGATTTTGCCAACTGGTCCGAGGAAGACCGCCGCTTTTCCGGTGATGGCGTTTTACTCTTGGGCGGACTGCTCTTTCGCCCACTCGCCTGTTCACCTCCCTTCTTCGCAGCAGGAGCTTCCGGCTTGTTTGCCTTGGACTTTGAGACCACAACATCCGAGGAAGAGCGTTCGTCCTTCTTCGCAGGTGAGGCTTTCGCCTTCTTTCCCGGGGGCGGTTGCCGCGCTGCTGGGGTCGTACTACTACTTTTGTCGTCACTTGACCGGTCCCGTTTCTTCTTCCGCGCAGAGCTATCCCGCGGCTCCTCGGTCGCAGAGGCCGAGGCAGACGCGGCACTGGACCTCAGATTTGACGGCGATTTTTTTCGGGACGAGGTCGTCACACTCGGCTGCGACTTCGGCCCAACGTCTGCTCCGCTTTGCACCTGCGATCGCCGGACGTGCGCCTGGTCTTCCGGCAAAACAGAACCCTTGTGATACAGCGTCCACTGCGTATGGTCCAACACAACTTCCGAAGGCGAGTTTTTTCGGCTGTCCACCGAGCGCGGTTGCTTTGCCTTCTCATTGGTCCAATACTCGGTGCTCCGCGGTTGACTAACGTGCATCATACTCGCGCCCGGGATGTACGGCGGGTCGGTGGTCGCACCCATTTTTTCCCCCGCGGCGCTGAGGTCACTGCTTGTCCGGGGTCGTCGCTTCGGCGAATAGTCGAAAAATCCGCTGGTACCACCCCGTGAAATCTTTCTCGTTCCCTCCTCCTCCGCGGGCAGCGGAGCCACCCCCGGATAGGCGGGGCTTTCGGGCGAACTGGCCCGAGAAACGTAGTCATTGACGATGCAACGCTCGAGATCATGCTCTGGCGAAAACACATTGTGGTGCGTAGAGTGCGCATGGTACACCTTGCCCTCGTTCGTCACAAAAGGCGGCGACACGATTTTCTTGCTTTTCCGCTGTGGTTGCACTACCAGATTCGGACTGGCTCGCGATGAGGTCGTACTCTTCATCAAGTTGCTTGTGCTTTTCGCAAGCGTTTCTAGGTCCGCCTTCTGGTTCACCTCCTCCAAACGCACCAGTAAATCGTCGACCACCTCGGGTGTAGCGTCCTCGAAGACTTCCGCCTCTGACTGCGAACTGGCGGCCGGTCGCGGATCTGCGGAGTACAGAAACGGCCCAGTCGCAGCCACGGCAGAACTACCCGCGAGCGTTCCACGACCCTGCTGGCGCAACAGAACAAGATCTGACTCAGACGATTTCTGACGCTCCTCCAACTCCATCGGCTGCGGAGGAACCTCGACGTCCCCCTGCTGCTGCTGCTGTGTGGAAGTCGTGTTCTTCTCTACCCCTGCTGCCGTCCCCTTGATCATGACATCGTCCACATCCTCGTCCTCCGGCGAGCGGCCCTCTGCAAAAGTGATTTCGTCCTCGTTGCGAAATGTGACTTTCAATTCCGCGGGTGGAGAGATTTCGAACGACACCTCGCGGTCGCTGTTCGGCGAATGCTTTTTCCGTCCGCCGCTCTCCGGACTCGCGGCCGCCTGCACCACGTGCGTGGCCACGCCGCTGCTCGACAGGGGCGGCGACGCCTGTATGTCTTCGTCTTCCGCTGCGGACATTTGCTCGGGGAAGACCGCAAAGTAGGAGCTTTTGCTGTTGTTTTCCTCCGTAGCGGAGGAACTACTATCCACTTCATTCGCCGCGGAAGAGGATGCGTCTTCGACCGACATCATTTCCGGGTAAACCGCGCGCACCTCGGACTCTGACTGCTCCTCCTTGCTGTCCTCCTCGATGTTGGCGAAGATCCCCAGCTCGTTCAGCCCCGTTCGCGAGCTTCCGCCAGATCCCCCATAGTTCTGGAAGGACGCCAGGCCCCCCTTCAGCCGGTTGTAGGTCAGCAGCGCGTCCTGGTCATAGCACTCGTATTCGTGGTCCCGCGTCAGACTCTTGTAGTTCGACTCCAGCTCCGGGTAGTGGTCTTTCACCAAGGACGGCGTGCTCTCGAAGGGGTGCGGCATGTTCTCGCCAGAAGAGATTTTTATAGCCTGAAGCAGAAGCGTCCCGTCTTCCGCTTGCACCAGTTCCTGCAGCTGCTGCCCGGTTGTACCTGTGTTGAAATCAAGTCCTGCAGTTGTAGCTCCACCGTCGAGCGGCGGATAGTGCAGGAAATCATCGGGAATCAGTTGCGGCAACGCGTTAGTAATATCGAACTGCAGGTCGTTGAGGAAGTTCTCTCCGTCCTGCATGAAGTTCTGCATTTCCAGGTCCAGCAGATTTTCATCGCTCGAGTCCCGCTCGAGATCCAGTTCGTTCAAACCGGTGCGGGAGCCTCGAAGAAGGTCCGGGTCCCCCGACAGGAAACGTTGTTCCGGGCCTCCCGCACAGGAAAATTGTAGGCCTCTCTGAGCCGCGGAAAGTTTCGGGCCGAGAGGCCAGCTAAGGTGCATCCGGGACCCTTGCATGAGAAACGGCAGGCCCCCCGGGGCGTGGGAAAGTTCAAGGCGAAGGCGAACCAGAGCCCAGGGCGCAGTATTTCTCTCTCTTGCCAGGAGCTCGACAACCCCAGGGCCGCCCCCCCGGCGTGCCAGTCCCTGCCTCCCGAAGGTGAAGAAAACTCTGGAGCCCCTGCCTCCCCGGCGCAAAGGCTGTAGACGTGCCCAACCCCTGTCTGCGGCAAAGTTGCGCGCTCCGAAACCGAATCCAAAACGCCTCGGCGAGCCCGGGCGCAGAAAAATTCTGAAGAGCCCGCGCCGCGCAGGAGGTGTAGGTGAGCTCGCGCCAGTCGGCACGCGATGGCGAAAGCTCCGCGCCAGCCAGGAAATAAAAACAACTGCGACTTCCCCGAAAGGGAAGCAACGGACCTTCCGCAGGAAAAGATCCGCCAGAGCTTCCGAGACCGAGAAGTACAGGGCTGCCGAAGGTAAATAAGCTTCGGAGCCTCCGAAGGTCAAAGCTCCGGTGCTTCCGAAGGTAAAAACTCCGGAACTCCCGAAGGCGAAGGTGCCGAAGTGGAATCCTCGAGACACCTGCGCAGGAAGGCGAAGTGGAAGTGGAATCGCGAGAGATATGGTTCGTGATCTTCCGAGAGTGAGAAGGCGGAACGAGCATGGAACTCCGAGAGGGACGGACCTTCCGAGGGAAGGCGAAATGCAAAGGGAATCCCCCGAGACATACACCTTCCGAAGGAAGGACGCACAATGAAATGGAATCCCGGGAACTTCCGTCTAACGTTATTCGCCACGCCTCTATCGACCAGACATAGAAAACAAAGCCAGCAACCCCTGTGATAAACGTGGCCGCGTTTGAAACAAACAGAGCGAAGAACTTTAGGCACGAGGGTATGGCAGTCACAAAGCCTAGAAAGAGCGCCAGACTCTTCCAAGGTGAGGCAATACGAGGAGGAGGGCTGACGAGGATGAAGCTGTAATGGTATATTTGATTCCATTCAACTTGATTCCAGGAAGTAACTTGATTCCATGTAACGGGATTCCAGGTTTAACTTGATTCCAATTAACTTGATTCCAGGTTTAACTTGATTCCAAGTAACTTGATTCCATGATCTTAACTTGATTCCTTGTTTTACCATTTTCATCGCTCGAGTCCCGCTCGAGATCCAGTTCGTTCAAACCGGTGCGGGAGCCGGCGCTATTTGGTCGTTGAAAATTTCCATATTTGTGCGCATATTTGCAAAATGTAGAGGACTCGCAGCAGCAGCTTTTGGCAGCTGACCGGCGGTCTGCCAGCCTTCCTTCTCGTGCTTCCTTTTGCCGCTCCACTGAAAGTGCGGGAAAGGGCATCAGAAGGTGTCGTTGTAAGCCATTTTCTGCATTTTGCTATGATGGAAATTCCCAGCTCGGTTTTCCGCACTGGCCAAAGGAAAGTGCCGAAGACCGAGGCCTTCCGGGAAGCCAAAGGGAGGGGGGAGTGGGGCTGCAGGCGAGGCCAGGAGCAGCGCTCTGACTTTCGTGTGGAGCCGCCTGCCGTGCGGCGTCCCTGTGTTGCGCACCTTCTACACCCGAACGAAGCCTGGGCGCGAGGGTGCGCCCAGGCTTCGTCTGGATATGTCTCCGCGCGCGTAGGAGTTGGCGAGGCGACCAGCCATCCGCCAACTCCTCGGGTTTGGAAGTCAGACGGTTTGGGGAGTTGAAAGTATTGACGCTCGCCATTTTGCAATGATGGAAATTCCCCGCTCGGGTTTGGGTGAGAGGCAAGCTACAATTTGCAATGATGGAAATTCCCCGCTCGGGTTTGGGTGAGAGGCAAGCTACAATTTGCAATGATGGAAATTCCCCGCTCGGGTTTGGGTGAAACACAAATTGGGATTTTGCAATGATGGAAATTTCCCGCTCGCGTTTCACCTTCGCCAAGCTCACCCAATGCGAAAACGCATACCCCAAAGCAATACCCCAACGCGATACCCCAAAGCAATACCCCGTACGAATACCCCCATCAATACCCCCCGGGATTTTTGGACTCAGCTCGGTGCACAACGATGACGAATACCCCCAGCAAGTACCCCCTTCAAGGGGTATTTGTTTGGGGTATTGGTCTTCATGCGACATCTTTATGCGAACCCAAGATGCCTGACAGTATTTCCCGATCGCACCGGAACCGTGGGCGGGTGCTTTGCGACCTGGCTGAAGTACGGCCAAGAGTTTCTGGAGCAGCGGGACATGCTCAGCGAAATACTGCTACTAGGCATGTTGCGCGGTGGGCTAAAGCTCGGTGGGGGTGCTTTCCTCGGATTTGCTGCGCTTTTTGGGTGCATGCGCGCTGGCCGGGAGGCCACCTGGAGGCTTTTCACGAATGGCCCCCGGCTTTGGCGAATGCTGACGGCCTGCTTTTCCGCATCCTAAAATTGCAAGAAGACGCGCGGCTGTGGTGCAGCCGCATATCCGTTCGGCTGACCCTTCGCCAAAGGGGTAGCGCTAGGATGTATTCGCTATCAACTAACTGCGCCAGCGGTGCCAGAGAATGAGCCTCCGGCTTCCGCTCTCCTCCCCAGCAACTCGCTGACCCGAAAACGTCGGGCGCGGGCGTGAAAAATGAACATGGCAGGCCCGGTAGCGGGTTGCCTTTCGCTACATTTTGCAAATATGCGGGTAGATATGGATATTTCCAAGGATTAAGAGATCCAGTTCGTTCAAACCGGTGCGGGAGCCTGCGCTGCCGTTCCGCCCGCCGGCCAGCCGCTTGTAGGTCAGGAGTGCCGCCTCGTCGTACAAAAACTGGTTGCACTCGATAGTATCGTACTTCTTGGACAGCACGGGGTACTGATCGCTGCTCAGCGTGTTTTTCATCAGGAGCTCCGATAGCGTGTTTTTCTCGAGTATTTCCTCCTGTTGTAGTTCCGGGGCACCACCGTCGTCACCAACAAGTAGCCCGGTCAGCGCATCTTCACCAGTCGGCTCCTCCGGAGACGCCATCGCGACGACGTCATCTGCCTCCAACACGGCGGGGGCCGTAGTTTTTGCAAAAGTTCCACCCTGGTCGTGCTTTTTCAGCGGAGAAGGCACGTCAAGGTCGTGCAGCAACTTCGTCGGCGACGTGAACTCCGGCATCTGCTCCGCGACGGCTTTGTCGATCGGCTCGCCTTGGCGCACTCGGTCACGGACGTACGCCTTCAACGCATGCTCCGTTCGAAAGGAGCTTGGACTGCCACTGCCTTCTCTCCTCTTCACCAAGGCGGCGCTGCAGCAAACGACAGTTTTTGGATCTAAAACTTCAGTTCACTCTTTTCCTACGCGCTTGTTTCTACGAAGTCGAAGAAATTAGAGGTATATCTTTCTATTTCTACATAGTCGCATCACGATCACCTTTCAGTTTCAAGAACAATGCAACCGCGGCAAAAAATACCGTTGCGCCTGGTAGTAGTATTCGTTTGCCTTCTCGTGTTTTTGCCGAGTCCCTGGTGACATGTCTTGCTCATACTCGACGAAGATACGGGTCGGCTTTACAACCGGAGGGGCGCCATGGTGTTTCTTGCCCCGACCGCTGCTTTGCACACTCGAAAATGAACCAGCTGGCGGTCCTGCCGCGACGGGCGCGTCTTGGTACTCTTCCAAAGCATGGTGGACGAGCCACTCGATCTGGAATACACGCAGAATTTCACGAATGACCGCTGGAGCAGGCTTGGCCACAGCTGCCGCGTAATCCCGCAGGATCTTCTCTAAACAGGCCTTGCTCCTGGTCGTGTCCGCCCCGTGGTCCATCGATCTCGGTCCACCTGTCTGCGCGTCCGCTACAGCACCAGCGTCATTCGAGTGCAGCCCGATCAATGCCTTCACATTGGACTCGATGCCAGCGGCCACGGCGGCCGGCTCGTCGACCGCCAGGTTCGGCCACTGCAGTTGCGGTGCGTGTTTCGCCTTGCTCTCGGCGGCCAGGGCGTTTTCCAGCATGTCCTCACTGGGTTCCTGCGGCGCCTCCTCGGCAGGACAACTCGCCCCGTCGTCGTCAAATGGCGTCGCCGGTGGGGGCTCCCGCATTTCGGAAAGCGTCGGGGAGCCGTTCTGCAGTGGCTTGGTGTCTTCGCGCGACGCCGATCGCTTGCGCGCATGCGTTGCACGAGTACCACCGAGCGCGCCCGGGAGGAGGTCCAGCTGCGTGCACGAAGAGGACGCCGAGGAAGAAAAAGAGTGCTCCTCACCAGAGCAGGCACTGTGGTTCTGCACGGCCGGAACCGCCACGGGCACGCCTGGCCGCAGCGGCGAGGGTCGAAGAGGCGACCGTGCCGCATCCAGAGGCAGGATGGGGGAGACCGCGTTGAGCGGGGCTCGCATCCATTGCGCGCCGCCGGCAGATGTTGCAGAAGTAACGCCGCTCGCATTCAGACCCACCCTCCATGGTAACGGGGGCGACATAAAGCCGCCCGAGGACGATGAAACGCCGGGCCCGGGCGAGCGCGCCGCCCCGACGGCTCCGGAAGAAACCGCGGGTGCACGCACCGGTGCACTTTTGGCAGCTGCGTTGGAGGCTCTCGACGCGGATAAGGACGAACTTCTCCCCGTCGGTTCGAAAGCTCCTGGTGCTGCAGTCTCAGTAGCAACTACATCCTCGCCAGCGTTGAGATCCGGAGTTGGCTCCACGCTCTCGCCGTACGTGGTCGGCACATGTTGCTCTGTGGCGAGCAGCTCCGGATTCTCGATCGTGACGTCCCCCGGATGCTGCACTCCGCTTCTCGCGCTGTGATGACTCTCCTTGCTCTCGTTCAGCCGATCCACCGCCTTGGCAATGCTGTTGTTGTGACTCAGCAGCGAGAGGCTCTCGCGGACTTTTTCTCCGAGCCGCGAAACTTCGGAGTTCCAGTCATCCGTCGGCATTTGCAGCAAGTGCGACGGAGCTCCGTGCTCAAGAGCAGCCGAGGACGCACTGAGCGCCGTAGCGTTAACGGACGAGGAGTGCTCCACCAGGTGCAAATGGCCATTACCTGGGCCGTTGCTGCTGCTCCCGTCGCCGGCTTGCACGTTGCCGTGATCCGTCGTAGAAATGTTTGCCGGACTGTCGACGCTGAGACAGCTTTTCTTGCTCGAAGACAGCAACGATCGCTTGCTACTTCCCCCGAACAAATTGTTTCCGATCGGCGCCACGGGACCGCCGGAATTCGACCCTGCGCCCGGAGAGGGACTGGGGTTGGTAGCAGAACACGAATTCGAGCTGGAGTTGATCATGGAGTGGAGGCCTTCCAGCTGCAGCTGCTGCAAAAGGGTTTGGTTCATTCCCTCACTCGGACTCGGAGACGATCCCAACGGACTGCCCTTCGGACTGCCGCTGCTCAGGCGGATGATGCTGGAATAGGGATTCTGAAAAATGTTCACCCCCGGGGGCCGCACCACGGGTCGAGTGGCGCTGCCGTCCGGCGAAGCCGGACGCTGCTTGCTGCTGCTGCTTCCCCCTGCTCCCTTCGTGCCTGAGCCCGCCGCCGAGGGGCCCTGATGTTGCGGTGGTGGTGAGGAAACAACTGCTGTTGATGATCCCATCACCCCTCCAAGCGCACCGAGCAAATACTGGGCCGGCGCCAGCGACAGAGGCGGGCTGGCTGCCTTGGTCTCCACCGCTTTGGTGTTCTGCTGCACGGCCGCCTGCTGCGCGGCTTTCTCCGACGTGCTGGTGTGGTACTGCGCCAGCCTCCCCCGCGCAGACGCCACGACATCCAACGTCCCGACAACCGCCAAGAGCACCTTGACGGAGGACGGTGAGCTTCCGGAGACGCCGATGCCCAGGACGCCCTGGGCCGTCTCGAAAAACGGGTGGTCGCCGAGCGCCTCCGCAAAGCGCGTACTGTGCACTTCCTCGGGTTCCACACTGTCCACCGCGAGTTTGTGCACCACCACGTCGAGGGCCGTGGCACTGCGCGAGGCCTTCGCGCTAGACAGTACCAGGTTGCGCAGCAGCTCCACATGCGTGGCGAGCAGCTCGTTCTCGCACTCCTCCGCACTCCGGTCCTCTTCCAACAAGCGCTGCAGCGTCAGACTCAACTCGTCCGACCAAAGCTTCTCGGACCGCCCGCTCCGCACGCGCTCGCAAAACACGACGGCCTAAAGATCCGATGAGTGACCAGATTAGAAGTACTACTAGAGTATCTAGAGTATGGGCATCTTCAATATCTTTTCCCCGCACGAGCACGCGGCACAAAGAACTTTCGGATGAAACAAACGTAATTCCTGTACAACCGCCAAAGTAGCTCCTTGCACCTTGCCGCAGCTCTTTCATCTTTTTCATGTATACAAACTGCTAACTCACAGTTAACATCACAATGATCGAACTCAAAAACGCACCTGATCCCACAGCGTCGCGTCCGAGTAGTTGTCGGATTCCTCAAAGCTTACTGCGTACTCGGAGCTTTCGTCCGTGACCGCACTCCGCTTGGATCCAGACCGACTGCCTCCTGCGCCCACCGCCTTGCCATGTGCACCGCCTGCCTGTCCTCCATGAAGATGGTGTTGCCTAGTATTCGAGGGCGGAGAGGAGGTAGGTGCCCCGGCCCCCTCTTCCTGGCCTGCAGTCTGCGTGGCTCTTTTGTGGCGCACAATGATGTCGTTGGGGGGATCTACGCGTCGAACGATCCGATCCAGATTGTCGTACGTTTCCCGGGACGGATCCATTCCGGCCTGCGTGAGCAGGATCTTTCCGGCCTCCTGGCGGCTCTTCTCGATGACTTTTTTCTTGTTCAGCGCGTAGCGAAATTTGAACTCCTGGTCGGGCCGCCTGGGCTTGGAACTACTCGCCGCCCCCTCGCTCGGCAGGGAACTGCCGCTGGCGCTGGTCCCCCGTGCACCGGCAAACAGATGCCGCTTCTGACTTCCCCCGCCGCCGGTTGCCGAGCCTGAGCTTCGCTCGCCGTTCGACGTCCGGTGGTCCCTAGTAGTGCTATTGTCCTGCTGAGAGTTGATGTCATCCAGGGTGCGCGGCGACCCCGACCCGGGCGTGAAGGGGCTCGTTTCGGTGGTGCTCCCCACCGCCTCACTGCTCACCAACGAGCTCCGGCTGTTCTGGAACCCTGCGCGCTTCCCGGCCTTCAAGTTTTTCCCGCCGGCAGCGGCGTTGATCGCCACGGTGGTTCGGGCGGGGGCGTGCTCGATGACGAAGGAAAGGTCCTCCGCCGTCCGGGCTGACGTAGCCTGCTCTCCTTCCGCCGCCGAGCGGGGACCCGGCCTGCTCGAGGTTGTTGTTCCGGCAGCCTGTGGCGCGGCTCTGGCAGGACTTGCATCGTAAGGCGCAACGAAGGATGCCTCGAGCTTCGGAACGCGATCGGAGTCCTTCTTGGTGCTTTGCGAGCTTGCGCTGCGCCGCAGAAACTTCCCCAAAAAGCCCATTTTGTCCCGATCTTTCTAACCATAGATGAACCTATATCCGACCGCTCCTCCGATGACTCTCTCACGCCTATGAAGATGGATTTTCCATTTCTTTGCATGAGGCTACCGCTTGAACAAACTCTCACTTTATCATCTCTCCTAACGACTCGCGTGGAGCGAAAAAAGGACGACCTACGCGCAAACATCAACTCGTCACTCTGGTGCTTTTCAACATACCCATTAAGTCCTCCACGACGACGGAATCATTTCCGAGTCTCATCCAATCGAACTGCGAGTTACTCCCCTCGCATTTTCACCTGACACTCGAATGCCATCGAGCCCAGCGAGCGATTTTAGTCTTTTTAGATTGGTGTAAAAATCCAGTTCCCAACTACAAACCTCGTATGTACAGTTTTATTCCCAAACCAACGCCAAAGTAAAGTACAAGCGCCGATTAGCAAGTTTAAAAGCTGCAACTGGTTGTGAAGTTTTGATGCTCACAGAAAGGATTGTGAGCAGGGTCGTGACTGCAGCTTGCTATACTGTCTAGCGTCGATCGAGCAATTCGTTATTTGTGTCTTTCGGACGCATGCACATCGAAATCAGAATCGAATTTGATGTTGAAGCTCACGTCCGCTTGAGGGTCGCTGGCAGATACAAGCATAGATACCGGAAAAGTTTGCCTTGCGAGGCATTTGCGTATAAAGGTAACAAACAGTAACTGGTGACAAAGGTAACAACTTCAAAAAGTCGACTGAAAGTGAAAGAAGCTTCTTCGTTCTTCAACTAACTTCGTGCAATGGTGTAATCAAGATACTTCATGTTCGTTTTCGTTTTCCCCTGGAAATGAAAATATAAAAATGTGGTTTGCGGGTGGGTCATGCGTGAAAATGTTCCTTCTGGATTCGTTTTGGATTGCTGTCTTGATGTCGTACGGCCTTGCATGCACCCGTTGCCTAGTACGGACCAGCCCTCATGCCGCCTGAAATGCAAATTTTTTTTTCAATTACATCATGAATTTCAAAATTGGGCATCACTGGACTGTAATATTAAATCCTGCTTCATCATACATGTTATTGTCTCACTATACTATTTTTCATAGATACTTCGACGAGCACTAATTATGGAATCTCTCTCGAAAAATGTTCAAAAGCTCTGGTGTTTTTCCACTTCTACAGAATTGCAATAGCTAGAGACTTGCCGTTGGCCTACCTTCACACAACAACGGACTCAGTTGTGCGAAAGAGGAACGACACGAAACGAAACGACCGCGGCGAAGAGATCTGAGCGCTGGCGCTTTGGTCTGTAGCTTCTAAAAAGCAGACGGCTGCCGGTGCGCCTCTGTGGCGGGAAATGGACCTAGGTGCGGCCTGGTCCGTCAGCTGCGTCAATCAAGCCCGGCATGGGCGACCGGGTCCCGGAGAGTCCAGAAACTGAACCTGCCCTCGTTGGCCTAGCGCGTCTGTGGCAGAGGACATGCGTCCAAACAGAAACGCTATCCAACGCTGTGTGGGCTAGCATACGCATACCGCAAGCAGGAGCGGACTCATGAGGGTGGTCCTCGTCGATGTGCCTGATTTTTACAGTTTTTTTTTGTTTGTTTCGAAGTCAACACGATACACCATGAGATGCATAGCAACATTCAAAAACCGACTGAGTGCAGGTACATTACCAAAGTGAATACATAAACGGAAGTGGTCTGTGATGGACTATCATACATAAAATACATACTCGCACAACAGCATACAGTACCCCGCTCCAACAACATCAACAAACTCGATGCTTATTTGCCTTTCCTTTTGCGATCTGTCTGATGCTGAAACTGCTTGATGTTGATGATGATGCGGATACAAACGGCCCTCGGTGAGACGAGCCATAAACGTCCACACAGCTTCTCCCATACTGAAGACCGCGTCATGCTTCTACTTTCCATCATCCTTTTACCGTTCGTTTCTACTACTTTTCGAATCCTGCCAAGACACACTACTTTCTTAGGTGGGTTCCATGTTCTGCCATGCACTTGCACTTCCTTGTAGAAGACTATGCCCATCTTCACTATTCGTCCTGGTCGACGTGCGAGGCTACTCATTAGAAGGATCATCGGTACGTCTATGTCAATCAATCCAGCTTCATGTTTCTAGTTGTTTGTTCCCAATTTGTTCCGCTTCCAAACTCCCCGACATACAGAGTTTGCATAGCCTGCGATACAACAGCTTCTTCCTGCAAAGCTTCGTCCTCCCTTTTGATCTTCAATGGTGTTCTTTCATGATGTTCTTTCATGTGCTCGCTTCTTGCCGTCATACCCATCAAATACTTGTTGCGCTCACTGCGACGTCGTGCCATGTTGCTGTACCATCGCGGATGCAAAAGTCCGTGCATCTGCATACTGAACCAAACTGTCGCATGAACAACTGCAGACGGGCTCATACTCGGATGAAACATCTTGTTTTCTTTTCTGTAGAAGTGGAATATTAAACACCGGTATGTTATTAATTACCGCTGTAGCGATTGCATAGTATCGCAGGGATCAGGAAGTTTTTTTGGAAACGCATCATACATATGAATGGATGCATATTTTAAATAAGCTGGCAGTGACTGTTATTAATTTAAATAAAAGTTGATCTTTTACTTTTTCTGGATTTCCTCTCCGTCTTCTCGTGCTTTATGCAGATGTAAATTGAACGTACCTGGAGTCCCCGGCTGCGTTCCGTACGCCGCGTAAGCAGCCGCTGCTTGCTGCTGGTCGGCAAAGCTTGCGAATCCCATCTGTGGTGCGGCCATCATGCCACTGGCCATGTCCAGTCCTCCATTTTGCATCTGCATGCCGCCCGCCTGGTTGTAGGAGTTCGGATCCACGTAGTAATTGTCCTGCCCGCCAAAGTTCCCGCCACCATTATCGTAGTTGTTTCGGTTGTTCTTGCCCCAGCTGTTGTGATTTTATTTGTGTAGTTTTATATATTGCAATAGAATTCTGCTTGATTTTTGTGAGCATGTCTACTTAGTACACCGAGTGAGAACAATGAAAAGCACATAGTCCTAACAAGATGCACCTTGAAAATAATGGAAAAATGTGCGTATAGTCGTAGTGTCTTGCCCATGACAAAAATCGAATTCTATCAATACCCGCCGCCGCCTTTGTTGTTATTGTATTTGCCCTTGCCGCCCTTGCCCTTTCCCTTGCCGCCACCCTTGTTGTTGTTTCCCCAATTGTTGTTGCCCCAGTTGTTGTTCCCGCCCCAGTTGTCGTTTCCCCAGCCGCCGCCGCCGCCGCCCTTGTTTTTGCCCTTGTTGGCGTTCTTTCCACCTTGCGCGTAGGCCGCTCCCGCGGTGGGCTTGCAGTCGAACCACTTTCCGTCGATCTGGTTGTTCTCCTTGTTCATGACCGCTTTGTCGACGAACATCTTGTCGGAGAACGTCACATACCCGAAGCACCGGGACATACCCTTGGAGGGATCGAACATCACCCGCGCCTCCATCAGATTCGGGTCGATCTGCCGGAAAAACTCGTCCAACTTGGTCTGTGAAAGAAGTAAGACAATCCGCATAAAAAAATTTTGACTTTGATGTATCAGAACTACGGTACAAAATACATCTTGCACATGCACTGGATGAACAAACTGATGATTCAACATGAAAGGGAATAACAACATCACAAGAACTGTGCCCTGCTCCTGCACCTTATCCATGTATCAGTGTAATAGACTAGTATAATACCGAGTCGACGGTCTCTGCCAGACCTCCGCAGAAGATTTTGCGCTGCTCGATGTCCGCCTTGCCCTCGTTGGAAGACTTGTGTTCGTCGATGCGTTTCACCTCGCAGGCCTTCCCGTCGATATCCACGTGTCGGGTGATGCAGGCCGCCTCTAGTTCCTCCTCCGTTGAGAATATCAAATGCAAATATGTCTGGGTCTGGAAGGTTCTGAGACTTGTCACGCACGTTTTGCATGCGCCATGATGTCTGTGATGCGTGCCATAGCGTCACAGAATTTTCGAGGGCAAATGCCCTCTCCGCGTAGACGAAATGGCGTTCCCTTTGCTGCTCATGCAATACAGATTTTTTCAGATGAATCCAAAGACAGCAACACAGGTTCCAAGCTTCCAGACCCAGACATATTTGCAATGCATAGAGAAAACGACGAACCCAAAACCGCGCGTGCGCCGGTGCCCGGTGTACTGATCGATGGATCTGGTAGAGGTTTTTTTGTAGTGTATGAACTTGTTCGAGAGCAATCAAATTCAACCTTCTTTATCGCCTTTCATTGATTTTTTCAATTACTTATTTCATTTCCGCAAAAGTTCTTGTACCCAAGCTATTAATCTACGAAAATTATGAGAAAATATTAAGAGGTGATATCAAGTACTCCATGACGTTGCAGTCGATGACATTGCCAAACTGCGTGAAGAAGGAGCGCAGCGACTCATTGGTGGTGTGCGGGCCGAGGCCACCCACGAACACCTTCTTCGTGTTGTCGTGCTGCGAGGTTGCGGTTCCTGGGGCCCCCATTCCGTAGTTGGGGCTTTTGCCGTTTTTGCCTTTGCGTTTACCTCCTCCCTTCTGTCCTCCGTAGTTGTTATCCGAGAACGGATTTGAAGGCTCCATTCAGGGGTTGCAAAAAGTTGTACGGGGACAAAGAACTACTGTTATTTTCTTTTGCGCTCCTAGAGGCGGAACTGGTGTCGAACTGACGCAAATGGGATAGATGTAGTAGATATACTCTACTAGTTGTTCTGTCCTACTTCTATCTTGGAATGAAACCAACTACTGTATTTACTTTATCCCGCAGTAGGTGCTGTTTACAATTGCAGAGCAAAAAAACTTTGGTATTGATTGGAAGGATGAGGATCTTTTTCTGTAGCAAGTAGGTCTCTTTCCAGGGGGACGCGAGATCTAACTTTGCAATTTGAATTTCCTGCTCAGAAGTTTTTTTCCGTGTCAGCTAAAAATGCAGATCGTCAACTTTCATCGCCCTTTTGCATGCAACGAATGGCTTTTTTGCATCTGACTTTGTGCAATGCTTTAACGTAAAAACCGCCTACTTCTATATGATATTCGCAATTCTTGAACGCGCAATAGTACGACTGGGTTCACGCTGATATAATTTTGTGATTCTACGGTATGGAACTTCGGGCTTCTAGTCTTGTACGATGATGATCCTCGTTGGCACGTTGACCATTCTACCATTGACCTGTTTGCACGAGAGACGCTACGACTGATCTATATGCATGCATTTATAATCGCCTCTAGTACGTAGTGCTTTCTGGGCGTTTCTTTTGATTTCTGTATTATGCTGACTCTTTACTTACTACAGATTGTGAGTCTCAGAACTACGGCGCGACTCATCGTGGGTCAACAGCTGACCACAGTCCTCAGCAAAAGAACCAAGAAGTTGTAAGTACTTCTTACGAGGCTCAACTTCGTTCCATTTTCTTCAAAAACTAGAAATTCGTAAAGCTAACATTGTGCGCAAAGCACAGCAAAAATGCCAGCGCATGGCTGTGTGGAGCGAAAGGCAGCCCCTTTCTTCAGATGAGCAGCTTCCTTGTAAAAGCTGTCGAGAACACGCACGTGGTCAAGGTCAACCAGGGAACACCCTGATTTGCACCGGACTCTCTGCAACGTCGATGACTCCATGCCCACGCTGGATGAAGGCAGATTGTTCACGTTCTACTACTAGGCAATCATTCTTACCGTTTCTTCGAAGTTGATTAATACAATCGGCACAGGCACAGATGGTGCGTGCACTACTTCACGATCACAAGTACTTCACTCGATGAAAAAGAAAAGTGCTACTTCAGTACTAGCTCACAGCAGGATTGATTGGGTTCTTTCGGGGTAAGGCGCAGAACATCTTTGGTCCTTGCAAAATCAAAGGATAGTTCGGGTCGAGAAAAAACGAGCGCAGCGTCCGGGTGGAGCAGGTAAATTAATATTCACCGTACGTGTTCGTCGTGTTGCACTCCCCGCTCGGTCCGTCGCGTAATGAGGATAAAAATGGATCATCAAAATCTGGTGGTTTATTGAAAAAGTCACGCTACGTAGTTCTTTGTACTTGGATCGAAAAACAAACAGTTCCTCAACCAACCTGGTTGATCACAGCTCGTCATGCCCGAAGTTGGTCGAGTCGTCCGCTTCCTTCGCAAAGTTGTCGTCAATCTGGGCGGCTTTGCCTTTCTTCTTCTTGGCAGCAGTCTTCTTCACTTTGTCCGCGGCGCCCATCAAGTTGCCCTATCCGGAGTAAAAACGTCCCCACACCAGAATCAAGATGGGAAATCTGCTAGACAAATCCACAAGGCTTGGCTGTTGCGCATGAGAAGTTTGGCTTCGTAGTGTAATTCTGTTTAGCTAGTTCATCAGCATCACAACTCCAGCACATCATGCTGATTGGAGCATAACAAATTCCGAAATACGAATAGAAAGTGCTTCTCATGGGGCTTCGCATGAGAAACATCTTCAGCATGCAGAATTGCATTACAGCTATAGGGTGGGGACGTTTTTACAAGTGATATGCCCCCGAAGCCCTTCATCATGTCCCCAAGCCCGTCCATACCGCCCATAGACTCCATCATCTTGTTAATCCCGTCCACCCCACCGATGCCGTCAATCGTCTTATGGCTTGCTCAGATACTTGTACAATCACAAGTGGTACAACAGAGTCTGCTGGATTTCTTTGTCGTAATATGGTAGCTTTTTTACACCTCAAGCCATAAGAAAGTAGTAGTCGTCCACTTTACGACCAATTATGCCTGGGAGTATCATCATGATGAGCAGCATGGGTAACAAACAGAGCCATGCGCCTTTCCCAATACAAGTTTCGCCGGATTCCGGCGGGGTTGGGGGTTCGTGACCTTGGCATGCGCATGCCTGCGAGAGGAGGCCAGACCCGGATCATGATCGCGATCTTCTTGCATCACATCAAATCAGCGCTTTTCTTTGTAAACCAGGTTGAGATTGTACTATCACCTCCTGAGCGGGCCATACATCTTCTTGACGCCCTCTTCGCCACCTATACCCTCAATCAGGTCGCCGATACCGCCCTCGCCGCCCAAGCTCTCCATCAAACCTCCCAGGAGGTCATCGAAGCCGCCGCCACCCCCGCCGCTTTTCTTCTTCTTTTTCCCCGCCTTGCCCTTTTTTTTGTCGCCGGCCTTCGCGCTGCTCTTCGTGTCCTTCGACTTTGCCGTCGTGGAAGTAGAAGCGGCGTCACCCTCGGCCGCCTTTCGCTTCTTTTCGCCACTCATGAACTTCGCGACGGCCTGAATGATTTCCGGGTCCTTGACGAGCTTCAGGTAGCACTTCTTGTCCGTGGGGTTGCACGCAACCACCTTCTTCATCAGGGCGGGATTCTCCATAATCACCTTCTGCATGTCCTTGTTCTTGATCAGAATCTGAGTGAAGTTTGAATTTCGTGTGTCGATAATGATTGTTTGAATAGTGCGAAAATTGTCTTTTTGGTTCTCAGCTTAGAGCAACACCAAAAACGACCCATGTTTATTATATTGCGCATTCCTTTTATTATTGTTTTCCTAAAAAGTGCTACACCTCCTTGATCTTTTCTGGTGTGAGTTCCGGTTCTGGTTCTTCGGTAGTATCTTCTTCCACCACGATTGGCGGCTCCTCTTCGAGGGCTTTGTTCCAAGTTCGCGTGATTTCTTTCATCTCCGCGGGGTTCTGCAGCAACAGCTGCGAGAACTTTTTCAGTGCTTCCACACCCATCACTTCTGAGGACAGCAGCGGGACCTGGTGGAGAAGCAATGAAGATGAACTAGAAGGACTTACGTATAATTCTCGGAGGTAAAAAGTGTTTGCTGCCGTGGAAAAAACAAACTACGAGCAAAGAACAGGCTGATCTATCAACAACTTCATGACAGCACTCACCTCAACAAGTTGGACTTTGTTTTGCTCCCTTTCGGGGCTGTATTTCAGTTCCGCGAGGTACTTCTGTTGCAGGGAGAATTTCGAGGAGTAGACTTCCAGCGAGTTGACCGCTTTTTCCACCACGGCCTGCGGGAGATCGGTGCTTGTTTTCAAGGCTTTTGTCACCTGCAACAACTCCGACCCCTCTTCCAGCACATTCTGCTCGCTCACCAGCTGGTTTACGATCACGTGCGTGGCCTTGACCTTCCTCTCGTGCAGCTCGGCCAGCAACCGCCGCGTCTCCGAGACGGACAGATGCTCCGCCACGCAGACCACCACGAACCGCGTCTTCTCTGGGTCGGAGAGCATCTTCGCCACCAGGTCTACCTTCTCGTGGTACCGCTGCAGCTTAATTTCCAGCTTCTTCTTGAACGACGGGCTCATGCCGGTCAGGCCCGTGGCCCCGAAGGCGCTCGCAATCCCGTCCACCGCGTTCAGGGCCTTGCTCTGCAGCCCCTTGAGGGCGCCAAGCGACTCCGCGATGCCGCTCGGCAAGTCCAACAGACGCAGCGTGTGCCCCGTGGGCGCGGTGTCGAATATTACCTTGTCATACCTGATGAAGATGAAATGTATGTTGTGTCCAATAGTACAGAAGTCGTGGACACACCAAGTAAACCCGGTCCGCCGGTCGTCCTCCTCGAACGCCCGCGGCACGACGGTCGTTGTTGAGCCGTTGCAGCTACAAGCTGTCACCGGAACACAAAAAGATCTGTTCTTTCCTTGTAATCATGTTGAAAAATGGAGACAACGATAAGTAAATCCACGCGCCGGTTGCGCGACCTCGAAATTAATCTACTCTTACCGTCCAGACTTGACGTAGGTATGTGCGTCGGCGAGCGCGATAGCCTCGTCAATACCCTGCAGGCTGTGCATGGAGTCCTTGGCTTTCTTGACCATTTCGCCAATTATCAAAATGCAAAATCCCCCCACCCCATATCAAAATGGAAATCTCTGATGCGGGATTTGTGTACGCGAATCGGCTTTGTGTTGCGGTAGAGGACTGCAGGCAGGTGCACAGCCTGAGGAGGGGCGTTTTGGTGTAGGCACCGAGCAAGGCAGGCACATCCTCTGTAGGCGATACAGCATTACAAATTGCCTGCGCAACGCAGCGGAGTCTCTGGAGTTGCCTTCGTGCAATACAGAGACGATTTGTGGTCACAAATCAGCAACGCAAATTTTCAGGAGTATCCCTTTTTAGTATGGGGAGGGGGATTTTTCATTTTGATACCAATGGCCCCGCCCTCCTCCAACAATTCGTCCCACTTTGTAAGCTCCTTACTCAATATCAAATGCAAAAATGTCTGGGTCTGGAAGCCTTCCAGGTTTGTCATGCATATTTTGCATGACTCAGGATGTCTGTCATGCATGCTCTAGCATCACATATTTTTCGAGGCCTTCCTGATGCCTATCCCGCATGACAAATGCCCTCCTCGCGTAGCACAAACTGGGCTCCTCTTGCTGGTCATGCAATACAGATTTTTTTAGCATTCAAAGTTAGCGTCACAAGTTCCAATCTTCCAGACCCAGACATTTTTACAGTTTATACTCAACGCGGTTTTTGGGTCCAGCTCCAGTACATCCAGGTTTGGCATCCCCTTCACTCCCGTTGGCTCGCCCCCGAATTTCTGCTGCCATGCATCCCCGGTAGAATGTGCGGGGTCGGTGGACACCAGGAGAATCTGTACAGAAAAAATGCACTTTTGTTAGGCAAAAAAAATGATCTTTCCAGGCGCAAACGCATTTTGATTTACAGAACGCGCCGAAATAAATGTTCGCACAACAATCGCACGATGCGGGCAAGAGTGAGAAATGAAAGGTTTGCATGCATGGGCTTACCGAGGTCGCGGGAATCAAAAGAGTTGTGAAATCACATAAACAAAAACCTTCTTGTCCTTTGAGAGCTGTGCTGCTAGTGCGGAGCTGGTAGTTGTTTTTCCCACTCCTCCTTTACCGCCAACGAAGACGAACTTTATTTCATCATCCAGCAAACTGCCAAGCGTCGCGTCATTTCTCGCAGGAGCTTCCTCTTCCGCGCGGAAGCAGGCCGGAAACATACCGACAAAAAGAACGGCGGCGGCCATCGGCCGCCGTGCGAGACCACAAGAGGGCGCCATGGAATCTCGGCTGATGGCCCTTGCCAAGCTCGCCTCGTGTCTACAGGTCTAGGTCTACTGCACAATGAACAAAAAGGAAGTATTTTTATTACCGCTTAGTTATACAAATATAACACTCCTGTGCAATTGATGGCAGTAATTTAATAGAGGATGCAACGGAAATCCCGCGTGCAACTGCAACTTGCAGGCGAGGTCGAAAGTCATACCACTCAGAGGAATGGGTCCAATGATTTTTTCAATTTTGATTTGAGTGCGGACATTGAGATCTCAAATTTCCATTCGATCGTAATGGCGCAAATCAATCGAGTGAACACCCCGCAGACAGGAGCTGCCGTTCCCGAGAACTATTGTTCTAGCGGAAGAATACCAATTTTCATCGGCTGCCGCATTTTCTATTTTTTGTGCCGTCGTATAGACTTTTTTTTGTTTGGAGCCCAGCGTTTCGAGCAAATCACGTAAATTCACCCTGCCAAGGCCAACGTCGAAAGGTATACAAAGGATCACCTGAATAAAAATAAAAGGTGTTTCGCGGTCGCGAAAATAGTCGTAGATTTGATCTGAAGCGCAGAAGCTGATAACTCAAGGAAGCTAATTGAATCAACGAGGATAAAACGAAATAACTTGCTCAGTGAGTCTCAAATTTTCGCATCAACCAGCGTGGGGCCCAGACGAGAAACGTCCGGGGTGGATTTCTCGAAGGTTGAAGTAAATAAAAGTGGTCGTGTGATATCATAATCCTGGTTCGTTTTCTGAGAGTTCAGGAAAGAGGAGAGCACTTCGCTCCATAGATAAACGCGAAGGTTTTTAAGCGAGCATTGACAACGCAGAGTTTATCCACGGCGCTCTTTTTCGAAGATACTTTGTATCTGTTGGTAGTGGGGGCTGTCTAGTAACTTGGTCAATCTGCACGTAGAGTTACGCACAAATTTCTCGCACTCATTCCGTCGTCGTCGTCGTCTTGGTCCCTATCGAAAAAATGAGAAAACCTATGGTCCTCGGGTAGATCGATAGAAACCAAATTTCGCTGATGAGTACATCTCGCAAGCGGGTTGCCTGAAAACTCACTGCTAGATGCGTCGCTGACGTTCGCTTTTTGTAGTTGTAAAGTGGACCTTCGCAAATCATTTTGGGGTTTATTGCTGAAAAACTAACAGGTGTGCTGCCCGCCCGATTTAGTGTCAAAAATGGCTTCGAGATGAAACCCTCGAATTTCGTGTCGAATCGAAAAAAGAAACAAAAGGTAAGGTACAAAGAGAGTTCTTCCCGAAGGCTAAAGATATCGTTGTGAAAAAGTTGAGAACAAAAGTTGAACATCCAGTTAGTTGATCATGAGAAACACAGAGTCGCTGTCGCATGAATACAGCAAGAATGCTTTTTATTTCAAGCGCTGCATTTTCTGCATACCCTTGATGACTTCCTTGGCAACCGACTTAGCCTTCTGCTGCTGCAGCGGAGTAGCCTTGTTTGTGAAACAGCCTTCCACCAACTTCCCTTTTGGCCCGCGCTTGCTCTGTTGATGTTTTTCGGTTTTTTTTTTATTTTTTCGAGCTCGGACGAATTCGAATGCACGGCACTGAGCCACCTCTTCGCTGTCAACATATTCGTAACTGTACCTACTTCCACTTGAAGTTTTTTGTCTCTCGACTAGGAGTACTACTACATGCTATTCACAAAACATTCTACCTGCAATGGCCACATCTTGACTATGTCCGAAACGGCTGGCAGGGGATCCAAGGGCTCCTGCAATTTTGTCACCGCCGAAGCTGATGCACTTGAGAAAACGCTCATGCGCGAGTTTTCGTCGCCCTCTGTCAATTCCACATCGTCCTGCTCGTCGTTGTAATCGGGCAACAGAAACTCACTAGCCTGCAGCGTCTCCCCGAACTTCTTGATCGATGCATCGCGCAACTCCGCCAACATCTCGGAAGCCGTTGCTCTCACCTTCGGGTCGCTGTCAACCAGTTGGACAATCCACTTCCGGAAAAAAACCGGCACCAGGTTTAGATGGGGGCTGTGATAGAATTCAGATTTTCCTGCCAGCAATCTTCTAAATTGAATAGAGCAGATGAAGTACTTTCGGGGGCTAACTCGAAATCTATCATGACTACTCAAAAACACAGCAAGACGCACTATCATCATTCACGTAAGATTAAGATACAAGTCGGCCTCTTCCAGTTCCGCGATGAGGTGGTTCTGCGCCTCCCACAGCTTGCTATGCGGAATATGCTCACAATTTTGGTCCCACTCCGATGAGAGCGCGGTGCACATGCTCCTTTGGCTGTGCACATTCGTCCAGATCAAGGCAAGGATCATACCTGTCGAAGGTGAAAGCGCAAAGCATTCAAAATGAAGATAAAAAACCGCACATCAATCACAAGGTTGAAGAACGGAACTGAAACGAGATGAACCTACAAGTTAGTACAAAGCCATGCTTCGAGATATTATTCCTTCTGAAAAACAAAAAGCGATCAAACATACCGAGCGAGAACTGGTCGTTTTTGATGCTGTTGTACTGCGTTCTTCTGGAGACGCACTTCAACAACTCTGGACTGGCGCAGGAGACGTTCCCGGCGGCAACCGTCACTTTTCTCGTGTTGTCGCCCCACCGCGCAGCACCCCAGTCGATCAAAAACGGCGTCTTGGTCTTCTTGTCAATCATGATGTTGTCCGGCTTCAAATCTCCATGGGAAATCTCGTACTTTTCGTGCAGGAGCGAAAGTGCTTGGATCAGCTTGCAGCTCCACCTCATCGCCTCTCTCACCTAAAAAATTTCAAATTGTGTTTCTTATCTGTAAGCCTCCAGCTCTCCTAATTTTATTTCACGCAGACGCGCATATCCCCGGCTATGCACTTGAATGATGACCAAAGGCGCATGCAACTACATCAATACGCTAGATACGACTAGAAGCGCAGCCAGATGTACTTGTTAACAAAGCGGCTTTCGTGTTCAGTAGCTAGCTTTCTCTTTCAAAAAATACTTGTTCCAAACATCAAAACCAATGTATCAATACCGTGATCTGGCGCTTGTTCAGCGCGTCGTGCAGAGACCCTCCGTGCACCCGCTCAAGGCGTAGCTGTAGCTTCGTTCCCAGCGAGATTCCAGAGTTGGAATCGTCTCCCACCAGCACCGGCTGCTTCCCTCGGGGGGTGCTGGCTCGCGTGGCTGCGCTGGAGGCCGCACTGTTGGTCCTTGCGCCGGCGGAGGAGGAGGAACTGGAAGTAGCCCCCACGCGGCCCCCGCGATTCTTAGAAGAGCTGCTACTGGCCGCCGTCACAATCTGGGCGGACGCCAGCCGGGCGATGAAGGGTTTCAAGTCTTGCTGCTCGCTCATGTACTTGAGCACGGTGCGCTCGGTGTACGCGTGGGCTTGGACCCCCCGGCCGTCCACCAGCTCCGAAACCTCGTAGGTCTTCCACCCAAACTGGTCCGGGTTCCGGACGTCGGGCTTGAAGCCCCCAAAAGCTCCGCGTTCCGCTTCCGCCATTTGTATTGGTACTGTTGCGAGGGAAGTACTTGCTTGGCTTATGGTTGCTTGTAGTGGTCACACGAATCAGAACAAATTCCTTTTACTATCTTCTGCCCGATCAATGATGAAATGGGTGCCGTTACGATGCCGAAAAAAAAATTGCGGACTGTGTCTGTTTTGATGGAGCAACTCTCGTCGAACCTCTCTCGGTGAAACTGCTAGATTCTGTATCAATTTCAATTTCTAATATTACATGAAAACTTTTATTTTGTAGTTTGGGTCGTTGTCTAAGAAAATCCTGTCACCTGTGGGAGGAGGAGTCTTTACGCAGATTGATAAACCAGGGTAACAAGGACGCGAACCAAATCAATTTCGAAGTATGTCTTCTGACAAAACCTATTTTACAAAAAAAAAGAACAAAACTAAGAATACAAGCTCAAACTTTAACAACAGGAACAGATACAATGACGATCCAGATCATACAGCAAGTCTTTTCGATCGCAAGCATTAATTTTCTCTTCCAAAAAAAGAACGGGTGAGCATTTGAAAAAACAAACTAGATGGGGATTTTTTTCGAGAATAAGTGGATTTTCCTCGGAACAAAAGTAGTCAAATTTCATCCTATTTCTCGGTCGGTTCACGAAAGACCAAACTCACACACCCAATCTCCTCGGGACCAGATTTTTTTGTTCTTTCGAGCCTGGCAAAACATGAGATCCCCCGAACCAACAAAATGCCGTTTACGACCCAAAATCTCTCACCGTCAACGTACGAGCGACCTACTGTCCGTGGTCGAGAGCATGGAATCATGACGAGAACTTAGTGAGAATGTCTTTGCTTGTCTTCACCGCCATCACGATTACTTGAGATTTAAACGCTGTCACAATTACCACGAAGGAGCAAATCATCTCCGTGGCGGTCAATACCTGATACGAAAAGACGAGATGCCTGCCTCAAGACAAACGCTCGTGCCTCATGGGGTGTTCTGGGTGCCTTTCCGAAATTGAAGATATTCCACTGTTTATACGCGATTAGTAGAAACCAACTTTTACCATCTTCATCAGGACCAAATGCAAAAGTACAGCAACAGTGGGTGCATTGACTAGAGATGGAATACTTGAGATCTAGGCCTGTGAAAGCAAGGCGCACGAAAAAGAATTATGAGTGGTCCGCCTGATCGTGGAATGCGGAGACCGATCGAAATGAAGAATAACTCCGCGCCACGATACTCAACTAGTTCTGCTGGTCAGCGTTCGCGCTCAGTCCAGTTACGTGAAGCGGTTCTATCGATCTCGTCGCTATCCGACATGTGAAGCGTTCTCTCGATCGCGTGGCTATTCGACATGTTGTAGACTGACTGTAGACGAAGGAATTCCTTTCTTGGTCCAATAATCCGCTCAGGCTCCGCCGCACGTCCAACCAAGACCGTGCGTCACAACTGGTACCACACTCGGTCCGTTGTTCCGCACGATGCCACCCACGTAGCGCGTCATATGCTCCTGTGAAAGCTCTGGTATTCCGGCCTGGTGTGCGCGAACTGCATAGATTTTGCTGATCTTTTCAGTCGCCAAAAGAGCCTGCGCCCCCAATGCACGTCCCTCCTTCCTCGAGCGGCTTTCTGCCCTATACGCATCACGTACAGGTCAACCCCGATTTGCGCCGCGATCCCGTACTGCCCAGCTACGCCTGGAGATCACACCCCTTTAAACGATTTTCTTCCCCACGTCCTCATCTCCCCGTGCGACCGCAACTTCGACACGTCCGTCCCCGCACGATGAGACCACTATCACCATCATCATCTAGTCCCCCACTGGGTTGAGACAGAAACGCAAACGAGGCAATCCATCACTACGCGCTGCTACGAGAAATCGCCGCACGAAGCCCTGGACGTCCATCCTTGCGCAAGTGTCACTCTCACTGTCCATGAACGGAATCCACTATTTCCGCTTTCTAAGGCGCAACGACCGACGACCATCGTGCCATGGAGCATTCCGCGGAACGGCGAGTGTCCTTGCCGCTGCAAGGAAATACACTTTGATCGGCTGATGGGTGACCCTAAGACGACCATCGCACCCTGAATCCCCAAAGTCGACCCGACACGAGCTGGGTGGTGATAGCTGCGGATGAGTCCCTTGCTATAGACGAAGCGCACTCGGGACGCGCATAAGTACATTGCGGCAAATCGTACGTCATCACTCACCCCTCTCTTATGGTGCAGCTCTCTAGAGAACGTGTACAACCAATGGACAAGGCACGGAGTCGCCCCGACGAGTCGCATCGTCACGATGTGAAGCTGTAGAAGCCACGAAAGTCCAGTCCAGATAGGGACACTCTCTGAATTAACAACAGCAGGCGTGTAATTACATTGAGATCTACATGCTGCAGACTGTCGCTGCAGCAAAAACGAGCGAGCACGCCAAACCGATTTGACGTGCGCAGCGCACGATCAACGAATTGTCATCCTAAAGGCGACTTGTCGTTCCCAACACAGCCCCTGCACTTCCGGTGAGTGCATACTTATCTCTCTTAACGCAGGCATTTGGTACCGTCAGAGTCAGAAACACAACGATAACGAAGAGAGCGAACACTAGAAAAAACCTTTTGTACAAGTGCAAACTCACAGCTCATACGCGTGATGGACGGCGCTGCTTTTAAAGATAGAATCTAGCTTCAAGAATCACAGTGGCATGTGTTTTCAATCACCGAATGTGTTCTTCAGTGACCAAGTGTTCTTTCTCGAAGTCTTCGTGTGACGTGAAGAAGAGAAGTGAATTTCGTAGCAGAGTTCAGTTCGACAAAGTCTAGGCACGACCATCACGTACAGACTTACTTGTTGGCCTTGAAGTTCTTCTGCTTCTGCGCGCCGGCCTTTTGCTGCGGCATCTTGTTTTGCTGGATCTTCTGCTTCGGCTGGGTGGACTGGGGCTTGGAAGCGCGCTTGACCTGACGGGCCTTGGCCTCCTTCACCGCGGTTTCCTTAGCGGCAGCGCGAAGGGTGTCCTTCTGCATGCGCTTGGCGCGCATGTCTTCCAAAGTCAGACCGACGATGGCCTGTGGTGTGATGGAAAATAAATTGTTTCTTCCAGGACGAGTTGTTGTTAGTTGCCCGAATTTCTAAAACGAGACACTGGTATAGACTTGCAGAAGCGCGTGCAATTAAGGGAAAGCAGAATTTAGATTGATTTGACACCGGGCAAGAGCAAAAACAAAAGATTCGATACCTTCTGGAACTTGGTTCCCTTCTTCTTGGCGCGGCGGTTGTTGACCTCCAATTTACCTGTTTTTTAGTTTTATTTCCGATAATCAAAATGAGAACAGCTGCGTGAGAAAAGCAACAACGGATCCGTTCGGTGAAATGTGCACAGCGACTGATCTCCCAGATCCTCTGCCATACCCATACCAGCACAGATTTAGAAGCTATCAGATTGAAATGCAAAGCAATTGCGGGAAAAAGAAGAAACATGAATAGATACACAGCACCAGACATATTCATGTCGTCTAATTATACCTTTCTTGTTCATGCGACGCCAAGCCTGGGACCAGGTCAGCTTGACCGCCTTGATCTTCTGGTGGAAGAGGGAGTCCGCCTTGGCGGTGATGAAGAAGCTCACCTTACCATCCTTGGCGACGAACTTCTGCCCCCGGCCCGGGTAGATCTTGTACTCGGTGTAGTTACAGATGTCCGTTTTCACGACCATTTTGACACAACGAAGAGAAAACCTGCTACTGCTTCTCTCCTAGATTCTACTTCTTGCCCTGTTCAGTGGTGAGTTTGCAGCAAAATAGTGCCATAAGAAAAAAAGAGCCAGGACAGACTATGATCGAAAAGAACAATTTCTTCGCGACAGCGATCTTTGCATTCCGAAACAATTTAGATCTTCCGGAAATGGATCCGTCACGTGACCAAGGGTGGAGCGTCTTTGAATTTTAGCGATCTAGATCTTGGATTGCTAACATAGCTAAATCTGCACAATTGCATCTCAAGAGCCATTCAAGACTGACCATACACGATTTAGATCCACCTGGAAGAAGCGAGCCTCGATTTCTTAGTACGCACGAGACCGATATTTAGATACGGACCTTCGCATATTCGGATCTTGATCGGATTTAGAATCTTGAGGCAAATCCTAAAGAAACTAAACAAGGTTTTTTCAATTCCATGCAGCCATGTTGTGCACATCAGGTGGAGGCTGGCTGGCTTATTTGCCCAATATGATCTTGACAGATTCCAGTACTAAAGAACGGCCCTTTCGGCTTTTTCGGCAAGCCTCGGGGAATCTAAATCGCATATCTGAATTCTCAAAACTCAAGTGAAATCGGATTCAAACGCGAGGATCTCGAGTCAGTGTCGCTCCTGATCTTTAGAAATTTGAGTCCTCCGAATCGTCGTCATCGTCATCATCAGACGGCTCTGACTTGTCCGAGGCCTCTACCAGCACCTCGGCCTGGTTTGTTCCCGGCTCCGTCACTGTTGTAGGTCCGGCCCTTGCTCTGCCTCGACAGGAGGGGCCCCGGACACCAGAGGAACTTGATGTAGTACCTGCTCCTGAGCTCATCTGCAGCACATGATCCCCCGCTTTGCTACTGTTGGAGTGCGGCCGGACGCTCGCGCCCTGTGGTGCAGTCTCGTATTCAGCCGCCACTGTTCTCGAAGCTTGCGCACCGTGGCCGAGCGCCGCATTCACAGAACCCCCGTTTGCGGAAGTAGGGCCGAGTGTAGTACTAGTCGCGCCGCCTGCGCCTAAACCGGTCGAGGCCGCCGCGGCCCTGCTGCCAACGCGACCTGCGCCCGAGCTAGATGGATACCCTGCTGCTGGCGCTTCCCCCGCACTGTCGCTCTGGTCCTTCTTCTTCGCTCGCTGCTTCCGAGGGGAAGTTTTCTGGGACGATCTCCACAGTCTTCGATTTCGCAGCGAGTGCTTCTTGGCATTTTTGGATTGCCGCTTCGTCAAGACGACCGTGTGATCTCTGCAGTCGTCGATCTTCAACCGCAGCTATGCAGTGCAAAAAAACCCTCTGGCTCTCAGCATCGCTTTCTTGCTTCAACTGTTTTTCTTTCCTCTTCTTCTCTCTCTCTTCGCAGTACTGGCCTCTTTTCAAAATTGCCGCTCTGATGTTCTTCATTTGAAGATTATAATACAAAATGCAGCGACCTACTGATGAAGGATGGTCGTGCGTGTGCCCAGTAGAACGCGGGAGCAGCTCACGCTGGAGTCAGAAAAATCATGCGGATGAGCAGACACCTGAAAGCGAGCCCGATTTCTGCACGAGCCAGAGACCACCCCCTTCGACTACTACCCTTGCGTACTTCTGGGCTAAGGAATTGGAACCAAAACTTGGTCAGTGGATCCAGTCCGACGTCGGTGTACGCATACTGCCATCTGGGAATCCCCAGGTGCGTCATCATCAGCCGGTAATAACTGGTAAAACCGTCCGCAATGAAAAACCAGGCACCGCTGACGTCCTGAAACCACACCCCGGACCAATTTCCCTCCTCCAGTGGCTGCGCCTCTTCCGCCGGGGCTGCTGCCGTCGTCACGGTCGTCCCGCCCGTTAACGTTGTTGTTGTTGTACCCGGGTCGCTTATCTTCCGCCGCAGGCAGACTTTCCCACCGACGCACTTTAAATCGAGGTCAAAGTACGCGTACCCGCTTTCCTCCGCTACGCTTCGAAACTGCTCCAGATTGTTCAGGTGCATCGACCCGTACGGAAGCACCTTTGACCGGATAGCAGCAGACCACTTCAGGTACAGACCTTTATTGACAGTTTGTTTTTGTTTTGATGTTCTGCCGAAACCGATAGCATCCTGATCTTTCCTACTGCGATTCTTCGCACTCAGTCGAATGTTACCCGGTACTAAAAGTCGGCAATCTAGTAGGATTGCGGCACTCATTGGAAATCCAGAGGACGCCGACGTCCAGACATGTTTCAGTTGTTTCACCAAAGAACGAGAGACTGCTTAAGCATCAAACATGATTTTCAGCACATCACAGTCGGTCGTTTGCAAGAAGAAAAATTGCAGCACCGTCTAAAAGAACCAACCATTTGTTATCTGCAGAAACGCCTTCAGATCGTCTGGGAGCCGCAACCCGTGCCTAGTTTCCCAAGCATGGATGGCAGACCCGGGGCATGGGACTCGATATCCAATGCAAATATTTGTGTCCGGGCCAACTTAGGCACGTGTAGTGTCAAGCAGATTTTGCAATGATGTACGAAACGCGAAGATGCTCCTTCTCCCTCGTCTGCAGACCCGGACTAAATATTTGCATTGGATATGGGACCTTGAAGAATGATCTCTGAAACACCCTGGTGCCGCTCCAAGTACTCGATTGCACAGAGCGAGAGATCGTCGAAATGGTCGATGCGCCGCTTCATGATGCCTCGCAGCTCTCTGGGTTACTAGAGCATCGTGTTTATGGACGGGATACAGTATTGAAAACTAAGTACGCAGTTGGCGCTTCTGCTCGAAAGGTTTGTTCGTTTTCTTTGCGATCGCGAATTCGGTTCGAGGCCTTTCGTACGGAGTTTCTTTGTTCAAGGCCTCAAGGAAAAAACTGCCAAATTTACGCCCAACTCTCGTGCACAGTCACAAATACTTCCAATTAACGAAACTCAGCTCCAGGCCATGCAGAACGCACGAAACGTGGTCTACATGTATCTTCTATTGGCCCATGCGCGAACAATATGAAGACCCGGCGGTTTATGTCGCTTTTCAGAAGCTCAAGCAAAAGCACAAGCGGCTAAGCGTTATCGGCAGATTAGACGAGGGGCAATCATCTTTGCTACATGACATTTGGTTGTTGTGCTGTGGTTCAAATATGAACATGTGTCGACCTTCAATTTGCCGCCTTTGCGGTTAAACAAAAACAGAAGTCATCATGTACAACGCAAAATTTCGTGCTAGTAACCGCATTTGCGGTCTGCTTCTTTGTGAAAAAAATCTTACATCCTGAACTTTTTCTTGCCAAGTATAAATTTCTGTTGCCATAATGCCATTAGGAACTGGTTGTAGTAACCCTATTCAATCGTCTATTCGAGCTGTGAACCCACGTACTTATCGCGTTCCTCAACGGAAATAATGTCGTGGGTTCGTCCACAGACAGTGGCCGTACTTCGAGAAATTGTGTCGTGCGGAGGCAGCACCAGAAACCTCCTGCCCGTACCAAGCGACCTTGGTTTTGCGCCGGCACGCGGTTTGGAAGACGTCTTATGTTGGTGAAAACGCGGCAAGTATGCGGCAGCAACTTCGAATTCGGAAATACTTCTTCTTCATCCTCACCACCGCAGCAGAAGAGTACAACTCCTCGCTTGCGATGGTCAGCGGGACCCCGTGTTCGCTTATGTAGCAGAGGATCCCTCGTACATGTATCAAAGTGAAAAAAACCCCCACCCCATATCGGAAACGGAAGACGCGCGAATTTGTGATGCTGTATTTGAGTACACAAATCGACTTGTATTGCTAGAGGGCCAAGAGACGAAGCTGCGGCCTAAATTGCAGGCAATCTGTCATGCTGTTTCCCACTTCCAGTTGCCTCCTGTCATCCTGGAGCTGCAAGGCTTTCCCACGCTAGGCAGCACTACAGTCCGCACTTTTTGCCTTCTAGCATCACAAAGCTGATTTGTGACCACAAATCTGCATCACAGATTTCCGTTTTGATATGGGAAGGGGGCATTTTTCATTGAAATAACATGTCGTCACGCTTCAGGTACTCCTCCGTCTCGGAGCCGAAATCCGCCATGATAATCCGCTTTTTGATGTACGTATTTTCCTTCTGGTCTTCCACGCAGTGACTCGCACGGACGCACCCCGTTTTGCACGTCCTGGGATTGGACGCATCCGCCGCAAGCTCGTCGCACTTCGTTTGTGTTATTTGCTTGGTCTTGTCAAGGGGGTTCGGTATGGGGTTGAAACAAAATCTCTCCGCACCTTTCTCTTTCTCAAATTGTTCTTTATTACGTCTCAGGACGGAGCGCTGGTGCGCTAACTACAACTCGGTGCTGGCATGCAAAGAGAGGCGCGAAGGAATGGTATTGCGTTCAACTTTGATATCAAACAAAATCGCAGCGCAGTCGGCCGCACTGATTAGAAAGACGATGTCCCCCGGCTTGGCCTGTTTTGTGCAGGTTTAATATTTTTGGTACAACACGAACAGTATCGCTCGTGAAACGAAAAACGCCTCGTCGTTCCAACGCGGAATCACGTCAAGTACTACTTCTGAGAATTATTTAACGGTTATTCTGCGTACATCATATCCTTTCGATTTTTAGGTGCAGCAAAAAGAAAACCTTCTGTGGGGTCGTCCCGCATCGAAATGAAAAATCCCCCCACCCCACACTCGAACGGAGGCTTGTCATCGACGGGATCTGTGTACACAAATCGTCTGCCACGGGATCGCAGCTCCCTCCCAGAACTTTTGATGTGTGACGTAGCAGTATAGCTTGCATTCGCGTACGTTGGATGGACGCATCATGCAGGCTAAAACGCAGTGGACATCGGAACTGCCTAACTCATCTCACTCTCTCTTCATGCTAAACATCTGCGACCACAGATCAGCATGCCAAACCTCACTTTTCAGTAAGGGGAAGGATGATTTTTGCTCGGGATATCCCGTCTTCTTGGACGTGAGTCACGTACTCCACGCTACCGGTCGCACTGCCACCTGGTTTTCTATGAACCTGAACCGTGCCCCACAGCCAGGTAAATTAAGGAAAAGTTGTAAAAAAAAAAATTGTCCTGATGCAAGAAGTCGAAAGACTGCATATTTATAGGATTAGCGCTCCTTACAGTGGCCAGTGATCGATTTGAAGCACAGTGCTGCAATGCAAACTCTCTACCATGACAATATTGCAAATGTTACTTAGTAAACGCCATACACAAGGTGAGGTTCTTCATCACGAGCTTCCATCAGAGTTCGCATTACCAACATTGGTGAGGCACTCTTCAAGTTGATATTTCCGAACCTTGAGCTCCAGACCGTCAGTCGGGACGGTGATTCGGTGCAAAAACATGTAGTATCACACAGAAAAAAAGAAGCAGACCGTATCTCAGATGCAAAACGAAACCCAGAAAAAATCCCCTGCAGCGTGCTGTCTCAGCGAGGAAAAACAATGCCCAAGAAATTCATTTCTGCATCATCATAATCATCATCATTTATCCTGCACTTGGGGAGAGGGGGCGTGCGGAGGGGGGACGTGCAGCATCATCATCATCATCATTTATCCTGCACTAGGGGGGGACATCAAAATTGATATCGCGCGCTAGCTCTATTTTCCCGGGATAACATGTTGCTTAGTGTCACAGCGATCCGACTCGCTATCCGGGCCGGGTGTGCGGCCTTGTTCCTCTACATCTACTGATAGTACGATCTCATACCCGAAGGCTAACAGGAAGAGATGAACTGCCGACATGATCATGTGAGCACGTAACAACATAAATATTTCACGAGATAGATGTCGGGGCAGGGACGTCTTCATACAGTATCGCTGTGAAATTTTACCCACCACCACTTCAGCTAAAGGCTTGCGATCGCTTTCGTTGCAGCACTCACGAAGCCGCTACTTTTTGCTGCATGCCCAAGAACTTGTACCGTTCGCCTTCTACTTTCGTGCAGAACCAGAAGGTAAAAAAGACTCAAGCAGGCATGACTCATGCAGAAGTAAACTTACTCGACGCCTATTTTTCATGCTGTAGCTTCGGATTTATGGTGGTGACTATCGCTTTTCACTGGGATATTGAAATGCACAAAACCGCCGCAATCCTGTGAAGGCATCGATAAATGTTTTGCCAATTCATTCAGAATTCGCAGCAAGCTACTTGGGAAAATATGCATTGACTTCACGGTCACCATCCCACCTGTCCTGTATTTGTGCCAACCACACGATAAGAAAAAAGAAGTATATGCGGTAGCTCCAGCTGCTGCGCCCGCAAATAAATACCTTGTTCTTGGAACACATTTCCGCCGCGAGATCGAGCTGCAGGGCCGTTGTGCCTGCCTCGGATTTCTTGATGATCGCATGCTTTTTTGGTTTTCCCCAGCGACAGAACTCCGTTCGACCAGGCGGCAGGTAGTTGAGCACGGTCTGGTTGTAGTGCGAGAGGATCGTTGTTTCCTGAACCCCGGAGTCTTCAATGGATTTTTTCGCTAGCTCCGTCAGACACGGGAACTCGACCATCAGAGCGTGCAGCCCGTTTGTGCAGTCCTGGCGCTTGTACTGCACGAAGGCCATCTTCGGGTGCCAGTCCTTCATGAACTTCTTCTGCGCTAAGTCGGCGCTCACCTCCGCTGTCACTTCCTCCCTGAGCTCCCGCCGCATCTTGGTGGTTTCCTTCTTCAACTCACTACGCAGTAAAGAAAGTACGCTCTGTGATCTGCTCCGGCGCGCCAGTGTTTCCTTGGTGTCCTGGAGCCGCGCACTCTCCCCTGTCCAAAGCTGCCATGTCGCGAGCGAAACAGCCGCACATGCGTAAGTGCTGCTAATTCTCATTCCGTAAGGGCTTACTGTGGTGTGTGAGCACGGGTGTGTGGAAAGGAATCGACTGCAAAGAGCCCGTGATCGTGTGCCCCCGTTCCTTGACTTGCTACGACGCAGCGGTGCTTGTTTTCCACAACCGCAGCCTGGGGATTATTCGCCGTGCGTCTAAATTCTCCCATTATCATCACTCATGACGCAAGAAACAGGCGGCATGACTATTCCTTCTTTATCTATTTCTTCGCGCTGCCACTCATCTTCTCTCAGTTGGTGCCATCAGTTCAAATGCTGCAGAGGAACGACCACGAAAACAGCGCAGCGGCTCTCAAACAGTTGATCGCAACATGTGGGGCAAGAATATCATCATGATTTCTGCAAGGTAGGTAATACACACCTACAACCCCCATGTTTGTATGGGGTCGTACTATACACATACACACCCCAAGATGATGATGTTGTGGACTCGATAATCATCTTCCGCTCGTAACTCGAGACACGCATCGCGTGTCCCTGTCCCCCATCTAATTTAGTGATGACGATTCCATGTGCTGAGGACTATCAGTAAGTTCATTACTCTCCCTCACCCTCAGCTCACCCTATTCCCTGGCAACGCAAAGGCTCAAAACGAACGCACAACGCCGCTTCAGACCAGGAAAGTCCTCGTCTCCTGCACAAAGGCAGATCTTCGTGCACTGTGCGCGTTCTATTTCTCATGAATATCGATTCATTTTTCAGCCACCACCTTCGCGGGGCACAAAAAACGAAAATTAATTATTATTATGCATTTCCTCAATCACCAACAAATTACTTTCCCTGCTTTTGCATGGGTCATGTTTCTATCTTGTCAGGTTCATACCATAAATCTTGGATAATAATCATGTGAACGTTAGTACAATCTCTGCAACAAAGACGTGCTATAGTATCTGAAGTTGAATCGGATCGACTTATTTTTCAGCATCTTACACGTATGGTAAAAGTAATTTCAGTAAAAATATTACTGTAGACCTAGTGCAAATCTTGCACAGTGGTTCAGCCATCCGTACACGCAGTTCCAGTTTTGTTATCAGGGCGGTGCATTGATGGAGAGACGATATTAAATAGCAGACCTGACAAACCACAATCCGACTTCTGATTAAAATAGGTGTCTGTCGACGATCAAAAATGCTCAGAACTTTCCTGTGATTGTAAGAAGATCGTCGTCTCGCAAGTGGTTTAGCGCCCCGCCGCCGTGGTCGTGCTCGTGCTCGTGGTCTGGCCCTCGTACATGTCCGCGGCTGTCAAGTAGTCCTCGGTCTGGGATCCGAAGTCCGCCATGATGATGCGCTTCTTGATGTTATCCTGAGCAAAAACGTCCCCACCCCAGAGTTGTCATGCTAAACAAAATGCGACACACTTTGGCCCCCCATTGTACCATGGCCACAGGACCCCAGAGTTGTCATGCAGATCCGCAAGCACAAGAGCATTTGTAATGCGCATCCTCATGAGAGGCATTTCTCATCGTGTTTTGTGACTTGTAATGCTGTGAACAGGATAAGGAGATGGATTTGTTATGCGGATTCCCTTGCTAAACTGCATTACACTACAGCCTGCACCTTGTCATGCGTCGCTCCCAAAACTTTAAGGTTTGTGTTGCAAAATCCCCATCTTGACTCTGGAGTGGGGACATTTTTACTCAGGATAGATGTAGGTGTTCTCCTTCGCATCCTCCTTGCAGTGCGACGCCCGCACGCAGCCAGTTTTGCAAGTCTTCGGGGGGTTCGTTTTGGCGGGGTCTGCCAAGTCTTTGCACTGGTCCGCGGTCATCGATACCGTGGTGTTAGTCGGGTCGAACAAAATTTTGGAGCAGTCGGAAGAACTCATGAGGAACACGACGTCACCCGGCTTGGCCTGAGTAGATTGAATGGGTTCACTAATAATTCAAGGGCTATGGTAGGTCATTTTCGCTGGAGTGAAGACTTCGCAACACAGTTGTACATCTTGGGTCGCTGAAAAAATGGTCCTCTCGCATGAGATGGAAGGAAAGCCCACCGGCACTTGCGTCTTACATGGTCCGCGCGCTGCGGGGGCGCGGTTAGGCCCCTCCAATAGCTTAGGCTGGCATACTGGGCGGCACAAAAAGACCGCCAATGCCCTTTACCATAGGGTCGAGCGGGCATGCGCGCCCGGGCCTTTGTGGCGTTGCCGTACTAGCAAAGCCGCGCCGATTTGGGCCGCGCCGCGAGTTGCTTTGTCTGCGGCCTGAGCACGTTTTCCGCGGCTTGCTTTTGGCGCTTCTTCTTTCCCGCGCCCTAGCAGAGTGCATTCCACGCAGTCCTCGCGAATACAGCGCAGCAAGCGGCATATACATATAGTAGGACCGGGCCGCGAAGAAGAAATAATGCCCGCCGGCTCGCGGACCGACGCTTTACGTCTCGGGGCTTGCGTCGCTTTTCCCGCATCCCGGCGCTATGTTTTGCCGACTCGGGCATCGTGCGCAGTGCCCGGCAGGCTGGAAAACGGCCGTCAACGGGAGCAGATGCGCGGCTAAATCACCAGGCTTCCCACCAAAAACTACACAAGGATTCGTCAGTTCTCGTCGGAACTAAGTAGGATTCATCTAGGCCACGATTTAGATTTATAATTGAAGAAAGAAGCACTTACTTACTCACCGTTGTATTGTGCTTGACGTACGTGACGGCAGGATTCTCGGCCGTGGCCGCAGCCACGTTTGCGCCGCTGCTCGTGTCCGAACGGATCTTGATATCCAACCCAGCGGACAGGATATGCTGAAAAAACACGCACCCGCTGTGTACAACAAGACGTGAAATTAAAGCTCCCAAATAAGTGTTGCAAATTCTCAAATAAGCCGCGCGAATGAAGCTCCTGCTCGCGGGAAACCGGCATAAACATATTAGTATTAATAGGCGCAATTTAATGCGTGTCGCGCTTGTGAACAAGTCTTGCTCTGTCACGATGGATGCATACTTGATTTCATTTCCACACGGAAACTCTGTATCTGGTAGGTCTTCATTGAAATGCACGAAGCCGCCGCAATCCTGAAGTCGTTTCAAAGAAATTATATTGAGTAATCACTTTTTGTTGCATGGAGGTGGAGTCGGGGTGGTGCTACGTGGTAGTAAACATTACCTCAGAAACACTGAAACTTTTGTTACCTTGTTTTTCGAGCACATCTCGGCCGCGAGGTCCAATTGCAGCATGGTCGAACCGGCTCCAGTATCCGGTGCAAAAGTGTCGGCACTACTGGCTTTGACGCAGCACGCGGCACTGAGCTCGCACGCGTCAAAATCCACTTCTAATTCACAAAAAGTGGTGTATCTTGATAGTGAGTATGCCTCCGGAATGAGTGGACACACTAAGGACCAGTAGGTCAACGCGGATTTCGCTGCATGCAAGAATCTCCGACACAGTCACATACCGTACTCTGCCTTCGTCATAACTGCATGCATTTTCGGCTTACCCCACCGGCAAGCCTCTGTGCGCCCCGGTGGCATGTAATCGGTGACAGAATTCGTATCACAGCAAATTCCTCACCTTCGCCCAAAAAAGCAGACTGCAAATTTCAGTTCCACCCTGCACAGCCTCGTTAAATTCGTGCTTAGTTCGTGATCGCTGAATGAGAAAGCGAAAAATACAAGCAAGATCGCATGATATAGGAGCGTCGAGCATATCTACAGCCCGCTTCTGGACGGTGAAGAAAGCTTGCTTGTGATATGTGTCGTAGTGAGCCAGGATGTTCGTCTCAGTTACACCTGCAGTGAGATTTTTCCTAAGGTAGCGCGGTAATATGCTACAACGCGCAACTAAATCATGAAAGACAACAGTCCTCCCTACTTCAGTCCATAACTGGCATCTTCGAAAACCTACAAGAAAACATATGTTCAAGTGACATAACTACCCTGCTCCTGCATGTCCTTCTTCGCAAACTCGGTCAAGCAGGGAAACTCGACCTTGATGCCGTGGAGACCGTTCGTGCAATCCTGGCGCTTGTACTGCACGAAGGCCATTTTGGGGTGCCAATCTTTGACAAACTTTTTTGACTCCAGGGCAACTTCCTTCTTTACCTCTGCTTTCAACTCTTTCCGCAAAAGCGACAGCACGCTTTGCCCCTTGGTCTGGTCCTGTTTTTGGTTTTTTCTTTAGATTCGCGATCACGCATCTAGATGCCGTAAGAAATTTCATCTCCCGAGCAGGTTCTTCGACGCGTTTTTGTTACGTACTTCCGGCATCACGTAAATGATGTTTTCGAGGAGCTGGGCTCGAATAGTATCGAACAGAAAAATTAGATCGTACCTTGAGTTGCATGCCATCAGCACCGGCTGACAGCACAGCAAGAGCTGCGAACCCCTTCATTTTTTTTTCTCCTTGTGTTCTGCTGCACAGCTGCTCCAGAAGTAGCTACTCCTAAAATTGCACCTCGCCTCTTTTTCTTATCTGTCTTCCCTAAACTCGTCTCACATTTAAAAAGACGGAATTTGCAACGCACGCTCTCAGGTCGGTCCTTACCGAGCGCCACACTGCCAGCACTTCCTTCTTCTTGGGTTAGGATCTAGAGCTTTTAAAAAAACGTCCGCCTTGCTCGCCAAGTAATGCGCTTCACCCACGCGAGATGGATTTCCTCTCGCGCCACTCTTAATTCTGACTGCTTCTCGCTCGGCCTTCGTGGGGAACACACTAGCGCCGCGCGGCGGTATAGCGGCCACGGCCTGCTCAGACGTTACAATCTCCAGCGTTGCAATAGAGTTTCAGCTTTTTGGTGAAAAAAATGCCTATTTAAAAACGGAATGCAAAAGTAGCTAATTCTTAATGAAAAATTTCTCCAAGAATTTTTTCAACTCCGCCCCGAAACTGCCGCCTTCACCGTCCGCGACAGCTGGTGCAACCTCCGTGATTATGATATGAAAACTTGTTTCGAATCTGGCCAGAAGTTAATATCGAAGCACAGAAATACATCACCCAGACCACCTCCGATTTGTCGCAGGTGAATTGGGAGAAAAGAATAGGGCGAGGCGCGTGCTATTTGTCTGGTATAAAACAGGTTTCATTTGCCAATAGCAGCCACGAGGAAGCAGCCTGGTCAGCAGCGGGCTCTTCATTTTAGTATTGGGAAATGAAACTCACTGTTCAACTGACCAAGTGCCGACACGTGGTCGTATTCTTTGTCAGACCATCTGCGACAAATCGCAGGAGGTCTGGCCGATACGTTTTTGTCTTTCGGTGTCGACTTTTGGTAAGGTTGAAAGCAAGCTTTCACATCATCATCACGGAGGTTCCAGTCGTCGCGGACGGTGGAGTCGGCAGCTTCGGTGGAGATGAAAAAATTTCCGCCGAAAAAAATTTTATGAGAGTTTTCAACGAAGAATATAGCTAATTTCCAACGCAGTTTTCAAATGGCTATTTTTTTCATGAAAAAAGTAAAGCTCTATTCTAACGGTTAAGATTGAAACGTCTGAGCAGGCTATACGCAGGGTAGCGCGTTTCTTGACGGATTTAAAGAAGCTGTATACTTGCTCTCACTAAACATATACTTCTCACGATCTAAAAATTGAGTGAAACAAGTTGGTTGGATCTCGAAAGCGAAACTAGAACTACAATCAGTATCACTATCAGCAGTACCACATCGTACAAAAATAAACATTGGACGAGGCTGCGTCACAATCTGTTATTGATTCCGATAACAGCCAATCATTCCTGGTCGCGCATTCCTTTTGGATATCCACGTAAGGGAGTTTTAGTGACTTCTAAATTTTCCAGAAAGAGCAAGCATCTACCGAACGGGAGTAAAAATGATGTTGGCAGTGGTTGTCGTGGTCGTGGGCGCATCCAAAAAAACTTTTATAGTCAGTGTGACTTCACAAATGAATCTTTCCAGCATGACAGCTACAACTCGTCGAACGCAGATAGTGGAAGTGGTACGTGAAGAGGAGGACCTCCTACAATGCATGATGCCCATTCTGGAGCCTGCAAGACATGGCCAGCCTGCTGGGAGTCCTTGTTTACGGCAACTGCCTTGCTTTATGTTCAGCATGCCAAACTCACACTATCTTTAGTTTTTTCAAATGGATATGTGCTCGTGGTCTGTCCCTCGAAATTGTCTGCCCCAGCTAGTAGATCCCCTTATGCAGGGGAAAAACTGTGCCAATGCACGACACGAAAAAAACAGCTATACTTAGTACGCCGCTAGTCTACTCCCGGAGCGTCTGCAGTTCACAAATGACTTCACGCACCAGCGACGCACGAGGACATGTACTTGTTTTTCCACCGCCATACAAAACTAATTCTTGTCGCTCACCAGTGGAGGTGCACTTTTTCGAGAGAGCGCCGGTTGCGGAGGAAGAGAAATACAAATAGTTAGTAGCTGCTTCTTCGAAAGATAAATTTATGACAGTGCACAACACCATGAATGACGCAGTTTTTTCCTGGATAACTTTGTATGACAGTGCACAACTCATTCTCCTCCTCTTAACAGCATAAGGCACGACCGAAAGCCTGTCGCACCAGTTCTGGCAATATTCTTGTTGCGTGTCGCTCAAGTTCTTTATCTTTTAAAAGAAGGCCATGGCGAGGTGGAAATGCAGAAATGCAAATGAGAAGGAAGAAGATTTGCCGCTTTCGATACTCTGTAAGTGACCCAGAGTCCGCCATAATGATGCGCTTCTTAATGTAGGTGTTCTCCTTCGCGTCCTCTTTGCAGTGCGACGCCCGTACACACCCTGTCTTGCACTGTTTTGGGGGAGGCAGAGCGTCGCCGCTTTGGCCTGCAAAACGGTCCCCACGCCGTAGCCGGAACGAAATCGAATAGCAGGAAGGCGTTCTAAATTAATATGCTAAAGAGAGCGTAGAATTTCGAGCTATGAATATCGACTCGACCAAAAAAAATCGGGCTGGTACACAAAAGCATCGGACGGCATTGCAGCTGGATGCAGCTGATGACTTTATTAATGTGTTCGACTCTACGTTTTCGTCTGTCCCGGGAAGTACTCGTGTTCTTTTTTTAAAGCTGGGCGCAGCTACTTGCACAGAAACATACGATGTCCGGCTTTTGTTTTGGCTTCTTCACGTTATTCTTGGAGGTGCAAGCGCTTTTAAATATCGCGCTTTTAAATATCGCGCTTTTAAACCCCGATGTCTGTCGTGTAGCTCTTCCACGAGCTGTCCTAATCGATCCTATGCATCTGGTAGGTGCATGATTCAATGCCTTCGTTGCTATGCATGCGCCAACGGCGAATCCCTGGCCTCCATTTCGGGGGGAGCTGTTTTCAATGCCATAGCAGTCCTCTCTGCTCATGGACTGCGTGGGGTCGTCGGGGCTGAACAGGATGCTCGCACAATCGGCCGAGCTCATCAGGAACACGATATCTCCTGGCATCGCCTTCTTTCCGTGGTCGATGTAGGTGATATTTGCCAGCTGCGTGCCCCCTGCGGTTCCCACACTCGCAGCACTCCGCACTCTTACCACCAGTCCGTCGGCCGGAAACGAAGTTGTGGTAGCGGCAGTGGCATTTGCGCTCGACGGCACATCTTCGTTGAAGTGCACAAACCCGCCGCAATCCTTGTTCTTCGAGCACATCTCCGCCGCAAGGTCTAGCTGCAGCATGGTTGACCCGGCCTCGGCTTTCGTCAAGATTGCGTGGCTGGTGGGCACACCCCAACGGCACTGCTCGATGCGGCCGGGGGGGATGTAGACTCCTTCGGTGTAATGCGCCAAAATGGTCGCTTCTTTCACCCCCTGCTCCTGCATGGACGCTTTCGCCCACTCGGTGAGACAAGGAAAGTCGACTTTGATAGCGTGCAGCCCGTTCGTGCAGTCGGATCTTTTGAACTGGACGAATGCCATTTTCGGGTGCCAATCCTTCACGAACCTGCGTGACTGTCGTGCCCACTCTTTCGTCACCTCGGTCTTCAGCTCCCGGCGGAGTAAGGACAGCACGCCGCCTCCCTTCAGCTGCTCCTGTTCATGAAATTTGATAATGCGGATCGCTACACCCCGACTACCGGGAAGGTGTGGTAAAGAATTCAACAGCTTGCATACGGCCATCGCCATGCACCGCCTTTGCATGAGCCTGCCGCTACCAATCAAAGTGATTGCACAGGACACATGTAACTGAGCACGAACTGAGAGGCCATTCCCCTTGCAATGCTCCGCTCTATCGTATCAAGCTCAAGCCTGATGTTGCACAGGCGAGCCAGAAACTGCCCTAGAACTACCAAACGAAGTATCCTGTTGATGTACAAATACAAATTAATCGTGGCATGCCCATTCAAATTTTCAAAGTAAGTGCGCGTCAGTACCAACAGCCGTATGCCAACGGAGGTGTCGGAAAAAGCGGTCACCGCCGCTGCGAGCTTCTTCATCATTTGCCTGCGCCGACCTGATCAGCAACACGACACATGCATGTCACCCCTGCACGAAGGCCGCAGCTTATCAAGCTCATTGCCGGAATATGTACTTAGACCTCCTAGTGTAGTTGCTTATTTTCCTACAACTCTACGTGGAATCAGAGGCCAATCGGAACGAATTTCAACCAGTAACTTAACCGAACGACGTAGAATATTCATTTAGTCTTCTGCTTTCCACAGTTTGCTGGTCTTGTTCCAAAAAGTAGCGTCGCTAGAAAGTGCCATTGTCCATTTTAGGCTGGTAATGTCTCACAAAAGATGAAGCGCCGAAACGTCACTCCATTTTACGCAATTCGCCGAGGCTTCTAGAAAGAATATCCGCATCCTCCTTACTGCTTGGGACGGCACACGCCCTCGCGCCTACTTCGCAAGACAATCCAAAGCAACAGACTATCAGTGCGCGTGCGGTACCTGCTCGGAAGAGCACCCCACGACAAATTGCGAATGAACGATCGGCCGCATCGCGCGACGGCAAATCACACCGAAATCGCTGTCGTCACCTTCTGGTATGAAACGGGAAGACCAGCGCAAGCTAAAAGATTTCGCTTCGTCTTCGAAAGTAGCTAGGACGTCATTTACATTTTCTGTTCATTCCTGGTGTTTCATTTTCGGTTTTACCGTCGTGATAGTGCGCCGACAAAAGACTTGGTCATTGGCAGAAGTACTTCTGATGTGTCCTTAGAGTTCAAAAAAAAACGTGTGCGAAAGGTGCGTCATCTTCGTGACTCTGCAGCCCCCGCACCACCCTATGCTTGCGTTCACGTACGTTCGCGCCAAACTGGCGTGCACATCACAGCAAAGAAACAACTGGTGAAACTGAAACAAACACGCAGTGCGGGCAAAAAAGATTTTTCCACAGTCTGCACATGAATAAAAAAGTGTTTCAAATACGATGCTCTACTTCGTGCCAACAGTGGAAAAAAATTGTACACGGAAAATATTACTTTTTCTTTACGGTGTCTTTAGTGTCAAAATCGATGACACTAGTACACCCGACCGTTTTGAGTAGCAACTCCGGCGTTCTGCGGCGGCAGACCGCGGCACAGATGGGCGGCGCGCGGTTGGTTTAGACCGAGGGCGTAGTAGAAAAGTTGGCACGGGACGCAGCTCAGCGCTGATTCGTTCCTTGCGTGTTGGCTCCTTGATCGCCAGTTGTGGTCGTCGACGTTGTGGTGGTCGTCGACGTTGTCGTTGTTGTCTCTGCGCTACCCACCAGTTCTGGTGCTGCGGTGGTAGTTGTCGCTGTGTCCACTACGGGTGTGGCGGTGGTGGCTCCCTCGAACATATCGTCGCGGCCGAGAAACTCCTCCGTTGGTGAGCCGAAGTCCGCCAGGATAATCCGCTTCTTGATGTAGGTGTTCTCACTGTCGTCCTCTTTGCAGTGTGTTGCGCGTACGCAGGCTGTGTGGCATCCTGCAGCGTCCGCAATCGTTGCGAAAACACTTTTCCACACGCATAGCCTGCGTGGAAACCCAAGAAAAGAATATCAAAAAATGCATACTTACTTAGCAAGCTGAAGCTCTCTCTTCCTGGGCGCGCAGCCAATCTTCTAGGCGGCTCATGTGGGCCGTTCTCCCCGTAAGTTGGGCACGTAAGCGTCACACCATCACGGCTCATTGAGTTGTTCGCTGCAGCAAAGAAAGATCAGCGAGTGGCAATAAATTCGATCGCGAAATCCGGATGGTACTTATTCTCATGTTGCTTCTGTGCCGGGCTGTATCTATTTTACAAAGTTTTCATTACCGTGGGGACTGATCCATGCAACGGACATGACGCAAATATGGAGAAAATGTGTTTTCATCGGGATAAATGTTTTGCATTCTTCTTTGGTTTTCGCGGTCTCCGTTGCATCGTTGGCTCATCCCAGTCAAAGATGCTCCCTGTCCCTCCCTCCGTAGAAAAAGCAACAAAACCCAACTTTTTTACTGCAACATGGAGTATTTGGTACATCAAGTCAACATAATGCCAGATCGTAAATGAAGCGCAAGTTCCTCGGTCGCGACGCGCACTTTGTCGTGCACAACCTCTTCAGGCTTAAATACCGATGCTGTCGCCCTCTCGTCTTTACCAACGGGGTCTGGCTATACTCTTTGACCACAAAAACAACTCCGCGGTAACTCATGACCTATCACACAACATTCGTCCCGGAACTGGGCGGAGCCACTTGAAGATCTTAGGATACCGCGAAGAGTTTGTTGACGCAGTGCGGACCACTCTCCACAAACACGATGTCGCCGAGTTCTGCCTGAAGTGAATTTGTTCGTTAGTTTCCTTCTTCATCCTGGTATCAATCAATCAATAGTACGCTGGGACGTGCGGGACCCGCTGTGCGGTATACGAAAATGTATGCTCGTAGAAAGGCTGCAAAGTCGGTGACGCTGTCGCTGTATCAACTGCTTTCTGCGACTGAACATGAGAGAACCTAAACCTGTATGTAGATGTATGTACCTCTGTGCTGTGGATAGTGAAATCGTTGGCGGTTTCATCCCATTTTCTGATCTCCTTGGGAAACTCGTCGCTCTTTGTCGTGTCGGGGTTGAAGTAGACGAACCCACCGCAGTCCTAGTTTTGATCGTAGGGTTCTTGTGAGATACGATACGACCAAGTAGAACAGCTGCACGCCAAGCCGCACATATTCTGTTTGTACTGGACGACTATGTTTGCATTTGCTCAGCATCATAACTAATGCATTCAGCCTACGTGCGGATGGATTACGAAGCACGCGGAATAATGGTCTTATTTGCTGCTGTATCCTCAACACATGAGCAACTCGGATATTCGAGTTAAGTACCTTGTCTTTCGAGCCCATTATGCAGTTGAAAAAATTTCGTCCTGCGAGTCAGGCACTACTCAGTGGTATGTTCGCTATGTTGTTTCTACTGTGCAGCGTCGCTTGATGTGAGCGCACTTTCACATATCTGGGCATGCGGTCCAAGGTCTTCGACTACAACCTTTGGAAATCTAGCATGCAAACGAAGGCAATACTTTTTTCAACTCCATAGACATTTCGGCTGCAATATCCAACTGCAGGCCTGTGGATCCCGATTCTGCTTTGGACGATATGAAGGGGCGAAGGCTCTATTTCCTCCCCACAAAGACAACTATTTTAATGAACAAGCTCGCATTTGCAAATTCGCACACGCAAATATAATCTATTTCATCAGATTGCAGCAAGTACAAGAGCTTCGGATTTGGGTTTCCACATCGGATTTGGACAGAGCCGCCGCGAAGCGCCCTTGTCGTACAAAAGCGCCACTACACAAGTCGCAAACAGTAGTTGTGTGTGGGGTGGAAACAGGTCGTTGCAATGTCGCAATCAGAATTGCGTGTTTTTTCGGTTGGCCCCATCGGCAAAATTCGGTGCGCCCCTGGGGTATCGGGTGGACAAAACGACGATAGCGCTGCGACGCTGCTTGGGGACAACTTCTCTGTTGCACATGCACTTGTTATTCACGGAATCACATTTACCCGTACTCTTCTGCATCCGGAATGATCTGTGACGAGATTGCAGACCGAAGTCGTACTTTATTTGCAAAAATCCAGCAGCAGAGAATTCATATTTTGCCAGCCGTCCGGGCAGCGCTGGCCACGTTCATTCAGGATTATGTGGATACTTGGCTCGTAGTTGTCCACATTAGCGTCGAAATGGGACATGATGGTGGCATTGGTCACACCTTCGGTGAAAGTTGGTAAGTAATACAATTTGATCGATTCATTTTTTGCTTTACAAGGTTCAAGCGCGGCGACAAATTCTAATCATCCAAAAAAACGTGCTGCGAAAATGCATTTCCAACAATGATATCCATGCAACTCCTTTCGTAGCGGAACACCATGTCATTGCTGACGAAAAATGAGGATTTAAAAATCAGTTCGGCTTCACTGCCGCTGTTCCCGCGCACAAGCATCTAGATTGATCCTCGTCTTTAAAAGCAGCTCACCTTTCGCTTGCATGTCGCGCTTAGCCAGTTCGGTGAGACAGGGATACTCCACAGCAATCGCGTGAATGCCATCCGTGCAATCTTGCCGCTTGAATTGCACAAAGGACATCTTGGGACGCCAATCCTTGATGAAACGTCGCTCCATTCGCTCCGAAATCAAATGCAAAAATGTCTGGGTCTGGAAGATTCTAAACTTGTGACGCTGTCTCTGGCTTCGAAAAAAAATTGTATTGCGTGACCAGCAAGCGGAGTAGATTTTGTGCTCCCCGGAGACGGCATTTGTCATGCTTAACAGACTGCGCTACTGAGCCCGGGGGGGTGCGGGGTCCGAGGGGTACACAAAGCACAGCCCATGCGGAATAGGCATAAGGAAGCGCTCTAAAAATGAAAATCTGTCAAGATACTAGGCCATGCATTACAGGCATTACGGATCATGCAAAATATGCATGACAAATCTTGCAATCTCCCAGACCCAGACATTTACTTATTTTGCATTTGATATCCGAGAGCTTCTTCGAGAGCTCCTCCGCCTTGTGCACCGACAGTCGCATATCGACCATCTCTATGCATGGCAAATGTAGATATACTATCTGGCTGCGGACAAAATAAAGCGCAGACTTGCAATGCGTCTTGTGTGCGGGGGGCACACAAAAACCTGAACCTGCTGTCTTGCCTGACTACTAAAAACCGCCTAGGCTTGGTCGAGTTGACAGGACGGTGCTCACATGCAGGATAGGAGGCATCGAGAAACCTCGCAGATGAATCCGTGATATTACGAGGTCCTGGATTCTAGAACTCGTGGACCTCATGGAGAAGTTGCATGAAAAACGTCTAGAGCCTTGCAAACCTCCCAGATGCACGTCACTTTGCAGCGCATATTCTCGTGCTCCAGTTCCGAATACCGTCCCTCCAGCGCTTCAATCCGCGTCTGATACATTATCGAAAGGAAAAATCCCCCCTCCTTATATCGAAAACGAAATTTGTGATGCTGTATTTGAGGTCACAAATCGCCTTGCCATGCTAGAAGGCCAAGAGCCGCAGTCGTGGCCTCGTTTGCAGGCAATTTGTGATGCTGTTTCCCACTCTCAGCTGCCTCCTATCATGCGGAAGATGCAAGGCTTCCCCACGCCACCCAGCACTACAGTCCGCATCTTTTCCCGTGTAGCATGACAAAGCTGATTTGTGACAACAAATCTGCATCACAGATTTCCGTTTTGATATGGGGAGGGGGGATGTTTCCTTTTGATATACATCACAGCTTCCCGATCCCTCTGCGCGAGCGCGGCCTCCAGCTCCTTCTGCATTTTTCGATCGCGCTGAGAGGTCGAAATCATCAATTCTTACGGATTGCGTGTGAGATTCCGATCATTGCTGAGATTCAGGTACGATACCACCGGACCGAAAAACACAGCAGCTTTGTTTTCACACATACGATTACGAGGCCGAAAAACATTGAAGTTGATATAGAAAATGCAAGTATGCAGAACGCTAGATGGGGATGGATCCAAACAGGGATACAAATTGACGTATAATAGCCTCTTCCGCTCTCCTTCTCTATGTCGTCTTCTGCAGTACAACTAGAGGAAGAATTTATTCATACCAGAAATCGCATGCCCGCGATACTCGGTAGATTCGTCGAAACGAGGAGAAGCTGCGCACACGCAGTCCCCATCATTCGCCTGCAGGTTCGCAGTATCATCGTTGCACGCCGGTCGCCTGCCACAGTACCCTCCCTTTTCTGCGTTTTGCAAACAGCCTCCTCCTTTCGTGTTTCGCAACAAGAGGTCTCGCCAGGGTCTTGACCGTCAGAGAAGTCGGCTGAATAATTTCTCAGCTCGTACTACCCCAACTCCTACCGCACCACTGCATCATTCTGTGCTTCGTCCCTGCCGTATGCCATTCCTGTTCTTTTCGACGCACATCATGAATTCATCCACGGACTCGAAAAAGTAACACCCGGTTTGTGGCAGTGAGGTAGAATAGAAAGACCGCAGCAATTTTCTTCTCCAAGACAAACCCTTTTTGTTTTACAACCCCCCGAACACTAGAAGAGACAACTTCTCGATCCTCTCACATTGTGCAGTTGTAGACAGAATCTCTCTGAGGTGACACCACGTAACATATCCTGAGTTGGCTTTGACACTTTACAACCTCTCGAAGCAGGTCGTATGGGAAACGATACTGTACTTGAACAGATTTGGTCACACAAGACCGCAATAGATGCATACACTCGTCTTGCAGTTTCATCCGTCCCTGCGCAGGGACTGCAAAATAAAGATGACATTGAAAATAGTTTTCCGTTTTGTGTAGCGATTCTGTTTCTTCTTAGCTTCTCGTCATGTCGTTTCGGCATAGTGAAAACCGGGAGCTTCATAGCACATGAGCCGTCACCGCAAAACAGTGTGGGTTCTTTTCGCGTGATGTTTATTGTTTCCCCACGGGCGGCTGTCGCTTTGGAGTTACTATCTTTTAAAAAAGTTGTACTTTGGAGTCAGTAGTAGCTACTCCAACTACGTCTGCCGCGGGGGGCGCGGAGGGTGTCGCTGGGGTTGTGCAGACGAGCCGGTTCGGTCCTCATCCTCCTAGGTCGTTTTTGTTTCCTCTCACTTCCACATCGGCAGTTAGACAAGACCAGGAGCTACTGCGGGGAGGCAGCAGGGCTGGAACAGAAGACGACGGCTACAAGACGGCTCTTGTCGCAGCTCGAGCTTTATCATAAAGACCTTTGACACTGGGCGACTTCTATATCGAGTAGAAGTCAAAGTCCTTGTCCTTCTTCTTCGCATGCTCCTTCCAGCCGATCTCGAAGTCTTTTGACGCTATCCATTGCAAATTTTGCCAAGGCGCAGAGAAAGAAGCCGCCGAATTGCTCAACACGCATTTACTTTCCTCATGACCGCAATACACACAGGCGTACGAATACGAAACATCACAGAATATAGCGAAAGCGTTTCGAGGCTATTTCGGCCACACAGCTTCAAGCATGGCCGGGTTATTGCAATTTCAAAGCGGGCCGGCGGCCAGCTCATACAACACCTCTCCGGTTTATTCCCTACTTCGCTGACAAATTTGCAGTGGATAGACAGAATTACATACCGGTTCCGTCGGACGGCCTGCATGCCGGCCTCCTGGCAGATCGCTGCAACATCGGCCGCCGAAATCTTCTCGGGTCGCGCGACGAAGTCTTCCAAGTCGACCTCTTCGCTCAAATTCATGCGGCTTGTGATCGTCTGAAAGATCAGCCTGCACAGAGATAAATGATATTCATCATTTTTGATCATCTTTGCCTACACGTACACGTTCTTCAGTCCCCACCGTCGTTTTTCGTTTTACCGACTGGGGGTTGTATCGCCTGAAAGCACATGTACAGACAATCGAGTTTACAACACTGCCATGATGATGTCGAAAAAGATTTAGATTAACAAGTACCTTCTCTGCCTTCTGTCCGGCAAAGGAAATTCGATTTTTCGGTCCAGACGCCCGGGTCGGAGTAATGCCGGGTCCAGTGTGTCAGCCCGATTGGTGGCCATTATTACCTAGGTTGACCCGGATTCGTTAAACGTATTCGAGAAAATTAGGTAGGATCTTACCTTCTGAAATGCAAATATCATTTCTCTGTACTACGCGGAGTACGACACACGTTCCATTTTTCTGTAATACCATGATGCTGGTACTGAAATCCTGATAAGCGATTGCAGCAGGGAGCATCTTCTGGGTGTTGAGATGCAGAGAAAAACATGCTCAAATGTAACAAATCGTATGCAACTTGCTCACCTTCACGCTTGTCGTTTGGTCGAACCCATCCATTTGGTTCAGTAGCTCCAGAAGAATACGTTGCACCTCACGATCTGCCCCGGTTTGACTATCGAAGCGCTTGGTGCCGATCGCGTCCACCTCATCGATAAATACGATAGACGGTGCCTGTTCGCGGGCCATCCTGCATAGTATTTTTTGGTCAGTTTAGGCACGCCTCACTTGATGTTCTACTGAGCATCTACACCCTGTTCTCATGTTCATGAGTACGCAGCTTCAGCGTAATAGAGTAAATACGAAACCAATCGCATACCTGAAGACGTCGCGCACCATTCTAGGGCCTTCTCCGAGATACTTTTGGACGAATTCCGACCCGACGACACGAATAAACTGTGCATCCGTTTGGTTTGCGACTGCCTTTGCCAGCATGGTCTTTCCCGTACCTAAAAGCAAGTAAGATAACGAATTGATGTTTATTCGCTAGCTAGCAATAGCATTTTCAAAGGTGGACGCGTGATATTTAGCACGGCCACATCTTCATGTACTGGAGTTGCAGAGGACCAAGGCGACGTCTTCTCAACTGGAAGCAGTATTTCGTTTGTTTTTGTTCGAAAAATCCAGTTATAGCCACTTCCGGTAAGAAGTACCTGGTGGCCCATAGAGCAGCACGCCGCTGGGTGGGTCAATTCCGATTTGTGCGTAGAGGTCTTGCTGTATCAACGGCAGCTCTATTGCCTCCCGGATCTCCTGTTTCTGAATGTCCATACCACCAATGTCCGCATAGCTGTTGTATCGTGAATCAAATGTTGCTCTTGATGATCGGCAAACATGAGCAAAGTATGATGAAGGACCTGTACTCAGCAAATGCAAATCAATGCTGCGTCAAGAGGCAGTACTAGCTGTAGTTTTCTCAAGGCAGTTCTTCCGAGCTCGCTTGGTGTCGTGTGGTCGTGGTCCATTCTTGATCGCCCCGTCGGTAAAAAAGAAACTACTACACTTACTCCTACTCGTACTTAGAGATACAGTAGAGAAAAATCTATACGTAACGTCGGGCTTTTCCGTTGCCGCGAGGTTTATCACGGAGGAATCGGCTTCCGCGGGCACCAACCCCACGACCGCGTGGCTGTGCCGATGGAGCGCGACCGAATTGCTTGGCTTCAAATCTTCGCGGTTCAGCGTGGACAAAACTCGGACGTAGTAGGTGCTGCTGTTGCTCTGCACAATCGCGTGGTCCTGGTCCACGAGTTCCGCGAACGTCCCAATAATCAGGGGCACGGACTGCACCCGTTTCACCTCCTCGCGCGCGCGAATCATCTCGCGCTTCAGATTCTTCATCTCCTCCTTCACGTACGCCTCCCGAATGTTCAGAAACTCGAGCTGTTGCTGAACTTCTTTTAACTTCTGGTAGGGATCCGACTGGCTGCTGGTTGCGCCCCCGGCTTGTTGCGTAGGGGGCTGCATCACCGCCGCGGCCGCCATCTTGGCTTTATTTCCTTTTGCTACTTTATTGCTATGATATATGCTCTTGCTCACAAGTAGATCAAAAACGAAGGGTTAAACTTGTTCAATGAATCGGAGCGAGGTCGTGGTATTTTTCCCAGAATTGTACATGTGGAAGCGCTTATAGTTGCACCAAAAGGCGGTGTATCCGGAGCAGATTCGAGATAGTACCAGTGGCTTGCGGTATCATAATATACAGACGTGCGTCACGTTTGAATAAACTGTTTTCATATTTCTGATCTTGGTGGTGGTTCGACGTCGCTGAGGCATTATTATGAGTCAAAGTTGTTTCCAAGTTGTTGACTGTCGGCAGGAGTTAGGAACGCATGGTCCCCGCGCCACGGCCACGGTTGGCATTAAGCTAGAAAAAACTGATCGAAGATTGTGCAAAGATGGCATGATGATGGACTTGATCTTTTTGTTGCTCTTTTTCTTAAAATGACTGTCATGCGTCACTGACAGTGGTCGCAATCACAAAGCTTGTTTGGTTTCTCTGAACAGCGTTAAATCAGCAGATGAGGCAGCGCGCTGCGATTGCGGCGAGCAGCTGCGGTCTCGTTCATAGATGCGTTTTCTTTGTCGGGCTTAATTTGCGCTGTGAAGAACTTGTTTTTATGCGGTTAGAACAAATGTCGCTTCTACTACGTGTAGTTTAGATCATAGTATGTTGCGCGGCGCGTCTCCAGGTCGTGGTTGTAGGCTACAGTAGTACCACCAGCAGCACCAGAGCGCTAGTACAGTGGATCTCCTACAACGGAAAACAAACTGCCCAGACTCTCTACCACCAGTTTCCGAAAAGCGACTCGTTCCTTTCTTGCTCGTAGTTGCGAATACACGGCGCCAGCTCCAGCCCGGGGAAGTTGAGCCACCGCGTGAGCTCGGCGATGGATTCGAAGTAGATGCTGTTTTCGTAGAGACTCTCCGGTATGTAGTAGCTGAGCAAGGCAAACGCCGCCTTGAAGGACAAGGTGGGGTGCAAGACGAGCAGGTTCTGCAGGAACCGCGAGTACTTGAATTGCGAGATCCGGATCAGCTCTTTCCAGACGTCCAGAATCGCGTTCGCGGAGGCCATACCCCCGTGGGCGTAGACAATCAGAAAGCTGGCGTTCGAGTACGGCTCGATCTTGGATACGATGTATCTGAAAATCCGATTTTTGCATACTTAAAACTACATGTTACTCCTCTACGTACCTACTACTTCTAGGACGAGGCCACTCGAACATAAGCGCGTCGTGTGTGACCAGACAACTGGAGCAAGAGGAGCAAAAGCCGCATTTCACCCAAAATGTGGAAAATCAATATTATGGTGTAGGAAATCGAAAGGACAAATCCGGCATCTTCATGATCTGACTTAATCGAAAAATAACTGCACGGGGAGTAGCTAAAAAGCAAATAAGTGCTCCTTCTAGTTTTTACCGAATCAGGATGTCCTGCTCGTATCGTGCGATGGGGATGAGCGCTTCCGAGAAAACGATGACATGCCTCCCAAGCTGGTCTTTGCCCGCGTACACTAGAAACTCAAACCTGTCTAGCTCGCGCATCGTGGAGGCATACGCCGGTGACGCCGCCTCGCGAAGGTATCTGTGTTGTTTCGCGTTTGAAACAATGGAGAGAAATATTTCACATCGACAACATCTCATCTTCTCAGTGTAAACTAACTCCATTGCAGGAACGTCAAGAGCTGCATTATGGAAAAATCATGCGAAATAGAGTCGTCCCACACATCATACTACAGTCTACTATCAATCGACCAAAACCTCAATCTGTACCTGAGGTAGATATGGTGCAGGTCGTTCGTGCTTTCGACGTCCCAGAGCGTGGCGTCGAGGCGCGCAACCTCTTTCTCGGTCCAATCCGCGTGGAATTCCGTGGAAAATCCGTGCAAGTCGTCCGGCTCGTGGCCCGCCGGATCCGGGAGACCCTTTTTCCTTACGGCGGTGGTGGCGTTGTCGTCCGACTCTTCCTCCTCCTCCTGCCGCCGGCGGGCGACGAAGTCCGGCACCTTGAGCACGCGGTCCGCGGACTGCTCCTCCTCCCCGGTGGCGGTTCCGAAGGAAAAGTCGGGGCCCACGAGGGCCATGCCGGCCACGGAATCCTCGGGCGACCGGGGAAAATAGAGCTGCAGCAGCGTCTGTGCAAGCTCGTACTCGGCCTGGTGCTCGGTGTACAGAACGACGGTGAGCGGCTGCGGGGGCACAAAGGTGGGATTATTGTTGCTACTACCACCGGCCGCACCCACGGCCGCCTGCTGCAACTTGGGGAGCCACCGCCGCAGGGTGCGGAACACCACGTGCAGGCACTGGTCCAGCGGAAATTGCTTCTCTGCGGCGTACTGCAGGGGAAAGGCGAGGGATTTTATGCTGTTGGGCACCTCGTAGCACAACCCGGTCACGTTCCGCACGCACTGCGAGAGCGTGTTCTTGGCCGCCGTCGTGTATTTCTCCTTGTAGTTCGGGCCGCAGAAGGGGAGGACCTTGGAGCAGTGCAAATTCCCGAAGTTCCCCTTCATCACTTGCGCCTCCCCGCTCCGCATGCGCTCCGCGTTGCAGAGCTCGGTTATCAACTTTGCGCCACCCAAACTCAGCAACCTGTGACGAGTCACGAATTGTATCTTTTCTATGCAATCGGCTTTGGGTTTGGATGCATAAGAACTACCCGCTCTTTACATCATTATGTCACAACCAGATACCATGTAAGTTAGACGTTCAGTCACATCTTCTAGAGGATTCCTTTACTTGTTGCCAACATGTAGATGTAGTTGTAAGTATCTATACCTATGTCCGGTCGATTTTGTGAGGGAGCTGTAGCTGAAGTCGAAGGCTACTGCGTCTACCTCTAGCGATGCCACGTCCCCGCAGAAGAGGCGGACCCGGGTGTTCAGCGGCTGGTCCACTCCAAACGGGCTTCCCGGCGCCGCGGTGGAACTGCTGCTGCCTCCGCTTTGGAAGTTCTGGAACTTCTCGGCCGCGTTTCCCGTGCTCGCCCAGGTCGGCACGGCGTTCAGTGGCGTTTTCGGCACGTAGTCCCTCGGGGGCGCGTCCAAGAGATTTTGTTCCCACAATTCGTTGTGCCTCTCCGCCAGCCATTGGAGCGCGTCTATGGGCGGGCGGTTGCCGCCAGGCTCACCGTTGTTGTGCCCCCCGTAGCCAGCACCGAGTGGTGGCGAGTTTGAGTGATCATGATCTACTCGCGGCGGGAAATTACTAGGCGTGCCACTGTTGAAATTTGTTCCACCATGGTATGATCTTTGCGGACTGCCGGGTGGGGGCGCCTCGGGTGCTGCCCCGCCCGGAAAAGAAGAACCCGCGTAGTTGTAGCTGCTGCCATTGTTGTAGTACGCGCTTTCAGTTGTCGTGGTATTCGCCCCCGGGTAGCCGTTGCTGGGGTAGGTGTTGTAATTCGCGGGGGTCGTGTAGTTCGCTGATGGAGGGGGCCCTTGATGTGCGCCGTTCGGGTAGGAGTTGGTGCCTTGGCCTGATGGTCTTTGCTGGTTGTTCATGTACTGGTAGGCACGCTGGTCCGCATTTTCGTCGTAAAACATCTTCTCGACTGCAACAGTGGCGTCGTTCCAAATCGAGCCGCTTTGGTGCCTGGCTTGCTGGGAAGTCCCGACAAACGGGCCGCCAATTGTCATATGTACAGTGTGATGAGTGCGCGCTGTACTATTAATTCGTACTAAACTACCTAGCTACTTGTGAAAGGAATAGCAAGCGTCGAAGTAAGTGATGTTGACTGTGAATGATTATGGTGTGACGTGATGGTGACTCTGTAAATTTACAGCGTGACTATCAGAACAAAGTCAGACGAACAAAAATTCCTATAGTTAGCGGAGAACTTTCTTGTCATATGTTTCCGTAGCCACACTTGCGTCCCGTAACTTCTATCTCTATGCGAGCTAGACTACTAAAAAATGCTCTGTAGATCTAAAGCAGGCCCGATTTGAAAACAGCTTTCTTTGAAAGTGCTTCTTTCGTGGAGGTGGCTCCGTGTGGCTAACACGCCATCGCATGCTTCGATATTTTCATCGTCGCTAAGCGCATAGTCATGAAAAAAAAAGCTTCTTTTCCTTTCAAAAAGTTTATGGTCTAGCGTGGTTCAGAGCGACTAGCAGAGAAACGTGTAGTAACCTTTTTTAATTTTGTCGCTGTCGCTAGAGAGTGACGCAGACGTACGAAATGAGTTGTTAACAAAAAAAATTATTACAAGGGGTCCTTGTGGGCGCAACATGCCTTGTAGGTGGTCCTGTCATGATTTTGTGAGACTGGACGGTCAAAGGCGGTCATGGTCCCCGAGAACATCATTAAATGGATCCATGCAAAAATTGGCAAATTTCAATGAAACAGAACTTCTATCCTTCTTGAAATGTCTTTCCATACAGAATTAGGGAAAACCGATGTTGAAAATTCCAATCGTATTTTGAGCTGTTTATGCGGTCGAGAAGGTGTTAGTTTGCAAGGTTATCGTAATCCTTCCTTTGCGCACGAATAATGGTCAAATGAACGGAATTATTAGCTTCACGGGGGCGCGAACGAATGCGTAGACACGAACGAACCGAGATCTTTCTTGCCTCTAAACCGACAAAAGATTGATTCTGGTTGCCGATCCCTGTGGACGTTGAAAACAACATGAACGTTTTCCGCATCGGGCTGACTGCACAACCGAGTGAGCCGCTATCAGCGAAGACCTCTTGATACTCACAATGACACTAATTTTCGCACAAGCATACAAAATAGAGCCGGTTTGATGGAGGAAATCTTTTCAGCCGAACTATCAGATCAAATGCACGAAGCCTGCTGTGAGTTGAGGAAAACACAAGATGACAGTTGATACAGACAAAGGAAACAAATTTTCATGAGGACTTCTACAAATGGAGCTTACAAAAGAAACAAACGACAAAAAAGAGCTGTGTACTTAAATTGAGAGATGGGCTCGTCATTAGAAATTCGAAAATTAATTTGAAAGAATTCTTCGTTTTGTACAAAAGCAAGCAAAGCAAAAGAAAGTTGAGAGAAGTTTTTACAGTGTTTTTTGATGAAAAGTACATTTTACAAAATGAAAATCCGGATAGCGAATGAATACAAACATTTGATTTTTTCAGCTGATGCTGGTGCCCTGCGAGTTGGCAGTCGGCGTTGCGCGACCTGGGCCCCCTCCTGCTCCACGTTTTGGGCTGAACCCACCATCGTGGTCCCCCCGCTCCGGATCCGGCGTGACGACGCTGCCGTAGTGCTCGTGTTTGTCGTTCTTGGACACGAGGCCGAGGTGTTTGTTCGCGGCAGCCTGCTTCGAATCCGAGCCAAGTGCCACGCCGCCCGTCGCTGCGCCAGTGTAGTTTCTTCCGGTGCGGAAGTGCAGATACAACGCGAAGCCACACACGCAAACGATGATAAAGGACAGCACATTCCATACGTTCCGCCACCAATGTTGCTGAACTTTGTCCTTTTGCTCCAACGACGAGCGCTTGCGTTCATCTGCTTGTTTCATCGAGGCAGCTTGTTTTTGATGATGTTCTTGTTGTACCACTGGCGCGGATGTTGAATCTTGCTTGTTCATGAAGTGCGCCGCCGGCTCCCCCACGACAGGCTGGCTGCTGGCGGGCAGCGCGTGGTCGTTCTCCCCCGTGTTGCCAGCCAGGTGTCGCGGGTGGAACACGTCGCCGTGCAGTACCGCGGAGGGTTCGGAATCGCTGTGCTCCTCGTGATGTTGCTCGTGCATGGGTGCTGCTGGATTTTTACCGTGCATGTACCGGTCGCCAGCACCTTGTTCCTGCAGGCTTTGATGCTGCTGCTGCGCCTTGAACACGGCGAAGTTTTCTTCGTTTTCAAAGATTTTGCCGTCCGCGACGGAGTAGCGGGTTTTCGTGGTGGAGATCCTGGCCGCGCCCGTGGCCGCCTCGTACTTCTCGCTCACCCGGCTCAATACCGCGTGCGACTGCGGCGTCAAAGACGGGTCCGGGTTCGCCTGTTGCACCCAGGCTTTGTCGAAACTGGCCCGCGCGACCACGCACTCCGGGTTGGACGCGATCCGGTTTTTCAGCTCCTCCGTGTAGTCCAGCGTGTTCCCCTGCGGTTCCTCCAGCCCCGGCTGCCAAATCTCCAGGCCCTCGCACGTGAAGTCGTCCGGGATCGACAGCAGTTCGCGGTCGTTGTCGCAGATGTCGATCACCGACCCGCCGTCGATGTTCTCGCAGCCGACGCCGTAGAGGTAGTTCTTGTCGTGGTTGAACCGGATCGCGGGGTCGGCCATCTCGAACACGCGCAGGGTCAGCCGCATGTTGCGCGGCAGCTGCCCGTTCGCGTTGTCCGTGTTGTCGTACAATTGCGCGACCGTGCCGAAGTGGGACTCGGCAATGTGCTTGTTGTCGTCCGTCTCCACGAGGTAGGACAAACACCGCATGTTCACCTCCTTCTTGTAGTCCAGCTTGGCATCCGGGTAACCTGGGGTCACGTTGTGTGGAAAAAAGGTGGTCACCGACGGGATGAAAGAACGGAACCACACAATTTAGTACTTATCAGACCACATCATGCTCTTGGTTTTGTACATCCGAACGATCATGTGAAGTTCGTTGCGCTGGAATTGAAATGAGGTATCTTTTTAGACACATTGTTGTATAGCGGAGGACCGGAGCACTTCTACAGCTATACATGGTATCCAAACACTCTACAACAACTTCTTCAACTTACCTGGGCAATGCACCGCGATGGGGTGCGTGGGGTCCGGCGCGTGGCCTTTGGCCGCCTGGGGCTCGAAGCTCCCGGCGTACATCCAGTCCTGGATGCCGCCGCGGATCCAGTAGATGGCGTCGGTGTGCGGTGCGATCAACGGGTACCAGTAGGGCGCGTCCGCTGTGTTCTCCTTCCCCGCGGCCAGCTGCATGCGGCGTGCGATGCCGTGGTACGCGTGCGCGTCGGGGGCTTCGGAGCTCTTCTCGTTGAAGCCGGCGTCGTTGTTCTCGATCACCTGGGGGGACAGACTGCCGGGCTTGCCGTCGTTGCCCATCACGTGGTTCGGCCCAGCCCAGGAGTACACCAGTTGCCGCGTGCCGGCGTGGAACTCGATCATTTGCCGGAAGAGGTGCGTCCGCGCCAACTCGTTCAGGGAGCGGCCGGCGAAGCTCTGCATGCAGTTCGCCGCCAGGTAGGGCATGTCCCGGTTCGGATCCACGCCCTGGTCCTCCCGCACGTCGTGGTAGTACCCGAAGGCGTTCGGCATCGGCATCACCCACATGGAGCGGTGGTCGACCAGGTAGGCGAGGTCTTTCGCCGCCGCCGCGGGCTGGTGCAGCTGGTCAGCGCCCAGCTGGGCCGCGTCGCCCGCCTTGCTCAGCACCAGCTGCCGCACCATCTCGGACACCACAGACACCCCCACTTTCTCGTTGCCGTGCACCTCCCCGATGGCCAGGACTTCGGGGGTGGTGGGCGTCAGCGTCTCGAAGTTCGTCACCTGCACGAGCAGACTCTCGCACGGGTATTGCCCTTTCTCGTTGGGCTGTGTGGAAGTTTATTTCGTTTTCGCGCACTTTTATTTGTGAGATACTTATGTTGACAAACGGAATTTTCGCTAGTAGAAAATCATCTCCTAGCTTTTGTCTCATCGGCCCTCGAAGCTCAATACTTGTCAAAAAACATCAGGTTTGTTTTTGCTTGAAGAACTCTAGGTCTAGTACGGACAAGCAGAGCGCGCATCAACATCTGTGAGAAATAAAAATACCTGTGGTTCGGTTTGCCTTCCGAAGATGTTGACTGGCGCGGTGCCGCAGGTCATTTCTTTCATTTTTTCCTGGAATGCTTGCCGGTCCTCCGGCGTCTCGCCCTCGAAGTCGCGCAGGTGCGGAAATTTTTCATCCGCCGACCAAATTTTGACGTACTGCGGAAAATGCTCGGCGAGCGCGCTGTAGAAGTCGAACACCTCATGGTACGAAAGGTACTGAAACGCGCCCTTGCCGTATAAGAAATCCTCGGCAGTTTTCTCGCCGGCCGCAGCACTCGAGGCCACGACACCGGCGGAAAGAAACGCTTTCGTGAACAAGCGCATCATTATTCTGCAGTGTAATCAAGTCGTCCGCAAGTAGGGATAATCGTCTTGATATGCTTTTCCTGTTCGATGGAGGAAATGAATTCGAGAAAAAATACCTCCTTGCTTACGCGGGCTGGCCATAACACAGACAGTCTGCAACTGGGGAATTGCAGTGCCACATTGAAAGGTTTTGGTTTGATGGAAAGGGAAACAAAATTGAGTGTAGAGGAAAATGAAAACAATAGGGACGAAACGATAGCAAAAACAAACGATTTTTTTCGATTCGACGATTTACGAGAAAACCTTCAGAGGCCTGTGGAAAGTGCCAAATTTCGAAAAAGTGCATTTGTCGTCGCGAAGCGCCGCATTCTATCATGACTTGCTATGTATTGTAGTACTAAGACGATAGGTACCTCGACCACCCAGCTGACTACTTATTCAGGACGAAAGGGACGACCGAGAGCTGAGAAGCGCTTCCGAGATTGGCAGCGAAGCACTCGACCAAAAATTCCATGGGTTGTTGCGACAGAACGATTTCGAACTCACGGCTCACGAAAGCAGTAGTATACCCAAAAGGACGAGGGCAGCAACGACCGAGAAACAAAGTGTCGCTCATCGAGACAGACCGATGCAGTTTCATGTCACGTAAATTAAATCTATCGAGCAAGACCGAAAACGAGAAAGGCGTCAAAAGCTGACATACAACAATTTTCTGTAGGAACAAGTATCAAGCTGCGCCAGCTGTGTATTGATTATTTTAATGACATATAGTTCTGTTACTGTTAGTATAATGGAATTGATCAAAGCCGATATTAAAAGCTCGCGAGATCAATCTGTCAGTCCGGGTTCCATGACCTCACGTGCCTCGTACATCGTGCTAGTAGTGCTACCTCATCATCCTTTATCATGTACGGGTCGTATGGGCTGGGATCTATTGGTTACATCCTACAAAGAAACTGATAACCGGCCCGAGTTTCTTGCCCTTCGGAAAAAATAAATCCAGTTACACTTAATCTTCAACTGCAGCCAGGAGGCATGCGTGTGGGAGTGCAAATTTCGAAATTCAATGCGAATTTAACTTTAAGGCTGCTATGTATCAACAACAAGCCACGGCTCTGTTTTTCTAAGATTTTCTTCTTCTCGGAAGCCGCTTGTACTTTTTGACCAGAAAAAATATTTTGTCGATCGGTGGTCAGAAGCACTTTTCGATTTCCTCATGGGCAACATTTTGTACTGTTACGAAATCCGCTGCATCTCGTAAATTTTTCCTGAGATGACTGCTGTCGCGGAACAACAGACTCAACAAGCGGCTGGTTTACGTGGTCCTGTCTACTCGCCAATCGAATGCGTCATACTCGCTGGGGTTCGATAACAGCATTTGCTTCAGTATTCTGATTATCTCACGTGTTGCAGACAATTGCACTGTGTCGCTGTGACTCAACAGATGATCCCCAGGCAGCCACTGCTCCACGTCGAGCATGCAAGTGCTTGCTTTGGCTAGAAAAGCTTGTGTTCCAGCGCGCCGCCATTCCCGGCGCCACGGCATGCTTCGTCTCTCCCGCTCGAGCTCTTCTGCGCAGAAGCAGTCAGAGGCGGATGGACAGCCGGGTAACGGTGGCCGTGTGACGAATCTTGTGCTTATTTCTGCCCCTGGCTCAACAGCCAAATTGTTCCCCAAGGGGGACGAGCGGCGGCGCTTTACAGCTTGGGCCACGACGACATCCTGAACAGCGGCTAGCATTTCCGGTAAAGAATATCCGGCACTGTGGCGTAGTGAAGTGGCGCTTTCGCTTAAGACGTCGCCGCCGCTCCTGTTCCCGTGAAAAGCCGCACAGACAAACAGAAACACATCGCGGAGCTTTTCTTCCCTGAGGCGCGTCACAACTTTCTGTACTGCGCGTCTGGCAGAAAGATTCTTGTCTAGTCTTGGTGGAAGAACTGGAGGCTCTTCGATGTCCCTGAGACCTCGCGAGCTGCAGCCACCCGATCCGTCTACCGTCCCGTAGTCAGCTGCAATAGCACCAGCACCACCTGCCGTCACATGGTAGGTAGGTAGGTTTACTCAACTACGGAGTTATAATAGTCAATAGCAATAGCGTGAGCGCTTATTTGTTTCTATAGACTGTTGGGTGGCGGGGGAATTGCCGGGTCGTCTGCATCTGCTCGCTGGGGTGGCATTGCTTCCTTCTTTCCCTTACAGGCCATCTCGTGTTTCTGCATGTCGTCAACTTGTTTCATCATCGAGCGGGTGAACTCCGTGATGACTTGCTGGCCCTCCTCCTGCAGCTGCTTCTTGAATGTCCCGCACTTCCTGCACTTGATTCCGAACTTGCCGCTGCGCGTCATATAGCACGCATCTTCGGGGACGTGGCACCTGGTCACGTAGGCATTGGAGCCCATAAAATATCGCCCCTGGTTGCTATCCCAGATGTGTTCGCTCGGCACGAACTCACTAGTTTTAATTCGTTCGCCATCGTCGCCATACCGCCAAATCTGCCCGTACTTGACATAATCGCCGCGGGTATGTGCAAGCGCGTGCAGCTCCATCGCGCCAGCGCTTGACGTAAAATGCTCACAGCAAATCTCGCAGGTTATTTGCGGCACGTGCCCCGCGCGCCTCCTTCCCGCCGGTGGTTTGCCTTTCCTCGCTTTTTCCTTGAGGATACCAGGGTGGCGCGCAATGATTTCCGCCCGGAGCGCCGTAGCTCTTTCGTCATCGTCCTCTTCATTCCTCTCCATCAGAGCATTGCGGCATTGAAGGTCAGGCTCCGCGATCGAGTGGCTATTTTTACAATGCGTCTGGAAGGCGTCCGGAACGCCCGTGATCTCCTCGCCGCTCAGTGGCTCCTCCTCCGGGTCCTGAAAATGCGGTGAATCCGCAGGGCACCAAGGACACCGACGTAGCTTGAAGATTTCTGGAATAGCGCCGGGATAATAATAAATAATAATGTCCATTTTCTCTCTCAGGGGCACCCGTCACGGCGTCAGCTTCAGACTCACGTGTTTGATCGCTTCCCTGGCCCCAGTTCTCGATGGCATCTAGAATGCACTCGAATAGGGTCCACGCTGAGTGCCCGTCGGGGAGGCGTCACATTGGCACGTACTGACGACTGAAACTATTGCGCATCAGGTGCGAGAAAACTTGTTTGTAGTAGGTGTCCGCAAGTTCTCGGAAGATCCACAGCATGTCCTGCGGCTTTGTCTGCCCTTCCTGTAGCAGAAAGTGCGCCAGAACCTCGTCGGCGCCGCTGATTCGTGTGCGCAAAATGGCATCCAAGAAAAAATTTAGCAAGTGCAGCTCTCCCCCTCTCGCAAAAATCTGAAGCACAGGGGCTAGCCGTTCATAGTGTCCCAGCAAAAGCTTTACGCGCCGGAGGAAAATCCGTCGCTGGCTGCTATCTGTACAGTCCGAAGGAAGCGTGTCCAATTCTTGGAGCCACTGGAGCACAATCGCAGTCACGTACCCACCTCCTCCCGGAAGCTTTGATAAGGAGCCTGCTGTGACAGCAAAATGAACTACATTCTGGCTATCCACATCGTAATTATTGCCCCGATTCGCTATGTCGCGGATAAGGACCATCGCCTGCTGTGCATCAATCAGCTTTTTCCAATGCGCATCCAGCACCGCTGAAAAAGGGGAGGCGCCTTGCATGCCGATGGCCGATGCGTCGGCACTTTGCGGGTCTGCGTCCTCGTTGCGGAACAGCCACAGCGCCGAGTGCTCTCCGTCGGTAGCTGCCCAAGAATTGATGGCGCACGCCTTATCTGCGAGGCCACGCAAGCTGTTCTGTGGCCCCGTCCCCCGGCCCACCTCGGCTACTAACGCTTCGACCATCAGGAAAAACGGTGTTTCGCCGTCCGTTGCGCGCTGCTGCCCGAGCAGACCATTGTGGACCTGCTCGAAGGCGGCTCGGCCTCGGAGCAGATGCTCGCGGTAGCTATCGACGGCCACCTTGGCGTACTCATAACGCTCCGCAAAGGATAATTGCTCGTGTTGGTGTTTGTCGAAAATTTTGTGCCACAAGTTCTCCCCCTGCTGTTCAGCCCCGTGGTCACTGCCAGTGGGGGCGCCAATCAACTCCGGATCGAGAGTCAGAATACGGTGCAAGACTTTGGCGTTTTCTGACTGGTTTTGCGTTTTTGGTTTTTCGCGTGGTGAGGGAGGTGCTCCTACGACTTGACCCGTCGCGGTGCGCAAAAACCCGTCCAGACTGCATGTTTGAGGAAACCACGAGCCACCGGCGGTTGCATCGGGAGAGTCGAGCATGGCTTCGTCACCGTGAGCCCGTGGTGTAGCAGAAAGGACTGGCGAGAAGACACCAACCCGTGGTGGCAGTTTCAGCAAGGAGTCCAGCGCCCGAGCGGAGCTCACGTGTGGCAAAAAATTGTGGCGCAGGAAATTCACTATTTCCTCGTACTGTGGGCCGCCGCGTGGAACTTCGTAGTTAGCAGGTTCTGCAGAAGCAGGATCCACAATGCCGCGCAGACCTGTTTCATCGCGCTGGTCGTGTTCCGACGCAGCCCACGAAACCTTCCTCGTACTTGTCTCCGCTTGCACAAGGTGCTGTAAAGCAAACAGCAGCGTATCGGTCACGACCTCGTGCGCAGTCCACTCTTGCTGTGTCATTGCTTGTGCAATTGTCTGCACGGCATCTAGATTACCGGCACGAATAGCGCATTGTAGCAGTGTCAGCGGTCGCTCTTGCGCGCTGCCCGGTTGTTCTTCTGACGCTGTTCGAAGAAGGCTCACACCGTTCGCCAGACCGGTCTGCAGCTTATGCATAAGGTCCGACGAATCCATAGGGCGTTCTTTACCGGTGAACATCAAGTCCGAAGCCCCACACAAGGCGGTGCGCAACTCCATCTCTTCATCTGGCCGCTTCTGTTCCTCATGTAGTCCCGACTCGCGGGAGGTACCAAAAGCGTTGCTCTCATACGCGACGCTCAGTTCTAAGTGATCGCTCGGGACGAGAGAAGCCCGACCTCCCTTCGACGTGTCGGCATTTGATACCCTCTGGCGCAGGGAAGTTGCCATGAACGCCGCCTTCTGCCCCTGAGCTGCAGCATGCCAGAAATTATTATCCTGACTAACATTCAGACGCAATTTACCGATTTGACTATCGATAAAGCGGGTCAGGGATATTAATGAGTCCTCCCCTGGAGAAGCACCAGAATGATCGGCCGCGTGGACGAGCGCCCGACTTCCTGCGGGTGCCGCTCGATGCAGGATGTCATACTCCACAAGCTTCTTGCGCATCGAACGCAACAAGCTCCACGTTGGCGTAGCCGCTTCTGTTTTCCACTCCAAAGCTGTCACAGCTGCAGTGCGTGTGTCTGTCGCCTGCACCCTCACGTGAAGGATCTGTGACTCATGTGAACCACCTCCGTCGGCGAGCCGTCGCTCTATCGATTGTTGTCGCGCACGGACTCTAGCCATTTCTATGCAAGAAAAAAGCTGTGTAAGTGTGATGCAGAAAATGCAAAACAGTATACACTTCTCATGCTGCAAGTGCGTCATAGGCTACTATCATACGCGTTTTCACGTACTAGCTGCGCATGACAGGTTTTCCCTGTAACGCAAAACGAATTTGTGATGCTGCTCTTCCTACAAAGTTACACTTACACAGTTTTTTTTTCTGGATAATTTCGGCGGCCCATTCAGTACTATTGGGTACTCCAGTACTATTTCGCATAGGATTAGGATTGCGCACGCTGCTTCGGCGGCCGCGCGTCCATTTTTGGCCAGCCGAATCGGAAAAATCCATTGCCCCAACCACTAGGCTGGTAGAAACTATGCTGACTAACACAAGTGCCATCTCCTTTCGTATTATACAAAAAAAAATTAAATTACACATCGGGTGAGCAGAATGTTGTGTTTGCGTCGACGTAGACTGTTCAGCAACCACACCGTTGCCGCTCTATCCATGTGGGGTTTTGACAAGAAAGGTTTCTTCAAAAAGCGAAACTCTTCCTAAGTGTTTTCAGAAACAAAATTGATGTAGAAGACTCGTATGTCTCTGTAGCCGCGTAGACCTGATTTGTTCAACTAGCGTGGATTTTTATTCACGTGAAATAATACTCATGGAACAATTTGATCCGAGGTCCTCTCCAATCGTTGCCTTGACCTCGCGGCATGATGGACCGCACTTCCGTTTCGGTTTGATCTTTGGATCTGGATCTCCAGGTCGGTCCTTTCTTCAAGTTAGATCGACAAAGTATTTGAGACACAAACCGCCTAGGAAATCTGAGAAATTGCAATATCTTCATTAGTGTACGTCGAAGCGAAATGGATAGAGACGACTTAATTGCAACAAGATGACGAGCAAGCAAAAGCAAAACAAGGAGAAGAATGCTCGTCATTAATTTCACTGTTCACACTCACAGGCAGCAGCAGCACAACAGAACAAAAATGCTCCACCAGATGATCATGATGTGAACCACATTCTTGCGTCTGCGTCATGGAATTCTTGTCATATTTCCTTTTTACGTTTGAGGCTCCTCATTCAACTGCACTTTTTTTCTTGTTTTGGCACTTACACATTATACATTTTATCTTGGTCTTAAATTGTACAAAGCCTAAATCGGAATCAAGGCATGAAGGTGTACAACTTGAACAGTTTGTTCTTGTTGTGACATTGTGAAGACTACTCTGTGCAAAATAAGAAAAGGCATTGTTCGTAAAAAGTACTACTGTGCAGCTCTCCGAAAGCATTTCTTTCTAGAATTGCGATTTCAATTTTATGGTACCAAATCCGACAGTAAATCCATGCCTTCCTCTTCCGACTTGCATGTCCTTAAGTGTGGAATTTTTGCAGCCATCTAAGGTTCGGCCATGGAACGTTAGAGCCTGAGTCGAAACGCCTCACCCTTTTGTTAGTGCTTCACGCTCGCCGAGGGTGGGAAATAGAGTGCGTCATGCAGCTCTATACATACTTGTCTTTCCTCTCCGTGTTCACTTCGCCTCGTAATATGGATAAGGCAGTTTTTGGCTTCTACTAAAACTATGCCCGTGTTGCACTTTCTGTTACTTATGGCGTTCCGCGGTCCAGGATGATGATGATGATGCTACGGAATGGGCTCGGCACTACGCCGTCCTTCGACGCTGAAAAATGATATGTTTCCAAGCAATGCAGGGAGCGAGCGGCGCAGCTTTCTCAGGCTTCTCTGCACTTCGGTCCTCTCCGAGGAATCCAGCATATCGCATTGTGTTCTTGCACGCGGTTGCAGCGAAGGCGGTTGCGGTGCTGCATAGTAGTCGCCCTCTTCGTCAGACCTCTCGTCTGCTGCATAGTAATCGACGTCCTCTTCCTCGTCAGAGCTCTCGCCCGCTTCACATGCAAGCGCCTTTCCATCGTTCTCTATCACTTGCAGTGTTATTTCCAACATGTTCCACTTTTGCACGTCATTCAGCGCTTCGAACCGGACTTCTGAAGGAAGAAGCTTGTCAAGGAACGATTTTCTTGACAGCAAGTACGCGTACGTGTCCCGATAATAGTTCGCCACGACTGTCTCAAACTTCTCCAAAAATGCCTGGCTCTGCAACTCCTCGCTGCGGTCTTTCCTCTCGCGTAGTGCGAGCATCAGCCCTCGTCCCGCGTTTCTCGCATCTTGTTCTCCAGTCTTGCGCTGCAAGAGAGTATCAAGGAGAAAGGTCTGTAGCGAAAATCTTCTACTCCGGGTTGTTGTGGGGGGGACCACGCCATCTTTCGCGGCAAAGTGAAAGCGTGTGGCAGCCGAAATTTCCTCGTAGTTATCCAGCAACGCCTCAAGGCGTCGAGAGAGAATGTCGGTGGTGGCTTTGTGCAGGACCCGCCGTTTTTTGTTTCTCACATAATCGGCTCTGTCGTGCACCACAGCTACCCGGGACTCCGCAACTGAGCTGCTCCCGACTTCCTCTGTGGAGGGCCCTGTGAAGAAAATTGCTCCAGCCACTAGCAAAAGCGGACGCCAGTAACTGGCCAGCAAGAGAGGTATTATCGGCTCATTTTCGCGAGCTTCGTCCTTCGTGATACGAGTTACGTACGTGGTCATGATATCAGGTTTCATCAGAGAGTCGTCCTCCACATCAAGCAGGAGCATGAGAATCAACGAGTAAGAGAGGTTGCGGGTTTTGCGCGCTAGCTTCATGAGCGGCAGGAGTGTTTGGTAGTTCTCGAGCAGCTTCTTCAGACGGCGGAGCACCAAGCATGGCGGGGCAGCTGCCAATTCGGCTTGCATTCCTGCTTCATCTTCTGGCTGCGCCAAAAGAGATAAGTGTGTCCATTCCCGAACGTGAGCTGCCACATAATTCTGCCCTGTCTCGACGTTCTGCGAGGTTCGATGGGCGAGTTCGCTGACAAGCTGATACGTTAACTCGCAGGCGGTCGGGTGTATTTTCTTTTCATGTGCCTCCAAAAGAGCAGCAAAGGGAGACGATTTGGCTCTGTCAACTACGCCACGCTTCTCACCCGCAGCCAGCGGGTCCGTATCCTCGTGTTCAAACATTTGGAGCGCTTTCCCGAAATCGAAGATCATCTGGTCGCTATCGCTTTCATCCATCCACTCCTCCATCCACGAATATCAATATCCTGAAGCGCAACTGCCAACATCCACGTCCATATAGCAATCCGGTGCAGCTGCAACCTCTCCTACGGTAGGGCCGCCGCAGATCGTCTTTGCGGTAAACAACGATTCCACCATCAAAAAGAACGGTGTTTCGCCATCCTTGGCTCGCTGTTGTCCAAGCAGTTGTCGTCGCAGCTCGTCCTCGCGAGCCTCAGAATTGGTAAAAATCTACTTAAATGTTAGCAGTAGACGCAAACGGACACTACTGCTATGCAGGAGCACACTCATACTAGACATGGCGTCTCGTCGTGCGGACTGCATGGCTCTATCGAAACTCGACTGTGCCGCGGACGCAGCCTCCCCCCAGCTACAGAGGAAGCTGGGGGCAACGCTGTCGCGGGCGACTGATCAGCTGTTCACGTTTGATATGCGAAACGCCTTTGCCTATCACGCCACGGCTGCAGGCGAAGTCTTCGTCTACAGGCGCGAAGGCTTTTGCCGCTTTTCGCGTTTTATTTTCTACGCACCGCCTATGTAGTTCGTTCAACAAGAATACTGATAGAACTCTATACCCCTTCGTCATGGCCCCCGTGGTCAAAAAGTCGGCAAGCTTCTTGTGGCCCACTGAGCACTTCATTTTGGCCATGAACGACACCACCCGCGCGCACTCACACATGGAACTGCCAGCCCCATGCGTGGCGCCGGGCCCGACCATCACCGCCGCTATGTGTTTCTTCTTGTGAGCGTCGGTGTTCATAATTTGCACCATGCGGCTGTGTATGGATTGCAAAAATGTCTGGGTCTGGAAGATGTCGAGATTTCTCATCCTAGATTGGCATGACTCTGAACTCTGTATTGCGTGGCCACGAACACCTCCTCTTGTTTGTCATGCAAAAACGACGTTTCTCATGCGGAATACGCAATAGAGTGCCACGAAAAAATCTGTCATGCTTGGCGGTGCACTACAAGGCGCTTTCTGTTCACTGCCATGCATCACAAGTTTCCAGATCCAGACCCAGACATTTTTGTATTTGATACTGTGGCAGATGTCGAGGTGCTTTCCAGCCAACTGGTGCCCCGGCTTGTCTTTCACCACGTCGACGACGTTGGACAAGGTGATGGGCGCGCAGTCGGGATCACGATACAGGTTGTGTTTCTTGTCCAGCGTCTTGTTCTCCGCGAGAGCGGCCCGGAGGACCTCGGTGTGCGCGATTCCGTGTTTCTTCAGGTACTTGCATCCTGAGTAAAAACGTCCCCACACCATAGTCAAGTTGGGGAATCGGCTAGACAAATCCACAGGCTTTGGCTGTTTCGCATGACAAATTTGGACTCGTAGTGTAGTACTGTTTGAGCTAGCTCAGCAGCATCACAGATCTAGCACACCATGCTGATTGGAGCATGACAAATTTCAAAACACGACTGGAGAATGCTTTTCATGGGGCTCCGCATGCGAAGCATTTTCAGCATGCAGCTTTGCACTAAATACAGCTATGGGGTGGGGGCGTTTTTAAATGGGGCAACTTGTCGTCCTTGGTCATCCGCGCCACATAGGTCAGGCCCGCCTTCCTGTCCTTTCCGCGGACGCAGCGGCGCGGCTTCTCGTAGAGGTAGTATCCTGTGCAAAAATATCGCACTCGTACTAATTGCATTTATGCATTACAAATCTAGTTCCTAAGGCAAATCCGCATTACAAATTGAATTTTTTAATGCTGAGCAAATTTGTATTGCAATTTATACTAGTGCGCTACTTTTGCAGTTCATAGGTAGGCGTCGGCAACGATGTAGGACAGGTTCCGCTTCTCTTCGCGGTCGAGGCCAGCCACATACGACCCCGCGACGAATCTCTCGCAAGTTTTGTTTGCGTACTTCGTCCGGACGCCGCGCAAGAACTTCTGCTGTTGTCCAAGCAGTTGTCGTCGCAGAGCTCGTCCTGGCGGGCCTCAGAATTGGTAATTGCATGATTCACCCACCTGTGACTCACCCACCTGTGGCAACGAGGTGGGTGCCCACCTGTCGCCTGACAGGTGGGTGCATTTCGCGGGTGGGTGCCCACCTGTTGTGGTGCCCACCCGAACTGGTTCAATCAGCGGGCGCGCGCGCGGTGCCCTGGAGGGCTGACATGATGCATGGGCCCCGTCGGTCGGCCCTATACCAGAGTCAAAATGGGAAATCTGCTAGACAAATCAACCGCCTTTGGTTACTTCGCATGACAAATCTGTCCTTGTATTGCAGTCGTGTTTTTAAGTAGTAGCTGAGCAGCATTACAGATCTAGCACATCATGGTGATTCTAGCATCACAAATTGCAAAACGCGACTAGATGAAAACGCTTCTCCTGGGGCTCCGCGTGAGAAACTTTGTTGCCATGCAGATTTGCATGACAACTCTGGTGTGGGGACATTTTTAATCAGGATACGACCAATCCTGCCTTTAAGATCTGCGCTAGGCAGTCGGAGTACTCTCGGCGCGCCACGTCGTCGGCATTGAAGGGCTTCGCACGTTCCTCTTCCGGGTCGGCGCGGAGTTTCTCCGGCAGGTCGAAGACCGTCGGGCCCATAGTAACCTTCATGGACACCTCTTGGGGCTGTTTCTTGCCGTTTACCACCAGGGTCGTCGACGACACTTCCTTCGTGGAGCCGCGGTCCTTCGTGGTCGTCGACGATGCGCCCGCCGGTCGCAGGATGCTTGCGGGCGTCGGGTGCAGCACGGCCCAGGACTGTGCGCATATGCCTAGCAGGCCTTTCTGGGGACTGGTAGATAACACCACTTGCTCTCCTGCATCGCCGGCGCCGTCTTTTATCCAAGCAGTTGTCGTCGCAGCTCGTCCTCGCGAGCCGCAGAATTGATTGGCAGCATATGTAAAAAACTCAAGATTGGCAGAATATGTAAAAAAACTATTGGCAGCATACGTAAATTCGAATAGATTGATGCGGGCTGCATGCTGTCCGGAATTTTTTTTGTTCGTGCAGAACGAGCAAGTGAGTACCAGGACAAGCTGCAATGCTGCAGTTGAAGATTTTTTTTTATGTCAATCAGCCTTGCCAAGGCAGAAGAACAACTGTATGACATTTCGAATACACTTCGGAATGATAGGCACAAATAGAATCATAAGCTATGGGACAATACGAAGCGCATCACAAGAAAGGGAAACGGAAGAAGAGTAAACCTTCGAGTTCATAGCACACGGACTAGAATGAAGCTGATCAGCATTTACACCGCCGGTGACCACATGGTGCTTTCAAACAAGTGAGGGGCTGTCTTCAAGCAACCACTTATTTCTAGTACCGATGTCGATGTCCCTGGACCTGGAGTCGTTTACGTGCTTTCTTCAAAGAAACACAAGAAGGTGCTTCGCATACGTATTTATTTTTCGACCGAGAGCTACATTGTATCTTCATCTGTTTCGCACCACCACACCATTGAATATTAAGAGTTTCTTTTATTAGTACTCCGGTTGTGCCGCCATTAAGATAAACCTTATGCCGTCTTTTATCCAAGCAGTTGTCGTCGCAGTTCGTCCTCGCGAGCCTCAGAAGACATGATTCTGACGTGGAAAAAAAAATGAAAAATCTATTTTGGAAATTTACTGGTCACAAAGTTCTTTTCGCCGCCTATGCGCCCTGGTACAGTCGCACTTGGTTGACCTGCCGGCTGCTCCGCGCCCCTTTCCGGGGGCTGGAACAGCACCGCGTCGAGCCCCTGGCTCACTTGCGCACCCATGGTGTGATGAAATGTTTGATGACACTACGCTATTCGTCAAAGATAGACTGCATACACGACGCAACGGATTTCTCGCAGGCGATAGTAGCCTGGAAGTTTTTTGATTTTTGTATAAGCCCTCGGTGGACCAGTGCTTTCATCTGACATGTACTTTAACGGCCAAAGTTCCAGGTAGTGCCGCCGCTTTTCAACGCTCCAAGAGAATAGCAAGAACAGGCAGGCTCTCATTTCGGATAAGGGCGGAAAGCCAAGATTCGTTTCCCCAATGCGCGCCGCATAGCAGTCAGTCAATCGGTGTCTACTCTTTTACAGGTTTTAATTTCAGTTCAAATTTGTTACAATCCTACAAAGTTCCGCAAGTCCGTCCTGTCGCCAACAGGGTGATACCTTTCGTCATCCAAAATTTCGCAACTTGGCCGTGAGAGTGCGAGTTTTTCTGAGCACATTGGAAAACGAAAACGGTCAAACGTTTGCTCGCGAGGATAAGGCCCTTGGGGGCCTGGGAGGGGGGGGGTGCCTTTACAGTAAAGCCCACGGATCTTCCAGAAGGGTCAGCGTCAGTGCAATCCTGTACAGTGGGACAAAAAACGCGCAAAGTGCTATATGTCTGGCTTGTCACATAGAGCATGGGCGCCATTGACTTCGAAAATACATATACACACCCAAAAAATCTGGAAAATCACCGATATTTCCACTCGCCCACTTTTTCTAAAATTTTTTAAATCTGAAAAAATCTTGAAATTTCTTCATTTTTTCTGTCGTTAAGTAGGGATATCACTACAGGCATGTGCCTACACTTATTCTTTGTTCCATATATTCAAAAATTTGTGACCAACACAACATTTTTTCAAATTTTGCAATTTTGTGACTTTTTCAAAAATTGCACGTTGGTGGAAACTTCTGTTATTTTTATGATAAGCAATAAAGAAAAAACAGTTGTCGTCGCAGCTCGTCCTCGCGAGCCTCAGAATTGCCGTACCTCCCGCCCCGCTGGGCCTCGCGATCGAGGTAAACGTCAACCACTACCCTCGCGTACGCAGAGCGCTGCGCATAGGATAGCTCCGTGTACTGTTCCGGATCGAAAATCTTGTGCACCAAATTCTCGTCGTCTTCCACTCTGTCGCTCGTCCTGTCTGCGACAATCAATCTCGTTTCTGGCGGCTCAAGACCGCGCGTGAGGATTTCTCGCAGTATTTGCTTGTTTTCTTCGAGTTCGGGATCAATCTCAATCGAGGGTTGCGAGCTCTGCGAGTGCTCCAGCGACTGTTCCGAGCTCTGCGAGGGCTTCCAGGGAAGCAGCTTCAGAAGACCATCCGCCTGCTGTGCACCGTCTGTGATCTCGCGCTGGCCTGCGGGCCACGGCTCTTCAAGCGGAAGCGCGTCAAGAGGATTATATGTGTTATAGGTTGGCCATTTTTCCGATAGTTTTCCCGGGACAAGAAAGTTTTTCGGGCTCGCAGGTGTCTTTAAGAGGGCATCAAGTGCCCGGGCGTAGGTTAAGAGGGACGACGGGTGCTGGCTCAAAAAGCTCACAATTTCTTCGTACTGTGGAGGCGGGCGCGCGTCGTCATCATACTTGCTCCTTGAAGGTGCAAATATTTCTTCGTGGCCGCGAGGTTCTTTTTCCCGCGTTGACACTTCCTGTTGCTGTTCCTCCGCTCCTTCGGAGCTCCGATTCTTTGCCTGAACGAAAAGTCGCAAGGCGAACAGGAGCGTATGCTGTGGGGCGTCTTTCTCATGTGCGCTCCATTCTCCGGCGGTCATCAGCCGACTGAGATCCCGCACAGCGCTTAGATTGCCAGCTTGAATGGCGCAGTGCAACAGTGAAAGGTTTGGCGCTCCGCCGTACTTCGTGCTTGCTGGCCAAAGAAGACTTTCTCCACTCGCCAAGGCGTGATGCAGTTCTTTCATGGAATCGAAGGGCTGTGCGCCGCCGTACGGATGCTGCACGGATCCACACAGGATATCGCGTACCCGGTGCTTCTGCGACGCTCGTTCTTCTCCCATGAGCAGTTGAGAGGCGCCAGACGCGGAAGCGGAACGGCTCATGATTTTCTCACTACTGTAAATGAGACCGAGGATAGCAAAACTCTGTTTTCCGCGAAACCACTGAGCGATTGGTTCCTCGAAAAGCAGTGTCGGGATTTCCAACGGTGCTCCATCACCGAGCACCAGCTGCTGCAAACGCAAAGTGCCGAGTTGCCCGTCGATGATTCGTGCCGTTGAGGATATGTTCGGAGACTTCTTTCTCCTGGACGACGAACTACGCGACGACTTTCGTGCGCGGGCGGACGACGGGCGAGGTGAAGCGTGCGTCATTAGCTCGTGGCGCAGCCTGCGCAGGAATTTCCAGATTGGCGTCTTTGACGGTGTCTTGAACCGAAGCTCCGTCAAACCTCCCGTGCTCGCATCTGTTGCCTGTAGGTGCACCTCAATCTGGTCCACATCGATTCCTTTAGAGTCCATCTCCGCCCGCCACGAACCGCCCAAACTCTTTCTCGCAGCGCTCGCGCTATACTTCCGTAGTCGTCCACCATAGAGATGGCCAAAAAATTTACTCGTAGGTGATGAATTCAACTTTTTTTTGCGTCCTCCGCCTCCTCCCCCTCGTCGGCCCTCCTGGTCCTTTCGCACAGATACCCGGCGCACAAATAAGCTGCCATCATGCATGCCGCTCACCATCAAGATGGTCGAGAGCAAGATCGGTACTAGTTGCATCGTCATGGTGTTTGATAAAAAAGTATAATCTTTTATATATTTTTTCTAGCGGTGAAGAAAGATGAGAAACGCTTTGACTACTTAGACGGTACGAGAAAGTCAACTTTTATAACAACATGCGTCGTTTAAATACATAAATAGAAAATATCAACAGGCGTTTATATACATAAATGTCAAGCTGCTAGGAACTACTTATGACTTTGCTACTGTGCGACTCTCCTGTTAGTCTAGCTCAGTCTCCAGAAAGGTCGTGCTCCTCGGAAAAGCTGCTTTCCCTGTCCAGCTGTCTGAAAACAACAAAAGGAAAGATGCGCCTCACTTTTCGGAAAGAAAATTACGCGGACACATTTCGTGATCTCCCGTTTGCACTTCACGATTTGCGCGCGTCTGCGTCATCCTTTCGATGAATTATTTACGGACAGTTAGACTTTTCGACGGATCTCGCATTTTGTGGTTCGACCTTGATCCGGACATCATGCCTTGCACATCTCTCAAAAATCGGATCATAGATACAAATTCATTTTATTTCTTGGAGCTTCTTGATTTTGTTTTCAATTACGAACAGGCAGAGTTGAATTAGGTTTGCTTCAGATGCGGCCAGTGACCTCGCAAAATCCGGTAATGAATTTGGTGGTATCTTCGGGTTTCCAGACTTATAGGTGCTGCATGCACATCAAATGTATTTTGGTACAAGTGTTCGTTACTGCGAACTATCAATGTCTCAGGTACAAGATCCATTGAAAAACTTGTGATACAATGGGGAGTCAATGTTTCTTGCAAGCGGGCGTGTCTGTTTCATTTGTTGAGACTAGTACATTTTATCTCGCGCCGACGCGTACTGTCGTGGGGAAATATTCATTTGCGTCTCTTATAATTTGCACATTGATGTAGTGAAGCGAAGCCACCTGCCTTGCTGTTATGCAAGAGGCGGAGTAGAACCTGTCCGGTTCTGCGATGCATATCATTAACTTGGTGACTTGTTTTGCAGTAAGTAGATTAATTTGAGAACATGTCCTTCCGTAGTACATTTGAAAATAGTTGAGTTGCGCTAGTCAGTCTTTCATGGAAAACGTGGCCCCTCCGCCGTGGTGCGTGAGCCGAACACGGCCCCTTCCGCTCCTTCATCCGTTCGCCGTCTCCGCAAAGTAGTAATTAGCGGAGTTTCGGTATGCTGCTGAAAGCACGCGCGTGGGTCAGCATATAGTAGACAATGAGAATGGGAAGATTTGTCTTTCCGTACAGACTTTTAGATGACCTACACCTATTGCACCACAGCTGCAGGGAGAGCGACATCACATCAAGAACTCGAAAACTACATATTCACTCTCACTACTTGTAGTGGTTGTGTTGCTGCAAGAAGATGATGAAACAGAAACATATGAGGCATCATCACATTGGCAATGGAGTTTTGAATTGGATGTACTTATGCCGACCCACAGCCCGCGCTTTTCTGCGTACGAAAAAGGCGTCAAATTCCTCCACCGATCGCGGAACTGCCTCCCCCCGGTCCCGCAAGTACTGCCGCACCTCGGCAACCGTATCGCAGTAGACCAAACGATTCCAGAAGTCGCTGCTGATGATCCCCGTGGCGTACCAAAACGCGAACAAGGCCTTGACAGCCATGGTGGGGTGGACAATCAGAAACTGCATCCCCGGCAGAATGTACTCGACCGTACGGACAATCTCCCCAAAAAACTGCCGGGAAGCGGGCAGGTATTGTCCCGTGGCGTGTGCATACACGAGAAAACACTCCTGGACGAGACGCCCCGGCGCAGGCGTGGCCATCTCGCGAAAGGGCTCGATGCGACCTGTTGTTGTTTCGGATCCGCGGGGGCCATAGCGCTCGATCGGAGACGAGCATTTTGAAGCTAGTAGTAGTGCAGCTAAGCAGCGACGTCTTAGAGCCAGTAGGCATTCTAGTGGGCCGCGTGATGCAGGCGCAGGCACGAAAATGCACTGACACGATAACTTTTCAACTACATTTGAACATGATATAGCGCTTAGTGTAAGAAGCTGAAAAACAAGTTAGTACTTGTGAAGTAGCGCAGCAGCTCCTCTTCGGCGAAGCGTGCGGGTATTTTGTCCCCGAGAAACCACAAGTGCGGCACGTGGTTTTGGCTGTGGTCCACGAGAAAATCAAGCTGCTTGGACTGCATATCCCCGCAGTGACGCAGGGAACGGAAGTAGATGCGCGAACACTCCAGCGCGGTTTCAGCCTCCCACATGGTCAGGCTAAGCCTTCGCTGCGCTACGTGGTCCCAGTCGCCAACAAAGGCTTCGATCAGCTCCCCGTCATCCGACCGGTCGTCTCGCTGATTCTGGGGCGTCCCGTCCTAAGATGTGACCGGGGGAAAAAATCGATTTCGTGTTCATTATTCAAAATCGCAAAGAGCACCAGACGCGAACCATACTTGACTTGTTTCCAGGATGATCTTCCCAGTCGTGCTGCAGTTGATCACTGAGTCACACCCTCACAAAGTTCTCTCGCTTTTGGAGATGAGAGGAGCGCTAGGTGAAAAAAAAAATGACAAAAACGACTTACGTTCTTTGACGCGTTTCGTACCTTTCCGCGTGTTGTGCGGGCGTCGTCTTCCTTGTCCTGGCGCTTACGAACCATTTTTTTCAGGTGGTCATGGGATTTGGTGCCACTCCGATTCTCGATGTACTCCCCTGTCTTCGGGTCGCCAAAAAACTGAGCCTGGAGGAGCATGTGCCGCTCGCGCGCCCGCTGTTGGGGATCTGTAGTAAACGTTTTCGCAACTGGCGGCTGTTCTTACATCCACTTGTTCCGACTTCTTCTCTGCAAACAAGCGCAACTACACCAGGACCAGGAGGATTGTTTTAGTTTGACACACAGATGAAATAAACAGTAACAGACACACTCGGAGCCGACGTGCAAAATGCAATAGGCGCATATTGTCCAGAACCATTTATGCAGTAGCGGAAATGAAGACAAGTAGACCGGTAAAATTTTACCCAGCGGGGGAGCCTGCACGCCGCTCGTCCTTTCTGCCGCAGGAGCAAGTGACGGATCATCGTTCTGGTGCAAGCTGTCTTCATCGTTCTGGAGGTTCTCCAGCCCGATCCACGCGTTTAATTCTTGGAATAGGATGAGGGAGCCCTCCTTGGGGAACCGTGGGAAGTACACTTTCAGTAGCTGCTTCGTCAACTCGATGTGATCCGAGAACGGGGACACGAGGATCACGTCCTCGATATTATTGGGCAACAAGTCCAGCCACCGGCGCACCGTGCGCAGCAGGATGTGGACGCTCTCCTTAAGCGGGTAGTTTTTTCGCACGGAGTAGCAAATCGGAATTGCGATGGACTTCAGTTTCAGTTCGTCGGCCATCTTCAGCATCTCCCGGACCTGCGGAGTGTAGCTACAACTTCTGTGGCTTATCATTTGTTCAGTTTTAGACGACAGCGGAGCGGCTACCGAGAGAAGAAAAAGAACCGAAGCACCTACGTTGAGAGATCAATATCGTGTGGCTCAGCACAAAAAAAAAATGTCTCAACAAGAAGTTGTTACTTACACAGACATGCCACGTGTGCCTCGCTGCTTTTTTGTACTTGACCGTGTACCGGGGGCCCGAGAAGAGCAGCAGCTTCCGACAGAGCAAATTTCCGAAATTTCCCTTCATGTGAACAACTTCGCCACCGCGGAGGAGTTTCGAAGGCTGCGTCAACGTCGTATCTCCGTCCGCAGAGTTGACCAGGATTGTGTGTCCCACGTCCCGCGGATTCCAATTGCGTGAGAGCGTGCGACCTGGCCCGCCGAAGGACGACGTCCCCCCGTCCCCATGGTGGTAGCCACCCCCTCCGCCGTGGGGATTCCCGTAAATTTGATTCTGCGTCTCGAAGCCGTCCGTATGTATCGCACGAAAAAACTGTTTCACTGTGGTGATTTTGCAAAATCTGCATCACAAGTTTGTTACGCGTGACACTGAAAATCTGTCATGCGGAGTTCCTAAGGGAAAACACAGCTAGAAATCCATTGTCTTGCATGTGTGGCATGACACACACTTCTGCGATCCATTTTCTGCATCACAAGTTCACAGTGAAACAGTTTTTTCTTGCGATAGTATGCCCAAAGAAGTCAATGCTGTCTTCTGACACCAGCGTAGAGAGCATCTGACTCCCGGAGTGCAAGCTCATCACGTGGTGATACCTTTGATTGTGGAAAAAATTGCGACGACAACTAGTATTCACGAAAACCTCTGCGCTGTGCTGCTCTACTCTACGCAGCTGCGGGAATAATTGTGGTTCGGATCCAGCCTTTACGTCCTTCTTCTTGTTTTTCCAAAAACTACGAGCATGCACAACTCTTCACATGGGCCTCGAGGGTACTACTACTTATCAAAGCAGAGTACTCTTTGAGAACGTTTCGCACCCCAGCGACTGGCAGGAGGGAGCAGGGGTTTTCACGCGCTTCGGGATTTCCGAGTGGGCTGAAATCGGAGGGGTGCGACCCCCCGGACTGGAAGCGTCCGGATGGCTGGTTCTGGTTGCTGGTGGAACGGGTTGCGCTGTTCGCGTCATCTTCATCCCCGATGTAATACTGCTGCGCGTTCTGGATAATTACCGGCGGAGCAGGTGGAGCACCTCCTGCTCCTGCACCCCCTCCGTAATTGTACACAGCATTTGCGTTCGACGGCGCGAGCGGGTGGTTGCCGTAGAAGTTGTTTCCGCCGCTGCTACTGCTGCTGCTAGCGCTGCTACTGGACCCACCGTAGGCGGTCGACCGATCGTCCACAATATGCGACTGCGAACCCGCATCCTGGTTGTACTTGTTGCGGCTGGGGGAATTCCTAGGAGAATCCGTGGGCGGAAATGCGTACGAAACATCCAACGTCAGTGCATGTGCGTCCAAGCTGCATATGTCGCCCTGTTGTAATGTCGATTCGTCGGCGCATTGAGTATGATAAAAAAAATAATGGTCCAAGAACCTACAAGAAGAAAAAGCGTGTGCGACAACGACAAGGCGCTTGATGGTCCGGCGCTGCACATCATGAAGAACCTGATAAAGCTTAATCCGCTTGCAGGGGCGGACGTCGACCTGGAAAGGATTTTCCAGTTCCTCCGCCCCGATTGCATTGTCGTCTGACTTTGCCTCGTCCTCTCTGCGCGCCAGATCCGCCCAGGTGGGCAGGTTTCGCACGGATACCTGTTGGTCTTCGCGCTGTCGGTAGTCGTCGACAAAGTCGGCCCCGGGGGCCTCCGGATCGAAGATCGACGACAGGGCACTGGATACTATGTCCGTCATGCCTGGACACTGTGCTCGTCGATTTGTCGGTTGACGAGGGCCGCGCAGAACCTGCCGCTAGTACTAGTCGCGTGCTGCTGGTGCTGACATCGTATTCTAGTCGTGGTCGCGCCGATGTGTTGTCGTGGTGGTCCCCGACTTGAGGCCGACAAGGCTTTTCTGGTCCTGTTACAAACAGAGCATGCATTTAGTCTCAGACAAAAGTACTGCCTGGTATCAATTCGTTCTGGAGATAATTTCTCGTGATATCCCTATCGTATCTAGTACCCCGCGGCGCTCCGAGAAGGAGGCGCTGCACTCTTCCTAATCATGCTCGCCTTGGATCAGGATCTTTGGCAACGTGGACGCTGCATTTGACGCACGAAGTCTTACAGAGTAACTTGCACGACGCGGTTGCACTGCAATGGGTACTATGACAAGAGCCTGGTCCGTTTTCTCTCTCACGAAAAACGTGCAACCGAAGGAGGTCCAAGAATTTGTAGTGCAAGTAAGTGACGAGAAGCAAATGCCGCAGACGCAAACTGCTTGCAGTGTTGGACGACGCTGAAGTCTTCTTCACAGCTGCAATTCTGAATGGAAAAGAAAACCGCATCGAAGATATTGCGATGCTACGCACGAAAAGTTTCAGATTGCAAATAAAGGTTCTTCAACAGTCGGCGTTTGAAAAACTCGGTGTTCATCTCCCTCGAAGAAGTCAGAGTAAAACAGATAAATCAGACGCGCGACCTCAGCCAAATAAATCCAGGTCAATGTCATTCGGCTTATTTTCGGCCTTCTGCTTTTCTGCCTCCCGATCGGTAAGAATGATCTGGGGGCTGGTTGGTATCTTTGGCTGTGGAAAGCTCGCTGGAAAAGCGTCATTGTTCGCGTTCGCAAATAGATCTGCACCTCCTGCGCCAGGTTGTACTAGGGCACCCCCTCCAAGCAGGTCGTTGCCTGTTGCTCCGTGGTCCTGCGAGGCACCAAACGGCTGGAAACCGGAAAACCCGGGTGTGGCATGGGGGGCAGACTGATGTGCGGGGACCGCCGCGGGGAAGCCGCCCAACAAGTCGTTTCCGCCCGCAGAAAAAAATTCTGCCGTCGGGGCGGAGGGCGCGGACGGAGCCCCACCAAACGCTCCGAAATCCGCGTCAAAACCAACGCTGCCGGTAGCAAAGCCATCGTTGCCTCCAAGGAGATCTTCTCCGCCCGCCGAGCCTGACGCAGGCGGTCCACCACCTTTTTGTGATGAGAGGTAGTACGAGAGAACTCGATATTCATCATTTCAGTGATAGATTATGCAACACATTTGTTGTTCCAGATGCTTGAGTGATACTATACATGTTTGAGATCCTCACTTAAGCCGCTGTTTGTTCCTCTTGTAAATTGCTTTCGAGCTGCTAAACCATTTTTGCATGTTCAAGTATAAATTTGAGGCTCACGAAGTAGAGAAGCAAACTTCACAGCTAAACCCACCTGAGAGGAGATCTATTCCACCGCCGGCACTCGAGCTAGCAGCCTGAGATTTGCCGCCACTGGAAAAGAAATCCGCGTCGCCGAAGAAGTCATTGCTGGGTGCGGGAGCGGAAGCAGGAACCGCGTCACCGCCGAGAAGGTCGATCTCGCCTCCACCACCACCAAAAGATCTGTAGACAGTTCATATCACGGACTTGATACCATGTACATCATGTCAAACATCTTTTTCAAACAATGAATCCGCTCAACAAGTTTCATCTTGAGGCAAGAAAAAGACTGGCTGCACTAAAACCTTTTCGAGGAGCTGCTAGCATGCTGCGAGCCGAAGTTGCCAAAGTCCTCGTCGGAGGGCTTTTTTCTGACCGGCGCCATGACAGGCGCGTTGCTCGGTGCGCCGAGACGTGGAATCGGCGCGGAACTGGATACTTTCGGTGCTTCAAGCAAAGACACCTTTCCCTTTCCAGGACTCATGTCGAGAAGGTCCTCTGTCGTGTCTGCGTTTGATGTTCCAGCAAAATTTGCAAACCCTCCATTGATGTTCCCCGGCTCGGCTTCCAACAATGTCCCGTTCGCCGGTGACGCCCTGATGAATTTATTGAGAAGCACATGCAGCTGCACATCGATGAATTATTACGCGCAGGATTCCGACGAGCAAAGGTCTTCGTTGTGCTGCCGTGGAAGGGCTAACATTGTTGTTGTCAGAAAACACGTTGAAGAATAGAACCTCCGTGAAGCTGCTACGCGTAGTAAAATAGTATTTCTGTAGTTGAAAAATCTCTTCTTTACATACTTGGCATTTTCCAGTTCCTCTTCTCGTTCTTCGAGTTGTTTCTTTCGCTCGTACTCGTGCTCCATTTGCGCGGATTTCACCTTCTGAAACCGCTCGTCAAACGCCTTTTCAAAGCCCTTGTCCCCACGCACGTTGACCTTGCCCTGAAAGGGTTTCTGCTCCAGGATCTTCACGCCGTCCTTCGTCCGCAGAGACACCCATCCGTACACAGGTTGGATCTGCGAGATTACAGGATATTATCATATCTAGACATCTGCCATGTAGAAGTCTCCACCGCTACTAGCGGTGAAGACTTCTCTATCATATCTAGTACTAGCGGTCCGCTAGTACTAGTATAAGGCTACATTACAACGCCTACAATCAAACAGCACGCTCCGACGCGGAATAATTTCAGGGATACGACGATGATGTTTTGGCACACTTAAGTACTTACCATTCGTGCCCTGCGACCAACCACCTCCACGATGGTGACCGTTTCAGCGTAGTTGAGCTGGTGGACCTGCGCAGTGGTGGTGTCGTAACCTTCCCGCACGAGCGCACCCCCACGGTGACAAACCTTAAACTTTACCGGGTTCTCCAGGGTCGGGTGCTGTTCTTCAACCATCTTTGAGACCTGTTGAACGAGATTTGTTACAATTAATATCCCCTGTAGGGTTACTTTTTTATGAGTATTTCTAATGTAATCCGTTGTGTCCTGGCTCGCAGCAACCGAAGAAACAGCAGCCGTTAACGTCAGGGTCAGCTGCCCTACCACCTAAAAGAAAGAAGCACTCACCGCATGGTCGATTTTGTGGACGATTTTGTGGCCAAGATTGGCCAGCTTGTCCTTGATGATAGCACTGTGCGTCAAGTTGTTCATCTTTTTTACGGCCTGGAGCTGGAGCCTGCACCGTAGTGGAAGTTGAACTTCTACTGCGTATGTTCGCACGAGACGCTACCTCGCAATTTCGTGTCCACGATCTTCTCTGCTTCCCACGGAACAGGGATCGATGTAGAGCAGTCGCGGGGCACCTGGAGCACAGTTGGATCGATGTAAATTGGCACTGAACCACATCGACAAAGACTTTTTCGGGAAATTGCCCAGTGACCCAGTTGAGATCGAGTTCAAACAGTGCCGGCGTTGTGGCTAAATGTGTCGCGGGCGTTCGTATAAATGTTCAGAGTTACTCCTGGTCCTGCTAGAACGAGCGCCCCAGTTGTGCTTTTTGCAGCTGAAAAGCGCGCAAAGGAAAAAGGCGCACTTTTTCAGCTGAAAAAAACCGCCAAGACGCTTTGTTCGAGCGCGAATTCATGGCTCAACTTCCAGCCCCGGCGAGACTCGAGAAGTGCGAAGATGATGAGCAACACATCGAGATTGAACCAAGATCGAGCGGAGAGCAAGCTGGAACCGAGTTGGGATGTAGTTGAGATCGAGCTGACATCGAGTTGGCATCGAGTTGGCAACATCGAGTTGGCATCGAGTTGAGACCGAATCGAGACCGAGTTGAGACCGAGTTGAGATCGAGTTGAGACCGAGTTGAGATTTTCACTTTTTTGTCAGCCCAAATGTGCTTTTTTTCAGCTGAAAAAAAGCGCAAAGGTGCAATTTTTCAGCTGAAAAAAAGCGCCGCGCGATTTTTCAGCTGAAAAAAAGCTTGTTCCTTTTTTCAGTGAAAAAAGAGTGAAAATCTCAACTCGAGGATGGCTCGATCTCAACTCGATCTCAAGTCGATCTCAAGTCGATCTCAACTCGGTCGGTCGCAACTCGATTCCAGCGAGCGCGATCGCAACTCGGTCTCAACTTTTACTTTGTCCGTGCCCACTCGGTCTCAACTTACTCTCGATTCGATCTCGACGGAGTGGAAACATTGCAGCTTTTTTCACCTGAAAAAAAGCTCGCCCTGAATATGCAAGATCCAGATTTACTGCCCACCCGGTCGAGCACGAGGGAGCTCATCCTCATGCTTTGGACAGAAGCAACGGTCGTGGGGACGCACAAAAGCACCTTGCACAGCTATCCTATCCACCTACACGCGCGGACGCTTGTTCTGGAAATTTTGGGCACTAGAAGCGTCGCTGCTAATGAATGCCCAGATCATGCAAATTTCGACTCGATCTCAACTCGGGTCTTAAGTCAATCTCAACTTTTTTACTTTGTCGAAGTGGTTCAGTGCCTATGTAGAGCAGTCGCGGGGCACCTGGAGCACAGTCGGTCGCTACTCTACCGTTTGCTGCCAAGCTGCTGCCACTTCTAGACGGGCACTACCGTCAACAGTCGCAGGGACGAACTCGCCAATAGTGGTGCGCGGTAGAAGAATCTGGTAGCGTAGCGGAGCGGAACCAAACACGCACCAGCGCAAAGGAGCAAACTCACGGTCGCTGGACCAAATCCTCTATATCTTTAGAAGCCTGTAGTCAGCTGCTCGGACAGTAGCGACGCCGACGCTTTAGACCCTACGTAAGTACTCAAATATCGGAGCGTCATACGGGAAGTAAGTAAACATGCGAGAACTGCCATCTAAAATTGCGATTGCCCAGAGTACAAGCGCTTGTGAGATAAAACGGAGGCTCTTTCCTCAGAAAACCGTATAGACCTCGAAAGATGTGAAGCCCCCGCTTCTGCCGTGCCCCCTAAGAAAGAATAACAAGCCTCAACCTCGTGTGGTGCATATTACATGTCTGTGGATTCTCTTTTGCGATTTTTGAATACCAACAGCAAGGTTGCCGTGGGAAGTGTAGCCCTCCGAACACGAAAACTTCTGCAACAAATTAGGCCGCGCTGCTACTCAGCTGGCGGACCTTGGATGGATTTGGTAGTTCCTTTTTCCGATAAACGGAGACAACAAAAAGTAGTTCTAGTTCAGTGGCTGCGAAGATTGGTACAAAATTGTACATTGCTACGTTCACGTCATGCCGCACTAGCATTATACAGACGCAGAAAGAGAAAGTGAAACCTGATAAAACGCCCTGTGTGTAGAATGAAGTAGGTTTTTGTTTATACAAAGTTAAGTACAATACGTAGCACGTCTTCGGGTATGCTTCGGAAAGACGCTACCAAGAGGCGCTCACCGCTCAGCTGTGAAACAAGATCTCTTTGCTTGTTGCTGCGCAAGTTCCAGCGTGGGTGCGGTGTCTTGGGACTTTCGTCGCCTTGCTGCGATGCGGCTGCAACGACGGCAAGCGGCGCTGCGGACGGTTCTTGCGGCGCTGCAGTGGCGCCCTCGATGTCCTGCACTTCTGCCACTGATCGTCCTTCCGGTCTTTCGCCCTGCTCCGTACGTGTCGTGTTTTGTCGAGTAGGAAGAACTTCCTGTGGAGAAAGCGAGCTCTTGCGTGGTCCCCTCCAGAGGAGCAATAACGGTCCTCGACGGAACCAGTTGGCCTCGCGCCGCACGGCCACAGGGAGCGCCTGCAGGTGTTGTATCAAGATCGGTTCGTGCAGCAAAGCAGGCTCACTCGTGGTGAAAAGCTGCAACAGGTCGGACAGAATCTTCAGACATTCGTCGTTCACTTCGCAAGAAACCTGCTCCGCGAGCTCCGCGAGAAAAACGACAACAGCTTCAAACACCGGGCGCTTCCTCCAGTTCTTGGGCACGAGTGGCAACGCGACCCGCGGCGTGCCCGTGCGCACATTCACCAGGTGCACACTGGCACCGAACCTGGTGACGAGAAGCGTGGCCAGCTCCTGACACCGACCCACCGCGCGGAGCACGCCCCGGTCTGTAGCAGTCATAGTCCGGCGAGGTACAACGGGTGCTTGCTGGACTACATGTAGTGTGTTCAACATCGTCCGGTCGGGGACGAGGTCGTCGTGCACCTCCTTGTCACGACCGGCAGCGTCGTCATCATCACCAATTATTCGGTCAGCATCGTCGTCTTCGCGAGAGGACTGTTGCGGTGCTCGTCCTCCAATTATACCAGCATTGACGCCCTGCTCCCTAGTTTGGAGATGCGGAAGGTGGTGGATCAACTTCGTCTTTCGCTCCTCAAGCACAACGATGTCCGCAATGCACTGCAACAGCAGTCGCATGACAGCCCCCAGCGCGGTCTGATTTTCCCGCATCGGACTGCGCGCGTTCACCAATTTGCGGTAGGCTTTTTCCTGTAGCAAACGCTCGACACGGGAAACATCTGCCCGCTCGCAAGCGTCAATCAACCTATTAGTCCGAATCAGTAACGAAGCATCCGACATCATGCTTTTGACGGGTAGAAGCTTTGTTTTTTCTCACCTGTGACTCCGGATTTTTTAGGAAAATTGCCTAAAAAGATTCAGACATTTTTTCGCCAATAAGCCTGCGTACTGTCAGAATAAAAATGAAGACGTGCTTGCTTTTAAATGGGCCAAAAAAAAAGTTGAATGAGAACCGCAGCGCTCCTCACACTGCCTTTCTTACAAGGCCAATCCTCCGCGCGCCCCGCTCTCGAAGTCGAAAACAAACGAGCCGACCTAGCCGATTACAGGGCAAAAACCTATAGCGAAACGAGGCCATGGCGAAATCCCCGGAGAAAATGAGTACTCGAATCCGTATACAATGTGAAGACGAACTTGTCGAAGTATACATCAAGCACGAGCACGACTTGACGAACGAACCTGTACTTAACCGATAGACAGTGACGATAAAGTAGGTAGTCGAAACGATATAAATACTTAGTTATGCTCTCAAGGTCGAAATCGAACAAAAGTAGAAGCTCAGGCCCCTGCCATTGTTCTGGCACGAGTTAAGCAGCAGGGTGCGATAAATCTATTGATTCTATTGAGTCTACTTGCGCTCTATGGTACTTATGTAGACGTGAATCTTGGATGTTGTTCGTGGTCGCTCAGCGGACAATTTATTCCTTGTTGGAGCTTTTTAGCCAGGAGAACGGCCTCAGTCTTCTTCGAGAAACTTTTTTACCAGCGGGAATTCGTCCAAATACTGCGCAATAACACTTTTCATACGTGGATCGGTTTTCAGTCGGTTGGGATCCTTCACCGCGCGTTTCTCCGTCGGTCCCTTCGCCGCGATGGCCTGAAACTCCTCCGCCAAGGTGCGCACGGGCGCGGGCGCAGCCGGCGCAGGTGCGGTCGTGGGGGGTACGACTGCTTCCGGAGCAGCCGGAGCTGTGATTATTTTGGAGCAGAAAACTCACTTGTGGAAGTGTAGCTTGCTTCTTCAGGAGAGACACGTCTATTATGTCACTCAGAAACGGTTCGATCACTCGAAAGTGAAACTCGATAGTAGACGGAAGCTCAACATATCATAAACAAGCAATGCTGAAAATATAAACGAACAAAGCATCAGTACCGGCAGTGGCGGACGGGGGAGCCGCTGCAGCAGCCGCGGCTGGGTTTGCTGGCGGTGGGGGTGGAGCCTGCTGCTGTTGTTGTTGATTGGCCATGAAGCTGGCAATAAACTGCGCATCCACGAGCGCTTTCATTTCCGAGTTGTGTTGGTTCCCGAGCGCGAGTTGCTTGGCCTTCGCCGTTTTGTCGCGCCGATAGTACTGACCGTAATGCGCGTCGCTCGTCCAGTAATCTTCGGCCTGCTGGGATTCCAAAGCCTCATTCATACGCTGCTTTTTTCTCACAGCGAGGTTCTGCTCCAGCATTGTTTGCTTGTGGCGGTCCACCGAGGAATCGAATAACCTGATTGAAGACAACAAATTGGAAAAATCATTTTCGTCACCACAGCATGCGTGGCACAAACTAAGCAAAAGTCAAAGGACACAGACCAGAATATCCCTACGTGCGTCTACGTTTAGCGATCATGCATCGGTGCACCTAGCAAATGGAAGTGATCATACTATTTCATTTCAGGTATTGTTTTATAGTATACCACTCCGACTCGCCCGCGAGCGACTTTTCCAAGATTGCGAAGCGCTGCCATTCCTCTGAGAGCTCGAGCTTCTCCACGGAGGCCAAGATCTGCTGGCACAACTGTCGACCCCCGGTCTTGGCGTGTTGCGCTTGCAACGCGTGCTGCCGGTCCGGCGATGTGACGCTGATATCGAAAATTCTGGCCGGGGGCGGTGTGGTCAAGCTTCCGCCGCGGTGGTAGTTCTCGGCGACGAACGCCGCGTCTGGATTCGTTTCCGAGAGTAGCAATGGCGTGCTGGTAGAAGTTGGCGCTCCTGCAGCGGCTGGGAATGAAGCAGTGATGAACTCCAGCAGTTTTGGCGCCTCGGTGGTAAACCAGGAGCGCGGCACAGCATCGTGCTGGGTCGACGTTGAAGTTGTATCTTCCGAATTATTGGCAAGCTGCTGGTATCCCGCATCCACCCACGCGGAGTTCGCCTCTGGGGATAAGAGTGCGTGGAGTGCCGCGGGCGCGGCGGCGCCCAGTACTCGCGAAGTCTCGAACCCAAAGGCGCGCGCGTCCCGAGCGGTTCGGGCGCACAACTCCGCCAGATCGCGGACCGTGCGCGTGACGCTGGCGAAGCCCTCCTCCGTCTCGGAGGAAACAGCGGCAACCTCCGAAGCAAACTTGGTGAGGAACGAATCTAGCTTGAAGGCGGGATTCAAGAGGTAGGTGGTTTTGTTCTTCTTTTTCGTCGGCGAAAGCTCCTCTTGCGAGAACAGCAGTTTCGTCGTACCGAGTTCATCGGGCTGGTACAGAATGGGGAACAGGTACCGTTCCGAAGCGTACAGGCGCAACAACAATGCCATCCCGTTCTCCACCAGCTCGTGCGAACTTTTGGCTTGCTCGAACACCTGCGTACAAATGGATTTGCTCAGACTGCGGACCGCCACACTGGGGAGCGAAGGCACTTGGGGGTCGATATAGAAGAACCGCTTCCGCGTCCGCATGTCCACCCTATTACCGCTGCCAGAAAGAGCGCCGTCCACACTTGGCACTGAAGCGATCGAATCTTTGCTCGGCGGCTTTGCACCACCCTCGGTGCTGTTTCTGTTCCCGCTGAGGAGTTGGTTCATCATAGCAATGTTCTGGGCGGTCTCGTCACTCAACGCAAGGGTGGTGGGCTTCGAGTCGACGCTCCCTTGGAATGCTGTTGATACACCCCCGGTGTTCATCTTCATCTTCTCTTCCTCAAGTTGTCCCATGCTTAAGGACGTTCGGTAAGTCCCACCCATCACCAGCGGTAACAAGATGCGGAAGACAATGTCCACGAGGGGCTCCAGACCCTGCGCCTCGTGCTTGTTGCACAGGTGCAGCAGCCGCACTCCTACCGCCTCCAGAATCTGACCGGCTTCCTGCTGCAAAACCCCCTCGACGGACAACTCGACACAGCGGGCGAGTACCAGCAGCTGCCGTCCCACCGCTTGGAGCGGCCGTTTGAAGGAGGCGTGGATCACGTTCTTGTCGTGCGCGGTTTTGGGCTTGTCCGCTTGTAGTTCCCCGATGCGGTTTTCCGCTTCGGTCAAGAGGTCGGTGGTCAGCTTCAAGGCGGCCCGGAGCCACTTGACGTGGCAGTCCCGGTGGAGCTTGACGAGTGCGTGCGCGGCGAGTACGTGGAGCAGCGGTGTGGACGACAGGCTCAAGCACACGGTATGGTAGCTCATCTCGCACAAGTCCAGCACATTCAGCTCCGTAAACCGATTGTCCTCCTCTAGTACGGTCCGCGTGTGTCGCCTCCGCGATTGCTCGTTCTCGTCGGTCAAACCGATCGGGATCTCGACCCGGTCGGTGCCGGGGAGCTGGGTCACGCAGTTCAGCAGCGACCGCTCCTGTGCCGGTTGGGAAATCGACACGTGCGGAAACAGAGCGTCGCCGTTCAGGTCCACCTGACGAGTGGTCGTGAGATGATCCCTAGTTGTACTCCGGCCACCGCGGCTGCCGGCCTGCACGAAACCTCCGTTCGCAGCAGTGTTGAAGGAGCTCCTGCTGCCATTGGCGAAAGGCGCCGGGCTGCAGAAGACGTGCGGCACGCGATTGAGGACGGGGTCGATGTCGGTCCGAAAGGAGAGCCCGGTCGGCGTACTGAGGTGCTTCACGAGGTCTTGGTTCACGAGCTTTTTGTCGTTCTTTCCCCTTTTCACGATCTCCGCGTCCTCGACAAACGGCTCGGTCTCGCGGAGCTGCGAGACGTTCTCCATCTTCCACACGGTTCGCAGTCGATCCGCAACCGGGCGGCAGGCCGCGGCCGCCAGATGCGGCGTGTTCGCCGGGCCATCCAGCACCAGGTCCAGCTCCAGGTACCGCAGCTTCGTGGTGCCGAACAGCTCCTTCTCACAGGCACCCAGGGTGACAAACACCAAGAGCCCCGCCGTGTAGTTCTGCGGCAGGGAAGTGGCGAACTCGATGGTGCGGGGGAGGAGATTGTGCACGCCCACGGCGGAAAGCCGCACGAAGTTGCGGGCCCAGGCGTGGAACACTTGCGTCAGGGCCCCGACTGCGCGCGAAGCAGCGCGGTACAGCGGCGAGCGCCTTACACCGTGGACCTGGAAGAAATTTCCACCGCACAACCGAGACGTGAGCAGAAACAGCGACTTCCACAAGTCTTCCGACTGGTACTTCGGCAGAAACGAAACCGCAGCGAGCACGTGCGCGAGCGTCCGACAGACGGCTTCTGCTAGAAGCAGATATCGTTCTTGAATTTCGTAGCACTCCTCGGCAAAGAGCAGGTCTTCTGTCTGCAGCGCGGCGGCCTCCAAATTCAACCCCAGCCCGCCGGCGCACTTCACCAACGTGCAGTGCACGACGCGCTGGAACTTGTTGAATATTTCCTGCGGTTGATTGTGCGTGTTGCGAAACCGATCACTCAAGGCCTCGCGCTCGTTCCTCGACGGGTTAATATTGTGGCGGACGCTCTCGTCGCCGGCCCAGTGCAGTTCCCTCTTGTCGTCGGCCACGGAAGCTTGTTGCACCGCGTCCGCCAGAAACAGATCGATGCAGAACTTCGGATTCTGCCCGGTTCTGTGCGCAAGGTACCACCAAGCGAGCAGCGGCACCTCGCTCAACAAACTCGCCGACGGCAACTGCTCCAGTTTCGCCGCGCTCGGACCTCCTGGGGCCGCGGTGCCAGCACCTGGGGCGCCGGTAGCAGTTCCAGCGGCAGCTGATGTTCCGCCACTACCTTTCGCATCGGCAGCAACAGCGGCGGCTGAATCCGGATACTGCACTTCAACAATGTCCACGCTCTTGCAGCGGTGCGCCGCGAACCCGAGCTGCTTAAGGCACTTCTTGAAGTAGTGGTGCGTATCGGTGGACGTGAGCCGCTTGAAATCCCAGTCATAGAGGGGCGTGGTAGAATTGTCGTTCAAAGTTGTGGCGCTCTGCGCTTGCGCGGCTGCCTCCCCGGGCGCCACGCCGCCAAATTGTTCCACGTGGGAGAGCACCGACTCCGCGCGGGGGTATTCCGTGTCGCGACGAAACACGTGCAGCTGGGTTTGCAACTCGGCCACCTGTTGGTCAAAAAAGCTGTCCATCTCCCGCCGGCCGCCTTGCACCATCACCCGCAGCTTCTCCGTCTGCTCTTGCTCGGCGCTCTCGACGTCCAGCCGAGGGTGGTGGGTGATGTTCTGCTGCAGCAGAGATGCGATTTGCAGGATGTTTCTCCCATACCGCTGCGCGCACTGCAGAATCAGCACTTCGTCATCCTCCGCGGCGGCCGGTGCAGAAGACACGAGGAAACGGTGCAGAAGAGCGGTGAGAAACCGCGGCAGCGGAAAAAACGTTCGCTCGGGCGCCTTTTGCACCGCCTCCACCGACTCCTCCAGGCAGTCTAACAAAACCTGGAACGGGCTGGCGTTCGGATTGCTGCTGTAGGACAATTGCTGCCCCGGAGCAGGTCTGCTCGTGTGACTACTACTACCCCCGAGCATCGCGGCACGAAAGACCACAAATCTCCCGAGCGGAAAAGCGGCGGCGTCGTGCAGCAGCTTCGCCAGTTGCGCGAGCTTTTTGGAGTGAAGCACGTTGCGGTTGCTATTTGCCTCCTCGACAAATTTCTGCATCACCAGTTCCGCGAAGCCATGTGCGGCAACCAGCAGTGGTAAACTCCGCACCAGCCGCTGTGACTGCACGGACCACGTGGCAGCCACAGAACCGTGTTCCTCTTCCTCGCTGTCCTTCGGTAGGAACACCTCAGCGAATAATGGTAGCTCGTCCACCGAGGTCTCGAGAAGCCGCTGCAGCTGGTCCGCGGTTTTCAGCTCCGGCGTACTCAGTGCTCCCCGCAGCGAGGAGGACTGCTCGTGAAGCGCTAGCGCCGTTGCGCCACCGCGACAGGTAAGCAGCAGGTAAATCACCCGCGCGGTCGCGACCGGGTTCACGAAGTATGCGCGCTGTAACAAAGACGGAAAGGCGAATTCACGCAAGAGGAACTGCACGGCATCCGGTACGCTCCGCCTCTCTACTGCGGTTTTTTGGCCAGACGATGTTGACCAGGAGGAGGATACCACCTCCGTACTGCCCTCGCGCGCCTGCTTGAAAAAACTCGTTACGTGGGCCAGCACATCCAGGAGGTTTTTAAGCGCGGCCGCACGAGCCTTCGTTCTTGCTGAGAGCTGCGCGCTTTCTTGTTGTGTCGTCGTCGTGTCGGTTCTTGTTGTACCACTTTCATCCACTTCCGCGAGCGCAACTTCGAGCTGGTGGAGCGCCTTCCACACCTTCACGCGACTTTCGAACTGTGACCTCGGGTAGTAGCCCCAAAGAAACTCCTCATCGTGGTCGGACGCTGGCAGAAGTGTGGGAACGCTCTTTGCGCGGTCGTCGTGCCATCGCGCAAACACCGCAACAACGTTTTTGTTCTGCAGCAGCCGCTCCAGCAACACTTTCTTCTTGAAATTTCCGTGATTGCGAAACTCCACGTGCGTAAATGCTAGTCGCGCGGCCGCCTTCGCAATTTGATGTTGTGTCCCCCCGTCGCTATCGGCGCCCGAGGAACAACTGCCGGCCCGTCCTAGGTCGGTCACGTACGCGCTGTTGTTATGTGCGGGTACTACGAGACCGGCACCCGCGTTATTTGCGGCGCGCATGATTCGTCTTCGCTTCCTGCCGCGCAGGTGTCCGGCGCCCTGACTGCACCTTGTGATGGTGGACCGGTGGGCGTTGCTCATGACCGGCAGAAAGAGGGAATCCTTGCAGAGATTCTCCGCAAACCTCGGATCTTTTGCGAGCACATTGGCCATGAACTCCAGAACGATCGCTTGGTCCGCACGATTTCTGAGAATCTGCGTCCACAGGATCTTGGCGCAGGCGCGTTGCAGGTCGGGTTTACGTTCGAGAAAGCAAAACCCCGCATCTGGTATACTTTCCAAAGCCCCGGATGCGAGAGCAGTGGTGACGTCCGCAGGTAGGAAATCTTTGCTCTTTTCGCCCTTGAGCAAAAAATTGCAGACCGGAAGCACGCCCGCGAGGCCGGTCTCCAGCAGCCGCTGCAGACAGCTGCTGACGGTCGCTTCCGTGTGCTTCACCTTGGCTGGATCCGGCCCGGAGACAGCTTCCACGGGTCGGAACAAGGCAGCGTCGGGCAGGGCCCACTCGGCCCCGGCGAAGAACTGGCTGTTCCCGGAGGACGGTTCCACGTCGAGCCCCTCCGGCGGTAACGGTTGCCGGAGACACTTGTACTGCAGTTTCGGCTTGCGGTCCTCGTAGCTCATCGACTTGCGGTTCAGCGGCACGGCGAAGATCATCAACGACAACTTCGTGAACTCGCCTTGCAACACTAGGGAATCGACCTCCACCTTCCTCCCGGGACATGTGTACACAATGCCCACGTCACCTGCCGGGTTCCGATTCGTTGTTGGATTTCAAAAATTAATAGAATGCGCAACATCAACATCAAACAATTGTCAGGGCACCACTTATTCGCCGTGTTCTTGTTCTCGATAGATACAGCTCGAGGAAACAAACCGCACACTGTGCAAAAAAAAACATGATTAGTACCCTTGCCCCCTTTCCCGCGGTACCCGGTCGGCGCAGGCGCGGCGCTTTGCTTACCTTCGAGTGCGGTGAAGAGGCTGCCGTGGCTGGCTGGGTTTTTCTTCTGCTTGGGTGACCCGCCTACCCGAGCATTTTGCGTTTGCTCGGGCGGGGTGTCCTCCTTCACCCATATTTGCAACCGGTTTGGCTTCACGAGGGGGTGCGTTTGCCCAACAAACTCGATGCCGCGGTCGAGCACAGAGTCGTTCCGATTTAGAATTACTATCTTTTTCAGCAGCACAACTTGGTCGAACCGTATCTGGCGGGTGTGCTGCGACATCCCGCCCTCCACGAGGTGGGACTTGTAAATACATTCCGCCTCGGCCATCTTTTGTGGTGTGCTCAGGGTCAGGAGCAGGGCATCAAATGAAAATGTTTAGTAGTTACACCGAAAAAACGACCCAGCGAAACTGGACGTCGCGGCACCGGGGCTGGTCCTCGCATGGTTATAGATTTGGTATAATTGGCTCATGATGCTTCGAATCTTCCCTACTTGTGAAAAACATTCTCCATATTGGGTGTTGTTTTCGCAAGGAAAAAAGAGGTTGTGGTTCTCGTGTCGCTGAAAAAGTATTTAACAAAAAAAAGCTTTGTAAGTCAAAAAAAGATTTGAATCTTGCTTAGTCGTGTGAGAAAAGACAAGCTTACGCATCTATTCATACATACTAAAAGGAGAAAATGCAATGAATGCCATGGCGATCCTCCATGTCGTGGTGGTTTGTGCAAACTGAAGTCGTTTGATCGTCAAACAGCGCACTGGGCTGAAAAAGCCAGTGAAGCATTGTATTGACCTGTTGATCGTTTCGCATAAAATCAGCAATGATCCTTTCCGAGCGGTGAGATCCCTGAAGCACAAAAGGAACTGTCTACTTGAACACTGACGCATTTCCGGGCTTCGTTAGGGCGCAAATCAGTTCGTGTCGAATTGAATATACTGTTGTGCGCAAACAGCTTCGTTTTCGTTCGTTCAGGTCGCGTCGCAAACACCATCAAGTGTTGTATCAGTTCACTTTGCTTTCGCTGGTTTCTCCGTCTTCATAGTCTTCATATTTTTTGCACTACTCCCACTTGTTTCCGCCACGCTTGCCACCTGCGGTTGCGCAGTAAACGCCGGCGCTTTTGGGTTCTTCTCCTTAAATCTTCGCAGCGCATCCGCGTACGTTGCACTCACGTGATCGCACATGTCTTGAATGTTTTCCAAGGCTGTTGTGATTTTGATTTTTTTGTATGCATAAGTCAAAAGGAACGCATAATTCGTGGTAAAGACGGAGTCACGACTCATGTCAGAAGAATTGAACTACGCAGTGTGCAAGTCAAAATGCGTGGTTAACATCAGCTGACTTGACAGACACGACGAAACACGGTATTGCTTGCAAAAGAAACATATTCCGTTACCTTGTTCCATGCAGTCGTCTGGTGATACGTTGTTTTTGCTCTGGACCCACACATTCATGACCTCCTCGGAAGGATGCGGAATGTTGTATCCCGCCCCCTCCACGTCGACGTGCTGCATCAAGGCATACCTTAACACGTTCCCCAGGGTATGGTCCTCATTCCGGAAGGCGTAGGTCCTTACCTGCGTCGAAGAGCTGCTGGCTGTCGTTGTTGTACTGGCTACGGTCATCGTGGCTGGAATTGAATATTAGTACTTATCTACTTACCTCAGCAGAGAAGAGATATGAGTACGACAGTATTATGTATGAAGCCGTGTAGTGTGTTTTTAAAAACAAAGAAGTGCGGTGAAAGGACAAACTGTAATCTAAGATGATAGAGCTTTCTTACTACGAGAAGACACTTCAAGCCTCTGCTGGTTTCGCAAACCCACTAACGATGTGATCTGGCTGTTCATCTGGGCGCAGAAGTAATGTTGGATCTATTCAAGTCGTGACTGCATGCAGCACCCGCCGTGCTGAAAGACCATTGACCTTGGATCTACTAGATCATTCATCACAGAGGATCCTAGAAATACTCCCATTCTCCACGATGAGCAAGAAGAATATTTGTGGATCCACGATTTATCGCGAAGGGAGATCTTCAGAGTACGCTCGTCTGATCCATTGGTGCTGTGATCTGTTTTCGTTTTCTCTGCTTTATCATCATTCGTTTACTCTCATCGAAAACCTTTTTCGTTCCAAGTGCTTCTCGGTGCTGGTGCTGCGAAGCGTGTGCAATGTAGCGGCAAACCATCTCTGTGCACCTCATTATGTTGTGCATTTTTTATTCATCAACATGGTGTGCAGTTTGCTTTTGCTCAGAATGTAAAGAACTGAAAGGTATATTGCTCGAGCAGGAAACTATAAAACGCGGCTCTAGTAACTTCACACTGACTGGTTGTCAGTCTGTCAGAAAAATTGAAACATTTCTAGCGCAGTGCGTAGCGCCGAATTTAGAGAAAGTAGATTTGTCGATCGAATTCAGACGCCTTTGGCAACCAGAATATTCTCGGTATCAGCATTGGCATTGCATTGCAAGCCCCTGTGACAGCTGCCACAGACATATTGATGCTCCATTGCATAATCACTGCTGTAGAAATACTAAATCCAAATAGAGTTCATAGAAAAAGACGAAGTCGAATTCGACTGCAGGTATTTCTTGAATCATTTTCACTGGCACTAAACTGGGCAGCTTGACTTGCAAACGACATCAAAAAAACAAAAACATCTAACACAAAAAAAATGAATGAACCTGTGCCCGCGTGCTGGTGGCTAAAAGTTACTTGCTCTGAACACGTCTCGCGCGAGCCTCTGCCCCTGCAACGGTTTCGGGGCTAGCAATTGTTTCCCGTCGAACACAGGCGAGAAAAAAAGGGCTGCCAGATGAACTTCATCAGAATAGGCGTTGACGATCAAATTTCCGCTCTGGTGCCAGGGATTCATGACCAACAGGATATCCTCGCACCACTGCGGAACGCGCCTGTGCAACCACGAGCGGACGTGTCCAACCGTTGGGCCCTCCCGGACAAACCGCTCTGTGGTATCGATTTTTTTTTTACAATAAATTTGATACTGCTCAAAATCGTGGCGCTTGCACCAAATGAAAATCATAGAGTAAAAGAATATGGCACTCGGATCAATAAAACCGTGATAAATATGTAAAAAGGCTTTTGTCTCCGTACTTTCTATGGCTGAATGCGGGACGACCACCATCTGGAACGTGTAGCCGGTTTCGTTTGCCACGGTAACGCTATCTCCCGAAACGTCTCGCAGAAACAAGGTCCACTTTCTGCGCCACTCCTCTGGGACCGGTTCGCCATCCAAGTAGAACGCGGGCGCTGTCCCCTCCACCGTGGGCGGCAGAAGGGGCTTCATGACCCCACTACCAGTCCGGCGAGCCAAGGGAGCGTTTTTGCGCCGTAAAAACGACGTCTTATGGGTAGGAGCGAGGGAAGAAGTGTCGCGAGAAGAAGTGGCTGTACCCGGTCCGGCTGTGCTGGCATCGTGCGCATTGGCAGGGGTAGATTGCAAATAAGGGTCGCATTCCTCACCTCGACCTGGTTGACCGGCCCTGGCGTTCCCATCTTGTGGTCCACACTGTCGGAGGACAGAGAGCACGGGCTCCCGGTTTGCGAAACTGGTACTCGAGCTCCAATGGGTTTTGCTGTGATGTTGAGCAAGATTTTCCCGTACTCCGCCAGACGTTCCAAGCGAGTGCTCCGCAAATGCCGGCGCCGCTGGCTCTACTTGCGGTACTCCGGTAGGCTGGGGAAGAACGTCTGTTAAGACAGTCAGCGAGTCACTGATTGCCTGGAAAAGCTCGAGCCACTTCGACCCCATATCTTCGGGATGCACCTGCGCTGTTTCGGGCTGACCAGGTGATGCGAAAGCCGCGTCAGCCGCGGGCACTGAAGGGTCGCACCCGGCGGAAAAGCCGGATTGATACTGTGCAGCCGCTTGGGCTTGCTGCATCTGCTGGATTGGGTGACTGGAGTACCCTAACACATGCGGAAAGTCAGCTTGTCCCAACGGTTTGAAATCTGGAGTTCGGCTGCCGCTAGTCTCTCCACGACTAGCGTCAGCACTTGGAGAAGATGGCACTCCACCCGCATGATCCCAGATGAAGCCAGCGTTTTCAGTGGACAAGAACGCCTTGAACTTCGGCACACTTTCTTGATCGTGCGGGCGACCGCCCGCATGATCCCAGAAGCCCGCGTTTACATCGGACAAAAACGGCTTGAACTCTGGCACGCCTTCTTGTCCCGGTACGGGGGAAAGAGCCTCCGTTTGGGAAGCGGCATCCCGTGAACCCGCACTGCGTCCGCGCACCATAGCGCCCTGCTCGACAGTGTTGGGGTCGCTCGCTTCCGCTTCTTGTCCGTGAAAAAATTGGCCGAAAATCGACCGCGGCGCCGGCGTCTGTGGAAGATATGGAGCGTCAAAATACTGATAGTTGGCTTCTGGACCGCTTCTTGCAGCAGATACCCCGACGGGCCAGTGCTGGTTCCCTCCGACATAGTACAACCGCTGCTCCTCCTGCGGGGGCTGCTCCTCGGCGACATCTTCCACATTCGGCGGCGGATCTGCTACTGCATCCCCGTCTCGCCCTGGTACGGCAAACAGATCATTCCCAAGATCCGACAACGTGCGCTCAAACACCGGCCCGCAATACGCACTCTCTGATGGCTCTTCGCTACCGGGGTCGCGGGCAAGAAAACCGTCTTCGTCCGCTCTACCGTGAAGCGGTGTGGACTCGACGTACTCGACGTTATCGGGAAGACTCGAAAAACTTGTATCGCGGCTGCTCTGACCGCCACCAAGTTCAAATAAAATCCCTGCGGACCCGCAGCTTTTAATCCCGCGGCGCTGCGTTCCAGCTGTAGTTTGGCGACTAAACGCGCTCGAAGGCGAGTACCGAGCCGCCGTCTCATAGAAATCTTCGTACAAGTCGGGGTCGCACAAGAGACTACCCTTCTTGTCCGAGGTTGCTGAAGCCGTTCGAAGAGGGCCAACGACATAGTTTAAAAAAGCGTAGCTCCGCAAGATGAGTAACATCGTGACAAAGCATCTACTTTTCAGTGTGTATTGATCTCTGTGACAATATGGCAACCACAATCTGAAGGCGACAAGATCAAGAAATAACTGAGACCCTCGCTGCCTCGCAGCGCCCGCGAACAACTTTTCCTTCCTGCGTCGCCAAAGACACGTTGTACATCACGAGAATATTACAACAAGCATCTCGCTTTTTTCGGAAGCTTGCATCTATTCACTGCTGTCATCTTTTTCCATTACTACTACCAATCGGGACATGGCTCTGGATCGACATGAAGATTCGGTGGCGCTGAGGAGTCGCAGTCCTGAAGATCGAAACTGAAAATGGATTCCGTTAATATCATTTTTGTCGATTGTATTCAAGAGATTCCACATTGCGTGCGTGTATTCTGCTGCACCCCAGAAACCTAGGTGCTGCTGGCAGGGAAAGATCGGAAACAGAAACACCACCCGGCCGTGGTGTGGTAAAAGTTGCTTCGCGTGCCGGAACAAATGCTGGGCGTGGTTCAACGCCTTCTGGAGTAGCTCCTCGCCGCTGTGGTCCTGGATGTAACACTTATTCTGGTAGTTAATGATCTTCCCCGGCGCTGGCGAGATGACCCCGCTGCATTCGTCGATGTCCACCGCAGAGGTTCGGTGACGTTGGTCGGTCTGTTCACACACCGCTGCGAAGCGTCTCGCACGCCAGTCGCCCTCCCGCAGCCCGAACGGCGGGTCGGACACGATGGCACTGCAGCGCCGGAGCAGTCCAGTGTGGCTTGCGTTGGCTCGAAAAAATCCGTGTCTGCACCGAGCTGGAGCACCGTCCGGCTCCAGGTCCGACCCCAATGCAACGTCGATAATAATCCCCGGGAGGCGCAGCAGGCTCCCGCTGCCGCAAAAGGGATCGTATACGAGATCCGTGGATGTCACCGCCGCTAGATTCGCCATCAGCAGCGCCAAAGCGGGCCGGACCGCGCACCGAGCAGCGCTCTCGGGTTGCTGGAACTCAGACTTCCAGATGCTGGCTAATTGGTGCTGCAGTGAGTGAAATCGGAAAAACCCAACTGCTTCCAGCAGATCCATGTTGATTTGCGGATCACAGCTACTCCCATCGTTGCTGCGAAGAGCCCCGGTCTGTTGCTGTTGTTTTCGCGCTACACCAAGAAAATAACGCACGGCGTTCGAGTTTGTTCCAGTCGTCTGGCATCGTTCTACCACGCAGCGCTGCAGATCACAAGGTCTACGTAGCTCCGCGGCTGTTGCAGGAACCTGATGTTCACGCACAACGCGAAGGCGCAGTAGTTCCAGCATACGCTTTCTGTTCGCACATCCTAGTGGTATCCCGGAATGCTCCTCGCTGAAGTGTAGCGCCACCTGGTAGAAAAGGCAGCCACGACCACGCTGCCCGAAACCATCAACCCCGTCCAAAACCCGAAGCAAGTCGGCGCTAACTAACCGCGCCCCGATCTGGTCCGCCGCTGCGTCCGAGAGCGCGAACTTGTAGCGCCACGTCGTGAGGTTACGGGCAAGCGACTCCGCATGGTCTTGGATGATTCTTTCGTATCCCCTCGCGGTACAAAAGCAGCGGCAAAGGGATAGAAATTCGATCACGGCATGATTTCGGTACTCTACGCCGATCCCTGGCGGGGCGGTAATTCGCGACCCGTCCGAGCGCTGAACTAGGAGATACTGTCCAGTCCGTTCGCTAAGGCCGTCGACGGAATGTGTCGTGTCTTCCATCTTTTGTCTGCCGGCTGAGCAGCCATTTCCATTTCCCTTGGTCGGCTACTAGAACTACCTGCAAGCTGCTGCGATTACTTAATCATACAAAATACAACACTCTCGTTCTTTGATCGTCCTGACAATCGAGGGAAGGAAAAGTGCTTGCTTAGTTACGCCCTGAACGAGCAGAATTGTGATTCTGAATCCGGCTCGTGATATATCGTGACCGGCCACCGGAAGAAAGGGCACAACAACAAACTTTGCATTTTCATTCAGGAACGAACCTACAGGTGGACCAGGTTTTCTTCACTTTTCCAGTTCATGTGCAGATCACAATGTAATTGAGATCCCTTCTCGGACCGTTCACTTTCCTATCCATCGTGAAAGCTGCAACAAAGTGGAGCCTTCGTTTCAACATCAAGACTGGGAGAGAACAAGCAGACGAGGGCGGGCTTCCTGTTCGTTGTCCGTTCCTTTTTTCGTATTTCTTTCATACTTTTCTTCTGCGACTTTTTTCTCCTTCTACAACGCACTTGGACGCGTTTGCGTGTGCCAGTCTCAGACCAGTCCTTGTCTTCTCAGGTCATCATACGCTCGTTTGGTCATTACATTGCCGGATGCGTCCTCGCACTCCTGACCGTCCTGTTCGAACTGCGTTGCGCCGGCTTCTTTTCTGAGCTTTTCCCACAACGCCACTGCGTCCACGATTTTCGTTATCTGTTTAAAGTTTTTTTTTGTGTAAGTAATGGCACTTCATCATCTTGCTTAATCCACCTAGCAAAATGCGGTCTAAGTTCCAAAAATGCAAGCGCAAACAGACGACTTTTACATGAAGAACCTGGCCGTCTCCACGAAGAACGCGAGACAAAGGATCAACACTGCAAAATTTTTTTTCCGAAACAAGAAATATACCTCGGCGAAGTGTTTTGTGTTTGGGATTTTCAAGGCGCGCAGGCCGTTTGCGTGTCGCCACTCGGAGAAGTGTTGGTGGAAGGCGCGGGGGCCCCAGTAGGAGTGGTTCCCGCAGATCTCGCACTTGTACTCGCGCCCCATGTCGTGCAGCTTATAGAGCCAGAAGGGGATGGGTTTGCCGTCCCAGCCGATGGGTAATTTCAGCGGGTTGTAAATGGCCCGGTCCTCGGACTGAACGCTCTCGTTGTCGCTGTTGTCCTCGTCCTCGGGCTTTTGTCGCAAGAAAAAATGCCCCCACACCCCAGAAATTGGCAGCAGTTGTATTGCAAACCTTTCCAATGTAAACACTCCCCGTCTTGCAGACAGCAGCATCACAAACTTTGAATGCTGAATAGCTCAAATTTGTGTTGCAACAGAACCCAGCAACAGCCAGGCCTGTGATGCAACAAAAGATGCGTTCTTGCGGGGTCAGATTCTACTGCACCAGAAAGACTCATTATAGTCCTTTCATGCAAGACAAAAGTTTCATTTTGCATCAGAAACTTCTGCAGCTTCCGGGGTCGTGGGGGCTTTTTTCACTGTGATAGCTTCTCGTCGTCCTTCTTCCTCGTGCCCGTTCCGTCCTCCGCGGCGAGGTCTTGGGCCTGCTTCTCGAACATGGCCTGCTCGTTCTCCATGTGCTCGGCGTACTCGTCCTCGGTCATGGACTGCTTCAGTTGGCAGATGTTCACCGCCTCGCGCACCTGGTCCTGCACCAGGTCCAACAGCTTGTGGCACTTGTGCTCCATCGCCGCGATTACCCGGTCCTCATTCCGACTGTCAAACTCGAATTGCTCGATGTCTTCCGGCCCCAGGCTGGTCATCTGGCTCAGCTTTTTCATGTACCTGTTTAGAATTTTATTTTTTTTTCCGTACAGCATTTACTTATTCTGGTAGACCATTGGAGGTTCCATTGCCAAGAACGTGCTGGTGCTGCACAGTGTTTACTCACAACCACTCAAAAGCAAAAATCGCATTCAGGATGAACAAAATCAAACTATAATACGCTTTGCTCTTCTCGTGAGATGCTTTTGTGGCTTCGTTTGCGCAGAGCCGGTCCGTCGCGCGCGCGTAGAGCGGCATTTTACACGTCGGCTCTTCCCAGCCTCGCTTTTGGCCCTTCTCCCATTCAAAGCTGAAATCCGATTCGGACCTGTTTGGTTCATCAAGTTTCCAGGTGCATATTGAAGCCATTTACTGCCATGTCAAAATTGAAATTTCATCGCATATAATTGGAGCGAGTTTGGAATGGCATGGTCGAAACATCAAACCCGCAGCAACTAAAAATCGTATACTTTTTAATTATTTCAGGCAGGTCCAGCAGTGGTTGCGCCCGCTGCACGAAGGATTCCAGATACGCGTTCACCTGCTGCAGATAGGCGCGATACTGGTTGTCGCGGTACTTGCAGTGTCGTGGAATGTCCCAAAACTCGTGAAATGTTTGGAGCCACTTGACATAATCGAGTTCCACGAACGCGAGCTTCTTTTGTATCTCTGGATCACTGAGGTCCAGCTCCTTGTTGTTGCGAAGAAGTCGCGTCTGTTTTTGATAATGGATAATTTCATTTCGAAATAGGAGAGAGAAAATTGTCGGCAAGTTTGTTGTGCCCTTCAAAAACAGAGGGAAAGCTGTGCGGGGAACTACTTAGGCTGCTGCATCGACGTCAAAAATGGCATAAACCGTCAGGAAATTATCGGTGCACCATCTCTACTTCAGTACCTTCACTTCATCCCGGTACTTCTTCTCGCGCACATCTCGGTATTTTTTCCAGTTGATGAATTGGTTGTAGAGGACGTGTAAATCGACGCGCTTTCCGAACGCTTCTTCGGCAGAGAAGCTCGCATCCGTCTGGTCCTGTTCCTTGGCCCGGTTGTAATACCAGATGGGGTCCCGTCGCTCTGGTATCCCTCCGGCGATCGGGTTTTTTCGGTGGTAGGTTTTAACCTGTGAAGAAAAAAATTTTGCCAGAAATTAATATAAGTAATAATTTCTCTGTGATCATGAATTTCGAAATTTACGAGGAGCTGATGGATACAACGAGCGCGGCCAACGAAGACGACGACGATACAGACAGGCACCGGAGCTGCAACACGGAACAAACACAGTACTGGTAATGACAGATACGCAGCTTGTTCGCAGAAAAGCGACATAGCCGAAAACAAAAACCAGACTCGAGGTAGTAAGTACTTCCTTGATTTTCTCGTAAAAGGAGTTCCAGATGGTGTTTTCCGGTTTCTTCGGATCGATTCCCGCTAGAAAGTCGCATTCCTCCGCTCGCAGATTGTCCTTATCTTCGTACAATTCGAGGGCGTCTTTCGCGTTTTTGCTGGTCTCATCGATCAGGAGTCGCATGTAGCCCTCGCAGGCGACCTGCACTCGCGCGCTGTCGGGATAGGCGGCTCGCTCCTGCAGAACTTTGGAGAGAGTCTTTTCTATTATTTCGCACGCCTCCTGGGCGGCTCGGGTCTGCTCTAAAACGGACGTCATGCTGGGTACAGCTGGTCGTCGTGGGGGTTTTGTCGCTTCGAGCACTGGGACGGGAACGTCGAGACAGGCTTGCTCACTCCGAAAACTCGAACCGAGGGATTGCTTCGGTCGCGCGTCGGAGATGGTCGGTGCGCTACCACGACTCTAGCACAAAAGAAAGTCAAATGAACGCAGTTGCGTTTTGACTGCCATTGACGCAGACGAAGTTTAAATAACACATCTGCTTGTTCCTTGTGTGGTCGCGTCAGTGTATACTATTGATTTGGGATAAAGTCCTTGAGTCAAAACGCTTTATGGTTTATTGTCGCTTTTGTTGTTTTTATCCTGCGTTGTCTTAATGGGGTGAGAATGATATGGATTCCTCGTGCCAAAAAAGTGCCGATCCCGAGGTCGCCAGGTCAGGATTCGCAAACGGCACCACGAAATTTCTCCCGCCAGCTCCACCTACCTTTCCGATTGATATACTCTGAACCAGTTTTGCCTGATTTCGGATCATTCTGGATCGAGAAAAGCGTCCCCTTTCCATGATCCTAAAAATTCTTTTGATGCTAAAACGCTCAAGAATGCAGGCTTCTGATCAAACTTAAATGCGGATCTGACTGATTTCGTCTCCGCGGAGCAAACCAGCACGCTCAAATAAACTAGAGATAGGCTCTCCTCAGCCAGCCATCCACTTTTAACATCACGAAACGGCATGCAATTTACGGATCACTGCAGGACTTCCGATTTCTGATAGTCACGTACGCATACTTTTTGCGTCGCGGCGCCGGAACCAATTTTCAGTCTTGGCACTTGAGGAAGAGAACTCATCTTGATCTTCGCTTACGCTTGAAGAAAAGGGCACCTGCTGCATCAGTACTTTTTACAACATGGGAGGTGTTAATACGTGGATGTCGCCTTATGAATCATTTTTAGAATAAATGCGTAGCACTATACTAGCATTACAGAAATCCGCGGCTCATTTTTTGCGCGAACCGATCTCGTCGTCGATGGTTGACTGTTTTCGCTTTATTGGCTTCCTTCCGGCGAGCGCCATAGCTTTGCCCCTGAACCGTGCGCTTGGCTTGGTCCGAGCTGTTGTTCTCGCCCTTTTTCCCACTCTTTCCACCGCCCTTGCCCTTGCTGCCACCGGTGTCGGTTACGTCCTCCGATTCGGTATTGGGTTCCGCGTCGTTAATATCCTCTTCTTCATCGTCCTCATCGTCGTCATACCATGTGTTTTTTTCGTAGTTCCAGTCTTTCCACTTGCCACCATACCAATTGGTCTTGTCGCCTGCTTTTGATGTCTTGTAGTTGCCCATCGCGTCCATCTCCGCGTGCTCCTCGTTTTCCTCCATGTAGTTCTTCCACTCATGCCAGTCGTAGTTCGCTTTCTGTGCATTGTAGCCACTGTACCAATCGTCGTCGTAACTAGTACTCTGTTGCTCTTGCTTGTTGTGTTGTCCTCGCGAAGATGAACTACTCGAGGAAGCAGCAGCCCCAGCATTTGTCTTCCCTGTCGTCTTAACATTATTTCGCGATTTCGGGTCGTAGTCGTAGCTGCTGTTGTTGTTCTTGGTCGCGGTGGTGTTGTTGTTCCTGCTGGACGCACTACTACCTTTGGAAGATCCTCCTGCTGCTGCGCCGGCTTTATTCGCTTTCCTTCCCTTGCTGTTTTCATTCGAATTCCCCCCCTCGTCCTGGTCACCGGCGGTCTGGCCCGCACCCGTGTCCGGGAGGTACCAGTGTTCGGTGACCTCGGGCTCGTCGTCGTACTCGCGCAGGGCCTTGCGCTGCCGCGTCAACCGCACCTGCTCCCGCCGGTGCAGGTCCTCGGCGCGCTTCTGCAGCTCCTGGGCCACCTCCAGGGCGTCTTGCTGGTCCTGCTGCGCGACGAGCTCCAGAATGCGCTGCTTGTTTTCCGCGGCCTGGCGGTCCGCCAGGGTGGCCCCGGTCGCGGGATTCTGTCCGTACCGCTGCCGCGTGTGCTCCGACGCCGCGCTGAGTGCCTTCTCCAGCTGCGCGTCCAGCGGCCGCTTGCTCTTTTCCCGGGTCGACGCGGCCCGGTTCTTCATCTCCTCCAGCGTCATCTTGCGGTCCAGCACGGCCAGCGCCACCGGCAACTGGTCCTGAAACACCGCGTCGATGCACTGCGCCGTGTTGCGCTCGTACTGGTTCAGCAGCGCGCACAGAAAACCCTCGCCAAAGTCGCTCCCGAGAATCTCCCGCAGCTCGCCAATCTTCTCCCGCAGCGGTTCGTCCACCTCGGTGGCAAACATGTCGGTGGCATCGAGCGGTCCAATCGCCCGCTCGGTCTTGATGCCGCAAAGCTGCTCCAGGCATTGAACGCCTAGGTTTAATATTGTTTTGATGTTCCAAAAAATCCAAGCGGTGGATAGTTTTCAGAATAAACGTTCTGCTTGTTGACAAATCATGATCATCCATCCACATGAGAGTCCATCACCATGTTGATGTGAACGAGACAAGAAAAATAACTTTATATCACTACCTATAGTGTTCAAAAATAAAAGCAAAATACGATCAAGATCCACGCCGGGTTCCCCGTGCCACTCTTCCAGTACGAGTGCCCACTCCGTCGTGAGTAGATCGTCGTGGTTGTCTGCGAATTCACCGATCCACTTTTCCAACTGGTCGAACGCGGGCACACCGCCGCGCAACGGACACCGACTCTGGCAGTACCGCAGGATCACCTTCTGCGTGCGCTGCCGCACAAACGCTAAATCCTCTCGCTCCGAAGCCTTGTCGAACAGATCCAAGTACACCTTCAGCACCTTGTTCTCGGAACTACTCGTTGCTGCTTTTGCCGCCTGCGAACCACTTGCTCCGGCGCTTGTGGTCGTTGTTTTCAGCGCTGTTTTTAACCACTTTGAAGACGAAGAGCTGCTACTGGAGGCAGTCGACGATGCAACTTGTGGCTTGATCACAACTTCTTCGTCGAAAAGGTCAAAGTCCTCCGGGAAGAAGGCAAACACGCACTCCAGCTGCACCAGGCAGTCGGCCAAAAAGTACCACGCGTCGTCTTGCTCCTCGTTGTACATATCGAATGCAAAAGCATCGCACTAGTAGAAATCGCATGACAAATTCCCTCAGCATGAAAAATGCAATTTGTAATGCGGATTTAAGTTAAGAAGGAGATTTGTAATGCATGACAGCGATTACTACGAGTACGATACTTTTGCACAGCATAGTACGCGCGCTCCAACGATTTCTCCAGGAGCTCCGCAAAGGCCTTTTTCGAGGTCGCGTACTTTTTTTCGATCAGTGCTTTGGTCGTCGTGGTCGAAGTCGCGGATGAAACATGCGCTGGGTCCTGCAGCACCGAGCGGACGCCCTGGAACACCACGGAGAAGTTGCTGCCCCCGTACACGGCGCAAAAATCCAACAGGAAGGGGAACGACCACACCTTTTGCATCAGGTCCGCGTACTTCTCCTCGCCGATGCGCTCGCTCGCGGATTCGCTCCGCCGCGTCAACCGCACCAGCACCCAGAAGACGTGCTCGTAGCACTGCGCGCGCGCCTCGTCGAGTCCCTGCGACGTGACCGCGCCAAACGGCGCTTGAGTCGCATCCTTCTTGCTTCCACCTTGCACGTGGGACACGACCTTGCAAGAGAGCGGATTTTTGGACGAAGTTTTGGAAGACGGAGACGCCGCTGCTACACTCGTGCAGCTGCTGTCGTTCGTCAATAGGCTCAACTGCTGCTCGTGCTGCCGCGTGCAGAAGGCCACGAAGGAGCGCAGCGCGGGCAGCACCGTGTTATTGTACAAAACGTGCGACCACACCTGGTGAAAGGGCAGCTCCCGGAGTTTCCGCAGCATGCGCGCCTGCTCCGCGAAGAAGTACTCCAGCTCCCGGACCCGCGCCTCCCCGCTGATCTCGTCCCCAGGCACGTAGAAATCCGTGGGGACAAAGGACAAGGCATCCTGTGTAAAAACGTCCCCATCCCAGAATCAAGATGCCGATTTTGCGTACACGAGGCAAAAAGTTTAGGCTGTTCCGCATGACAAATTGGAGCTCGTAGTGTAGTCCTGTGCAGCTAGTGTGTCCGCATCACAAATCGACCGCCTTATGCTACTTTGCGCATGACAAACTCCCAGACAGCATTAAAACATGCTCCTCATGCGGCTGCGCATGGGAAGCACTTTAGGCTTGCAGATTTGCATGACAGCTACGGGGTGGGGACGTTTTTACATAGGATACAAGAGCTGGATCTCGCGGTAGTTCCCCTTGACCCAGTGGTCGGACAAATCCGGGACGGCCTTTGGCTTCCCCAGCTTGTCCTGCACGTAGGTCACGCCGCACTCCAGCGGCGGGGCTTCCCGCTTCTTCTCTTCGGCCCGTTTCCGGTAGTACTCATACTTTTCCCGGTCCTGGGCACGCTTGTAGGCCTCCTGGTTGGCCTCGCGCTCCTTCTTCGACTGCTCGGCATACTCCTGCTTTTTCTGCTCAAAGTGCTGCTTTTTCTTCTCGCCCTTGCTGGTTCCCTTACCGCCGCCGGCTTTATTGCCACTGGTGGGCCCGCTACCCTTGCCGCCCTGCGTCGCCGAGCCGCCCTTGTTGTTTTTGGGCGCCATAGTTCTTGCGATGTTCAGCAGCTCGAATGAGCACAATCTTCAAAGCTCATTTCGTGCCGGACAGTGGGTAGCAAAAAATTATTTTGCGCGTAGTGGGTAACTAGGAAAAATACGTCGAGGGAACGACGAAGATTCTTATTATTATTTACTCTTATTTACTTGAATACTTTCTAAAGATGATGTCATGGGGCTCAGCGTCAGGCTTTTGTATGTTAATTGAACGACTGGAAAATGAAACTGACAAGCGCAAGAGGTCGATCTCAGTCTACTGATGCTGTAGAATCTTTCGCGTGTTTGCACGTCGATCTGCGATTTTGTACAGGATCTGAAAAAGCAGTAGCATCTTCGTGGATCATCTAAGGACGTAGTTGAGCAAGCTAATCTTCGGCCTTCCATCTTCGAGAGCTTTCTACAGAGCTAAACTAGACTACCTGCTTTTCGTTACTATATGGATAGAGAGGTTCACTTCCCTGTGGATCATGCGCCGCTCTTGACACACATTGAAACTTATAGCGGAACGCAACCCTGATGTAGGATCATCTGCACTGGAGCAGAACATCATCGGACACCGTCACAACTGTAGTTGCCACGTAGCTCCTGCTGCTTTTTTCACATGAGACTACACTCTATGTCATCCATGCCCTCGCGGCACGCACAACACGGAAGTCCCCCTTCCCGGTCCTTTTCTTTATTTTTTGTGGCGTCTTTCAACTTCTTTGCCGCGAGTACGTCCTGGAGGTCAGACACCTCCTGTGTAGTCTGGTGCGCCGACAGATCGTACTCCGTGGCTACTTGGTAGTGTTCCTCACCTGTCGTGTTGTGCATAATCATTCCCCTTCCTCCGATGTTGAGGCTCGTTTGTCTTTTCAAAACGAAATGCTTCCTCCGTGCTCTATGAGAACACACTATCACCAAAATAGAGTACTTACCTGCGTCACCAGTTGGTGCGGAGGACGCCGGTTCCTGTGTGGTCGTCGTCTCCACTTTGGACACGATTTCGTCCGCTGCAGTCGTAACAGTGCGTCTCGGATCGTATCCCGACTCGTCGGCGAACACGGCTGCCTGCTCAGCCTGGGTTGTTGTACTACGCGCGGTTGTCCCGGCTAACGCTGTTGCGGAGGAGGTCGGCGGTGGGGGGGACAGCACATCAGGCTCCGGAGCCGGCAGGTCAATGCCACGCGCAAGTGGTGCGGACGGGCAAGTCGTTGCGTACAGTCGCTCCAGCCGTACGAGCTGGGACAGCGCCCGCCAGGTCGTGCGCGTCAACGCGCTCTCGATGCGCCGGTCCGCAAAGTTCCCGGAAAACGAATGCGTCAGCTGTGCGACGTCCTCCTCCAACGAATCTAAAACCGCGTCCGGGGTCCGCATGCGCAGTGAGTCCTTGTCTTCCAAGAAAAACCGTACCGCCACCGGGTCGAATTTGCGCGCAGCGAGGTAGAAGAGTTGACATCTTATTCCATTTTTCAAATGATGTTCCGTATTCAATTCATGTTGCTGTGAAGCAAAAAAAAACCTTTCGGCAAAGAAATAAAGCGTGATCAGAAGATCAAAAAAGTTATTCTCTATCATACTCAGCCAGAAATCGCTGCAAGCGCGTCCGGCAGGTTTTTGTGCAGCCGGTTTCCGCTGCGATGGTAGCAGCCTTTTCGGTCATGTTCCCGTCCCCCCAGTCCGAGACAGCGAAGGTGAAAGGCTTCCACTTGTGCAGGTCCGCGTTTTTGAAGGTCACTTCCACCACATCCTCCCCGAGGTCGTCGGCGTACACGTTTTGCAGCATCTGCTCCGCACCCCCACGCACGAAGATCCGGTCCACCACTTTCACCTTGGTCATCTGCTTGATGGTGTGCCGCGCCCGCTTCAGCCGAAAGAGGCCCTGCACCAGCTTCGCACCCGCGAGCGCCTGGGCCTGAAAGTCCACCGAGCCGAGGGCGTTCTGGATCACGTCGGCGAGCTTCTGTTTGGGCCCCGCGAGAAAGTACACGAAGGCCGTGTGTTCGTCCTCGTGTTCCTTCTCGGATTTCGCCGGGCTGCCCCCGAAAAAGGACGCGACGCGCGATCCCAGGTTGCGCAGCCTTTCCCCCGTCGGCGACGTGGGGGAGGCGGCGGCGGACTCGGCGCCCAGCTGCGCGTCAGAAATGCTATGGAAGTGTCAGGACCCACCGAAATTGACAAAATCGAAAAACTTGCGATGCCTAAAATCGATACCAGTTGAAGCATCAGCTTCTAACCATGCGTGCCCTACATTTTACGCATCACAAATTTTTTGACATTGTCGATTTCGATCCTGACACCCCCATAGATGCCCCGCGGGTCGTACTCCAGCACGACGGCCGTGTCCGGTCCCAGAAGGTCGTGCGAAAGTTCCCGCGCCTTGCACTTCGCGACGCCCTCTTCGCCCGAGTGAATCTTGCGGATGCTCACGAGCCGCACGATGGCGGAGAGTTCCTCGTCTGCTACCTTAATATTACAGGGTGGAGATTTTGCATGCTGTCGTCGGCTGTCTAGATCATTGAAACAAGACACGTGCGCGAAAAAAGATGTCTAACGAAAACACCGCATACTGAAACAAGAATGCTGTGTAAAGAAACGGACGATGCTCTAAAATTAAGGGCCCCCGCAAATCAATAACCAATACAAGATACCCGTGCGGGTAGTTTCTTCGCTTGCGCGGCTGCACTGTCCTTGTGCAGGACGTAGAGAAAGTATCAAAATGAAAAATCCCCCCTCCCCATATCAAAACGGAGATTTGTGATGCTGATTTGTGGCCACAAATCAGCCTTGTATTGCAGAGAGGCACTGCGGCCAGATCCCCAGGCTAGGTAGGGGCGTGCGGGTCTAGTACTTCAGCATGGCAAACGGCCCCCCTTTAGGCCCAACAGCATGACAAACCGCTTCCATAATGGGGCGGAAGCTTCTGCCCTTGTCTTCTTGCAAGACAGATATGATTTGTGACCTCAAATCCCCAACGCAAATTTTTGGAAACATACCTTTTCAATATGGGGAGGGGGAATTTTTCCTCTCGATAGAAAGAAGAACTTGGCGTCCAGGCGAATCACCCGCATCTCGAACCGTTCTATGAAGTGCACAACTCCCCCTCCCCCTCATTTGCATAGCATGAACGGCAATACAAGCATCATCAAAAGTGCCGGCTTTGCATGACAAATTTGCACTGGAGCGTAGTGCTACTTGGGCTACCAGAACTTGTCATGCAAACAGTGCCAAGAGGCAAAGGGTGGATTGGGAATTTTGCATGACAAATGAGGGGGAGGAGGAGTTGTGCACTCTCATACGTTCCAGCTTCGGGTCATAAAAGAGGCACGGCACGCCGTCTTCGACCAGCGCGTCCAGGGGGAATTTGACGGGATCCGCTCCTTTGAACTTTTTCGTGCTTTTCCGCACGATCGGATCCTTATCGCTCCCGCGCAGCGAAACGTTGTGCTGGCCGTACTCAAACCGACCCGCGGCGCTTGAGGTAGAATCCCCCCGTCGCATCGTGTGATGCTCTGGTCAACGCAGAATTTATTTCCGCGACGGGTCCGTGGGCGCCACCAACGCAGAGACGGACGAGCCCGGTGGTTTATTCTTGATGGTGGCAAAAACTTCAAGGCAGAGCCGAAGTTTCGTCACAGGGTCATCGGCCGCTTTTCAGGCATGGGGATACAAGAATCCGTTTGTCATTTACTGAAGTGGCGAACCCTCGACGAAGTCCCTCTGATTTTACCTTCACCGAGGCTACCAGACTCTCACTGTGCGATGCTCGCTCTCGTCCCTGAAAGACCTTCGCACGACTCTATCAAAGCTATAAAGGGATCGGTTCAGTTCATCTGTTCTTCAGCGAGGATGCATTGTTGCGATCGTTGCACCACCCGAACAAAGCAGCTCCATGCTTGATGGTGGACAGTCTGGCGCTGGCCCGGACGTCCCTTGGCGCTGCCGCCAGCTGTCTCGCACTTCGTTTTCTCCACTGCTGGTGCTTTTTACCAACCGCAAACGCCGGCACGATGCCGCGGCTCGTGATGTACAGGGATAATCAGTACAAGCAAAACACTCGTGGTTTCGAGTGTTGGAAAGGGGATACTGTTCATCTTTCACGGGTTGCGTGCACGCGGCTTCGCGGTGCGGTTTTTCTTTCTTTGCTCAATATGAACATATGTATCCAGGCAGCAACTCTCGTATACTGCGTTTCCGTTTGAAATCGTTGTGTTATCACAAGAAATCTGCTTTAATTTCTTCTACATCACCATTGATCTATGATCCAGAGTATCAGAGTTTCAGTATCTATTGACTCAGGGTATCAAACAAGTTGTATCAAAGTGGCTTCGAGCTGAGGCTTGCACCGCCACCACTCCCCTCACCCGACCTCGATGAGGGGCGTCGAGCCGTCCGGCGCTTGGTGGTAGGCGTGCTGTCCGCGCTCGCGGACGATTTGCAAGTCTTGCAGGAGCACGTTCACGATCTTGTGGGTGTCCTATGAGAGTGCACAACTCCCCCTCCCCCTCATTTGTATTGCATGAACATCAGCAATACCAACACCAGCACACGTGGACCCTGTGCATGACAAATTCATGCGCCTAGTGTAGTACTGTCTGGGCTTCTGGCATCTGTCATGCAAACAGTGCCACAGGGAAGAACTTGGATTTGGGCTTTTGCATGACAAATGAGGGGGAGGGGGAGGGGGAGTTGTGCACTGTCATATGTCCTTGATTTCCCCCGCCACGCGGCGTCCGCGCGCCTCCAGGGCGTCCAGCATCGCGGAGTCCGCCTGGTAGAAGGGCACGGCCATTCGGTACTCGAAGAAGGCACCCAGCCAGTTCTTGGCCCGCTGGTACACCTGTCCGAGAAGAAAATGAAACTGCCCCTCCTCGTCGGGCTGGAGCTGCAGCGCAACATCCGCTGCCTGCTCCTTCGACTTGTTGTTCCCCTCCTCGTCCTCCTCCTGGGCCAACCCGCGCTCCAGGATCTTCCGCGCCAGAAACCCGGCTTCCTCGGTGTACTCGGTTCCATACGCTAGCGTGAGCTCCACGAGCTCCGCCGCCGTTTTGATGGTGACCAGCTCGCCCGTGATGGAGTCCGGCAACGCAGCGAAGTTGATCGCCTGCTTGGCGAGACCGACTTTCCCCGTTCGCATCGCAGCCATGCCGAGCCAGGCCCAAATCTCCGGGCGCGTGCCGTCCCGCAAGTTACTTTCGCGCAGACACAGCAAACCCTTCTCCGAGGCGGACGCGTCCGTTTCGGCGAGCTTCAACCAGCAAACCTGCACAACATTGTTGAAAACAGTTTCTCAGAAATTTTGATCATGGTCGTCGTGGAACATGGTGTCACTCGTGCGTATCATCAATTCACTGCAAGAACAGAAGTGAACAAAAGGAAATTGAAATCAATTTACTCCAGCCATCAGCCAGGCTTGTGAACTCGGGAAAACGGCTAAGCTCCGTTGATACATGGCACTACCCTCTGCGTAGAGTCCCGCTTCCAAGTAGATGCGTCCCAGCCGCAGCAGCAGCACCGGGTCTTCGTTTGCGCCTGTCTGCAAGAAAGTGAGCGCCTTCTCGAATGCCTCTCTGCTCGGGGCCAACGAGTTCAACCGAAACTCACACTCACCTGGATTTTGTTTTTCGGCACCCTCATCGGTCGGAACTTGAACTACTGTTTCTGTTGTCGAGCTTGTTCCGCGTAAAAACAGCAGCTGAACACCATGCGACTATGAAGAAGAAACGTGTGATAATTCTGTGAAACTATGCAATTTTTTCTTATACCGAGCAAGATCCAGGCTTCGGAATTCCGGTCCGTCACGCTCTCGATTAGGTTTTTCAATGCTTTCCGCGCCTTGCCGAAGCTTTGCTGGAGCATGTAAGCCTTGACGATCTGCAGCCGGCACCGCTCGCTCTGTCGGGTCTTTTCGGTGACGATGAAGCGCACGAGCCCTTCGTCCTCCTCCGGATTTCCGTCCATGTGATCCAACAGAAACAACACGAGGTCCGCCATCCCCAGGCTGAGTAGCTGATCAATCACGTCCAGCACCCTCCTGTCCGCGCCGTCCGGCAGCGCCCGCACGGTGGCGGCGTGCGGGAAGGCGGGAAACTTCTTCGCGAAGCCTTCCACGCTGGTGGTTTCTGCGTCGCTGCCGCTTTTCGGCTCGGCAGCCGGCGTTCTAGCGACGTCCTCCAGAAACGTTGCCAGGCCCCGTTGCGCCAGCTCGCGTTTGCTCAGCGACGAAAAGCTGTCTTCCCGCTCCGGGAGCGCTTGTCCAAAAAAGGTCTTCTGCTTTTGCGCCAACGACCAGTATTTGGACGCGCTCCTTGAGTTCCCCGCGTACGCCTGCACCAGGAAGAGGAGAAAATTCCCGGCAAAGGAGGACGGGATGCGGCGCGCGCACTCGGCCGCGAAAAGCTCCGCGGAGTCGTAGCTTCGGGCGGTGAGTTGCAAGCAGCTCATGAACAAAAGACCTGCACAAGAATTTTCGCTTTGTTATTGTTCCTTTCGCCACTGAGTATGCACAGCCACAGCCTGCAGGGAAACTACGCTATAAATTTCCAGAACGAATACTTACTCTTTTCTTCTCCGATGAACAAGTCCGATAAAGAACTAGGTGCTCAAAAAATGAACTCAATCGTAAAAAAAAAGTACTGTCAACCGGAACGCGGTCCAGGGTGCGCACGATGCTGATGGAGTGCGTGAGCGCCCGGACCGCTTCCTCCCGGTTTCGCAGGCACCGCATGCAGAACCGGGCATAGTCGACCCACACGGCGGCGTCGATGTGGTTCCTGGTCAGCTGGAGCCGCCTGGCCCACACGCGCCCCGCGCGGGGCCGGTCCCCGATCATCTCCGATTCGAAGGCGAGCTGGCGGTACTGCGCGTCGCGCGTCGCTTCCTGCTTCCGCAGCTCGGCGGGCCGCCAAAACTCCTCGGGTTCGTAGGCGGAGTCGGGGTTCTTCCACAAGCTCGTGTCGCGCCGCCACCCGTACTTCGCATGCTCGCTGTTGATGGTGCAAAAGATCAACGCACAAAGCTCGCGACTCATGTCGGTGTATTTGGCGTCGCGCTCGTCGCCGTACAAACCGGCGCAGGGTAGCCGATCCCGCCCGTACGCCACCACCCGACTCCGGACTAAGCGCTGCAACGCTGGTCGCAGGGCCTGTGGAAAATGGAAAGGATGGAATTATTAATAATACAGGGTCAGCAACTGCAATTGTCGGCGCCGCAATTCAGAACCGACGCTCTTAAATAAGGAAGTGAAAACCAATCTATGTATGGCGCGAAACTCTTCGGAAGGGCGGGCGAGAACCACGGGCTGTACAAGGAAATAAGCAAAGAAGTTGAGGAAGCAAAACAGTCCAGGATGTTCAACTTTTCCATCGCGAAGCGGCGCCCGGTCAAAGTTGCTTTCAAGAAGAACTGACCAGTGCCTAGTAAGAGAGCGAGCACCAGTTCTCGACGTCCAGCATCGCTTAATATTCATGATAGAAAATTACTCATCTTCGCCGGTGGTGCAGCACTTACCTTTAGCAAAGGCGATCCCTCCTCTCCGCCACTTTCGATGCGATCCAGCAGGTCGCGCCACCCGAGCGGGCCGAGCAGCTGATTCCGGTCCAGACAACCGAGCTCCGTTGCGTACTTTGCGTAGTCGCGTCCCAGCACCGCCAAGGCGTTGATGACCGCCTCCTCGAAGTCCTGTTCCGGCGTCTTCTCGGGCTTCTTCGGCCGCGGGTCGTTCGCGAACAGGGGCTGGACCTGCGCCTCGCGGAGGGCCGGCTCCGTACGCGGGCAGACCTTGTTGGGGGCGTCGAGGAACTTATCCAGGAAAAAAAGTGTGTAAGTGTGACTTTGTAGGATGATTAGCATCACAAATTCGCTTGCATGACAGAAAAAACCTGTCATGCGCGGTTAGTACGTCAAAACACGGAAGTTCTGAGCTTGTAACGCACACCCAGCATGACAAGCGTGACAGTCTTGCATCATCCGCAACACAAACTTACACTTTTTACACAGTTTTTTTCTTGCATAGAACTGCACGGAGAACTTCACGTACGTGCCGTTCAGAAAGAAGGGGTCCGCGGCGCTGTCCTCCGGCGCGGCGGCGTCCGGGGGGCAATTGGCGGCCAGGCGGGTGAGCGGCACGGTGAACGAACTGCTGGAAGTGAGCAGGTCCTTCGATATCTGGAACCCGCCTTCTGCGTGGTGCCACCGCGCGCTTTTCGCCGCACCGGCGTCCGTGCTGCTCTCGAAATCGGCGGCAAGCGGCAGCGGGTCATTTGCCACCTTGGGAAAAAAGTGTAGATACCGGGAGGAGGTGGACGACGAACTGGTCGCATTGCAGAACTGCTGCACCCACGCGCGGCTCTTGTAGCACGTGACGGTTTTCGACCCCGCCGCCCCGGTACTGGACCACGTTATGGACGGCAGTTCTGCTTCGTTCACTTCGTTCGGAATAGAAATCCCCGCGCTCGGCGTCGCGCTGAACAGCTGCTCGAAGCTCAGTTTCTTCTCCTCCAGAAAAGACACGAGTCTCAGTACGGGCGAAGCATCCTCCGCCGGAACCGCATGGACGGCATTGAATTCCTCTGCCGTCACGCAGCCGTCCGAATGCAGCAACAAGAAGGCTATTGTCGCGTCCTGAAATAGAAGAAATTTTGCGCTTCATGTTTTAATATTCTTGGTGGCGTGTCGAGATAGAGTCCGTTTGCATGCGCTAGACCCAATCACACATGCACAATTCAACATCTCCCTGTTTCTAATCGTAAAAAAATCAAGAGAACGTCATGTGCACCTCACGTACGATTGCTTTCGTACCTGAGAAAGCTTTGCCGCATCCCAAGCAGCCTCAAAATCCCGAAGCGACAATTCTTCCGCATCCGTGAATTCCGTCCAAGCACTGCACTCACTGCTTAACATTGCGGGCGAAAACGTTTCCGTGAGCAGTCGTTCGAGCAAGTCCGCATCGGCCTGGCGCCACAGACCTGCACAGATTGTGATTTTTGTATAGTTTTCATCGGCTGCATACTACGTGTACCGGGTCGATTTCTTTTTTAACCTGCCTAGAAATGAAGATCCGCCGGGCCTCACCTGTTTTCCTCAGGTCCAGGAAGGTAAACACCCGTCCCGCTAACTCCGAATCCGAAAATCCAAGTGTAGCGACGGTCTCGCAGAACGCAGTGGCCGAAATTTCCGACGGGCTGTCCACTGCGGTCAACACCTCCTGAAAAAAAGCGTGGAAGTTGCCCCAGTTGTTGGCAATCCATTTTCCCAGGGTCCGGCTTTCCTGGAGCCGCTTGCCGAGCGCCTGGGGCAGCAGGTCCAACGCCAGAAACTGGGCTTTCCCCAGCGGCTCGGCGCTCGGGCCGGCTAATCGGCCGAAGACACCCTTAGCCAAATCGCCGTCGTAGCCCAGCTCGGTTGCTTTTGCAACGAACGTGTCGGCGGAAACCGAGGTAGCAGCCTGCGGTGGTAGTTTGACAAGAAGCATTGTGGACAAACATAAATGTACACACACACTAGGTTCTCTGCAAAAAATAAAGTTTTTTTTCAAATGTAACTCTGGAGCTGCACGGGAAGAAGTAAGTGATGATTTATACCTCGCCCTCTGTCGCCGCGAAGGCTGCAAATCCCCCCACGCACGACTCGCAGTTTTCGACCAAGAAGCTGCGGAAAGCTCCGAGGTCGACTGGTGCTTCGGTTTTGTCCACGAGAGCCGTGTAATCATCTGCGGTCACGCAATCCTGGGCGAAGCAGGCCCACAAAGCTTCCACGTCTCCACGAAAGCCTGCGCGCTCAAGCGCCGATCCAAAATCCTCCCGAAACACGCGCGTCTGATCGTCATCACAGTTTATTTTTTCAAAAATCCGGTGGTAAGAAGTAGTGTCAGATGAGCTCAAGAAATTTTCTTCATCGTACCTACGTGAAAGTAAAAAGCAAAACAAAGGGCCCGTTCTTGACTATATCATCTTCTACTCCTTCCCTTTGGTGCCACTCGCTGTATATTGAGAAAGTTTCCTTCTACCGGTGGTTTTTCGACTGCGCCGGCGGCACCGCTGCTTGCGCTCGAGGGACGGTCCTCTCCGCTGGCCGGCGGGTCGGCCGAGGTGGATTCGCGTGGCGGCTTCCACACGCGCCCATTGTCGAAGGGAACGTCCAGAATGCGCAGTTGGTAGCTGAAGCCGTGGTCCTCCAGGACCCGGCCCTCCGGTTCGGCTTCCCCCTTGGGGACGAGCGTTGCCGGCAGCGAGTAGACCCCGTCGACCGTCACGGCCACTTTGCACCAGTCCTCGTGGTCTTCCGCGGGCGGCTTGTACAGCACCAGCGGCTCCACCTCGGACGCGTGATAAACTGTGACGCGCACTTGCAGCTCCATGCCCGGGGGCTGCGCGACCGCGGCCACCACGTTGGTTCTTTCGTTGGTGCCGTCCGGGCCCGGCGTGCGGGGGGGCGAGGCGGCCGGGCTCGTAGTTGGAGGGTCGTCGGCGGCCGGTTCGGCGGTGGCCGAAGATTTCAGCGTCACGACGCCAGACAGGTCCATGGTCGGCGCGCTCTGCAGCAGCAACGCGTCCAAACCGTCAAACTGGCACGCGCCAAGCTCGTCTCCGTTTTCGTCCACGAGCGCTGCGCGAAGCCCCACGCCGCAAACGCCATCCAAAAAAACATGTTCCGCGCACGTCGTGTGCGACACGTACTGCGGCTCCGCCTCCGGGTCTGTGCTTTTCGATTTCGTTTTTGAAAAACCCCTAAAAGGTGGCAATGATACTAGGCAAGAAGGCTGCAAGGCGGGAGCACGTAGTTTATGAATGGAATGCTTGTCGGTCCTCTTCTCTGCGACTTGTCGCAATAAATTGAGAGGCGGCAGCGCCCGAGAAGTAGACGCGGAAAAAGCGACACGTGTGTAGTATACATAGTAAGTAAGTTGTACCTTCGCTTGCGAATGCCCACCGTCCGTCTTCGGTCCTCTTTGCGTCGCCGGAGCCTAGCCCTGAAAATGTCAGGCCGCACGATTCCGGAACATCGGGGGAGTCCGTTAGCCCGAGGACCTCCACCGCGATGGAGACTTCGCGCTCCATTGGATTGGTGCGTCGGCGCACGACCGCGTTACAATATTCTAAGCTAGCACAATCGGGTGCGGCACCATGGCCCACCGCCGCGCTGATGCTCCCGTCTACGTGATCTCTGCATTTGGATTTGCAACAGTCTTGACTGGAAAGAGCGAACGATTTGTCTCGTACAAGCTTCTTCTGCGCTAGCCCCTCTATGCGTAAGTCGAGCTCGTGTCCCCTCCACTCAGCGCTCTCACGCGATTCGACACGATCGAAAAGACACGCTCGCCGACCGGGATTTTCCTGCGATTACGAGAGTTTTACGTTCACTTCAGCGGGCGCTCTGCGACCTCAGCTACACTCTTCTCTCAATCAGCGCCTACGCAAGCACCACGGCAAATTGTATTCCTCGCCTAGCCGCCCAAAAAAAAGCGAGCGGTGCGGTCCGCGTTTCCCTTACCTTGCAATCCAACAGGGGCGGCTTCGTCACGAACGCCGACTCGCTTATCGCCAAGCCGGAGCCGCCCGCAACGGTGATGGCGCCGGAGTGATAAAAACTCGCCGTCGTGGGCGAAGCTACACAACACTCCAAAGCGGGGAAAAAGAAGCGACGAAAATGCCCGAAAATGAGCGCTCCAAGGTCAGTACTTCGAACGGGGGGCTTTCCGCGGCGGTCCCGGAGCAGCAGGAACTTTGAAAACGAAGCCAAGACCGCTCGCGCACGACCACGGCGTCCGACGCGCGCGGGATTTTTTGCAAGCGGGCGCGCACATCGTGCATAGTTTCGCACCGCCGAAACCCGAGACTGCGCCGAGCGGCCTTACGTGGCGCGAAACTATAGAAGCACGCACCTCGATGCGGCCCAGCCCCGGCCCCGAAAAGCTTCGCAGAGAAGAAGCCCGACCGCGAACGAAGGACGCTGTGCTGCGGAGCCCGATACGGGCGAGATTTTTAACGCGCCGCCAGACTTGTAGGCAATGCCGAGCGGGAGGCCTGTGGCAATGGAGACAGGCGCCGTCGAGACGAGGCGAGGGGCCGGGGCGGAGTGATTGGGCGCACGTCGAGCCTACCGGCCTCCGCAGGTGACCGCCTGTCATGGTGCACTCCTTAATAGGGGCCATTAAGACCATGGCATGCCAACCATGGGTCTGCTGGGCGCTGCCCAAGGGTGCCTGTTTACGAAGCGATCCCAGGGGACTGCCAGCTATTGAGTAATAGCAATGATATGCCTGAAGTGCGATCCTTTAGGGAGTATAGAGGTGGCATAACACTACTTATGTCCTTTGACTGGGTCTCTTCTCATGATCAAAAGCGTGCTCCTCAGAGTAAGAAAGAGAGTAATCACATCGATGAGCCCCTTGCTTGGAATATTTTGCGTCTACTTTGTTGAATGACATAAATTCGCCCCATTTTTACCATTATGGCGGAGATTGTGTCATGGAAGTAGCTACACTCGCAAGATTTTCTCATTATGATAATCAGCGCTGTAATATTTTCCACAGCTGCAGGGAAAATTGTTACAACTTACAACGGTGATGGCCAAAATTGCAAGATTTTGGTCTGGTTGTTGTGTAAATACGAAAAAAATATCGCGATAATTGTTAAAGTTGTAAGATTTTTTACTGTAATCGTAGGCCACTTTGCAAGATTTCCCGGCATTATTGTTAAACTTTGTCCGAGATTGAGCTAAGAAGGCAAAATTTTTCCAAGAGCGCAACTAAAATTGCAAAAGTTTGGCGCGTTGGCAGCAAAATGCGCGAGGTTTTATCACGGCGGCGGCCATAGTCACAGTATTTGGCCGCGAGACGTGCCAGCATTGGAAAAATTTGCCCTGGTTCCGCCAAAATTGCGAGCACCTTGCAAAAATAAACAGGGGCAGTGACCCTGATCACAAGAAAACTGCCAAACGATGCCCCATTGGCAGGCGTGATTGTAAGACTGCGCCCCCATGGTGGCCAGGAGTGCAAGAATGTGCCCGAGTGGCGGCTACGAGCGCAAAAATATGCCCCAGTGGTGACCAGAAGCCTGAGAATCTGCCATCGTGCCGGCCAGGAGCGCGAGAGTGTGCCCCTGTGGTGGCCGGAAGCGCGATAATATGCCCCCATGGTGGCCCGGATCGCGAGAATATGCCCCGGCGGCAGCCGGGATCACGAGAATGCGCCCGCAGGGTAGCTGGGATCGCAAGACTATGCCCCCGCGGCAGCCGGGATCGCAAGACTATGCCCCTGCGGCGGCCGGGATCGTAAGAATCTACCCCCGGGGCGGCCGGGGTCGCAAGTATGTGCCCTTGCGGCGGCCGGGATCGCGAGTATATGCCCCCGCGGCCGCCGGGATCGCGAGTATATGCCCCCGCGGCCGCCGGGATCGCGAGTATATGCCCCCGCGGCGGCCGGGATCGCGAGAATATGCCCCCGCGGCGGCCGGGATCGCGAGAATATGCCCCCGCGGCGGCCGGGATCGCGAGAATATGCCCCCGCGGCGGCCGGGATCGCGAGAATATGCCCCCGCGGCGGCCGGGATCGCGCGAATATGCCCCAAAGGCGGCCGGTTCGGCGCGAATATGCCCCGGCTGCGGCCGGGATGGCGGGATTACGGCCTCCGCCTCCGTGCCTCGATTTGTGCTTCGCGCGGCCGAAAGGCGGCTAGCCCTCTGGACTCGTCCGCACCGGCGCGCCCCCGTGCGCTTGCGATGCACGCCGGGAGGCCTCGCACCACACGCGGCCCACCTAGTGAGTGCGTGGCGCGTGGATTGCGTGCGAAGACAATCGAAGGGGCCCGCCGGAAAAACGCGGCAGCAGTGTTCAGGAATCCCGAAGAGCGAAAAGCTGAAACGCGAACGCAACCAATTCACACGTAGGCGCACCAACCCGACCGCGATCTGTACTAGTAGCCCGACGCCATCCGGGCTGTTATGATCCCCAAGAGAGCCCCGCGATCAAATTCAAATCAGCAACTCTGCGACACAAGTTCCATGCGACCTTGGGTCCTAATCCGCATTACGATTTTCGTTTTTTTTCCCATCAACTACACGCCCTTTTTTCCTTTGGTACGTGAGGGCCCTGCTTGTTTACGAAAGGCGTATAGAAAGCTTCAACTATTGCGGCGCAATCGCGGTCCTATAGTTTGAGAAAACTTCTTTTGCGGTTCCCAGACATTTTCAGCCGCATACGTAGCTAAAAGCGCTAGCCTCTAGGCACAGACTCCAGATACTTTTCTAACACTGAATGGCGACTCTCTCGGCGGACGACTGCACGTCGGGGCTTCTTCCCGCGGGATCCGCGCTGGTATCGAAAACGGGGCGAACTCTTTACGCAACGCAGGACAGCGAGGTCAAGTCTGCTGCTGCATCTCGAGCACCCTCGCAACTAAAATAGTTTTGAATTCCTCATAAGTATTTCGTTGAAGTGCTCAGCTCTATTCTCAATTAACCTGTATACACATACAAATGCGGGAGCAGACAAACCGAATCCAGAAGGCGTATACTCTCTCGCTTCGGATCTCGAACAAAGAGAAGCAGTATGTAGCCACATATCCACCCTGCAGCTGGTCTGCAGCCCAGGCGCTTTTTTTCGCTGTTTGCCATCGACTTGGGGGAGCTGGTTTTTCAATCGTTTCAACTTTGTTTGACCGGGTTACGTGGCGTTCGTTGGATCGGTAATCAGTTGTCGTGTAATATACCTCTGTGGCTTTAAAGAGCCAGTCACGTCGTCCAGTGCGAGGGTTTTGTCGAGTATGGGACGGGGATCATCGATGGCTTTGCAGGCTTTTCTGAGCGAACATCGGCAAATAAAAAGATAGCTGCTTCGCTCCGCAAACATTCTCGAGGACAAACGTAGGGCATTTGTCGTATTCGTCTTTTTGTGTTGCCACGTTGACAAGGCCTGCTAGCTCAGAAACAGCAACGCTCCTTGACACAACCACAATCCTAAAAAGGGTTTTTTTTTCTCGTCGACTGACTGTAGATAAGTATCCAGGTAGGTTACGACTGAAAAGAAAATCCACACATCGTGTCGAATCTTGGTGCCAGATTGCAGGCCCCGGGAAGTACGTATTTTGTTCAAAGTTGTCTACTTGCAGTGTCGGCGTTACGTAATGCAATAGACGACTGTCAGCCACTCTTTGATATTAATGCTGCGCTACCTAATGGCAATGCTAATGCTCCCTTCAGGTTCCAGCCGAGATGAAATACCTAGTGTCAGCCGGCCAGGCGCCAATGTTTTCGAAGGGAGCCGCCGGGTCATGGTGGTTCCCAAAACCCGAGATCCGTGCAAGTGATGCGAATAACCCTAACCAAACCTCCTCGCACACGATGAAAGCGCTGGAAGCACGGGTGATGGGCCTCGAGGACAAGGTCCAAAAAATCGATGTAACTGCGGCGGAAGCGAAAAAAGAGGCCATGTTTGCCCGCGAGGATGCTACCGCGGCGCGCTCGGAGGCCCGGGCAGCCCGGCAAGACGCATGGACGGCAAAATTGGATGCAAAAATCACCACGGTAAGGCAATTTAAGTGGGCTTGCTTGCTCTCGATGTGCATAAAAATGATGCTGCGACTTTCACGGTGTTTAAGGAATGCATAAGGTGCCGCGCAGGATAACGCGCCGCGGATACCCGCATTCCTTTCTTTCAACAAGGGAAAGGATAGCATGCGCGAATGACTTCCCAGTCACTTGCTTTTTTACTGTCACTGGAGCCAGCCGCTAGGGTTGCTGACAAAATGGTCACTCTATCAGCAAAAACACTCATCCAGGCGCACTCATTGATCAAGGACTTCCACTGCAACGTCCTACAAGGGGAAGAAAGCGGCATCCGGCTATCCAGCGGGAGGCTCTACTCGAGCTTGGAGCACTTGCCAAAATTTTCGGACCTGCAGGTCCGCTGGCATCTGGTGATTAACAGCGGGGATTTGGGGTTGATGAAGAAGGAGGCTGTTGCGATTTTCGAGAAGGGGACTCTGTTGCAGCATGAGGCGGAGCAAATGATCAAGGCCACGGCAAATCGCGCGCGAGATTTCCCGCCTGCCTACGTCGTCATGGCTTCCAATCTCCACGAGCTGGCGAAAATGCTCCAGAGCCTCGCGGTGGCGACCCAAATGCTGATCCAGGGACCCTTGGGCGACAAGGACCCAGACTCAGCGACCGCCTCCACCGTTTCCTCCGCCCGAGGGTGAAGCGCTAGCAAGAGTGTAGAAGTAGAAACTACTATACACACTCTAGACAAGGTTTCTATCTAGAGTTATCAAGTCAATGTTTATGCTTAAGCATTTGCAACGAATGTGTGCGCTATGCTGTCGCCAAGAAATGTTTATACACTGTTGAAGCTGGAGGCACTGCTGCGTAAAATGTATTATGATGGATCAACTGTGTGCGTTATGCTGTCGCCAAGAAATGTTTATACACTGTTGAAGCTGGAAGCACTAATATTGTGCTGCGTAAAATGTATTATGATGGATCTATCTTGGATGGATTTGGCTTCTCGAGGGGCACTAAGAAGTGTGTCTTGTTGTAGATGGGAGAACAAGAGTGCACGAAGGACGCGTAGTAGATGTAGTCGTCCTGCCGGTCCTGGAGAAGAAGCAAGTCGCAACCTAGTTGAACTGTTTGAGATAGATTTGAGTCCCTGTGCGCCTCTGTCTCCTAGTGTATACCTGTTTCAAAGATTTTCTAGAATGGCGAATTCCACCGGTTCGCGCCACTGCTCTCATACATAGCAGTAGTTGTTCGCTTTTTTGCTTTGCTTTCCTCCCGGCTACGCATTGATTTCATATTGTTAAAGGAAATCCTAGGAGTCGGTGAGAAGCGTGAAGCGCCGAAACGAGTCGCATGAGCCAAGTGTCGTGGATTCGGGATAGCTACAGAACGAGTTTGCGAAGCTCCTAGATCCGCAAAGCTGTCACACACACTTTATATTTCGCTTTTTTCGCTCGAAAGTGGCTTGAGAGACTTGCACGCTTCGAGCTCGCGGCCGTGTCGCATCACGGCAATTTCTTTTGCGTTGCCGTACACTGAGTGTGTCCCTGCGTCGCTGTCACTACTACACAGAGCAGCGTGTCGAGCTCGTGAGAGAAGAGCACTTGGGAGAGATGATTGCGTTTAGAGAAGAACACTGGAGGAATTTCCGGAGGCACTCTGCCTTGCATTGTACACTACACGATCTAACTACTGTAGTAGCGATTCCTATCTGGGATCAGAATTAACTGGGGGTGCAATTAGAACCATCGTGATCTGGGCCTCGTTCTGCGCGTAAAAGTGGTTGACTCTACTGCTTCAAACCGAGTACCTGCTGATGTGGATGAGCAGCTCGCCTTCCTGATGTCGCTAAACCACATCAGCGCCCAGCACTTCAAAACTGATGACGCCTCCTCGCCGGTTTCGCAGGAGGCTAGCACTCGCGAAGCAAGCGCTGAGGAAGAGGACATGTGGTTGGATGACGAGATCGACAAAGTGAAGAAGCAAGTCGCTCAAGAAGAAGCTGTGATTGCAGAGGTGCTTGCCAGTTTGTGATTTTTCATGTTTGTGCGTACAGCGATGGTGTCGGTTTTGACTAAGTGCCGCAGGGTTCAAAAGAGTCACCGGGCACTTACCTTTGTAAACTCACCCCTGGTAAAACTAAAATCGCAGCTCCAGCAAGCGGCTCGCACTCTGAACGATGTTGCAGCAGCGGACGCTGCCGCGCGGTTGCAGCTCATTTCCTCAGTCAAGGAAGAAACTGAGTCGCTCAACAAAGCTGCTCGCAAATCGCGTCAGCGTGCCGCCCGGGGCGCGGACGGACTGGCGAGCATTGCCGAGGGCGACGAGGAGTAACTGGACGGCTTGTTCCGACGAGTAGAGGTTTTTTGAAGCTCTATAGCTGTCGATTGGTGTGCGAGTTACTTCTCTCCAAGTGTATTTATAGTTTTTCGCCTTCGATTTACCCCTGTTTCTTTAAATTGTAAACGTATGTAACCAACTGGAAATGTGATATGAGTGCAAGCTTTTCTCTGGGCCGTGCGTAGGTGACAGAGGAACCATTGCTGGGGAATGTGTATCTTGAGCGCATTTCTAGTTCTGTTTTGCTTTATCGCATGTAGCGTATGCTCTCCAACCTCAAACAAAAGATATTCGTTTATCAAGAACCGCAGCTCCAAGCCCTGGTTTGTACTACCGGCACCAACTTGGATGCGCAGAAGGGGATGAATGAATATAAATAAAATAGCACAGCATGAACTTCAGGATGTGCGATGTAGTGTGTTGCTCTGGCCGACGAATTTCACGAAAAGGCTTGTTTGGAGACGGAAAGAAAAACATCAGTTGCGGATGATTCACTCCGCGGACAGCAAAAGTGATTCTGTAATGAGTAGGGCCTGCCTCGCTGTAGCTTCTATTCGCCTTGAAGGGTGGTGCCGTAAGTTGCGCCCGCTCTCACTGCCATCGAAAACGACGCCCAACTGTTTTTCTGACGCTGTCGCAATTCCGTCGGGTGTTCTCCGGTTGCCACAATTTTGTATAATCGCAGGTGCCCCGCCCTTTACTGTGTTCCTCCGAGGGTAGCCGTAGTTCTCTAGTCTGCGGAAAAGAATGGGAGTTCCACGACTGCGAAAAACTCGAAAACGCCTTCGGCCCAGCATATGGGCCGTCCGGTTTCTGAGCTTACTGGACAGTTCTCATGATGCTCAATGAGTTTGAGGATCGAAGATAGTCTCAAAGTTGTACACCTCAGAGCGCAGTAAGCGCAAGGCTCTGCGCAGCCGATCCGTTTCACGGGCTTAGTTGATTGGTCACGTCCGGGCGCTGGAAATCTTATATTTTACATTAATAGAAATAGAAATAAACGAGATTCGAATAGCTTCGCCCGCTGGGTGTGACATCGCAAACTTGCGCTAGAAGGAACATTTTTCACAGAGTTCACCTGCCGCGACGGCGCGCAGGCGTTTTCGGTATCAACTGAGAAAGACACTGCCTCTGCTGTCGTGCCGCAGTGCGTTTCCAGCTGCAAGGAAGCCCAGCCGGAAGCACATTGAAAACGCATCCGCAGCGCATCCCAGCCGGAAATGCCTCTTCAGGGCATTTCTACCGAGCTGGTGGAGA